TGTTTAGTTCGCATGCCTTTTCGTCTGTTTGTACAAGTAAGTCGTGCATATGTCATGGAAGGCATCCCGTGGTTTAACACATACCACTACATGTTCCTGTCCATTACTACTTCATCTTTTCTTTTCATCCCCCCAAAAAGATGAAATCCTTTTTTTTATACATATTCTATCAAAATTCTCAGCATCAATATGCTATATAGAGATAGGGAGGCAAGCAAGCTTCATTCGGAAGCTTCCTTAGGCGCTGACTACTTGCTGGGGCATACCCACCTCTCCCCATCTCAAACACCCACCTGAGCTGGTTTCATCCTCCGTCAAATAGATTAGGAAAAAAAAAAAGATCGGAAGAAATTGATCAAGCAATAGGCAGAAAGAGACGTCGCGCCCAATGTCCATACAGTATTCACAGTATCGCAGCCCTGAAAAGAGACTTCCACATAGTGTAGGTGCGGAAAAATAAAAAAAACGCCATCTTCCCGAGCTGCGCCCAGAAAAAGAAGTCCCTTCCAAACTCAAAAAAGGATTTCGACTAAGCCTCTTCTTTATCATCTGCTCTAAATCGGGAAAATACCTAAATTTTGTACTCCACTAGTTGGCTCAAGAGAGTAAAAAGGCCAAAGGTTGTCATACTCGTACCGCATAGTTGGCTGGGCTGAGAATGACTAACACCACATGGCGCTGCCATAAGCTTATCGTCACGCCTCACACCCGAAGGAGTCATAATGCATACAAGCTACAAATAGAATGCATCCTGTGATAAGGTTAAGCCGATTACCTTAATGCAGATCAAACTGTTTGCTACTATAATAAGCGCGGCTGACGGATCTTCCGTAAGGTCAGACAAAGCTGGCAATATACCGCAGAGAAAAGAAAGCCAAAAAAGAGGCAAACAAAGCTGAACCAAAGAACTTGTATAGAACTTTATCGCCAACGCCGACGAAGATTATGAACCGACTGATGATGTACCCCTAGTATAGTCCCAGATCCTTCAGTTGTGTGTTTTCTATATTACAATGAATACTAAAAATTAGAAATTGGAGATGAAGAGAGAAATAGAAAATAGAGAAATCAAGGCATAAAGCACAAGTTGCTACCATCAATCATCATGCCTAGTATATGCCTCATGACCAAAGCCCCATGACACCGAAGCGGGCAAATTGCCTCAAGGAAGAAAAGAAGAAAGAAAAAAAGAAAAGAAAGGGATACAAAAAAAAAAATCAGGGCCAAAGCGATGGTGGCGGCCGCAGACCATCTCCACCGCTGCTTGAGGGTCGCCAAGAGTCCGATGCAGCAGATCCCCTGCGCCCAAACTCGTCTGCCATGCCGGGGGGTGGAGGCAGAGGCAAGAATAGGCCGCTGCCGTCTCCGACCATGATACTGCGTCGAACCTCGCCTCGGTTCCAACCCTCTCCGGTGACATCTGCTGCCAGGCCGTAGCTGCTGACGGGTCGTCGCAGCGCCGGGCCTACGGCGGTTAATGCGTCAACTTTGCTAAAGTTCCATTTACCAAATTCGTCGGTCTTGGTGTACACTTCGAGGGTGGTGACTGGGGGTGGAGCAGCAGGCCGCAGGTGCGCCGCAAATGGGTTGTTGGAGCTGAATCGATGCGCTGCTGGCGCACCAGGCATGAGCTGCCGGGGAGACGGGGACTTGGGAGAAGTAGGAGAGGCAGGCGAGGTGCCGTATGGGTTGTAGGTAGGAGAGGCTGGCAGTCCTGGATACGCCATGCGAGAGCTGTGAGTCGAGTTATGAGATGGGGTTCGCATGTGTGCTCCCGCGAAGCCAACGTTGGGAGGAGGCAGCCCCTGAAGCTGCTCGGGGAACGACTCATCATGAACAAAAAGCCTGCGCAGCTTAGGCATAGACCCCGCAAGGACGGATGAGGCAAGGTAAGTGTACCAGCTAGCCTTCATGCTGGCATACACCTCCTTATCTGACTCGGTAGAAATCTCATAGCGTAGGACTTCGAGGCTCTGAGATGCGAGTAATCCGATGCCTGCGTTCTGTGGGAATGCTTCAATCACCTTGGCCTGCATGGCTAGAGTCTTTAGACTCGGCGCCATCGTCAAGATCTCTTGAAGTCTTTGTGGATGGACGCCAGTATCAATTAGCGTCAGGACCTTGAGTCCGCGCTGTGTCTCTGGCCAAGCAAGATACTCGATCAGGCCGGCAGCTGTCACTCGAGGCGTTGCTTCCATTACGAATTCCTCCAATGAGGGCATGATAGGCCCCGTTCCAGCTGTCAGCACTTCATCAGAAATGCTTTCCGTGTTTGTCATTTTCAGAGCCCGAAGGTTGTGCAACGAGCTCAACACCGCTCTCATAGTCATGGTGTCGACGCTGATGCCATTCAGCTCCAGGACCTCAAGCCGAGGCCACACCTGGCCCGAAGACAGCGCGGCCAAGCTCCGCTCCGAGCCCGCGTTGTATGTCATCTTTCGGATATTGGGACATCTGGCTTGGACTTCAAACCGCAGCGTCGAGCTGCTCGACTCATCCGAGAACATGCCCTCTGGCAGATCGACATACTTGAGACTGGGAAGAACGGCAATGGTCTGAGCCAACTCGACCTGGCAGTACTCGCGTATCTGGTAAGGCGTCTTCAAAAACTCAACCCTCTTGCCAAGGCGGGTTGGGTCTTCGCGAACAGTGCGACGGAACAATCTGAGTCTCGCTTGAGCTGGGTCCTCGGGAATGGCGTTTCGGTCAAATCTGGTCTGCTTCCGCCTCTCAGCAAGCCAGGCTTCGAGCTTGCAGTAATGGACCTGGTCGATCCGAACGCTGTGGTACCTAGAGGGAGAATCAGTTAGGAAACATGCATGCATGGTCTCAGGGCAAAGTTTCAAGCAGCAACTCACAATGACTTGATGGCAGCTTCATGCCAGGCTCGATTTACCTGCGAACAGTGGGCCAGGTCGCGCAGGTCACACAACATGCATCCGTCATCGTTTCCGCTCTCCTCACACGCATCATAGGTCTCATCGCGGGAATGAAGGCAGACGAAGCCGAATATCCGCTCGAGAACCGTGGCTGGAAGTACAGCGACGAGTTGACTCGACCTCACACTTGGAGGAAAGAATGGCTGCCGGCTGGTACTATTAGGGCGGCGCAACTCAGCTGGGCTCGCGAGCTGCAGCTTCTTCTTGTCCTTCCGCCGAAAAAGAAACCTCATGTTGATGATGAGTTGACTGTTCCAAACCGCAAGCGCAATTTAATCCAAGACGAAGCCAAACTGAAGCGGTAAAGGTATAATGTGCGGAAACGCAAATGCAAGAAAAAGAAGAAGCTGGCAAACGTGGTAGACGCGTAGCGAATGACTGGTGAAGAAATGAGAAACAAAGAAACAAGAGACAGAAAGAGAAAAGAAGATAAGCAAAGAGCTGACGACAAAATGAAGGAAGCGTGTCTAAGAAAGCGATGCTCTGGACCAATGCTGATGATTCGAGCTTGTTTTGCACATCCCTTGCAGCTTTGTGCCCCACGAACAATCAACGAGGCTGAAATCGGGGTCCCCTGGTTCGAAGGTTGCGGGTGTCTCTCGCAAGCAATGCACAAGAAAAAAAAAGAAAGACAGAAAAGGGATCGAGGCTTCGGGTAACAAAAAAAGATTGACAACGGTATGCTGAGCCTTTATGGCTGTAACCCAGCTTCTGGAGTTGATGCTGGGACTGGGTGCTTTGGCAAGGAGAAAAGGCAGCCAAGAAACAAAAAGTTGGGTAGCGAAGGCGAGGACAGGAGGATTCAAATGCCAATTGGCAAGTCTGTGTTTGCTTCTGCACGCCACAGCGGCAATGGATAGGCTCGAGGGGTCCCCTCCAGGTCCAGGGGCCAGAGAAACAGCAGACAGCGCTGACAAGCCTCTGGAGGGGGCAGCCTGGCGGACGCGGTTTTAGCGGTGCGGTGCCCTGGGCCAGTGCCTATTAGCGCCTGGCTGCCAACTGGCGCGAGTTCCACCACGGATTCCAGCGGCCGTGAAATTATGCGGGGAAGAGACGGGCTCTCAGTGGCCAGGCTGTGCCGCTGCCTTCGTGTCTTGCCTTGCTCCTTGGCCATGGCAATTTCACCGCCCTACCCTGTTGCATGTTTTTTTTTGGCCTGCTGCGAGTGTGAAACGGCCCAGCTCTATTAGTCAATGTCCTAGAATTGCATGTGAAGTTACGAGAAGCTATCCTTGCATTTGCAGCTGAGCAAGCATACTTTAATACTACTAATATCTGCTTTGTGCTCTGTGTCTCGTAGTAAATATGCATAAATAATCTTACGGAACACGACCGATTGCCGCCATCTCGTGTCAACATAGCGTCGACATAGCATCCACCTGTGATTATCCATCTCCAAGTATCCATTCATTATTGCGCCAGATTTCAGCCAACTAGAGTATATTGAGACACGTACTTGCGTAAACATAGATAAACATCCATATCTAATTGCATAGAGAACTCTCAGACACCGAAACAACGTCATTATTAACACTTGTCCCATACCGCCCATCTATCTAACTCGTCTCCTGGTTCAGGAGCATGCCAGGTGAATCAAGTATACATACAAGTATAAATACAGCATAAAGGCAGAATATGATTAAAAAAACGAGGCCAGGTTGGCATGACTTTCCTGGCCCTTGACACTGCCGTTCCATGTGCAGCTCGGCCTACCGGGGACGTTGTCTCATAACAGTAACTGCCTACCCTGTCCTACGCCTCCAATTTTCCCCAGATTAATCCATATACCCGTCATCAACCGCCCGTCATTATGGTTGTAGAAGACATGTCATCATCGCAAAGGGCGATTCGTATTAGTTCATTTGCTAGAAATGCCCTCATGTCCAAAATAGAGATTAAAAGTTGTAATTGCCCCTTGCAGTAGCAAGTGCTTCAGATTCATAAAAAAATTGTAATGCTCGTCACCGTTACAGTGCTTGAGCCGTTTGGCCATCGAATTCTCATGAGCGAGCTGTGTTCGCGCTCTTTTAAGACATCTCGATGGCATCGTACGTGGCCAATTTAAGCCTTGCGGGACCTAGCAGTGGCACCGTTGGTCTTGGCACCAGTGGTAGTGCCATTGGTCTTGCCGTTGGAGTAGGTAGCCATGTGGACAGGGTCGGGAAGAGGAGCCTGGCTCATGCGTCGCAGAGACTTGCGAGTAGTAGTCTTGCCGTCCTTCTTGTAGGTGGCGAAGTAGAAGGAGATGAAGAGGACCAGGTATGAGCTGAGGATACCAATGCCAGCAAAGGCAGCAAACTCCTCACCGGCGCACTTGCCAGCGTTGGGCATGTAAGGGAAGTAGGTCGAGGTGAAGTAGGTGTAGGAAGCGAAGTAGACGAAACCTATTTGTCAAATACCAATTAGTCAATGGTCAAGAGGGCGAGAGAAATAGGAACCAGGAAAAACACAATGGGGATTTATATCACTTACCCAGGTCAATGATGAATTGGATGATCTGGAGACGAGTAACCCACTCCTTCCACCAGATCTTGATGCCACGAGCGCTCTGGAAGTAGTACCAGTACATGACAACGTGCACAGTCAGGTTAAGGACAATAGGAACCCAAGAGACGGAGGTCAAGCCAATCAGCTGGGTGTAGCAAAGAAGAGCGGTGGCACCGTGGTGGTAGCAGTGGAGGAAGGTCAAAGGCTTCTTCTTGAGGAACAGGAAGACGGTGTCGAGCAGCTCAAGGTACTTGGTCAGGTAGTTGAGCTAAACATGATTCATGGTTAGCTATACCGCCACGTTTCGCGTTTGGGCGGAAATCACCTACGTAGTAGAGGACAACCAGAGGCTGAGTCCAGCCGCCATCGTGGTTGCAGATGGCAAAGAAGATACCCTTACGGACAACGGTAGGCAGAAGCTGCTCAATGAAGAGAGCCAGGAGGAAGCCGCTAATAGCGGTCAGGTAGAAGTTGTGGATGAGGAAGAGCGCCTTGAGCTTGAAAGGCTCGCGGTTGCGCATCAGCTCTCGGCCGCCAAAGATGATGAAGTAGTAGATGACGATGAAGATGGACGTCGACTTCAGGGTGGACATGGGAGTCTCGAAAGGCACGAACTCGAAGTCATTGGCCGAGTAGCCAACAACGGCCGTGAAGAGCTTGTCAAAGATGGGCCATAGGTGGATGCCGAAGGGGCGGTCGAGCGTAGGGAGCGGCAGCTGCTCGTAAAACGTAGCGGGAGCCGACATGATGGGCAAAGGGTATTTCGGAACAAGTCTCAGACGGGACGATCCAAGCACCAGATTCCTGCGATTCAATTGAAGAAGAAGACAGAAAGGTCCGTTGCTCTCCGACGCGACAAAAAGCGAAACGACTTCCCAAAAAAACAATTAAAAAAAGGGGATTGCAATTGCAATTGCAGTCCGTAGATTTAATCGAGGCAAAAAAAAATTGCACACCGAAGGAATGACGAGAAAAAGACGAGGGAAAAGGATCAGACTCGACGAAGCCAACCAAACACCGAGACGAAGACAATGGCAACTCTCTTGCGGGGGGATGGAGGAGAAGGAGGGAGAAGGGGAAAAAAAGGTACGAGGGCGGAAGAAATAGTAGTTGGTAATACTTAGCACGGGAGCGTCGCCAGTATGAAGTACGCGCGCCTCGACACTAGCCTCATCCCCTATTCCGAGTGGAAATTTTGGCTGGCTGCAGGTGTAATCTGGCCTCTGCGCATGTGATTGGGCACTATGCGCTCAAGTGGGTGACAAAAAAAAAGGGAGTGAGAGGATTTTGAACCCACAAGTCAGAATTATGCACATACAACATCAAGAGCCAATAGGTGTAAAAGATGTACATCTAATTTTTTTTGTACGCGCGTATTTATCTGCAGTCCGTAATATTCTGTCTTCCACCGTAACTGTTCTGGCAGCCGCACGTGACTTCGGCCCGGCAGGGACTCAGCTGTTAATTTCGGCGCTGCGCGGACGCCGGAAGCGAATGCGATGGGATTGTTGATGCAAAGCAAAGTGAGACAAGAGCATTGAACGCCAGGAACATAAGGCGAGCATAGGCACGATCAGTACTAGTACTACTTATTGCCGATGTGACGGAGTGAGGTCAATTCATGCAAGAGCGGCAGCTGAAAAGTCCATCGGGGTGGGAGCTGAAACGCCCAGAATTGGTGCTGGCCTCGTGCTCACTTTAACCAAGAGCTTTCAAATGCCTTGAAAAAAAAGTTCATCAGGCTGCAAACTGATCACCAATTCGAGCGTTACGTGTGCCATGGCTAGCGATACTATGAATTGGCATGCATCATCGCAATGAATTGAAGGGCCTCGGAGGGTCCGATACGACGAAAGCAAATGCAAGAACCGCCGCAATTGGCAAGACGGCGATCCCGACGCTCTCCGTGGCTGGCATGGCCTTATGCCTGAGCCGAGGATTTCTTGCCATGGATGCAAATTCTCCTCGGCTGCCAACTAGGTAGGTCAGTACTTGTAATAGGCAACACCACCCAGCTTGATGTGGCCAGTGGGCAGCATATCAACAACGCTTTGGAGCGTTATCAATCAGCGCAAAGCTGCGACGGAGATGCTGCTTCCATCTGATAGCCTACCTACTAGCCTACCACTCGGCATCAGGAGCTCACAATGCGTCTCTCGTCGAATAGAATTTGATCTATTGAAAGCACACACCATTCCAGCAATTCAGACCGTACGCACCCGCACAGTCGGCACTGTAAAATTTCACGCCAGACCACACCAAAGCGCAGCCCCGCCATAAATCCAATTCGTACTGTCCTTTCCCGCCTTTGCCCGGGGAATCAGGCAATCCCCACCGCTTAGTCATCCCTGCCGCCCTCAGTCGATAAACACCTCTGCCAATCTAGACCAAGCCCAAAACGCTCCAAACACCAAAAACAATCTCTCTCCTCTCTCTTCGCCAAAAGGCTCTCTCTCAATCTTCTTCCTTCAGCCATGCAGTCCGCCGCCCTGTTCCGCGCCGCCACCCGTGGCTCCTCCATGGTCCGCGCCGCCGCTCGTCCCGCGCCCTTCGCCGTCCGCTCGGCTGTCGTCGCTGCTCGCCCTTTCAGCATCTCTGCCTCCCGAAAGGCCGAGCACGCTGAGGAGACCTTTGAGGAGTTCACTGCCAGGTGAGGCTCACCATATACGCCCTTGATTTTCCATTTTATGCATCGACGGCACGGGGGTTGGGGCGCAATGCGCCGCGGGCGAGAGATATACAACCCAAGAGGAGGGAAAAAAATAAAGTGGGCGGCACGATGGGACATGACAGCTTTTTTTGCCGTCTTTTGGGGAGGAAAAGCGACCCAATCAACGACGCCTTACGTCCTGCTGCGCTGCGCTATGCATACCGACTGAACCTGTCCAGTGGCTGACGAATTTATCAACAAAATCACAGATTCGAGAAGGAGTTTGATGCTGTGCAGGACGTCTTCGAGCTCCAGGTAAAAAACGCCCTCCACAAGCTCCAGCTAAAGTATCGTATGATTTGCTAAGTCATCTTTTAGCGTAACCTCAACAACGCCTTCGCCTACGATCTCGTCCCTTCACCCTCCGTCGTTGCTGCTGCCCTCAAGGCTGCCCGAAGAGTCAACGACTTCGCTACCGCTGTCCGCATCTTCGAAGGTAATGACCTATCCTCACCTTTCTTTCGTCGTGTCGAATTGAGGAGTCATCGATGTCTCCACCTTTGATATACCCCTTGTATCCTCATGCATATATGTACATGAAAGAGCTTATCAAACATGCATATACACTCCTGTGTCCCTTCTCTCTTTTACTTTACCTTCTTTCTTTACTTCTTTCTTTCTTTCTTTTTTTGCCTCTTCTTACGAAAGGAAAAATTACGTCATTTTATCAAAAGCTTGCATGCTGACGCAAAATTTAAAATACAGGCATCAAGGCCAAGGTCGAGAACAAGAACCAGTACCAGCAGTACCTGGACGAGCTCAAGCCCCTGCGAGAGGAGCTTGGCGTCGAGCTGAAGGAGGACCTTTACCCCGAGGAGAAATAAATTTCTTGCTTTCCGTTGAGGATTAAGAGAAAGAAAAGAAAATCTGTTCAGAGTATTGTACATGGTATTATTATATTTGGAGGGAAGAGAACAGCGAAGGTGCTAGATGGTCAATGGGAGGGGGGCTAGTGGCGGCATCCCAAACCAATGTGTCATTATAGTTGAAGTACGTAGTGTATACTACTCCTACTGTTGGTTACAACGTCTAGTTGTCTCAACAAATTTTAAAACAAAATGAAGAAGAAAAAAATTCAGATGCCCTCCACTGTGTGGTATTTTTTGATTGGTCTGTAAATATCACACCCCAATACTCTGTAAATTGATTTGTTAATAGCGCGTGCTACATAGATCTGCATATTGGCTCTTATATGATGATGCCCTGAGCAAACCTTCCTTTATACCATTTTTATGTATGTATCCATCTTAAACCCTGCAGTGAGGTAAGCTACCTTTGACCAATACCCTGTTGAAACGCAAACGAAAGACAAAGAAAAAGGTGAACCCCTTAAAAAGACGAGATAAAAAAAGAGACAAAACAAAAGAGAGAGAGAGAGAGAGAGAGAGACAGAGCCTGGAGATACAACGCTCTCTTCCCCAGCCCCAAGCACCGAACGAAGCACCTAACGAAGCACCAAACAACTCAACATGAAAAAAGAAAAAGAAGGAAAAAAAAAGACATAAGTTGCATGTCCACTCTGGTCCTCAATCGCAGTTAGATGTCACAAACATACCCCCACCTCTAGTCCTCACTATCCTCTTAAATGATCCCATCGGCCATTTCCTGGCTGCTGGCCATAAAACTGCATACCTTCGATGCCAGCTCCCGCAGCCGGGCTAGCCCCTCTGCTAGCTGGACCTCCGTATGCTCGGGAAATTGTCCGTGGACTCATCATACCCATGCGTGGACTCCGAGGTACGCTAGACTGTCGAGTCTCCCGCCGCCCGTTCTTGAGCTGTCGTAGCTCCTCACGAGCACGATCTAATTCTATCTCTCGCTCTTTGATTTGAAACTTGAGCTCTGTAATCTGCTCAAGATACAACTTGGTAGTATTTCGCTCCTGGATTTCATGGATTTGAGCAAAGTTCTCGGAAGCCTTTTTACCTAGGTCCTCGTTCTGGCTTCTCAGCTGGTTGTTTTCTGATTTCAATCCAGAAGCCGTATCGGCTGCGTCTTGATACAAGCTTCGAATATAGTCTGCGTCCTTGTGGGCGTTTTCTAGGCGCTTCTCAAGGACAGCAACCTTAGCCTGTGCTTCGTGTAAGAGGCTTTCGGATTTCGCCAAAGGTGTATCCTTTGGATCAGAGGTATTGGGGTCTTCTGTAAGCCGTGCCACAGTAGCCTCCAACTCTAGAATCCTCTTCTTTGCTTTTTCGGCTTCTCTCTCGGACTGATTTGCCGCAGACTGCATGGCAGTTTCAATTTTACGCTTCTCAGCCTCGAATCGAGAACGATCTTGCAGTGCAGCACGCTGTGACTCGTACATCTTGTGCGCCGTTCTCTCGTAATCTTTAAGCCGCTTTTCAAGACCTGAAATGACTGCTTGATATTCTGCCTCGTGATCGATTGTTTCTATGCGACGTTCATACTCGGCAAACTTGATGATGTTAGATAAATATCTAAAGGAGGACATGATAGCAGCCATACCTTTTCTGCCAAGATTTGCAAGACTGCTTGGGGAACATTAACCAGTACCTCTGGGCGAGAGGTATCCTCTTTTGGTGTGGCGCTTTCTAATAAAGCTTTTACTTCGTCAGATAAAGGAGGCATGCCCGTTCCAATTGAAGAAACCATTTGCCCAATAGAGAGTACTCGTGGTCTCTTGTTGTCAAAGTCATCAAAGTCATTCTAATAAGCCGCACAAGTTAGTAATTCATAACTATACACTGTGCCATTCCTCAACTGCTGGGTGCCGCCTTACATGTTTGCGTTTTCGACCAGTTTCCCGTTCTTGCTGTGAGACTGTTGGTGGCATCTGTGACTGTGACTGAGAATGTACATAAACGTCAAGGATGGCCTCTGGGACAGGTATTGGATCCCACATCGGCGTATCTTGATCGCTTGCTAGGAATTCTATGAACAGAGAAGCAATCTCATGTGGTTCTTGGTAGCCGTGGTTAGGACTCTCCACCAGATTCCAAGCGCGTACGATCGCTGAGACTAAGACGCTTTTTCGCTCTATTGGAGGCAAATCATCTGGTATGTGGAGATCGAGATGCTCAATTGAATGAGTTGTAACCAGGACCAAGACAAGCTGTCGTCTATTGGTACTAGGGCTTCTCGATAGCCCTTGTGCGACAGAAGAGTGCCTAAAAGAGTGGTCGTATCCGATCACGACATCAAAATCTCGAGTATCAATGTCTTCAGTTGGCAGCGCTAGGACGAGTCTAGAACTTGAGCCACCAGACGAGAGATCTGATCTGCCAATGGCTTCACAACTGAATTGCATCTTGAGGGACTCAGCCAAGTGAGAAAGGAGCCGAAGGAGTTCTGGTGAGCGAGCGACGATTAGAATGTTGGAATGATCCTCAATTCCACCCAAGAGTTCAAATATGAAGTTGAACTTTGGGTTAGCATCGCAGCAATATTTAGCTTGCTGTCCTGGAGGTAGCATTTCAAGGTCGCTTCCCACAATGTTCTCAGGGTAATCACACACGTTCAACAAGTTATTGAATAGCTCGTTGATACGATTAACTAGCGATGGATCCGGCTCTGAGTAGTCTTCACCGCTGAAACACCTGTTAAACTCCAAGAAAGGGACCCTGTACTCAACTATTATGTTGTTATACCTCTGGCGAAGGCTTGCTTGGAATGGGAGTGTCACTGTATAGTGTTGAAGCGTAGCTGGCGAAGGCTGTGCTGCAGGAGGAGATGCCGATGATTCGGTAGGGCTGTGTTCGCTATGAACCTGCTCAGAATGTATCGGATCTGAGGAAGGCTCCTGCATGAGAGGTTCACTGGGATGAGTGAAAGATAGCAGAGGGATGTCTTTGTAAGCCGGTTCCGGTTGGCGACTTATGTCCGCAAGGGAGACTGTAGTTTGCTCTGCTTCTATGGGTTCTGCCTGTACAGATTCGGCGATAGACTGCGGTTGCCCCGACCCAGATCCGCCAAAGACTGGGCTAAATATATCGGCCAATTCTTCGGCAACGGATCTTCGGGGAATTGGGGGCCGTGATCTAGATGCTATAACAGGAGTACTGTCCTTATCGTGTGCTGTCCCCTCGGCTGCTGCTTCTACATTCTCAGAAGGCGCCTTTTCTTTAATAGGAAGCGGTCCCACACCAAGGGGTAGTTCAGACGAGTGCACAGGTAGCTCAGCATGAGTGTTCCTTGTGCCTTCCTTGACTGGCGTAACATGCTCTTCTAACGCTCCCGTTGAAGGCTGATTAGGTTGCGTCTGATGCGATTCTGGTTGATCGACATTGTATGATGCAGTAGTAGCCCCGACGTCAAACTCATCTAGGCGAAAAATTGCAGAGAGCTCTGCATCTAATCTGCGCTGTATCCTTTCGGAAGCTTGCTCGGGAGTTTCGTTCTCCATCTTGCGGACTTTGAAAGAATTTAGGGGGGTGAGTGGCTTAATCTGTGGAATTGCAACCGCTGCTAGGCGGCTGATTTCTGGTACTAATAGTGGCGGCGGAGACTTGGCAGTCTTTGATTGGCAAGCTGAAGTCGAGACAAGGCTTTGATCCCCCGCGTTGATGGGCTGATGGGGTGTGATTTGGGATTGGGGCAGACTTCTCAAAGACTCGCCTTCTGTAAGAGGCTGAGACGGTATTTCAAAGTTGCGAGAAACTATTTGAGCAGCTTGAGATGCCCTTGGGTCTGACGCAGATGGAGTGCTAGAGCTGATGGTAGATACAATCTCTGCGACAGGATGAGCAGGTGATTCGAAGATTCGGCTAGTTAAAGAGTTCTCTAGGTGCTCCAAGGCAAGTGAGATTGGTGGTTGGGTAAGAAACCTTGGGCTTGCGTCTGATTGTGTGAAGACAAGTACAGATGACCCCGATGATATTACGGCTTGCGATGCGCACGCGGCAGGTGTGCCGTGTGATAGAGATGGAGATAGAGCAGGGCTGTTTGCTTCTGGGATGTCTCCTGGTCGGTCAGGCTGATGAGAAGGGATGTCTGAGCCAACAGTATCATGAAGCGTTTGAATGAAATTCTCAGATGCTTTCCTCTCAGTTGCCTTACCAGACAGCTGGGATGTCGTCGTCGAAGGATCTTCAAGGGAATCTGGAATGACACGAGAACTTGACTCGGGTGAACAGTCTCGAGGCTGAGATTCGATTAACCTAGGAGATAACTGTAGCAATTCCCTTGGAATATGGATTTGAGTCCAGGATGGATTTGTACCTTCCTGGGAGCCCGGAACGGTTCTTTGATTGTTTGGTACAATGGAGACACGACTATCCTCGCTCTCAAGTTCGGCAAGCGACTGTGAGGATTTGCTACTCGATTGCGAGCCAAGAACACTCAGATAATCAGCCCGGTTGATATTTGAGTTCTTGGGAATCTCCACTACCAGAGCGGAAGTAGCTCGTGTGCGATATCCTGAGATGTCTGCGTCAGGTAGGTCTGGAAATTCGGAGGGGGTAGAGATTGAAGGCGAAGAGACAAGAGACGGTCCGGGCTCGTCGCACAAAGATCCGCAGGTGTCGCTTCTAATAACTTTATGAGGGCGGGTAGAAGATGAGTCGGAAGAAGATGAAGCTACAGAGGGTGAGCGTTGGCGCTTCTGCTGTGATGCGTTGACCTTCACTGGGCGACGCCGGTGAGCAGGTCGCGGCGGTTGGCTCGCGTCACTCTCTTGATCTAACGTGGATTCCTGTTGTACTTTCTGTCCCTGGTGGTTTGGCAGCTGCACTGGTAACTGCTGGCCTTGCCGTTCCTTCAGGCCTGACTCAGGCTCTGAGTCTGATCCTGGTTCTGGCTGAAGCTGCTGTTCAAGCTGCTGGTCAATGAGCTGTTGTTCCTGGCGGTCCTTTTGAAGACGCTGAGCTTTGACCCGTTCCCATTCCTGTAGGGCCAAAGCTGTGACTTCAGAGCTCTGTATATACAGGTTAGCGAAACGTCCGTATTGCGCGCGCAGGCTTATAAGTGTGTGAGTATCATGTTAGACAAACCCAGGTAGGATCATATACTTGTCCGGTGACGGCGTTATCGTCCCATTCGACAAAATATTGAACACGGCCTCTCACGGTCTTTTCATCAAGGATACGCCTGATGGTGTACCAGCCTAGGTCCTGGTCAGCGGGCGGTTTGCGATTCTTGGACTTCTTTGCGGCTCCTCTGCGTGACCTCGGCATTGGCTTGAATGAGATGGGTTAATGCGCAGAGTGAGTTGCCTTTGAAGCTGAGGAGGGCGAGCCAGCTTTCCGGCACAGAAGCTGCTGCTGGTGTTGCTGCTAGCCAGACGGCCCGCGCCAAAAAGCCTGGCGAGACAGCGCTCGACGCTGTAGGGAGGATGTAAGTCGAGCGCACGGCGACGATTGGAGAGACGAGGCTGAGGTGCGCCAGCGGCCCACCAGCGACGAACGATTTGAGAAGGTCTGACAAGGGAGATGCAACAGGAGTCTCTAGCCAGGGAGCGGACTGGCTAATCACGTGGAGGCGCCAGCCTCTAAATTCCAGCGAGTCGAAAGGCGCTGGTTGGCGGGGCGAGGCGCTGAGGAAACGCGCTGACGATGATAATCTCTTCACCGAGGCGGCGGACGTGAAGATGTTAAGAAAGCGGTGATGCGGGGGATTCAAAAGAGATGGACTATTAAAATGAAGATGGAAGTGATGAAATAAAAAAGAAGGAGAAAAAAGTGTTGCAAGAGAAAGGGTCAGGCCTTGATGGTTGGTGGATGAGAGAAGGCGTGGGCCAGGCGAAGACGAAAAGTTGAATGTTGGAAGAAGAAAGAATCTCGTTTGGACGTCGCCAACGCCTTTTCACAACCGTTTGGGCTCTCCCTAACGTGTTCAAATAGAGTGCCAATGCAAACGCATTTTTTCTACCCTGTTGAGGAAAAAAAAAGAGTAGAAGGGTGCGTGCGTGTGCACAATGCTGAACTGGCAATTAAAAGAAAGTCATTTTCTCGTCACCTTTGTCCAGCTCTTTGTACATACAGCTGTTCATCCACTTTTCCCTGCAGTACTTAGTATGCTTGGCTACTAAGCCTAAGCCGCCGTTATTGATTCAGTGCCTGCTCACTGCATGGAACGAGCAGCGCTGTTATGCAAAGACCCTTACCTTGTAGTGCTGGTCCTGAGGTATATCAAAGCGCAGAAATGACATTCGTCTGATGGTAGTGACAAGCAACTGGAAACCACGGGCCTCTTCACGCTTTGTGCGTATGGAGCACCGGACCCTTGAAGCTGTGTACCTGGAAGGAAACATGAGGGCGGTATTTGGTCACATGCACTCGCAGCCATGCCTCTTTTCATTTCTTGTGATGATTTTATATGTTATCGTCTGGGTAGGACAAGAATCCCACACCGAAGAAATGGCACATTTCTCATCATTTAGATATCTGCACAGCAGGTGTTCAGCACAGAATAGGATGTGGCAGTAGATTAGCTTAGGTCTCAGGTACCTTAGTACATATACCGACTACAGGTACCCATCTTAGTGCCTTGGTACCTGAAGAAATATTTCCCAATTCTGCCACCTATCGATCCTCGCCGGAAAGCAGTTACGATGTAACCAAAAACAAAGAAAAAATTAAGAATGGAATCAGTAACCGTTTTTAGAACGGCTGCTGACCCGCGGTGGCGTCTTCGATCCATCTTGGCTGCATAGAAGCTGCACGTCTTGCCGCCTCCGGAAATTAATAAGGGCAGTATTAGGAACATCTTGCACTGTACGAATCCCAAAACTTAAGGGACCGCAATTGATGCTTTACCGCTATTGCTGTGCTCCCCTAAAAATCCCAGCCACTCTGACAGAATCCAAACGCGCTAGGAGCACACGCTCGCTCTCACCTTGTTTCCAACGTCTCACACGCCAACAGGTCATCTGTCCACCGTCTTTATCCCGCCTATGAATAGCTGAATAAAGGCAATCAAGTACATGCCGGAAGCTTGAGATGTGTTGTGCCCGCCGCTTATAAGATGGCTTCCAATTTCTCCATAGAGCCGGTAATGCGGTTTGTAGGCGATAGCCAACCTGTTAAGCGGCCCAAGGTAAGTACATGTACTTGGGAGAAGCTGTGTCGTGCCGAAAGCTGGTATCTGGCATATTGAATTCTAGACAGAGAAAATAGAAGGCTTTGAAAAAGTCTATAGCTCACAGTCTGTCTAAACAGGAGTTTGCGTGCTTCTCTTATGATGAGAATCATGAATATCGCCCTGACGATTCATCCATAAAATACTATTATCCCCCTCAGCTTGGCGCGGATTTGTCTCTTGGATTCGATACTTTTGTGAAGCATGACGATTCCAAAGCTGAACATCTCGACAGCTTGCTGAAAGCCATCGTTTCACATGAGCAAGAAACTGGAAGCAAGATAGATGCGAATATAGTCACATGGAGAGGCATGATGACCAAGGTACTTACTATATCACTTGCATCATTTGATCTTTGGCCCATTCCCATCCCAACTTAGTAACAGAAATTGGAACTTCGGTATTTGGAACTCACAATCACCTGTTATAGATATTGGCTGCGCCGTTTGAACGATTTGACGGGTAGCAATCCATCTATTTCAGACTCATCATAAAATATCCATCTGACATATAGTAGTTTTGAAATGAATGCCACTTTGTATCAGGTATGTTCATTCATAACACACTTACTAGCCTTTTAGCTGTATCTTTAACCATGACATACTGTATAGGGCACAATGTGCGTGGCGTGAAACCAAGTTACTTATTGGCTAGCTGCTGACTCTGGTATAGCTTTATTGAAGAAAATCATGAGCATAAGATGCTCTCAAGGCAAAACGAAGACCGTGGGAAGCCTAGAAGGGGACCACCTCTTGATGTGATGCAGTTTTGGGGTGAGCATCAGTTTCATCTTCTCCTGCAATCACTTACCAGCTAACTCATACAAAGGATATAAATTCGAGACACTATCTACACTTCCATCTACATGGGCTGAGACATCAAGAGATTTTATTGAAAGCCGTGAGAGCCAAGTTGTCAATAACAAAGAACAGTACTGTTCCATCGTCCGAACAGGTATCGGCAAGGCTATCCTCTGTCTAGGAGGCGAAGTCGACGCAAGTAAGTCTCCTATAAATATCTCCCCATCATGAGTATATAGATGAGTACTGAAGCTAAATTGCAATGCCAATCACCAGTATGGGACTCCAAGCCCCAAGAAAAAGGAAGCCCCATCAACTGGGTCGAGCTCAAAACTACGGCCGAGATCCGCCACGGCGGCGACATAGAAAACTTCCACCGGAAGCTCATGAAGTATTGGATCCAGTCCTTCCTGTTAGGCGTCCCAAAGATCATCGTCGGCTTCCGCACACGTGACGGCATCCTCGTAGATATAAAGGAGATTGAGACGCACAATATCCCGCAGACGGTAAATGCGCGACCGAACCCAGCCTGGAATGCGGATATTTGCGTCAACTTTGCAGCTGCTTTCTTAGAGTGTAGGCGACTTTCTTTTTCTTTTTCTTTTTTCTTCCCATCTATACTTACCAAGTTTATAAACAGGGCTCATGCAGACGGTCAACGATGAAGGCGTCTGGAGAATATCCCGACGAGCCAATTCGCCCATTATTGAAGTATATAAAGCAGAAGAAACAGGCCATGGCAATATCCTGACAGATGAGTTTAAAAACTGGAGGATCAAATTTGGGCTTAATTCAACGGAGTCATGAACCCGTGGCGAAATAAAATAATGAGTGGGATGGCCATAATCGGAAGCGGGCAAGCTTGTTCTAAAAAGAAGACAATCACATAATATTGCACCATCTTACTGCTGTATACCATACAAGGCCGGTATACCTCTCAAGTGTCTTCATGCCATGACAATTATGTATACAGCGTATATGCACTCATCTGTGTAAAAGAAAAAGAGATCAACTGCAACCATCCTACCGAACGCCTATTCCTCCAACCGCAGTAGAGAAACAAAAAAAAGGAAGAAAAATATTAATGAAACAAGAAGGATAATTGGAAAGGAAGAGAAGATTAAGAAGTAAAAAGAAAAAAGAAAAGAAGAAGAAGAAGAAAAGGAGAAAAAAAAAACCAATCAGAAGAAAAAAAGCAATGGTCCACTTCCAAATGCGTGTCTCACTGCCTTTTTAAGTTCTCCAATATCAAGGCCCAAGCCTGGTAAAACATTCGTAGATCCTAAACGCCGCTCCACGCCAGTGATAGCTCATCATCCTACGGCTAGTATCGGTATGCAAGCTCAGTATATCGCATATGAAATCGTACAAGTCGTTCTTGCTGGCTCTAAGATTTTTTTGCCACGACAACCATAACGATGTCACTCCGTCCATTAAATTCGTTTCAAATCGCATCATCCATAAGATAAATATTATGTCATTGGCTTTTGGCTCCGGATCAGATAGCTGGCCATCGGATGCGCAAACCATCTGCCCAACGATTGTAAAGGACGTCTGATAGCTGCTTGCAATGTTCCATCCCCAACTGTGTCTCTCGTCCGGGATACTTTTCTTCGATTGCTGCTTTATCTTGCTCTCTGAGAGACTCTTTTGATACCGGCGACTCAAGCTGGCGTCGGCGATGAGTTCGGAGGTGAGGGCTCAAAACTAACTTGGCGGGGCTCGCTGATGGAGTAGAGTTCTTAACAATCACCGTGCCTTGAGAAGTGCCGTCATTCGGCATCTTTTGCACAGACTGGTGAATTATTGCCGCGTTCAGTTTGTTATCTTGGCTCATGGCGGCGACAAGGCTGTTCATGAGCTGATATGTTCCCTCAGGATCAACGGCGTCCAATGCCGCAAATGCATCAGATAGCTTAGCTAGCGCTTCGCGTTTCTGCACCGTTGATGCTTGCGCATGAAGCTCTGCAAGCGTAGGTTCTACTGCCTTAGAGTGTAGCCTCCGCCCTAAAAGAGCTTCCTTACTCTGTGGCTCGGCCGATGGGATCACGGGTGGAAGAATATTCTCATCGACAAACACATCGTCGTTAGGAGACGTACTCCTGCTACTACGCATACCGGCTGAGCCATCTGACGGAATCCCTCGGAAAAGGCGCATAGTCGATCCAGAATTTCCAAAAGAGGTATCAGGCTGGAGAGGCCTCTTTGGAGCTACTATTGAGCTTCGGGGTGAGCCATTAGCGTATGCTGAGGGAACTTGCACGATAGAGGGAGTGCGCCGGACTGTCGATTTCCGGATAGTGCTTGTGGCTGGAGACGAAGAACCAGGCGAATCTTCGCTGATATCCAACTTGCGAGACCCTTCCTCAGCTGCTGAAAATAAAGAAGACTGTTTACGTTGCTTAACAATTGGCTGCTTCGGTAATGCCACCGATTTCACGGTATCAAATACCCATGCTTCATCATCGTTGTCCTTGGTTGAAATATTCCGCAGTGTCTCTTGGTAATAAATCGGATGCTTCTGGCGATTCTGGTTTGCATCCCACATCTGTCTCTGCATTATAAGCTCTTGAAGAGCCTCAATTTTGCCGGCCGAGCGAATGAACCTGTGCCGTAGTAGCTCCTTGGCGTTGGGTCGTCGATTGCATTCTTTAGTGAGACACTGAGCAACGAAGTCTTTGAATTCTTTGCTAAAATGGCCGTCTAGTCGCGGCGGTTGATTTTTGGGAATTTGGAAAAGAACCTTCATAGGGTGGATGTGACACAGAGGAGGTTCTCCATTGGCCATCTCCATTGCGGTAATGCCCAAAGACCAGATATCCGCCTTGAAACTGTATCCATCTTGCTGGATCACTTCGGGGGCCATCCAAAACGGAGTGCCAACAAATGTATTCCGCTGAGATTTGATGTTTGTGAGTTGAGCGGCAACACCGAAGTCGGCCAACTTCACCTTGCCAGCATCTGAAAGCAGCACATTTGCCGCCTTGATATCGCGATGGATTTTGCCTTCCGAATGCAGATATTGGATTCCATAAAGAAGTTCGCGGCAAATGATGGCGATATGAGCCTCAGTAAAATTTCCAGGTTTCAACTACAGAAGAGCGACTGATTAGGGATACGACACAGACGGGGAAATTAGCTGAAAATATGGGTTATGCTCACCAAGTCAAGACAGGATCCGCCACCTAAATATTCCATGATAATCCATAGCTTATGTCCTCGAAGGAACGAGCCCTTATATTGGGTTACATAGGAGCTAGCGCAAGTGCTGAGGACAGCGATTTCGGCTTGAATGTCTTGGATATCATCGTCGCTAGATTCAAGATCAATCTGCGCAGATGAAGAGGTTAGTCGAAAGAGCTCTGTTCGACCTTAGTCCGCCGAATAGAGGCAAGTCTTACATGTTTGATAGCCACAGTCTCTCCGGTGACCTTGTCGATTCCCTTGTATACCACGCCGAAACTTCCACCTGGAGCCCCTGAGTTAGCGATGCGATCCACGACAGCGCATGAACTGCGGATCACCGATGAGACTCACGGCCTAGTTCCTCTAGTACCTGATAGCGGTCCGCAAGGCCCTCGTCATCCGCCATTTTTGGCGAGCCCCAAGCGATATTATCTTCCTTTTTATTTTTAATTTGGCCCTTTTCTAGAAGCCAACGCGAACCGTCAGGGGCAGATCCTGGGAATCGATATTCGCTTCTGGCAATTCGAGCAAACGGGTGGGACTTGCCGTAGACCTGGAGCCGGCAAAAGCCAAGGGCGATCGGATCAAGAAGTGTCAACGGTCGAAGCCCTAAGTTCAATACACAGGCCGCAGCGCTCTAAGTACCTCGCCGGCCAAGTACTGTTGGTAGTTTGATGAGTGAACGAATGAGTGGTCGGTTGTCCGGGGCAGTGGAGCCACGTTCAGCTAGGGGTAGCTTTTGTTTACAATGCTCCGCTTTGGGATAGCTTTCTTTGACGGTTCCGCCCAGAGTCAGTCTCAGCTGGATCAGAAACTGCCAGGAGGTACCTGCTGGGTACTAAGTTAGGCTCGACCCAGCGGTCTGGCGGTGCAATTTTAGGTTGTTGCCGTGGTTTGCGATTGATTTGATGATGCGGCACGTGCAGCGCAAACAAGCAAGCAAATGCCCTGCACAGCTGAGATGCCGCGGAGACGAGGATCAACAATACCTACAGTACATGTATGCAGCTGCTGCTGTGCTCGTCGGCGCGCCAATGCACGAAAGCAGTGCATCAATCCTTTCAGCTTCTGCAGCAGCAGCGAGCTTGTGCAAGCCGACGGAGCAGTGCCCGCCGGTACATACAGGTACCTCCCTCTGTAACCCGCGCTGTCGCAAATGTCATTGGATCGTCATAACGGAGCTGCCCGGCGCCTAGCACTATGTGGTACGTAATTCTTACACCGTATGTTGCAGCGGCCAACTGCAGCGCGCAGAGCAGCCCGGCGGCCGCTGTGGCAGGGCGGCATAGAGGCTCTGCGCTACGCTGCAGCGCTGCAGCCGTCGCCATGGAACCGCGATCCCCAGCCACCCGCCGGGCCAGATCTAGCTCGCCATTGGCGCCTGGTTTTCAGTTGATCCATTAGCGCCATGCACCGTGCGATGGCGCTAACACGAGGGGCCGCCCTCCCTTCCGCCAGCCACAGCCAGCGTTGTCACGGCAACGCCCTCTGCCCCTCTGTTGTCCCAGCGGCCCTTGCAAGGCGTCGCCGGCAGCTTTTCGTCGGCCAGTCCCTAGTTCCCAGCCACCGGGGAAACGCTGAGAAGCGGACCTCCAGCTGCGTCCATGCCTTGCTGCAATCTCGCTTGATGCAGCAGCCCAATCCAGCGTCCGCGATACGCTGCAACACAACACAGCCTTGTTTCCGCCAGACGGCCTCGGTGAGCTGCTCGTTCTCGTACTAGCCTGCCCTGCCTGTGCACAGAGGTACTCAGGGCCTGTACTTGCCTGTACTTGGATGCTCCCTCGCTGAGCGACCGCAGCATTCCAAGCTACCTATCGGCCGAGCTCACCCCCGTTTGACATCAACACGAGCCTAGGCTACCATGCTTCTTGATACCGCCGCTGTATCGTAGATTTTGAACATGCGCCGTCTGTAAACTTCGGGGTTTTCTTTTCTTTCCAAAGCTTTTACCAGCGACGCCGGTCGATATCGCGTCATCGGGCTGCGTTCGAGGGCCAGCCTGATTCCATTTGGCGAGGCGGCGAGGATCCGAACGCGTCGATTCATCAGCTGCCCACACCTGTCGCCCGACACTTTGCTCTGTCAGACAAGGGATAAACAACGACGGGGATAATTCTTCCCTTGCCCTTGCCCTGCCTTTTCTTCCTTCCTCTTCCTCTTCTCTCACTTGGCTGCTCTCCCACGTCTTCAGAGCTGGTCAATTAGGCGACACGGACGCGGCACAAACGTCGACACAATGGCGTTATCACCGCCGCCGCTGCCCTCGCGATTTCCGTGCTGGTGCCGGGCGATCTATTCTTGGGGAGGAGAGGTTTGTGAATTGGCAGTATGGAACTAACATGCGCTCAATTGCTAATATTCATGTGCAGTCGAAACGCGATCTGGGATTTATCGAAGGCGACTTGATCGAATGTCTGAATGCTGGAGACGGCTCGTGGTGGGTTGGCAGGCTGTTTCGAGATCGGAGGACTGTTGGTTCCTTTCCATCCAATTTTGTCGAAGTACTGCCAGAGGATTTCCGGCCAACAAAAACACCGAGCCCAGTGCCGCCTAATATAGCAGCGTCTGGATCCAAGAGTGTGCCGCAGAAGTCGAGAACTTTCCGGAAACCGTTTGAAGCCTATGCAAAAGCACCGCATTATACAACGGCGAAACAGCCAGAAACATTCCGAGAAACACCGAGATCGCGGCTGCAAGATAAACCGTCACGGGAAGCGACTGTAACGTCGCGATCGAGAGGAAACTCGACGCCGAATCCAAGCACTGCGCTTGTCCTTGCCAGGAGTGCCCACGAAGATATTGCTCGCGCGCCTTCTCCCGCGCCTTTTGCAGCCAGCAGCTACGGATCAAGAGCTCCATCACCGGCGCCGTCTATTGGCCGCCCACCAAGTCGTGTAGAGAATATACCGCGAGAGGATTCTCCACCACCTCCAGCACCGCCTCCTCATAGGCACGTTGCGCGGGCAGATTCAACTGACGCAACACAAAATTATCAGTCCATATCAAGAGCCGGCTCTACGGTTTCGTATAACCCGCGTGATATCTCGAGACCAAGCTCTACCATTTCCTATAACCCAGCAGATATAGCGAGACAAGGCTCGACAGTTTCCTATAATCCAGCGGATATAACGAGGCACGGCTCTACTGTCTCGTATAATGCAGAGGACATAATACCAAGACACGGCTCTGCTGTGTCGTATGAGCATTATAAGTCAAATCATCGTCCTTCCAATGGCTCCTACACCGATCTTCATAGTATGTCAAGGCAAGCGTCGTATACTTCATACGAAGATGGTTATGGCAACGGGAGAGACGGATATCACACACCTAGGGGCGGCGGCTCTCATCGGCCATCAATGGAGGGGAGCCATATGACACCCTCACCGTTACGTGAAGCCATGGATGGAGTAATGCAGCAGCTGGATCGATTGGAGGGCTTAGGAGGAACCCGAGAAACGCAATCGCCTGAGAGGTCGTTCGATCCTTGGTCTCCCGAATCTTTTGATATGGTATCCCCACCACCGCCACAGCAAAGACAAAAGTCACGGCAGAGGGCTAGGCCTCTGACGTCAGTAGGCGTCTTGAGTCCCGACGAAGGCTATGAGACTTGGAGCGGAGGATCTTCACAAAATACTTCGCAGCAAGACGGAAATCGTGAAAAATTTTACGACCCGTCCCAGCTGAGCAATTATGTGGAAAGGATGGAGAAGCAGATTTCAAGAATGCACCAGCATAGCATCAGTATGCCAGAGAACTTGGATGGAGATAAACCGCCGCCCCCACCTCCAAAAGGCCAGCCTTACCCACGACCCAAATCGTCTGCTGGATCAACGGTCGGAGAGTTGGTTTCCTTTGACAAGAAAACGCGTGGGCGAAGATCGGTGTACGATATGATACCGGGCATCGAGCGCACCAACACAACCAAAACAAATCAGACTAACGCTTCGACCGGCAACCAAAGCAACAGTAGCTCTTCGACACAGAGCAGCGGTAGGACGCTGTGGAGTGGTGTTTCTGCTGGCGGGTTTAGTTCTACGAGCGCGGGAAGCTTAGCTCGGACGGCTCACCGTGCTCAAAGTGCACTTAGTATGCGTAACGATGACGGTGACCGGCCAGACTCGCCATTTACAGGCGTGACTTATCACAGCAGTCATGCCAGCAATTTTGCCGGGCCTGGAAACAGCATCGCCCGACCGATATCTCAGGTAGGTTTTCACGAAGAGCTCACCCCTGGATTAGGTGGTCTCGTTGCGCCGAAGTCGCCGAAAAGAAATATCTTCAAGAAAATCTTCGAATCAGCCAAGACAGGCGTTGCTAGCAATCGGGGTAGTATCGCCGCTGGCCACATGCCCATCGTCAGATCGTCGCCCTTTTCTCGCTTGCAGCAGCCACATAATGTGTCGCCAGGAGCAAGCATGGCCTCGCTAAGCGGCGCCCGATCTAGGCGCGATGCCGCCAGAGAAATGGGCCTTGGCGCCGGCGTCGACTGGGTCCAAGTCCGGCGCGATGTTAACCGATCTAATTCCATCAGTAAGATCGAACGGACTGAGCGAATGGAGCGCTGCCAGATGCAAGACCACCCCACCCTCAATCCCATCGACGAGCTCTACGAGGGCATCGAAGGCGATGAAGGAGCAGATGGCATGCCAGTTCATAAACCGGAGAACTACCACATGATCAATCTTTCTCAGGTAGACAAGAACTCGCGTTATGTGAAAGAGCCGCCCCCGGGAACCACAGTGGCAACGCTCGCTCAGACTTATATCTGCAGACCGTACAGGAGCGACCTACAACGGCTCCGAGCAATATTCACCTGGGTTGCAGAGAAGATATGCTGGGAAGAGGATTTTGAGGGCGATGCCGATACCCAGCGAACTATCCAGGCAAGGAGAGGCTGTGCAGAAGAATATGCCATGCTCGTCATGGAAATGTGCTCTGCGGTTGGACTGCACTGTGAAGTCGTGAGGGGGTACCTGAAAGCTCCCGGCGATGTACCGGATCTCAATGTGATGCCGAGATCGAATCACTGGTGGAACGCTGTCATTGTCGACGATGAATGGCGCATGATCGATGCTTGCTTAGCAAGCTCCTCCAATCCCAAGCGCGCTCTTTATTCAAGCCTGAGTGGCCCGTCGGCAGACTTCTGGTGGTTCCTTACACGACCAACAGAGATCTGCTGGACGCATGTGCCGGAGCACCACGACCAGCAACATATTGTGCCCCCAGTGGCCTATGACACGCTATTAAATCTGCCATGCGCATGCCCGGCCTATTTCAAAAATGGAATTGAACTGGTGGACTTCAACACCAGCCTGACAAGGATAGAAGACCTCGAGATGGTTCACATCATGTTTAACGTCCCGAGCGATGTTGAAATCGCAGCCGAGGTTGAAGCACGGGCTTTCTCGAAGGATAACGATGGCGATCTGTTTGAGAGTGGCGATATTGTCAAGAAGAAGGCATTGGCTCAGGCTGAGTGGTTCAACGGTGTGAAACGCTATACGGTAAAGGCGCTACTGCCCGGTGATGAAGGCCAAGGCGTATTGAAGGTTTATGCTGGCAAAAGAGGTTTGATGCAGAGTATCAAAGACATTCCTCATCCTCTGGCCTTTACTCTCCCCATCATCCACACTGGCGAGAATCCGCCATATGAATTTGTCACACGACATCCGACTCCCCACGCACAAAGACACGACATCTATGTTGTCCAGCCTCAATGTCAGCAATTGGCTCTGAATAATACCTTTGTCTTTGCCATCAGACAGCATCCCAGCTCCATTTCAAGTAGCGCACAATCAGCTCTCACGCCGGCATCAAATCCTGGATCAACAAGCCCTGTGCCTTTTGCTCGACCATCATCTGCGATGAGCGTCAACGCTTCTAGTGCGAGCGGTAGCTCCGCTAGCGGCACTGTTGCGGGAAAGAAGCCGGCTAAGCTGGCAATCCAGACACCAGGAGGCAAGATTCTTCGGCTCATGAGGAAAGAAGACCGCAAAGGGATCAGCGTTGGATCGAGGACCCCAGACGAGGAGATTAGCGACGGCGGTACCTGGGAGACAATCATCAAGTGCTCCGAGAAGGGCCTGTGGAGAGGCCTGGTTCTTGCAGACCGCACCGCCCGATGGTGCGTATTTGCTGAATGGACATGTGTTGGTTAAGAAGTTGAGTACGACGTACGACTTATTGATACCTTGGGCCATTGGGCCTTCCGCACGAAGCAAAGAACGAAAAAAGAGTGGTAATTTTGGGTGGTATATGGTTGCATATGCATGTCACGGCGTTTGGCTTCGAGCTGTTCATTTGTTTTATTTTGATTTTTTTTTTCTTCTTCTGGTTTTTGTGTTATGACTACCAGAGAATTGGGTCCGTTGTCATGCGTCAAAAGAAATTATGTTGTTTACGCTGCAATGTATGTCATGTAACTAAGTCTTTTTGAAGATGCGGCGAAGGAAGAAATGGCCGTAAGCTCAAACTACCTATACTTATGAAATATTTGAATCTTGTTTTAATACAACCATTACTATGTCTTGCACCTCGATCCTAGCGTATACCTAGCAGTGACGACTAATATGGAATGTATGTATAATGATGACAGGACTTTAGAACTACTAGTAGTTATTCTGCCTAACTTGATACAAGGCAACAAAAAGACTGGCCTCTCCCCTTTTTGCCTCCTTCCAGATGCCAGATCTAGCGGTATCCGGCATGGCGTAGCACTCGGGGCGTCTAAAGACATCCGGATCTGCGCAGTACCTGTACAAAGTAGCAAATTGGCGGGCCGCTGAGCTGAGCCAGCCATGTGATAGGGCGGCCGTTTTTTTTTGTTGGCGCGGCGCGGCGGATTCACACAGTGGACGTGTTCCCGCAACCGTACTTGGACTTTGGACTTTGCAACGTTCAGCCTTCCAGAATTTCGGAGAGTCAGAGGAGGTGGAAGTCCCAATTTCTTTTCTCGCTCGTGTCCCTTTTTGTTATACGCCTCTTCTTGTCACCGCGACGCGAACCATTCGAAGACGAACGCAGATATCCAGTGCACAGAGGGACCAGGGCCTTTTCTAAGCGTTTCGAGCCGACGACATCACGCGCGCTCAACTTGGGTCCCGCACGACGCCTCGACAGAGCCTCTGAAGAGAACAACCCCCCCGTTCGTAAGTGACCGATGAACTCGATCAGGAGGACAGCATGAAACTTGGTTTGCGCCGGGCTTCACTCTCCTACCAGCAAGACCAGCGGCCGATGCTGAAGGTGCGATGTCGTTCCGAGGGACGCTGCCTGCGGGACAGGCCTTTCTAGGCCACGATGAACAGCAGCAGCAGCAGCAGCAGCAGCAGCAACATCACCACCTCAATCAGCATCAGCAGCAGCAGCAGCAGATGTACGGCCACCCGGCTGGGGGGTATCATTTCGCACCGCAAATGCAACAGCAGATGCCGCAACCGCAGAACCAGCAGCAGCAGCACCCGGCGACGTTCCAACACCATGGCCAGCAGTCCTTGTATACCAGCGGCATGGGCCACGAGCAGCAGTTCTATCACCACCAGAACCCGCAGCCGCAGTCTCAGCATGCCATGTACATGCAGCCGCAGCAGTTCCAACAGTCGGCGCATCAGCATCAGGAGGCAATGTCACCATACAACGTTGGCTTCAACGGGTACCCCGAATACAATACTTCAGCGCAAGTCGGAGGTCACCAGAGCCATCATTTACAGCAGGCAGCAAACCAATATCTGCCACAGAGTAATGTATGGCAACACCACCAGCAGCAGCCACAACAGCAACAGCCTCAGCGGCAGCAGATGACACCACAGCCGATGCAGCACCAGCCTCTTCCCAGCCAACATCTTCCACACCAACCTCTCCCTCACCAGGCTTTGCAGCAGCAGCAGCAGCAGCATTCGATGCAGCAGCCTCTCCAACAAGTCCATCGACAACAGCAACACCATCAGCCGTCTCCTATATACCATTCGCAGTCGCCCGCGCCGTCTCTTCCACCACAGCCATCGCCTATTCGAACTTCCGCACCGCCACCTCCACGACCGCAAGCTACTCCCCAGCCGCCACAATACCATTCACCTGTGCCTCAGCTGTCGCCCCAGAGAGAGCAACAGCGACAGCAGCAAGGAGAGCAGCAGCAGCAATATCGACAGCCTACTCCGCAGCAACAGCCTCAGCAGCAACCTCAGCAGCCGTCGCATACTCCCGCGCCTCAGCGGCAGACTCCTGTACCCCAGCAGCAACCTCCTACACCTCAATTGCAGCCTCCTATACCTCCTCAGTCACAGCCTCCCGCCCTTCAGCCGACCCAGAGCGTTGAGCCTCAGCAGGATATACCTCCCGATCCTCCGCAGCCCCCTCAGTTTGTTCATCCCTCAGAGCTCCAGCAGGAACCGGTACACTATGTCAATTTGCAAGATATTCAACGACAGCCGTCGATTACCTCTTTGCCTATATCAACGGCGGCTTTATCGAATATACCAGTCGCCAGTCATGAAAAGCCCAGAGAGTCTACTGTTAAGCTACCGCATCCTAGTGCAGCTATAATCAAGCAAGAGAAGCAGGAAGATGGCTCTATTCCGACTCGCGTACTTCAACAGGCCCCTGATGTTCGCATCAAACCCAGTCCACACTCTTCAATGACAAACTCACCGTCCCTTTCCATGAGATCTCCCAGCATTACCAAGAAGTCGCCCGCTATAACACCTAAACCTCGACCTCTCAACACGACACCCTTAATGATAGCCATTGCCGAAGAGTGCATTGAAAAAGCGCGAAACGCCTCGCACGATGTAGCCATGGCGCTATGTCCGAACCAAGTGAGCGAGTACCAGGAGTTAATAGCAACGGCGCTATCATGTCTAGAGTCTGCTTTGCAAGGCAATAACCAGCTTGCGCCGCGAGAGGAGGCACGTGTACGATTACGATATGCTGCGCTCTTACAGGAGGAGACGGAGAATTTAATGGAGGCTGAGACGGCTTTGGCAAAGGGAATTACGCTTTGCGACAAGGTAAGTGAAGACGGTGTAGACTTGACTTTTGATTGGTTTCTTCTGGCCTGTTTAACTGACGTGATATGACTGATCAGCACCGTCTGTTTGATTTAAAGTACTGCATGCAATATCTCATGTTGAAAGTCTTGTACCAGAGGAATCATAAAGCGGCATTAAAAGCGGTAGACGGCCACATTTCTAATTGCGAAGTGTAAGTGAAACTTGCAGTCTGCTTCCTTGTTGAATGGAAACCAAGTCTGACAGGACATGCAGGTTTAAACATGTACAGTGGTATTATGCCTTCCGGTTATTAAAAGCTTCCTTTTATCTTGGTGTTGGAATTACGGACGCTGGTGCCCTCGACAACATACGATCTATTCAGAATGTCGCCAACACTAGAGGCGATACTGCGCTCTCTGTTCTCGCCTCATTAATAGAAGGGTTCACTCTTCTCAAGACGGCCAAGGACGGTAATATGGAGAAGATACAATCCTGCATCGCGCAGGTCGCCAAATACCAATTTGACCCGTCGGTGCAGATTACGCAGCTCACCATGTTGACTCTGCTACTAGAAGTTGCTGCAAGCCTACATCATCAAAACCCGGACCACACGGCTCAGAAACTGCGGGAGCTGCAGACGTGCCTAGATGACTGCGAAGACTGGCATAATGTCAAGTCTGATTTTTTGGTGCCGATCAAAAAGGAGCTGTCTGCAGCCAAGACTGTTAGCGGTGATACGCAAGCGATCCTCCGCTTAGGCGAAGGTGAGGGTGAGATGGATTATTTGGTCATGACATTTATGACTAAAATGGAGCTGAGGTCGCTCGTGTAAGTGGATTACAACATGCCCCTTTATTCCTAGTGAAAGAATTCTTCTAACATGTATCCAGATTCACCATCAGCGGTTTGGTTAACTTTCATAAGCCTTCATCACAGGGGCGCAGATCAACAGAGTTCTGGAAAGAAGGCCTGAAGATTCTAGAAACATGTAATTCTAATTGCTTAGACCCTTCCCCCCTCTCTCTCTCTGGACACATTTCACTAACTCTGTCTCTCTCTCTCTCTCTCTCTAGGGGACTCTTCGACGGCTGGCATTCCATACGGTGCCCCTGTTCCTCTAAACGTGGCGATCAAGCAGCGGGCATGGCGGATAGAGGCTCAAGCTTACTTGAATGTTCTCTTGGGATTGGTGGCTGCGAGTCACTGCCAATGGTCAACCGTCAAACAGATGGTTCAAAACCTTCAGTCTTTTGTCTCGCCTTCAACGCAGCCTACTGTGAAATTGCTCGCTATCTATCTAAAGGGTGTATACTTCCAAGGCATTGGCCAACTCCAACAAGCTCTCAACATCTTCTTAGACAACCGATTTGCAGTACAGCAACAGGGAAGCACTGGAACAAAGGCGGGACATCAAGAGATTGCCCTCCTCGCCGGATTGAACAGGCTCTGGATCATGCAGCATCCTTCTTGTCGAAACGATCAGACAACGCAAGATCTGATCGAGCAGCTCCAGCCTCACTGTAATAACCACACCAACATTGATCTCCGAACCGCATGGCACAACGTCATGGCCGCCATAGTCACCGATCCTCCTCAGCAACTCAACCAGCAGAAGCAGCACATACACGCCGCCATGGCAGGCTCCAAGGTCACTAGTAATGTACTAGGAGCCGCCGTCACGCTGTGTATCATGCGCAGCCGCTTCTTCGAAAATGTCATTGGCGAGCAGGCTCTGAAGAGCGCCCGAGCAGCAGCCAAGCAGGCGCAGAGGAGCGGCAACGTCCTGTGGCAGAGCGTCGCTGATGGCATGCTGGCGCAGTCGTACGAGGTACAGGGGCAGAGAGATGAAGCTAAACAAGAGTGGGACAAAGCAACAGAGGAAGCTAGAGACGCGTTTTCTCGAAGCCTATGATTTTCTTTGTGAAAAGGCTCTGTGCATTAAAAGCAGGGGGCAGATATGGTATGATTTTGCGATATGACAGGAGTGAATAATGTTTTGTAAAGGAGGAGTTGACGGGCATATTCTGGTGCTGCCATTTGTGTTTTTTTTTCTTTTGTTTGACAACTGGTTTCACTTAAACTTGATCTTTGACCAGGAGGAGGAGCATTAGTTGTTGGATGATTATACAGTGAAGGGATCCTGTTATATACGAAACAACAAAAAAATCTTTTGTACGATACCTGGACGTAGAACGTGGTCATTATTATACTTTTTCGGAGGAAAGGAATCATATCAGGACGCTTATATAGATACAAGAAGAAGAAAAAAACAAAAAGAGTCCTTGAGGGAGTAGTCTTCAAAATGCTTCCCTCCACCTTTCAAATCCCAGACTATTAGAAGTTGGATGGTATTGTGTCTAAAATGGCTTTTTTTTTTCTTTCGCCCCTCCTCTTACCTAACTGAAATCAATGTCCGCATTGTCCAAACCAGATATTACATAACTTTGAATGCTAGAATGCAGAAAAACAAAACAAGACCGTGATTTGCCTCACCGGCGACCAAAGCCTGGTGGAGGCTGGAAACCTGGAGGTGGCATAAATCCAGGCGGCGCTGGTGGAGTCCCTGTCGCTCCTGGAGGAGGCAAGGGAAAGCCGGGAGGCGGGACTGCTGGGAAACCTTGCGGCGGAGCAACTCCCGAAGGAGGACCGCCAGACGGAGGCCGGAAGCCAGATGGATGGAAATCTGCAGGGTTCGTATATCCGCCCTGGATCTGAGGTGGTCGTGCGGGTAGACCTGAAGGAGCTGGTGGGAGGGGAGCTGAGCCTCGCCCAGCTCCAGGGAAGCCGTTTGGAGGAGGGTGGCCGGCGCCGGGGTTGTTGTAAGGAGATGGTCCGCGTGGAGGAGGAGCAAAGCCGCTGGGCATGCCAGCATGTGTAGGTGTTCCCATCATGGGCGGTGGTGCTCCAGCAGGAACGCCTCCCATGGCGCTTGAATCAAAGCCTGCTGGCGCGGGTGGAGGGACTGCAGAAGCCGGAGGAGGAGCGGCGGCGTTGGAGCCCATCAGGAAGGCTTGAGGAAGCGGCTGGGCTTCGGGGAGGATATTTCTTGACTTGGCTTGCGCAGCCAATGCTCGCTCAGCCTGGTCACCGTGCCTGTCTCCCTTGCCGTCCTTCTTGAAAGCGTATTGCACAGAAACCTCCTTGCTGAGGATGTACTGTCCGTGCAGGTTGGCGATGGCAGCATCACTGCTCTCGAAGTCGCCGTAGCTGACAAACCCGAATCCCTTGCTCGCGCCGCTATCCTCTCTGGCCACCTTGGGGATGCTCAGCAGCGGTCCAAAGCGGCTAAACGTATCGTATAGGATCTTCTCGTCGACCATGGGATCCAGGTTTCCGATGAACAGCTCGGCACCAACCTCGGCGGACCGCTGCTTGTCGGCGCTGGCCTTGTTCACGCGGAGGGACTTGCCGTAGAGCTTGATGCCGTTCATGACGTTGGCAGCGTACTCGGCGTCGGCGGGGGTGCGGAACTCGACGAAGCCGAAGCCCTGGTGGGTTTGGGTGACGCGATCGCGAGGCATGTGGATGTTGTGGATGGGGCCCATCTGGAGCATGATTTCGTAGACCATGGCGGAGGTTGCGCGCTCGTCGATGTTGCCGATGTAGACGGTGGCCTCTTTGTCTTGCTCCCTGGGAAAGAAGAAGGGTTAGAACGTGTTGGGGAAGTTTATGGCGTTAAAAGAGGGATAAAGAAAAGAAAAGAGAAAGAGAAAGCAGCTGGAAGACTTTGGGAGCTGCTCAGAGGAAAAACCTACCAATGTCTATTGACAGCCATCTTGACGGTTTGCAGGCCGCAGCCTTGCGAGTGTCAGTAAAAGAAGAGAAGTTCTAATTTCGGACACAGGAATTGAGTCGTCGTATAGCGTTGGAAAATGAGACTGGACGTAGGAGATGGTTTCAATGGCGTTCGTCGCGTGTGATGCTCTGGAGGATGGGATGGAGCTCGGAAATCTCGACCACTGAAGCGTTTAGCTTGTGCTGTATCGCTGCTGCATGGGCCGGCGCTTCTTATCAAATTAGCCAGAGTTGAGCCGCGGCTGATTGGCGGGCGCTTTCCCGCAAGCAGTAGTGACCGCATTGCATGGCCGGTGCTAGCTGGGCCTCGAAATTTCTTAGTACCAAGGCGGGACAAACCGAGAAAAGACGTTTGACGCCTGGAAGCATCAATTTGCGCATTTTCGCCAACCCCGTCTACCGTCTGTCGATACTGCACTCGCTCTCCATATTCACGATGTTTGCCCTTTCAGAAGAATCCAAGGTACGATACGCGAAGCGGCTGCGAGCAAGAGGCCGAAACAGAACCAAGAAATCGAAAGCCTTGATGATGATGAAACGGCCGGTCTAACACTATCTGTCTACCGTAGGAGCGCATTGCCAAGCTCATCGACATTTCACGAGTCGCCATCCACTAGTATGGAATATCTCCGATTCCTCCTATATTGCGGACGTTTTAATAGCTGACAACTGCGATCTAGTGGCTACCTCCCTCTGATTCTCTACCTTGGTATGCAATCTCTGCGGCAGACGCACCGCATATGCCGGAGACTGACTCTTCTCGATTTAGGCTACACTCGCAGCGACCCCCGACCTTCAGTTATCCGGTATGTTGCCTCCTTGTATCCGAACGAGTAATCAATGTGCTTGGCGCTAACATATCGCTGCAAACAGCCTTCTCTCTCCTCTCTCATAAACGCAAGACGCAACCCGCGGGCGTTGATGTACGATATACGAATGTAATACGGCAAAAATGGGGAAGGGAACCGTGGAAAGAAGGAAGTGAAAAGCTTGGAGGGAGAATCCAGTGTCCAGCATTCATGGCGTTTGGGCAATATCCATATCTCTGCAAAGGCAAGGCGAGACGGGAGGGCGGCGTGATACAAGACATGACGACGGCCCCGGGAGGAGACACACGAACGGACCGATGCTGCAATGTACCCATAGGAATGTATTATCAGTTGCTTCGTATTACCCCATAATTGGACCAAGAAACCACTCTGCGAAAGCAACCGTAAACTCTTCCAGGTGATGGATGGACTCAGCGAGACCAACTTGCTAGACGAAGCAGATGGTGAGTGGTTGGGAAGAACTGTAGGGATTGAAAGTCGCAAAGATGAATCATCTGTTGTGATTTGTTGTCTCTACTTTGCTGTGTCTCTTTATCATGATCTCTCTCTCGCAGCTAATTACGATTTCTGGGAGATGTCTTCTTTTGGTACAGCACTGCAGTATGCATGCAAGTAAGCGTAGAGTAGAGTAGTGGTATCAATGCACAGTTAGGTCCTGCAAGAGACCCTCTAGGATTCCCACTTTGAGTAAAACGCAGCAACCTGTAAGCGGTGTCTTTAAAAAAAAAAAAAAACAAAACACTGCTGCCTCCGTGAACTGCAAATTGGCAATTGAACCAACTCAAACCCCCCCAAATCTCAATCCACCTCAGCCCACCAAACAACCGACTGCACATAACAAACACTCACTTCAACTAACCTACCGAGTAGCTCCCCCGAAAGCGCCCGATTTAAAAAAAGTCTTCCGCTACTACCCGCCCGGCCAGTGAATCGGGTCCGTTCTACCTGACTAAACTAAAGCGCAATACACTCCAAGGACCATTTTTCCCATAGGTCCCCTTAAAAAAAAAAGAAGGGCTTCTCTCGGCAGCGTGCTTTCGATTGTGTTTTTTCTTTTTTCTCCCACATGAGTCTCGAACACTCGCCCGTCAACTTCGCGCAGCCAAACGATGTGACGGGACGCAATTCAGAAACGAACAACTACATGCCCGGAAGCGAACATGCGGGCCTCTCTCCCGCCATCGTCGAGTCGATTGCCGGCCTCAGCGCCGGGACGGTAGCGACGTTGGTGGTGCATCCGCTGGACATTGTCAAGACTCGCATGCAGAGTAAGAATTGCCTTGTTTTTGTTTCTGTTTTTTTTTTCTTGGACTTGGCTTGGTTTGATTCTTTTCTTGTTCTTTTTGTCTTCTCCCAATAAGCAATCTGCGCTCCATCGTGCTTGTCTCCTTGAAATGCTTCCCCCCACCACCACCACCCCCACCACTTGATGAAGCAACATCATATCAGCAAGACAGACAAAGACAGATCGCAGATTGTCCAATGGAAGATGATCAACAAGAAGAAAGGAACTCAATGCTAACGATATGCCACCAGTCAGCACCAGCGCCGCCAGCGCCGCCTCGCACGACCTCTCCGCCGTCGCCATGCTGCGATCCCTCACAAACAGCCCCAACCCGTTCGCCTCGCTCTACCGCGGCCTCGTGCCGAACCTCTCCGGCAACGCCCTCAGCTGGGCCTCCTTCTTCTTCTTCAAAAGCCGCTTCGAGGACCTCCTCACCCTGGCCCGCGGCTCCGAGCGCCCGACGCCGTCCGACTACTTCGTCGCCAGCGCCCTCGGCGGCGCCGCCACGTCCGTCCTGTCCAACCCGATCTGGGTCGTCAAGACGCGCATGCTGGCCTCGGACAAGGGCGCAAAGGGCGCCTACCCGTCCATGTGGTCCGGCTTCCGCACAATCTACGCCACCGAGGGCGTCCGCGGCCTGTACCGCGGCCTGGGCGTCTCCATGATCGGCGTGTCGCACGGCGCCGTGCAGTTCGCCGTGTACGAGCCGGCCAAGCGCTTCTACTTTGCGCGCCGCAAGAGGCTGGGCGTCGACAACGGCCGCATGACCACCGAGGCCACCGTCGTCATCTCCTCGGCCTCCAAGCTCATCGCCGGCGCCGTCACGTATCCCTACCAGGTCCTCCGGAGCAGGCTGCAGGTCTACAAGGCTGACGAGAAGTTCGGCAAGGGCTTCAGGGGCGTTGTGAGGATGACGTGGAGGGAGGAAGGCATTCGCGGCTTTTATCGCGGCTTGATTCCGGGTGTCGTTCGAGTTATGCCGTCGACGTGGGTGACCTTCTTGGTCTACGAGAATGTGCGGTTCTATCTTCCTCGTTGGCTCTCCTAATGCTTCGAATTCGACATTGATACGGCGAAAATACCTTTCTTCTTCTTCTTCTTCTTCTTCTTCTTCTTTTTCCTCTTCTTTTTCCTCTCTTCTTCTTTATTTCCTCGAGCTGCGTCAGTGACAGCAGTTATGGTTAATCAGCATTTTCTTTTCTTATCTTTTCTTATTACAGAAGCATATTTTGGCGTTCCAAGAAGGAGAGAGCAATTCATATAAAGCACAGATCGGGAGATAGATGTATGAGCAAAACAAGAGAGTAGTTAATAATGTGAATAGACGTATTTTTTTTTAATTCGTTTCAGATCTCTTACGGTATATCATCGTCTCAGAAAGCAATGTTAATGCCCACAAAATCCACATGCTCTTAAGCATATGTATATATTTACATATATATTCCTTCATCATTAGCCTTACTATTTTCTACAAAGAGACACAAGACTCTGTCTATTCTGACTGTATCCGTAACTAGAATTAGCCTCGACTTCCGCTTTTTTTTTGTCTTAACAGCTCATCTAGAGCAAGAAGGCATTGATTCTTCTTTACTGGCTCACTAATTTTGTGTATAAATACCAAGGTCTCACTATGGCCTAACATGGTATGCGATTTACCCTGCAATAAAACCCCACAAGGTAAACTTCGAATTCTATCTCAACCTCCCATCCATAAGATTCGCCTCTCACTAACCAACCCAACATGAAACAGCTATAAATAAGTCTTCTGCACGTCTCACTCTCATTCAGCCAGACTGTGCCACGCTGAACTTCGCCCTTACGATGGCGAATTCACCCCCTTCATCCCCGTGTGGCAACATCGTACGCAGGGAGAGAGGAAAAGCACATATGTAGCATGAGAAAAAAAAAAATTAAAAAAATTCACTCGTTGGTCCAATCATTTTCCTCAACACTTAGTGGCAAAAAAACAATCAATAATGAGATTGCAGTGACACGCCAAAGACCATCAGAACGATCGAGATGGGCGAGACAACGCAACCCACCTCATAAAACTCATCGGCCGATATACCGGCTTGTTGGTGCATATGGTATCATCTCCGACAAAGTGAGCAGTAAGCTACCCGGCACCAGCACTCGATGACATCTACTCGCATGATTTAGCCGTCATTTCTTCCTAGAGGGCGTGCTCAAGATGTATCCCGTCGGAATTCCACCGATCTGGTCGATGTAGCATGTAACCAAGGCAGAGAATAGATCTCTCCCTACATATCCGTATCTGCAAGTTCTAGGAGTACAAACGTACGCATGTGCAGTATGTATTCGTCACCATGCCTGTAACACGCTTGGGCGCCTTTGCCGCACTGACAACGCATCAGCTCTTTTTGTAAATGACATAATTTTAACCCCGAAAAGGTGCTCCTTCAAACTCATCTGGTGATATGCTCGCACGTGTCAACCAACATTTTCCTCAAGTGCATAGGCCACCAGCACCGACCATCGGCCGCCCGAGACAACAGCAGTGACAATAACCATAACCAAAGGTAAAGTGGCCTTGTGTTAGTGGGGGGCGGACCGCAGCGTGGTTTGAAGGCTCGCCGGATGTGATAAGCGGGTTAGCTTTGGCAGCTAGCAATTCGGCGCTGATCATCCTAGGCCGGTGTTAAGAAAGTACTAAAGATGAGATCTGATAGACGCGAGGAACTTGCGCCGTCTGCCGGACGGCGCGTAGGCTACGAGGCGGGTGTGCATGTAGCAGTGCGATCTAGCATGGTGTACAAGTACTGTATGATGCTGTCGTCGCGAGTAACACAGAGGTCACTGTTTGGGAATGGAGCAAGGCGACGGCCCAGCGGACCCTGAGATCCGGCTTCGTATAGACAGGGGTTCTGGGGCTGAGAAAACCAGGGATTTTTAAAATGCTGCTATCACGGTGCTAGCTACAGTAGCAGCAGCACCTTAGCCAGCGGGCGACGAAACAGACGTCGAGCTGCTCCGCAGGGACCCAAGGGTGCTAATCTAGTACGCAGTGCCGCATGCTGTTTGGACTCCCACGAGGCTAATCCTGCAGAGAACTCTAGGCTTGATATAGAATGCAGCGAAGCAGAAGCAGGTCTGCCATTGCAGCCGCGCGGCGCTGAGGTCGCCGAGGAAGCCTTCCCAAGCGCCATCGGCCTCTTTCGCAGACGCTAACCAGCTATAATAGCGACGCAAGGAAATCCCAAAGAGGACATTGGAGAAAAGAGCGTGACATTTGCGAGGGCAGATGAATACCAAGTTCTGATGTCACTAGTCTGGATGAATCCTGGGAGCAAAGCACCCTCTAATTCGCCATGGGCATATACATAGGTAGCATGCCTTGAATAAGGGCAGCCTTAAGCACTGCATTTTGCTGCTGCTGCTGCTCCAGAGCATGGATACCAGTATCAAGCCGTCCTCGTGAGGCTCGTAAAACTGGGGATGGCGTCCCCACGGCTCATGGACATTCTTGCCACTCCCAACAGACGCAGACTAATATTTCACGTTCGGGCCAACACCAGTCAGAGAGAGAGAGGGGATAAAAAAGGCGCAGCCGCAACGTTAGCCCTAGCTGCCACACGTGTTTTGGGGGCCACTGTGATCTGATAGGCAGAGCTTCATCGGCATCCAGTGGGGGGCTGTATGTAGTTTAGTTAGAATGAAATGAAAGGCACAGAGGCGGATGGTGTTTTGCCCAACAGCCAAAGCGTAGGAACAAGGACATGCTACCCTCGTCGAAGCATCAGAGATGCATCAGCCGCAATGGAAGTTCCGGTGGAAGCCGCAGTGTAAGCCGTATTTGGAGATTTGAGAGCACTATTCTCTTCTGCCATTCGCGGGGATGCCAAAGCTCTCCAATGGGATTCTTATCCCAGACGAGATAACATCAATCTGAAAAGGCCCATCCCGTCATGCCGTGGGCCGCTAACCGCCCCCCTACTCAAGTATGCATCTAGTATGAACACCCGCTAGAATTTCGGCACTGTAAGCACCGTAGTGTAATGGATCTGGAGGGGGGAGTGAAATTGTGGAAGTGTTGATAGGTACGGGGGTGATGTATGATCGAACACCTATGTGGTCTGTTAGAAGAGACTCATCGTCCTGTTTGAAAGAGGGGGTGAGTGGGCGAGTGGGTGAAACGCATGACATCTGATAATAGGATCCTCCAAGCCGCTGGAGTCGTCGTGACGCACATGAAGCGGACCATGTGTGAAATAATAGGGGAGTAGAAGGAGTGTAATCAAGTACACGCTAACGCTTCTCGCGGATGAGAGTTGCATGAGCCGCGTACCAATAAAAATAGCCGTATATCCTACCACTAGGTAGGAGTTATCTGCCGTTGATGGCGGCCACCACTATCATTCAACTCCTGTAACGCTGAAACCAGTTCATATTGCTGAGGGCCTCCTGCTTTGTGCTTGCATGAAGCCAGCCGAACCAGAAGATCCAATCAAGGCAATATAACAGTAGTCGAATGGAATCTCATAAAGTTTCTCTTGGCATGGCTGAGCCGCCACTTGGTCTTCCTCAAAGATAGACCTAGATGAGCCATGACTCGGCTCTTCCTGATACTCTCACCCCAGATGAGCTATCTGCATTAGTACGACACAGCAGCTATAATTTCATCCTCTGAAGTGGCAATAGCCGCTCGTGGGGCATGCATCGATAATATGTATGTCCGTAAATGCGCAGCAATCGCATTACACTGACACCCTATCCGAGCTCCTGCTAGCTGCTATGATATGACAACAAAAAATCTAGCTTGACGTTTATTTTAGTCTGGCCGATGGCGAAGTGGCCAGACCTAACTATACGCCAGGTTGATCCACAGACGAAGTTAGTAATGGTGTTGAGCGGTTAAGTTGATACTGCCTGGTGGCTCGTATACTACATTGTGGAGAGCAGATAGCCGGAAGATGAGGGTTGGAGTTGAGGCCAGAGTATCAAATCGCCATACTTTACAATCTCCTCATATGAAATAGCACTTGTCTTTTTCTTTTCAATGTACTGTGAATATTCTCAGCTCAATATGCAGGCAGGCACCCGGAGGTAGTATCCGTGACAGAGCTGAGGCCTCCTGATGGATGCTGTTGTGAAGCATGAGCCATCTGCAACACGCGTTCCTGCGTCCGTTGATACATCAACATTGAAGTCGGGACCAGATTAGGGCCCCTGATTCAGTGGAAATGAAGTCGTGCATCACTCCATCAATCCACTTGTGTCTCGTTGCCTTACGACATGCAGCTCGCTCGGACGTGCCGCCAAATGAATCAAGACCAAAGCCTCTACCGCTCGCTACCACTCATCGATAACTGGTCACTTTTTGGCCATCCCTTGGTCCAAGAGCCCGCTTGGTCGATGCCTGTGGATTCACCCTCTCATTTACCACCAGCCGTATCCAGCAGAGAACAAAGCCGTATAGCAAGCATTTAAGAGTATTCAGCCTAGTTTGTTGTGCTGTTTTGGGGCGTAACAATGCAACGTTTTCTCTTCTCTCGTTCTGTGCCACTCCTTTCTTTCTTTCTTTCTTTCTTTTTTTTTTTTTTTTTTTTTTTCATAAACTTGCCAACAGCTGAAAATCCTTCACGGTCCACCCGTGGCAGGGACATCTATCGAGAAATCTGAGGGGGCAAAGCAGATGGAGGCCAAAATCCCGATCGCCGTTCTCTGTCCAGTTTCCCACGATCTCAGACTTCGGCTGAGATCCACCATCGGGGAGATCTATTGCTGCAGCCACCAATAGAGCAATGCCAGGATGTTCTGGGGAAGGGGTGTGGTGGTGCCCATGTAGGCCTTCACGAGGGACGTGTTCGGTAGAGAGCCAGCAAATGCAAGAGGCTCGCATCGTACATATCCAGTAGGATGGCGCCGGCACTAGGCACAAAAAAAGACGTGGTCCTTATGCAGGGCGGCACATCTAGCCAGTGCTGGAGGGCAATGACATCTTGGGGCAAAGATGGCAGCCAATTCTGAATATAGATGCGTTGCCGTCAGGGACCAGGGCGGGAAGAAGGACGCTAACGTAGTTGTTGGTGGGTAGCAGTTCTATTTCCGAGCGAGCGGGGGGATGGCGGGACGTGAATCCAAGCTCCCAGCACAGGGAGCCGGAGCTAAGGTTGCGCTCAAGCTTGAGACGAAGCTCAGCCGCTGGGCTGCCTCTCTGGGTCGACGGCGTTTTGTGTGCCTGTTCATATGTGCAATGAAGCAACCGTGACGATTGGACTGAGGCTGGGTTCTCTGGAAGGACCAAAGATGCGCCGGTTCCGAGATTGTTCCAGCACTCAAGGTAGGAACCGTTAGGTAAGCCCTTGAATGTACTACTAGAGGTAGTACTAGTACCTAGGTAGGTATTACCACAATTTACCTACCCAGTACTTGCTTCTATTGTGCTTTTGCAATCTTTAGGTATCTACTACTAACCTGGTAGGCCTAGGTACCAACCTGATATGTACTTGGTCCGACGCATCAACTTGTATCATCACCTTGAGAATACCGGGAAAAAATGCGAATATGCTGTCCCCAAGGAAGCTACTATTTATGAACAATATTATATATAACTTCCCTCTCTTGCTGCGAGGAAACTAGAAATTCGCAACCTGACCTGGATATGGTAGCTGGATTCCGAGCTCTCGGAGCTTGGACATTTTCTGCAGGATTTTCAGCCTCCGGGTATGATCAACGTCGGTCCCCAAAGCGCCATAAGCTGCATGGGAGGCCACCATCTTGACCAAAAACGGAATTGAGGAGCTGTTTCATCTGAAAAGAACAAAAAGAGAAAATAACAGAAAAGAAAGGAAAGGAAGAGAAGAGTGCCAGAGTAGTGCGGCATATATGAGGGTAATATGACACATCCTTTTTGGTTGACATCTTCACAGCTGTACGAAATCCCATGTTCCTTAAATGTTGCATTGCAGCAAAACCTGTGACAGCCCCTGCAGCATCTCTAGCACACACAGTGGCAAAGCAACTGCATGCTGCATACTACATACTGTAATTTGTTTACTTACGGTCACTCAAAACGGAAGTAATACAACCCAATACTCCAGGGCCTAGCTATTAGCTCCTCAAGTGACTTCAGTTCATGCGCAGCAATTCCACAGTCAGCCACTAGGGTCAGCCCTGCCCACCAGCAGCCTTTGTTTTCTCAGCTAGTGTGAAGGACACGATGATAATACGAAGTACGAAGCACATACCTGTCTTCATGGAGCAAACTTGGTACGGACTAGCACAGTCATAATGACAGACAGTCTCTCATTTTGACAAAGGCTACATCTGGGGCATTGAGTAGGTGAGGCTTTTCTCTGTCTATCTGCAAGTTCCTCCTCGCACCCCCTCCATGCTCAGAAAGTCCCCTGTGAGCTTTGGGCTCGAAGAGCTGAGAGAGAGGGCGCATAGTAATCAATAGCAGGTCCAAAACCTTACTAGGTGCTATGGCAATCACACGCAAAAAGCTATAATACATAGAGCTTTAAGAGCTAGAGAGAGGTATGAATCCTTATGCTTTCCCATAGCACCAGGGCAATGGTGATATCCTGGCCTCTCCTCTTTAAACTTGTTTCCTCTTAGGCATCTGTGGGATACCACCATCTGTTGTGTTACCAAGGCGTCTGTCAAAACGGCCTGGCACTTGATAGTACGTAGCTCGCTTGCAGTATCCCCTCATGGGAACTGTCAACTGTCAACAGCGGGGCAGCTCCTCATGTGACAAAAGCCAAGCGTCGAATGGCCCTCCAAGATACTGCTGGTAAAGATGTGCAGGCTGCAGGGCCCAGGACCAGGTACCTGGGCCTATATTCCAGGTTTTCTAACCTGCCGTTGGCCGATTCTACCTTATCAAGAACCCTCAATCTCCCGTCTTACACTAGTGGCCATCTCCGGCCCTGTTAGTCGCCCAACGCACTGGGACTCGTATAAGGTCTGAGATTCCGGTTTCTACGGCCGAAAAAGCCGGCCAGATAAGTGCTCCGGAACGCCTTGTTCGCATCCTTCGCTTCTTTAGTTAGGGGGTGCTCGCACAGAGTGCCATAGTACATACATCAAAGCGCATCATCTATCGCATCTCAACTTTCGGGGTCCTGCCAAGGCCTCCCGTGGTCCCCGGAGACTGACCCAATGCGGATCCCTACCCCAGCCACTGCTGCCCACTAAGTCTGAGCAAACAAGCCTCAGCAGCAAGCATTTCTGCGGCGACGGCTGGGGCCTTGCGGCCTGTACGAAGCAATCACAGACAGCACTGATCTCCGTAGCTGGTGGCTGTTACGGAGTATGGCACGGGAGCGCTACGGAGCGTGGCGGGCGTCTGACTGCGTTTGGATTGCCCCTCCTGGAGAGCTGAATAGGCGACCCCCCGCAGTTCATCCGCTAATAAATAACGTGGCTTGCACGGCTCCAGCGACATCCGAGGCTTTCATCGCCGACCAGGATAGAGCTTGTTCCTCATTTCCTTCATCTATTCTTTTCAAACCCACAGAGCTTCCCCACCAGGAACTGAGCTGTTCCAACCAAGGCCACGCGTGATTCTGCGCTGCTGTTTCATTGCCGACAACAGCACATACTAAAGCAGAGCCAATAGAGGTTCTATCACATCTCGCCTGCAGCCATGGCTTGTTTCGATTCTCCTGTGATTTCATGTGTACCGAAGATGCCGCCCATACAAATGGGAACTAGGAAGGTTACCTCCATGGCCTTGCTGCAAAGCCGTTTATTATCGTAAGAAGATTCCAAGTGAGCACCCATGTAAGAGGCTCCAAGGTATTGATGCTGGCAAAGTTGCAATGAGACTAGCTGAAAAAAAGGGCCCTGTAAATACCTACTTCCAGCACGGCTGCCGTTCGTTTGCTGCCTTCGCTTGCACGTGCCATGAGATTTCAGGTAAATTAGAATGCTACCTTTAGTTGTCAGCCAACTCGTATGTGGAGCCAATAGACGAATAGATCCCTACTACTGCTGTAAATCCCTCTTCCGTAGAAATCTGTACAGCTGTTGTGCTTTGTACCCCGAGCAAGGGGCACGCCCACTTTGTGCCCTGTAAATATGAGAGAGAATGCTACTCAACATGATGGGTACCGCCTGGATGGACAATTGCCTAGCCCTCTGAACCAGAGAACTGGTCATTGCTCCTAGGGCGTAGTGCTCGGATGCAGGATCCCTCTCTCCGCGGCGAATCTTGTATGGTCTAAACCGCCATGGGAAAGGCATCGTCCGCCCTTCCGTCTTTCCTAACTGCTTTCTTTGATCCTCAGATCCAGCCACACCTGTACAGTAACGTGTTGCTGTTAGCTCGGCAGCCACTGGCCCGAAAACACGGCTCGTCGTTAGTTGTTAGAACCGCCGCAGTCACTTGACGGCCCGTGAAGTGTAAAATGAGGCACTTTCCCCTCTTTATACGTAATGACGCATGTTTTAGTAAACGAATCATGCTGGTCACGATATGGAGTAAACTGATAAGGGAACTGAAGATGAGCTGCCACGATAGTACTTCCAGAGAAAAAAAAAAAGGCCCAGGCTGCCTGGCTTCGTACCGTTAGGGCAGTAGTGAGACACATGCCTGGCTCACATGGCAGATACCGCATGTGAGAAACGATGACGATACCCGATACGTTGCTCTCTGCTCCGAGCATTACCTTGCAGTCTGTGCAAAGAAGTGGCAGTTGCGTTGTGCCCAACCATGGGGAGTCGACCTCACTTACGCAGGATTCGCGGCCAATCCAGAAACGGCTTCGTGTCCAGCGGGTAGATCAGTCAATCATTCCGCTAGCATACTCTGCTAGCAGGGCGTAGACAAGAGGCCGCAAGCCTCAGTGGGTAGAGCGTATGCGAATCGATGGGCCGCATGAAACGAACTGGCAAACGCGTACTAGTTAGTAGCAATAGAAAATTTCTGTGGCTAATCTGTAGATGATATGTCAAGTTTTCTCAAAGAGACGAGATGAAGCTTTGCTACCGCTTTTGGTTGCGTGTACGAGCGGACCACTCACATCATTCACATCGTCCAATAGCTGCAGGTTTTCAAATTAATAGTAGTAGTGCCTCCCAAAGCAGCACATTCTTAATAGAAGGCAACTTTTCAGCCCTCAGTATGGCCCCCAATTTAGCTGGAGCTATTGCTATAATCCCTCTAGTTCAAGGAAATGATATTGGGTACAGGCGTTTCGTAGCTGCCCAACGTTCTCTCAGCGGGTATTCCGGTGTAATCTGCTCTGTGACAGGACGCATTGGGATTGAACTCTTAGTATCTCGTATACTTACCTTATTAACAGGGATAAAATTCTCTCGTCAGATATGTGATGAGAAGAGGATTGAGATCTGGTGTGGTTGGTTATTGTGTAGTCGGATCCAACAGCACACAGAACAGAATGAGTGTGGGTTGGGAGAGCCGTTTGCTTTCAGGATCAACGACTATCCATTCTTCAAACTCGGCGTCATAAAAAATTTGCGGCCCAGTTCTGACTATGAGAACAGTTGCGGCTCGGACTTTATCCGCTCTCGCCTCGACAAGCCGCATTTCTTCTGCAAAGCGTGACCTGCAACACCCCATAGCTCAAAATTGTTCCCCGCAACCTTTATCCATTTCTGCCGCTACGGCATTGGTAGCTGCAGAGATTGTGACACTGACTTCAGGGAGAGATCTCTGTTACCGCACTTTTGATGCCCCACCGATGAAGTCGTACATGGGTATTCTTGCATCATGGACGATTCGCAATGTGCCTTGAGCAAAACGGCAGTCGTGATCTTCTGGAGATACCCACACGGTTCTTTACTAGCTTGCCATGCATGCCATTAGATCCGCCAAAGCTTGGCAGTAAGAGCTTGCAGTAATCGCTTAGAGCTGTTCTTGGCCACTAGTCATGCTGGTAATATCTCTGGTGAGGTCTGATAGAATGCTGACATACAATTAGAGGTGACATGATGCTGTTGAGCAAAACCACGGCATATTTTGAAGCAACAGAGGCATATGTCCAATCAACATCTCAGATCTATTCATTGCTTAAAAAAAGGGGCTTTCGTTTGTAGTGTGGCGGCGGCTCAGGATTTTGCGTTTTGGTCGCTTAGTGGCTGGGCTGCCGCTCTTATGCATGCCAGGAGTGATCGTAGTAAAATCTTATTACTCCTTTCCATGGATGCCGCTATTTAGGCATCTGATCTTGCGCCGGCACAGGAATCTACTGCAAACACACAAGGCAGTCTTGACTGATACATAATGTAAAATCAGAGGCCAGATAACGATCATATCCAAAGAAGATAAACTGAGAGGCGCCTTGTGAACCGTGCTTATCAGGTCGGTTTATGCGAAGGAGGGCTGCCGTAAAGTAGCGGAGGGAAATAGAGATCCTTTCCTTCCGATACCAGGCGATTGCAGTGGAGAAGAGCATCTCGGAGACATTAATGTCCTTATTATTGCTCAACAACCTTGAGAGTTGGCCACGGTCAACTTGACGAAGGACATCTCCCCGCCCCCTTTTTTCACTGCCGCTTCAGTAATAACAGACGCGACATGTATTCAGGACTAATGAGCAGATCAGTGGACTGGACTCTTAAGAAGTGCTAAAAAAAAGGGCAAACTCGTCTGTCGCTCCCTCCCACTCGATCTCAAGATTAGACGAGCTGAAAAAAGAGCCCAAAAGAGGTCGTGGTGATCATGGATGTGCCCTTGCAGGTGCATGAGATAGGTCATTACATTCGAGGTGTCTGTCCTGCCTACCAGCCTCTTTGTGAACAAGCTACTGAAGCAATTTTACATGGATAAACCATATCTGTACTCTGTGCAGTAGAAATGCCAGAATGGCTACTGAGCACGGGGTGTACCAAATATGGGCACTAAGATCCCTCTTCCCTTCTTTGCCCTCTGGTGCCCACCCTGGTTCGAAAAATGCATCTCGTAACGTGACTGACCAACCGGGTCCAATTCCCTGGCTAGCATCTCTGCATCCATGCTGAGCACACACCCCTAGTATGTGGTTTAGGCTTGGTGTACGGATATGATGTCCATAGATTAGTCGTTCCAAGAAGCCGGGATTTCTGGCAGCCCCTCTCGCTGGTAGCTCACTCCGTTATGCAATCTGCAGGAGGTTGTGCATGACAGAGCGTGTGGATGTGCCTCGTAATATAGGTAGTACTCTGAACAAGGTGTTTAGACGTATTCGACTTGACATTGTGAAGCGACTATCTCGGTTAGTAATGCACAGGTGAACATCAGTCTCCACCAAGCCAGAATTTGCAGCAACAGACTCGTACTAGCACGCCCTAAGGTTCATGACAGAGGGCGGCATGCGGTGCTACTAACAGGCTTCGGGCACTCTATAAGTTGTACGATACGTGCATAAAACGCGGCACTGTGCGGTGCACTTTACTGACACATGGCGAATGAGAGAATGCGACAGAGCATCCGCGCTTGGAGCTAGAAAGAAGAGCGACAAGGGGGGGCGTGACCAAGCTAGACCAAATTGGTTGAGAAAAGAAATCTAGCCTGGAGGGGAATCAAAACACTGCCGACGAATCAAAAGGCGCCATTGAACAAAGGCATTTCCCAATCCGGACTTATATGTAGTTTTTTTTTTTTTAGTTTTTTTTTTTTAAAAAAAAAACAATGGACGACCTTTGGAAAACCCTCGCGGACAGGGGAGCTATGAGAAGAATATGGGCGTTGCCTTATGTATAGAAGCTCTGTTGGCGTTGCTGGCAGCTGATGACTGAGTTCCACCTCTGGAGCCTAGGCGTGTAAGGCGAATTCGATGGCCATGCGTTTCATTCAGTTGGGCATAGATATGTGCCTGCCTAACAGCACTCGTATGCACGTGTGTGAGGGTGTATCTTGCCGAAATAACGGCTCAAATGAGAACATGCATGTTGGATTCAAGCCGTATGGCTGTAGGCATGAAATGAGGCACGGTACGAAGTACCCATCTCCAGTACCCCTAGAAGCTGAATTAGTACCCACGAGCGCCTACTACCTCCTACCCGCCTTATAGACCTGATATAGTGGCAGTAGCATATATGCATAGCATCCCCCAGGGATGGGGAAGAAGTTTGCGATGCTCCTACACCGGGGGTTTGAGACAGCCGGGCATGTGCCCGGCTTTTGGAAGGATGCTACCTGACTACAAACAGAGGGCGCCGATTCATCCTAGGGGAAATGTCTCTACGTGAGAGATAGAAATACTTGTGAGCCCCAGTTTCATTGGCCAATATTGCCAGTATGCCGATCTTCTATGTTCTGCTTCCACTCCTCCGTGCTGGTTCATCATCAACTGCTTCTCGACTGATGCCAGATAGGTGCATGTAGTATCTCTGCAGGCCCTACAACATCTCGCGAGGTAGAAAATAGCCTCATAAAAGCTACCCAATATCGTAGGTGCGCAAATAATACCCTTTGTTCCTACCCGCATCTGATGCTGAGCCGTAGACGGCAGCTATTGGGTGTGGAGCACATGTTGCGGCTGGTCTTCCTCTCTTTTGACGCCCAGGTGTGGAGCTTTGCTGGCACCTAGGGACCCCCGGTTCCCGAAATGGCAACTTGACCCCTCTCGCTTGCCATACTATGTAACACAGCCGGCTCTGTAAGGTACTGCTCGTACTTGCGGTATTGTGCCGGTTGCATGCAAAGCAAGGTACGAGCGGCTTTGTCAGATGGTACCGTCTTGTAATACTTGCCGGGTAGCGGTTCCCTTTAGCCACGCCCCTTCTAAGCGCACACCAGCCCTCCCCCACCGTCATTTCGACGTCCCTACAGCCCTGCCCACCGCTTTGAATTCAAAATTCTTTCCTCTACTCCATACTACATACTGCATACTCCCTACATCTGCGCTGGCCAAGTAGGTCCGCTCTTTTCACTCGTCGAACTAACTCTCGGTCTTTGGGGGGAAAAGCCATAGAAACAGAAAGCTAGGCAAAATGCGAAATGGACAGTAGCGACATGGCACATCGCTCGCCTCTACCACCTCCTTCCCATATCTCTTTGGCCTTTACTCCATTTGTTATTTTTGACTCAGAATTGGCTGTATCTTCAAGCGGAGATACAACATAGTTCACATCCACTCCTCGGGTAGACCCTCTCTTCTCTTGGTGGTGGCAATGGCTAGATTCCCAGAAACTATTCCCCCCCACAGCCTAGATCACGCTTCAATTTTTATATACCATGGGTCGAGTGGCCAATTCCGCCTCCTAACGTGTCTTGGATCAGACAACAGAGGCACTATTACATCTGGGCATCTGCTGTATTGCCAGACATGCATGCGACTATCGTTTCTCTCAGACTTGCGGCGAAAGAAGAACCTACTGCTGCTGATCTCGTCTATTAATAAACCGTGATATTATTTGATCCGATGTAAGGCGTCTGCTGGTAGTGGCAGTGACCTGGTTCGCAGAGGGACTGGAGCCCTGATGAACGAACCAACATCCTGGTAGCAAGCATAGGCCTTCTCTTTACGAGCCCCCGGCCAGGTTACTGTTACTGTGAGTTAAGTCTTCGGTTCTCTCATACTGCCCTATGTTTGGGAAAAGACCGCCATCTCCCTAGCAGTCAACAGGCCCAGTCGGGAATCGCCGCCAGAGCCCTGCGATCCCTTGTCACACCCCTCTCCTCTCTGCCGTCTTCATACTTCAGTCGCTCAGCGAACAATATGGGGGAGCTTTTAGTCCCCATGTTGGAGGGGGCGTGTAAAGAGCTAATGGCAGCCACAGTTGTTTGATCTCCTCACGCCCATCCTCGCCCTGGCCATCATGCTGGGTACTACTTTTTTCTATATTGGCAATGGTATGCCCGTCGTTGGGCTAAAAACATATGAGTCAACGATTGTATACCCGTCGTTTTTGCAGCTCTGCCTTAGCCCTCCTCTTTTCGTCCCCCCTGCAACGGCTACAATCGCACCTGTGCCTGGCTTTGCCCACACCCCGGTGGCTAGTCCTAGTCACATCTCTGGTGTGGCTATCTTCCAGCTTGCGATCTCCGACAACTACCAGGCGACTGGGCTCCCACACAACCCCATTCACCCGTCTACCTGGTAAATTGCTTTCGTACCAACTGTATATCATCCTGTTTCCAAGATGTCCCAATCCAGGCCACAAGTACATAACCCCCTCCATATCCGCCTTCAAGAATCTCCTCTTCTTCTACCACTTGCTCAACAGACTCTTCTCTTGACTTGTGTCTACATATTGACCATAACAAGTCATTGAAAAGAAGTTAACTATACTGAGTGCTTCGTCTCTGCTTTATTCACAGCACTCCTATTATTATTCTTCTTCCTCTTCTTCTTCCTCAATTTTGTCAGCTTGTGACTGCAAGCCTGATATTGGCCAGTAACAATGGCTGTCGCAGCTCAACCACACGTCAATCCAGGCTGGGGCCGTTGGCCTCAGCACACACCATCAAGCTTCCCCGTCATGGGCTCCCCGGGATTCACGTCCTATGATCCCAGATCTCAAGTCAGCAGCCAGATACAGCGCCAAGTATCTCCTCCGTATCTAATGGGCTCAACCTACAATCACTCCCCAATATCTACCGTTTCGCCTCCCCAATATCACAGCCACAGCGCATTTTCTTATATGCCATACCATAGCCCACCACCATCAACTCCTCTCGGCGCACCGTTTAAGACGGAATTCCGAGAGCATCCTTACATGGTCACGGAGGCCTCTGCTGTCGACCAACGCAATCTCCAGTCGATGAAGGAATACCAGCCCTATTCCCCTATATCGAGAAGGGAATCGGTTTCTTCTAATAGCCATAGCCACTTTACTCCAGGTCCCGCTACTCCAGGTTCTTTCGCTTCAGGTCCCATTTCTCTTAGTCCAATCGCTCCGAGTTCCCTCATTGCAGCTCGACTTGACAACTCTAAGACACTTTCTTATAACGAAACACTTGATCCAGCGGATAAGATCGACTTCAAAACGGATGTTGACGAGCTTATGAAGGCTATACAGGGGTCTCGATCAAAGGGAGAGTATGAGCAGCTTCCCACGCCTGCCCCTACGCCAGAGTATGTTGCGACACCCCCTTCGACGCTTCCTACCCAGAGTGGAAAGCCCAGAAAGCAGTGGATATGTGATGGCCCCAACTGCGGCAGAGCCTTCACCCAAAAGACGCATCGTGATATTCACCAACGAACACACACTGGCCATAGACCATATGTAAGTATTTGGCCTGATTCTTCACTTGCATCACGCCACTAACGGCCATCAGGTCTGCGATAAGGCCAATTGCGGTCTTACCTTTTCCCAACGCGGAAATCTTAGGGTATGTTCCAAGCAAGACTCTTCCTTGGGACACTTTTTGCTAACCGACTTGGGCTTGTAGACTCATATACGCCGCCATACGGGCGAAAAACCGTACCGCTGCAGTCAATGTACCAAATGCTTTGCTCAGCGAGGAAATCTCCGATCTCATGAAGAGACTCATAAAGGCCTGAAGCCATTTATTTGCCGACTTGATGACTGCAACAAGGCATTTTCTCAACTAGGCAATATGAAGGTATGACATTTATTTTCTGTACACAAAACAATATATGAAATCTAACCGAAGCTTCTCTCAAATAATAGACTCATCAAAACAATTTTCACAAGGCCACACTTAAAAAACTTATCGCCCTCTTTGTACAATTCTCAGAGGAAGGCGAAGTGCCTGAGGCCTATCGAGAGCTTTTTGATTATTTTCAGAAGCACTACAAAAACAGCAACAAGGGCGTTAAAGGTCGGGGAAAGACTCGCGCCGTGACGGCCCGCGGGCCCCTCCATTCTGTCGCCTCTCAGGTATCTCAGCTGGCTCTACCAACCCAAGACCCTATGGTGTCGTCTTCGCCATACACCATCCCCCCGGGTTCCACCAACATCTTGAGCAGTGTGCTTCGCAACCCCAACCCCTCCTACAGCCTCTATGGGCCTGGATCACCACCACAAATGGGGTCGTCAAGCCACTTGCCATATTAAGAACCATCAAAAATTCTATGGTTCGCTCCGATACCTCCATATTACTGTGGAGATATAATTATTCTTGACTTGAGCATATGGTTTTACCACCAGATGTGCAAATCTCGTACACCGAGAAGAAAGAAGATCGCTTGCACATTGCCGATAATATATATATTTCAAGAGAAAATATCATTGGTATTTTTTCCCCGGTGGCTTATTCTGATTTAGAGCGATAAGAAAAAGTCCGCATAAAGGCTGCTGGCAGCATAATGATTCTTTGGGTTACTTGGAAACAAAGCTAGCTCTTGTATTTGAGCTTTTTATGAATTATCTGCCAGGTTCAAGCTAAGATTGGCTCGATGTATTACTTGAGGGAATGGGCAAGGAACACTGAATTGGTTTGTTTGTTGAGATACCTATGCATGTAACTTGGTAACACAGCGGCTGGGAGGAATACTGCTTTGAGTGTTCTTTTTTTTTTTTTTTTGTAAGCAACGGAAGATTTGGTGTATTGTTTTTATTCGAATTCTGCTGCGAGGTACTTGCATCTTTCATGACTTCTATATGCCTCTTTCTCAGTATATTTTGCTTTCCTTGGTCTGTCGACGCGAGCTAGTATTGGAGATGGAAACAATTTAGACGGATAGCGTTTCGGTATCCAAGTGTTCTATATTTTCTACATGCTTAGTAGTTTCCTCCTTCTTGTTGTACTTGTAGTATTCTGACCAATCCATACTACGACGAAAGTAGCATCAATCTGGAAAGGGGCAAGGCAGGAACATGGATGAGGGACGATGAGCGAATGGCAGCAATGCGCTTGCGCCTTCGAGCTGGGGATGCTTGTCACGGGACTTGCTCCCGGAGTTCCTAGTGGACTGAAGCGCTGAGACGACATGCCCATACATCACATGCAGGTGTTCTGCTCCGTAAGTACAAAGCAAACAGCAGTACTGTACGAGTATGATGCTACACTGGGAAATGGGGGCTGGCCGAGTATTTCCACTACGATTTCTGCTTCTCGCTCGTCATTCTAGCGTGGATAGTTGGAACAGTTTCTTGTAAGTAGGCGGTTTGGTGACCCCCAAACAAACGAATGCAAATCGTACGATTTCCAGTAACCCGGATCCAGCTCCCAGTAAGATCCTTAAAAGAGGCCCTCATCCTAGCCCCAGGAGGCTAAAGAGGAAATCATGCTAGGGGGTTAGAAGAAAGAGAAGGGGAAAAAAAAATGATAAGAGACGAAGCTAACGTCGTTCCTTAATAAAGCGGGTTAAAGAAACACATCACTTTCTCTGCCCTTGCTTTTTGCGGGCGCAGAGCCTTGAGCGGCTGAACTTGGGGAATTGGGAGAGACGAAATTGCTCTTTGCCGGATCTGGCTGGAGGAGAGGGGCGGAAGGGATTGTGATTGCAGACTTGGGGGCTGAAGAATCTGGGGCAGTCTATGCTTGTGTGCTGTGTTGTAGAAGACATGAGCGAAATAAATGACAGAAGAAGAACAAAGGTAAAAAAATAAAAAAAAATAAAAAAATAAAAAAAGGAAGGAAAAGGAGAGATAGAGAGAGGGAAAAGGACAAAGTCGAAAGTAAACAAGGGAGGCGGCTTCATGCGGCTGTGGCCGATCGCCTCATCCAGTAATCGTAATCATGTGCAGGGGAATGTCATCAATCACACTGCACCCCTCGCTTGCATTCCATAATAGAACAGAAAAGCGAAGCAGCTGAAAAATAAACCATCCGGCTGTCGGTGCAAAAACTCCCCGAAGGATTCCAAAAGAACATATGAGTTGTTTTAAATGGCGAGATGCACTCGTGTGAAGAAGAAGAAAAAAAAAAGACAAGGAACATGGTTGTAAACAGGTCACGCCTATCCTGCATGGCTGGTTCGGGTTTCCTTGTTTGCTTATGGCCCCCAAACTATTCATCTACGGACCAGGCTGGATAGCCAACCGGATGCAAAAGGAAACTTGGAATGGAGGAATCGAAAAGAAAAAAAAAAGGCAAGAGAGGGGTGTTTGCATACAGAGACCATTCACAGAACGTTGCATGCCCAGTCTGTGCGCGCTTTCTGCTGTATGCGCATGTAATACTGCTGCACGGATTCGATACGTTGTTGAAAAACTTGGTTGCAGGCATGGCTGCAGCCGAGTATCAGCTAATACTACGCAGGGAGCCGTAACTCACGCCCTTAACCTTCTTCACATTCACCGCTTAATGGAAGCCGCTCATTAACTTGCCACGTTTGCACCAAAATCCCTGCGTGGGCTTTTGGTGTAGATTTCTGGCTTGGACTTGTGGCGTGTTGGCAAAGATCACAGATTCAGCTACATCGGGTAAAAGGACCACCAGGGGAACAGAAACAGTAAGTCTCAGCGGCGCTTTAGATCGTCGATCACAGCTACTGTGAGACAAAAGAGCCCAGGCTAGATCGTCAGTCACGATAGATACTATTCGGAAAGGGGGTGGGCAATACTATGTACACGCGTATACCGACACACACGAGCTTGTTGAAGCTAGAATATGCTCTCGTTTATGAATATGGGCAAACCTCCGAAATCTCGGAGAGACAACAACGCTAAAAAGCACCAGAGCTTGAATTGAATATCCTACATGGGGTTTTGGGCATCAAGTGAGTTTCGGGCGCAGGTCAAACGAACGAAGCTCGGCCCGTCCCCCATCCTTACAGTAGTAGTCCGTCTACCTAATTTTCACATGCGGGTAGTGAATAGCCAGAGCCGTAATCAGATCTAAATGCCGTTTTATGCAGACCTTTGATGCTGCGGTGGCAGAAGTCGGACGGTGCATGAATCATGTTAGTCGTACGGACAGCGGCGAGGAGCACCCTGCTCAGCTGAGCCACCATCGATCCAGGCTTAACGTGGGGGAATAGTTTGCTGCTGGTAGGCAAGGAGATGTCCTAGCAATAGATTCGGGCGTGTTGTGTCGTGCGTTCATGTACCCAGTAGTATCAGCAAGCCAAGGCCCAGGTTCAAGGCTTAGCCACCATGCAGGGTTGATACGAAGAGGATATTGTCGCTACTCTTCAGCTCATATTCCTCTTCTCCCTCCAGCTCCCAGTCCGCGTCGTTGATGAGAACTAGAATGCCTGGTCGTCTGTAGAAATAAGCACCAGTTAGCAACAGGTTTCCCTTGGATGGTGGAGTAAAATCAGAACGCCGCAGCAGGCTGTTCATGTGGAGGCAGTATGATAGGCTGAGTTTGACACACTCGCTGCCAAGGTTCGAACCACTTCTCATACTACCCCCAGTCACCGAGCTGAACATCTAGCATGTAGGAAGACCAGGACAGGGTGTTACAACGCAGACCAGTGATTGGCACAGCAGCCCACGGGAAGGGGAGGTGAGACGTACAGATGGCCATCCAGGACGAAAAGCTCCTTGCGGGTGTCCTTCATCACATGTGCACAAAGATGATGTATCAAATACGCAATAGTGGAAGGGTTGCCGTCCTGATCCTTAGCAGGCAGAGTGACGGCGTGACGGCGTACGTCCGAGAAGAGCATCTCGAGGCCGCCTCTGCAGTGTATGAGTTAGTTGGATCCTCTTGGATGTGTACGTATGAAAGGCCAGATGAGGAATTAAGCAGATAATTTGATGAGATTCATCCAGACTAACAGCAGACACGCCCGGACTTAGACGTTGGCATGTTGCTGGTGACATTGATGTGAATGAAGGAGGCGGCATCACAGGCGTGCTTAGGCGCAAAAGGGGAGCTGAGGCTTACGAGAACTCCACGACGATGGAGATTTGCGCCGTTGCATCGGCAGTGGTAGAGGCCATGACTATGAGATCCTATCCACCAGACGTGGCTTTCCAACTGAGATTATGGCTGTTGGGGGGATCTCGATATCAGCAGCAGTAGATGGATGAGTCTGATATTGGCACGAGCAATTAGTATACAATGGAGACCTTTTTCCGGCCTAGTCGGGTCCGAACTAGCCCTAAATTGCAGCGATCGAGTGCTATGATAGAACGACAGAATTAAACCAGTTCTCGAGATGCCGTTACAACGCATTAATATTTGATCTCTTTGACTTGAAAGAAAAAATCCGCTCGGTTAATACGTAGAAAAAAGTATATCATAGGCTTTGATTTACCAGTTATAGGACTGTATACCTAGGTACTAGGTAGGTAACCCTTAAAGAGCCTCTGGGCCTTGGTACCTGTAGCTCTGAGACTCGGTACCCCATACATGTACCGTGCAAGCGCCAAAAACCACCAAAAAAAGTCTTTCCGCAAACTTGTGCATGTCACAACATCCTTGTCACGTGGATCCCCCATCCGTCTTGATGAACTCTCAGCCAGTTCACAAACCAGTCGGCATATTGATGACATGAGCTCAAACGGCTTGACGGTAGAGCATTTGGCTGCCGGCGCGAATAGACAGACTGCAGTTGCAGACTGGAGCCGGACGGGGCTGTTGGCCTATGGAGCAGATTGCAACATTGCTCTATGGCGGCCGGCTGTGAGTTTTTATATGCGCCATGACAATGGCAACTTATTGTTGGACATGGATTTCTGACTCGGTTTTGTTCTTTCATATTAGGCTGACCCTCCAAGAGGTGTATTTAAACTCTTGAACGGGCATAAAGAAACAGTCAAAGCTCTGGCATTCCTGCCCAAGCTTGAGAATGACCCCTCAAGTTATTTCATCAGCGGCTCAGATGACAAGACCATAGCGGTCTGGAAATCCTCTGACGGCAGACAAGACTTCAAGTTGCTTCAGACGGCATCTGAGCACACCGGGCCGGTAAACTGTGTTACCGCTCTACGAGTCACTGCCGAGCAGCCAAAATGGATAGTCGCAACTGGAGCGGCAGATGCAACGATCAGGATTTGGAGCTTTGAGAACGATCAGCTTGAGCTGATCCAAACTATCAATACGACACCAAAATATTTCCCTCTATGTCTTTCCCTCAGTGTTCTCGGCGCCGATGATGGCGCTTATATCCTTGCCTCGGCCGGCACAAAGGATGTCATCCAGATCTTGACAGCCGAGGCCAAGGCGGCCAAGGTTCAGTTCAATCTTCAGGCAACGCTCAGCGGCCACGAAGGCTGGCTTAGATCCCTGAGCTTCGCGAAGGAAACAAATAGCCCAGACAGCGATCTTCTTCTCGCGTCGGCCTCCCAGGATAAATACATCAGAATCTGGAGAGTGCACCAGGGCAAGGAGCTCCCTGCCCTCGCTGCTGAAGGCTCGGACCCCTCAAGCGGTGCTTTCATGCCAGGGAAATCTCCATCAAACAAAGCCCACTGGCTCAAAATTTCCGACAAGGACTTTTCTGTAACATTCGAGGCTCTGTTGCTGGGCCACGAGGATTGGATTTACAGCGCCAAGTGGCATTCCCAAGCTGATGGCAAGCTGCAGCTCTTGTCTGCTTCTGCAGATAACTCGCTGGCCATCTGGGAGGCTGACCCTGGCTCCGGCATCTGGGTCAGTATGGTGAGACTTGGAGAGATTAGCAGAGAGAAAGGTGCCACGACAGCAACAGGAAGCACTGGCGGCTTCTGGACCGGCCTTTGGTCTCCCAACGGAAAATCAGTAGCTTGTCTAGGTAGAACGGGCAGCTGGAGAAGGTGGGAATACGATGCCTCAGAAGACATGTGGAGGCCTCGCATTGCCATCTCTGGCCACACAAAGGCCGTTACCGGCATTTCGTGGTCCAAAGATGGCGGCTTTCTCCTCTCTACAAGCTCAGATCAGACAACCCGGCTTCATATGAAGTGGAAGAGCCACGGCACATGGCATGAAATGTCTCGCCCTCAAATCCACGGCTACGATCTGAACTGCATCGACTCGCTGGGTTCCTCGCAGTTCGTTTCCGGCGCTGATGAGAAGCTGATGAGAGTGTTCAGCGAGCCCAAGGCTGTTGCTACTATGCTTAATCGGCTGGGAGGCATCGACGGAGCAAACATTGCAGATATGCCTGATGCCGCCAATATGCCCGTGCTAGGTCTCTCCAACAAGGCAATCGACACTTTGGATGACGACCAGGAAATTCAGCCTATAGACGACCGTGATCGGGATGCTATAGACCCTGCATCCATCGTCAAGAAATCATATCTAGACATCGATCACCCACCATTCGAAGAAACCCTGTCTCGGCACACCCTCTGGCCCGAAATGGAGAAGCTCTACGGTCACGGCTACGAAATCTCCTGTCTTGCCGCCAGCCACGATGGCAAGCTCATTGCTAGTGCCTGCAAGGCCAGTTCTATCAACCACGCCGTCATTCGCATCTTCGAGACGGAGAAGTGGACGGAACTCAGACCTCCATTGGCAGCCCATTCTCTGACAGCCACCCGGCTCCGATTCTCTTCTGACGATAAGTATCTTCTGAGTGTTGGCCGTGATCGTCAATGGGCCATTTTTGAGAGAGGCGTTGGGGAAGATTCAGCCATTCAATACCAGCTACTACAGTCTAACGCCAAAGGCCACTCCCGAATGATCCTCGACGCCGCATGGGCTCCTTCTTCAGTGCCCCTGTTTGCCACAGCAGGCCGAGATAAGCAGGTCAGAGTCTGGTCGTTGTCGAAGCAAGGCGGCGAGGATGCCAAGCCCCAGTTTACGCAAGTGTCTTCGCTGGCTTCCGATGGGCCGGTCACATCGGTTGATTTCTTGACACAGCCCGTTGGAAACAAATATGTTCTCGCGGTTGGCACGGAGAGCGGGCGTGTGAGCCTATGTACAGTGGCTGAAGATGGCTCATCCATCTTGGAGCTGCCGACATCTCCTGAGTAAGTTCAATGCCTTTCTTTTCTTAAAATTCGATATATTCAATAATGGATCGTGGCCGGCTAATTCTCAATAGGTTGATTCTTCCCAAGACAGTACTTCAGCTCGCATGGCGGCCGGTAAGCAGGGATGAAAAGGAAGCCAGGTATGAGCTTGCCGTTGCTGGAGAGGATAGTTCGCTGAGGCTCTACGGGTTTGGAGAGGAGTATTTCAACGAGCGGAAGCAGTCATGAGCACTCAAAATTATGTATATCCCGGTCAAAATTGTATTGGACATTAACGTCTTTTCCATGTATTCAAAACTTCACGAAAACTTTCATCGGTGCTTAACAAGAGAATAAAAGAAAAGAAAATTGTATTACTACCACATTAAACTCGTATTAGAGGCGTATTAATATATACTTATCATTAAGGCCATTAAAAGGCCGGCCATTCCATTACACTTCTTCGAAACCAATATACCCAACGCCAACAGAGAAAAAAAAAAGGGGGTCACCACAGATAAAAACGGCCGCCAAAAGCCGGCTCCCCTTTGCTCGTCGCTCTCTATATTAAGCCAAGTGGTCTAATTTCGCCAGGCAGTAGATCGCACTCCTCTTTCTCTCTCCTCAGTCCTAATATTCGTGTCCGTAACTTCATAAACACCGTTCCGGTTCGAACGTCTCCCGATTTTCCTAATTGTCGGCTTGTTTACAGCTCCCTCACAACCGCCGCAGCGCCCTTGCTAGCTCCCAGCGCTCCGTCAAAGACATTTCTCGCAAACGCCGCAATATCAATCGTCTCGCCGTTGATGTAGTACCACGCGCGGCCGGCAAGAAGAGAGACGTGTTGCGGGAGGTATAGGGTTGCGGCGATGGAGGTCAGGCTGATGAGCAGGAAAAGGATCGAGTCTGGACAAAATTGCTTGTTAGCAGAAATGATTTTGGACGCAGTCTAGAGGTTGGTGATCTGCTGGCGGGATTGCCGGAGTCGCATCGTTCCACATCGTTGACCCAAAAGGGGGGATCGCGAGAAGAGAATTGAATCCATCAGGCCGGGAATTGGAGGTATTTGGGAAAGGAACGCCGGATAAGGAGGGGAAGAAAAGGAAGGGGGCGAAGACGTACAGAAAAAAAACTTCTCCATCGGCGTAAACATGTACATTCCGAATGTCACGTCGAATTGGAGCATCTTCTTCTCCATCATCTTCTTGAGACTCCAAGACGCCATTTTGGGCGATGACTTGATTTCTTGAGCGACGAAGTATTTCCAGGTGTTATTGTGTCGCAGGACGATAAGGGTCGTCTTTTTTATCTCAATCGACTCTTGCTTCTGGTTGTGTCTGTGGAAGAGTCTGCTCGACGGCGTTTGAGTGCTGGTTCTCGGTATAGCTGGTGCGGATGGAAAGAAGAGAAGAAAAAAAGGCGTAATCCGGAAACCGTAATTGGGATGTCGCTGGTGTTTCCGTCCCTTGGCCCGCCGAGTTAGCGGTGCTGGGCCGTTAGCCACTCAGCAAGCCTGGCGGATGTTCCCTAAGCCAGCACAGGACGCCGCTAAAAGCCTAGCCCGCCATGATGGGGCTAACCTGGTTGCAACATTGTGATCCGCAGCTTCAGAACTCAAATCCTCGACCGATGCCTTGCAGAGCTTTCCGTTATTGACAAAAAAAAAAAATGTCACGCTCCATTGGTTTTCTAACAACGCTTCCTCTCGTGCCATCGACCAGAGCCATTCCGAGATTCCACTCCTTCAGCACTCTCGGTGCTGCCCTCTTGAAAAACCTCCCGCCCCGTCCAAAACCTCCGCCAGACTCCGAAATCGAAGAATCCTACCTCAAAGGCAGCGGCCCCGGCGGCCAAAAGATTGTATGTACAAACGAACGGTGAATCATTCAATTCACACGCCCGTGGCAATGCCTTGAAGAAAGAGAAGAAGAAAATTTACACGAATATCTCTACTAGAACAAAACCAATTCCGCAGTACAGCTCAAGCACATCCCCACCGGCATCGTCGTCAAGTCCCAAGCCACTCGATCACGCAGCCAAAATCGCAAACTAGCTCGCGAGATATTGGCGCAGAAGGTAGATGAATTCATCAATGGCGACCAGAGCCGCTCAGCCATAGTCGGAGCGATAAAGAAGAAGAAAGCAGATAGTGCGGCCAAAAAGAGTCGACGAAAGTACAGGCGACTAGAAGAGGAGGAGGAAGTGGCCAACGCCGAAGTCGCCGCCACCCTTGAAGATAATCCGGACGAGATTGCCGAACAAAGTAGTGACACAAGTAAAGAGACAAGTAACAATCCCAGCAGTAATACTACTGTCACCAATAACAGCCAACCTGGGCAGGATTCCCAACATAGGCATTCATAATAACTACAGGCTAGAGCCCCTTCATTGGGCAACATAAAAATTAATGCCTTACCAAAACTTTGCCGTAAAAGGCCATACAACCAGGGTGCATTTAGCGTCAAATAGACTATTATTATCACAGTATTCCATTCAACATGTTCTCTCTAAGACCGGAAAGCAAATAAATATTTGTATCAACCTAAGCTTCTAACCCCTAGACCCGCGTTACGCATCCAGCCCAGCTGCCATACACAAGCCGTTGTATCCTCATCAGAGAAAAGCCAACGCCCATCTCCTTGACCCTGTCAAAAACTTTTCGTAAATATGAGACTCGATCGCAATACATGCGAGCCCATGGAGACACTGCATGATTTGTCGACTCCATGAGCTTGGCATGAGTAATTGGCGAAGGATGTGAGGTTTTGTCTTTGACCTCGCGTAGCTTCTGAACAGCTCCAGTTAGCAATTTGCAACTGGGAACGGATTTCCTTATTTTATTTTGTTTGGAGACAAGCTTACCTTAGAAGCACTTGCGGTGGACGATGGAGGGACCGCTCTCGTCGTACTCCTGCTTGGAGATCCACATCTGCTGGAAGGTTGACAGGGAAGCCAGAATGGAACCACCGATCCAGACGGAGTACTTTCGCTCGGGAGGAGCAATGATCTTGACCTTCATGGAAGAAGGAGCAAGAGCAGTGATCTCCTTCTGCATACGGTCGGAGAGACCGGGGTACATGGTGGTACCACCAGACTAGATTGGTAAATGCATCATTAGCACTGCTATTAGAGCCTATTTGTTGAATGCTCAATTCACTTACCATGACAATGTTGCCGTACAGGTCCTTTCGGACGTCGACATCGCACTTCATGATGGAGTTGAAAGTGGTGACGTGGATACCACCGCTCTCAAGACCAAGGACAGAAGGCTGGAACAGAGCCTCAGGAGCACGGAATCGCTCGTTGCCGATGGTGATGACCTGACCGTCGGGAAGCTCGTAGGACTTCTCCAAGCTGGAGCTCTGGGCAGCAGTCTGGATCTCCTGCTCAAAGTCGAGAGCGACGTAGCAGAGCTTCTCCTTAATATCACGAACGATTTCTCGCTCAGCGGTGGTGGAGAAAGTGTAACCACGCTCAGCCAGGATCTTCATCAGGTAGTCGGTAAGATCACGACCAGCCATGTCAACACGAGCAATGGCGTGAGGAAGAGCGAAACCCTCGTAGATGGGGACAACGTGGGTAACACCGTCACCGGAGTCAAGAACGATACCGGTGGTACGACCGGAGGCGTACAGGGACAGAACGGCCTGGATGGAGACGTAGAAAGCGGGAGCGTTGAAGGTCTCGAAGACAATCTGGGTCATCTTCTCACGGTTGGACTTGGGGTTGATAGGGGCCTCGGTGAGCAGGACGGGGTGCTCCTCGGGGGCAACACGCAGCTCATTGTAGAAGGTGTGGTGCCAGATCTTCTCCATGTCGTCCCAGTTGGTGACAACACCGTGCTCGATGGGGTATCTCAGGGTCAGGATACCACGCTTAGACTGAGCCTCATCACCAACATAGGAGTCCTTCTGACCCATACCAATCATGATACTGAAGGAGATTCGGTCAGATCCATGTTGCTCAAGATGCGACCGCCAAAAATCACGGCGGTCGACACGTGAGTGTTGATTATGATAACTTACCCATGGTGACGGGGTCTGCCGACAATAGAGGCTGTTTGGCGGCGTTAGCGATATGTCAACCGAAGCGTGCGGCGGTGGCGCGCAAACACCCAATAGCCCCAAAACGTATAGCTATGGCGGGCAGTTGCGTGGGAAAGGGAGCAGAAGTGGGGTACTCACGGAAAACAGCTCGGGGAGCGTCATCACCGGCGAAACCGGCCTTGCACATACCGGAACTGCATTGTTGTCAGCTTTTCAGAATCAAAAGAAGCGAAATCATTGTTGTGTGATGCAGTTGCAGATGCAAGTTGTCCTTCCTCCTGCGTAGCGTGGCTGGCAGGCAATGACCGTGCCTCCTGAGCCCGCAGAAGAAGAGGGACGAGGATATGATGTCGGTGAGACAATGGCGGGGGAGCTTACCCATTGTCGATAACGAGGGCAGCAACTTCTTCTGCAGTGCGGGAAATCCATATGTTAGCCAATATCCCGATGTTCACAAAGAGGCATCACGACGACTGCTCGATTGGCCTCGGCATCAGGAGGCTGGACGCGGTGTTGCGTGGCAGCAAGCTGCACGTACCTTCCATTGTGACTGATTAAAGGATGAAACTGGTGAAAAGGTAAATGAAGAAACCGAAGAGAGACAAAGAAAAGCTCGCGCGATTACAGGGCCTCGAGAGCTTTGAGAAAAGAGGATGAAGTGAGGAAATATTAAGGTGACACGCGGTCGAAAGCTGTCGATTGGGAGGTGCTGTAGAAGAAGTAGAGAGAAAGAAGTGGAGGGGGAAAGGAGGGAAGTATGTATCTCCGCTACCTCGATGGGCACCGAGTTGTGGGCGGGACAATTGCCTGGTGGGGCCAGCGTGTGGGAGGCGGCGAACAGGGCGAGACCGCTGAGGTACTTTGCGCGCCCGCCAAGCAGGGGAGGCAGCGCTGCCTGCCGCTTTAACTGATTGGCTCATGGCGGTGGCTGTGGCTGGTCCTTCGCATCAGCAGCGCTCGCCTCTATTGTGCTCCAGCTCCTTTAGGTCTCGTTTAGTTCTCGTTTTTCTCCTTAGGTCGCTACAGCAAGGCATCTATCAGTGGGGCTGCACCGCCGAGATCAACGCCATCGTCACCTTGCAAAAAAGCTCCATCCGCACGGTACGAGGCCATGCGCACGTCCACCGCCAGAGCAGTGTGTACTCCGTACGAGCTCGAGAATACATTAAATGGGCGCCTGATCGCAATCGCCGGGAGCGCCAGAGGCAATGGAATGACTAGGTAGTCGAGGCAGCCAGATTCTCAGTGCAAAAAAAGAGGCTTATCGTACGCGTCCCAGCACGCAACCCGCCAAGGCTGAGGCATCCATTCGAGGGCGAAATATGGTTGCCTTGTCTCTACAACTGTCTTTCCTGGACAACATTCGGTTTCAGCGGTATTACGGAGTGTAAACAGAGCTTCCCATCTGACGGGCGAGCCAGGCATGCGATGATGCTCAGAGAGGGGCACTTTTGTGAAGCTCTCCCAATTGATAGCCCCTCCTTCTCCTAAGCTCGATGACAGCCGATTATTAAGGGGGTACAATGTGTGGCTGGTAGTGACTGCGGACTTTAGCTGCTGACTACGTCGTACCAACTGCCTGGGAGAGACAAAAGATAGTGCTCTCTCTTCCTTGGTAACATGCCGAAGACTCCCTGATCTTCTCTGCGACCAGAGCCTCCTTCTCCTGACGGCCATCAATTTCCTGGCGCTCTGCGCAGGCCCCCTGCAACGAGATTCCAAACCTGAATCAAGTTTATTGCTGCTAGGCAGAGAGATTACAACATCTCACACTCTGAAAGGCAGCAGCATTCAAGTGAATCTTCGGATTAGGCATCTTGCATTCCAAATCCCCAGATTTATGCGCCCATCGAATGCGTATTACGCCAGTGTCTAAGCAAGGCGCACCAAAAGAAGCTGATGACGGTTTTTAGCCCCCTTTTCAATTTCCCCAGCCAAGCTCAATTGGCCGCGCCAACACATCGTTGAGGGGGGACACGACGACCTCTATTCGATCCTATTGTGGTTAGTGCCATGCCGCCCTAAGCTTACCAGTTGTTCTAGCAAGAATTCGATGTACTCGGACCATCACGTGAGAGATGTGGATAAGTCATCTTTGGATGATATAAACTGTGTAGGGTATCAGGCAGCGAAGCCGTTAGCTCCCTCTCTAGAGTGCTGGATCAAGATCTCCCGGAGATCCAAAGCTGCATGGTGCATAGCGCTGAAGTCGGCTTGGTTCAGAATGCAAGCCGGACGATGCGAGGCGAGGCGAGGCGAGACTATGGCAGCATTGAGACTGTCTTAGCTTCCACTCAACGCGTGGCTTTTAAATTAAGGCCACGCCATTCCCCCAGGTTAAACGTTTCTATATCCATCTGCCTGGAGACATGCCTACTAGAGATCCGGAAGCACACCTACCACTTACCTAGGTATGCATTACGACATTATCTCTAGTATCCAGCAGTATCACTCCCTTCACTTCTTGGGCATGAAACTCTGTTGGACCTGACACTACGTTACGTCATCTCCAAGATCCTGCCACTCCGACGCCAAGAAGAAGGGTAGTATATAGGATACCTGTAGAACCAACTGGGCTCCAACAGTAGTACTACAAACTTCATTCTAAATTAAGTATCAATTTGAGTAAGCATGGTTGCATGTGCGGTTATGATGGTCAGATTACAGGTTGAGGTAGTACTCATATACGGCTTTCGGAGTGCAAAGCCACCATCTGGGGTTTGAGATGAACAAGTGGGGTAGCATTTTGTTCCCTGCCTCTGGAGATTCTGTGCTGCAAATTGCCAGGCCAACAAACAAGTGTCCGGCTCGAAATGCAACTTAGTAGCATTGTAGAAAACGTCGTCTCGAGATCACCCATCACATTCAGAAACAGTTTGATTAACAAAAGCTGATGGTCAAGCCCTGTATTTAACTAGATCAAACCCTTGCAAGGCTGTAAGGGAGACTTCTATGAAGCTAACCTCTTTCAGACTAGAGTGTTCTTGAAGTTTCCAGAAGCCGCATGGCGGAAAAACTTGAGATTTGGCGAACTTCAGTATAGAAGCTGGCCAGGCTGCTGAATATCCGATCCTTTCATCCTCTTCATTACACAGATACCCACACATATCTCGCTAAACCACTACACAATTTACCATGGGTGACAAGCGACTCAACGACCTCCTGCGATGGAGCATCGAGAACACCAAAGACGGCGAAAATGGCCCCTCCACTGAACCCAATCCCCAGGCACCGCCGCCAACCAACCTCACCCCGGAGCTCATGGCCGCTCTCATGGGAGGGCCCTCCGATGCCGACCTCATGAAGGGCTCCATGGAGATCATCGGCGACCCCGAGGTTACCCTGGAGAACAAGCTCATTGCCTTTGACAACTTCGAGCAGCTCATTGAGAACCTCGACAACGCCAACAATATTGCCAACCTTGACCTGTGGACCCCGCTGCTCGGGCACCTGGACAGCACGGAGAGCGAGCTGCGCAAGATGGCAGCTTGGTGCGTCGGCACTGCTGTTCAGAACAACGAGCGCACTCAAGAGCGCCTGCTAGCGATTGGCGGCGTTACCCCACTGATAGAGATGGCGCTGAAGGAGGATGAGGCTGAAGACGTCAGGCGCAAGGCAATCTATGCGCTGAGCTCTGCAGTTAGAAATTACCAGCCTTCCATGGATCACTGCACGGACGAACTGAATAAGCGAGGATTTACTGCAGCCAAGACAGACGCTGCTGATATGGAAGCCGTTGATGTGGTTATCCACGGCCTCAGGGAAAAGGTTAAGGCTACCGCCAATGGGGCTTCGGCGTAAAATTTTGACATGTTACATGGCTTTGAAAGGAAAAGGAGATAAAGAAAAAAGGACATTGGGCGGAGTTGAGGCGTTCTGCAAATCTTGGATGAGTCAAGCAATAGGGACTCACGGATAGAGGTATCCTACAATATTCATACATTGTATCTAACGACCATGGCTTTTACGATACACGTGTTATACATTTTATATATCCCCCGCCAATTTTATTTAATCCGTTCTCCGAGGTCGCCGACGTGATGTTCATCAATGCGTAATCTTTCCGTAGAAAGGGAATCCTAATGCTTCCATGAGCAGCCTGCCTTGCCTATCGGAGGTAGCAGTGGTGTGAATGAAAATATCGCAACCAGGCATCAGCTTAGGAGGATACATCTATTGCCAAAAAATGTTAGTAACGAGAGCTCGTGATCAAGGACATTGTGCCAGCATCCCACTTACATCGTAGTTGAACTCAATCTCGGGGAAATACGACATCCAGGCAGGCTTCATGCCAAAAGCAATGTTACCCGCATCGTCGCCGCTGGAAGCCTTGATGCCAGGCCAATCCTTGATCTTGGGCAGAACCAGCGTCACCAGCTTGTCGACGAAGTCGTACGCCGCACCGCCGCGCAGAGTGGTCTTAGCGCCGGCCTTTGATCCCTTTCGGACACCCCAATGGATGACGTTGTGCTTCACGGTCGTGACCTCGGGAAACTGGCCGCTGATGGCCTGGACAACGGCTCGAGCCACATGAAGGTACTCCTTGTTGTCCGCGGCCAGAGGAGCATATGAGTTGATAGTGACAGCCTCAATCTCAGGAATGTTGCGCCAGGAGATATCTCGCTCCAATATTCCAAGTCTTGACGAGCCTCCACCTCTTGGTCCTCTGCTTGGTCGGTTCTTATGGTATGGAGAAGATCCGTCCCATTGGCGCAAAACTCCCTTTTTCGATTCGACTGGTACTGTCCCAGGAGGGGTATGGTTGTATGTGAGGGTCAGAAGGTCGGGCGCAATCGTGCTATCATATGTGTGCTTCAAGCGAGGGAAGCTGAAAGGTCCGGGAACGAAATCACGAGCAGTCGGATCGGACGAGGGTGGCGCCTGGACTGGGTGCAGAGGGCCTCGATTATATTTGGGAGGATGATATTGGTATCTATGATTCACTATTAGCAAAGCTTTGCGGCATGGGCCTGCGAAAGCAGCACGCACCGGTTACCAGGGAGTCTTCTCTCTGTTTTGCCTTGCTGCTGTGACTCTTCAAAAGCTTGAAGAACATCCTTGCTGGGCTGCGGCGTCGAAAATGAGGATGTTGACTCGATATCAGCGATGCTGTCTGATTTCACAGTCGCATTCTGTGTCGCTCGGGTCGAGGCAAATCCTCTTGCGCATAGCGGAGCGGATTGATGAAATGGCAATTTGTGCCTCAAGGCTCTCGCCAGGCGAACGCCTTCTCGGGAAGCCGCCATTGTCAAGCCCAAAGCAAAGGGTTCAATGCCTCGTCGTAGGAAGTTCTCCGATCTGCCCACCACTTACTTCGAGGCAACGGGAATTTTCCAATTCCTAACCTCTGCTGGACACTAGCCACAGGCTAATCCTGCCAGGGTTGGCGCCACACTGCGGCCGCACATCTCGGAAGATGTGTGGCGGTGCAGAAGCACCTCGGCCCGCACTCCGAAACAAACGAGATCTCGGCGCCGATGCACAGGCGGGTTCACAGAAGAGAGGTCACAGATCCGACCAGGAGCAGTTAAGGTTGATTAATTTTGCTAGGATATAAGCCACTTTACAATACCTCGTAAAATATGAAGCGAGCTGGCCTCCTACCGAAAGCCATGCAATGAGAATAGCTAAATTGCATGGAAGTGCAGAGGTGCCGGCGTGTAAGTCACAATTGCAGCTCGTTCCCTATCTCGTGAGCTCTGTCTAGTAAATATTAATAGTTTACCTTAAAGCACAAAATTTGGGATCAACGAAGGCTTGGTAGATTGTTGATAGATTGTTGATAATAATATTTACTTTAAGAGATGTGCATGTTTCCATCTATTTGGGTAGCCCCTCCAGAGTCGATTAGACCTAAGCCACCACCTTACTTTAGCTACTGCTATTTTTGCAGATCCGATGGCTTTTCGTCACGCCATAAGGATAGAAAAAGCCGCTGATGCTTAATTTAGCACAACAGAAGCTGCGTCCGCTCGGTAGATGAAAATGGCAAATACCTGGAAGTACTTCAAAATAACTTCGCAACGTTCCTCCATCCGGCACGCCTCCGGGGCTTAACGCCTGGTGTTGGTAGCACAGATAGAAATGACGTTGTTCACCCTCCAATAATCTCCTCCCAGAGCACAGTGAGTTTGGTACAGGCTCGTGACGGGCGTTAGCTAGACCAGAGTACGAAAAAGATCCGCTACCATTGTTAGCAAATAATACTATAGCGAAACGTCCTAACACATATGTGACCCATAAGCTCGGGTCCTCATCCGTCACGCTCCCCGCCTGTTCCGCCCAAGACTGAAGAGAGATTTTGCCTTGACTCTATGTCGGTAACATGACTGCGAGGAGTGGGGGTTAGCAAGTCGCTTAGATATGAGGAAATACGGTCGAAGGGGCCAGAAATCGCCTGTCTTGAGCACTTGCCATAGAATTACGTATGGCATTCGTACGCAGGCCACGAGGCCGCAGATAAAGTCAGTTATTCTAGGCACGAGAACCGCAGGATGACAGAAGGCCGCCTTAGCACCGCGCAAGGACTGGTATAGCTACATAGCAGACAGCTCGGGCCTTTGTTAGATTCCCAACGCAGGCCAAGGCAGCCGCATTCGCGGGCCCGGCCCTGAGGCGAAGCCCGATGGCAATGCCCGCCGTGTAGTGCAGGGCGCAGGTGATTGGTGACGCGAGCTGGAAGCGCCAAAGGGTCCCTGCGGATCCAGCTGCGATGCTATGGATACCACCCTCAACAAAACGCCGTCAGCCGCTGCGATCTCATGTAAATCTCTCAATGGCACTGCGAAGGGATCGATGGCATGTCGCAAGGTGCCACCTCAGCGCGGTATCATGCCGCGTTATAGCGCTCTCTGGACGCTTGCTTGGTCCCTACAGCCCACTATCCAGTCCCCTGGCAGCATATGATCCACCCGGATGTCCCGCCCCCGCCACTGTAACATCAGCCAACACGAACCACTAGCTTTAGCACTCTCTTCATGTTCTTATTTGAACCTGGAACCGCTCCAACTCGAGTATCCATTTGTTGCGCGACACAGCATCTACTTCCTGCCACCTCGTCACCCTGTCCGACTGCGCCCTTTGCAAAGTTCAGTTCTTGAAGCGCCTCTTGGCCTTTCTTGCTTCCCTATCCAGCAGCGCCTTGTTCTCAGCGACGCACCGACGCCTGTGGCGCAGCATTTCTCCTCGAGCTGGACCAGCCGTTGCGAATCTCCAGACAGGTAGTTGATACCTCGAATTAAGCGTTACGCCAACGAAAGGAAGAGAGAAACGAGAAGATTGTATATTCCACAATAAAGATAAAAATATCTGCAGCAAACCGTCGTGCCGATCCAGCTCCACCAGCGCCTCGTCGAGATTCGTCTCGCCCTATGATGGGGGCGTACCGTACGCCTCTTCTCTCGCTTCACGCCGCGAGAGCCTGTTTCCCACTTCCTCCACATACTCGGGACGAAGCCCGTCATAGCGGTTAACCATGAAGGAATTTCCCAGGAAGTTCCTTAGCCTACGTGATAAGAGCGGCGAGCATCATCGTAGCAAGTCTGCCCCTCCTGCAAACAAGGTAAACGATCACTCCCAAAACACCATATCCCACACACCTTTCGTTGAAAATGGACCGTTATGGCGTCCATACCCAAATTTCTCAAAGAGAAATGGTCATGGCTGACCAGTATCCTTTCTCGCTGGCAGGCACGTCCTCTCGCAGCTGAGACATTTCGCTCTTTATTCAAGCCTGACCACTCAAGACAGGCTCTCCAAAATGACGCGGAAGCCGCTAAAGAAGCCGCCAAGGTGCGTTGCTCCTAGAATTTTCGAGGTTATACCAAGCAAATGCTAATCGTAAGCAGATTGAGGATATTCAACGACGTTTAGATGCACTCAACATTACAAATATCACCGTCGAGCACATCCAAGATATCTTGGTTACCAAATACGCAAATGGCGACCCACAGCGTACAACGGAATTCATCGATATCGAACAAAAGTCTTCCTCTGGCGTTATTCTGCCCTATGACCCAAGCGTCCATATGGTTGGTGCCGAGAACCGCAGCGCTGTTACCTGTTACATAGATGCTCTGCTCTTCGCCATGTTCTCTAAGCTAGATGCTTTCGAGTGCATGCTCAAGAATCAATTCCCGGCAGAGGATCCCAGGAATAGGCTAGTTACGCTGCTTCGTATATGGGTTAACATGTTACGGACAGGCAGACTAATCCGTACAGACTTAGTGAGCAACAAACCTTCAAGAAAGTTGGCCAATTTACTAACTAGCGTAGACTAAATTAATACAAGACACCATGGCTGAATGCGGCTGGTTGGATGCTCGTCTCTTGGAACAACAGGATACCTCAGAAGCCTTTGCTTTCCTCACGGAAAAGCTAGAATTACCCCTTCTCTCGCTACAGGTTGATCTCTTCCATCAAGGCAGACATGACGACGATGACCACAAAATTGTTTACGAGAGGCTACTGAATCTAGCGGTGCCATCAGATACCGATGGAAATGGCATTAAGCTAGAAGACTGCCTAGAAGAGTATTTCAATACTCAAGTTGACGTGCTCAGAGACAGCGAAGAGGCAAAGAAATCGATTGCAGAGGAGGGCAGCCCAAGCGCGGTTCCTACACTATCAATCCCGAACCAAATTCGGCTGATTAGGGATGAGGAAAGCGCTGTAACGCCCACGGCGATATCATCATCTCCAGTTGATATGTCACCATTGACGCCGCGGGCGGATCCCCTCCTGGAAAAAGACGAAGATAAAGAACAAGCTTCTGTATCAGAACAAGTCAATGGCATGAGCCGAAACGACGCTCCAACTGATACACCGCAATCACCCAGTGGAATGAGCGCAGGAGACAGCGCAGGTAATGCAAGCGATCACGCAGCGGGGCCTTCTTCTAGGATGTCGGTTAGACATCGGTCGGCCAGCGTCATCCAGCGGGTAATGCTTGATAGCGGAGGACGCCCAACGGCTTCTGAGACCAGCACTCTTCGCAAGAGGCTCAGTGGGAAAGGATCAACCGTAGTCAAGGCGGTTACAATACCCGCCTGGCAGTTCTTCCGACTAATTCGTATGTATACAATCCTTGCCAGTAATCACTTCTTTTCAGCTAATGAGCGCAGCTTGGCATGCGGTAAACAGTACGGAGCCTCGAAACGATGTCGAAGTGGCAATGAACTTTGACCAGCGCCCTGTGGTCGGTATTTGTCTAAAGCGATATGCTATGACTGAGACTGGCCATCCAAAGCGTCTCAATACATATATTGATATCCCAGAAAGCATGCGACTCCCGCATTTTATGCTCGCTGATGGACCAAACAATGAGGAGGAGATCAACGGATTAGCAACGGAATATAAGCTCGTCCTGCAGTCCATCGTCTGCCATCGGGGCGATTCTTTGCAAAGCGGCCACTATATTGCCTTTGCGAGAGTCGCCCCTAAGCTCCTAACGGATAACAGAAGGCATGATTTCGATCCGCCTCCTGATTATGAGGAAGCACAGTGGGTGAAATTTGATGATCTGGATATCGGCAACAGAGTCACCTTTGTCGACGATATTAAAGAGTCATTGAAGGTTGAGATGCCATATCTGTTGTTCTACCAGATCGTACCCATGGTCGACGCTTCTGAAAGCACAGACACTGGGCGGCCGCCATCCTATGATGAATCAAAGAACAGCCTCGAGATTCAACACTCAGCGACTAGTGAAGATACGCCTGCTAGCTCAACATATGTATTAGCAGCGCACCACGAACATCAAGCCTCAGCTTCGACCAGTCGCTTGGGGCAAAGTAAGCCTCCCAGCATCCGACTTTCCGCCGAGGTCGAGCGGCCCTCGCGTAAATGGCTGGAAGGTATAAGTCTCAACTTTGGAGGGTCATACGTGGAGTCTGTTCTTTCACGTCGCCAGAGCGAGGCGCTCACAGACTCTACTGCTCATACGCCATCCATTACACCAGATCCCCAATCTCCTGCCATAACACCAGCTGATGAACCAACGTCGTCCAGATTGTCACGCGCTGCGTCGCGTTTCAATCTAAATAAGCAGAGCCGCCCAGGCAGTCAATCAGGAGAAGGCCGTATCAGCCTTAACCTTAGTCGCTTTGGTTTGACCAAGACTAGCAAAGAGCCGCTGCCTGAGCCCCCGGCGCTGAACATTTCATCTACCACCTCGATAGGTCAAATAACCTCAAGTCCTCAGCCAATCTCCCCTATGTCGCTAGAAAAGCAACTGCATCAACCCCCTGGTATTGAAAAATCGGATAGAAATGAGAAGTCTGAAAAGGCCGAAAAGCATGACAAGAATGATAAAATAGAGAAGGCGGAGAAGCACAAGCATAAAAGGAAGAAATCCAAAGAGAAGAACGAAAAGCAGAAGTCGGGAGATCAACCTGAGCGTGAGTGCGTCGTTATGTGATGAGCGAGCTCTCACAATTTTAGATGATAGCAAATGGCTTATAATAGCATTATTGGGACGGGCAAAATATGGTAAGGTGGCAAGCGCTTTTTTTCTTTTTCCTTTCCTTTTCTTTTTTTTCGGACTTGGATATATCATTTCTAAAGACAGAAAAAAAAGTCATGATGTGAAAGAATTGTGCAATACAGTGTTGGAATGCATGAATATTGGATGGCTGGGAGTCTTCACGGGCTACTTGCTCGAACCGGTAAATTGAAAGAAGAAGAAAAAAAAACATACCTAGTTCACATGTAAAGATACCACGGCGTTGGCGGGATAAGAAGCCGTTTTTTTTTTTTTTTTTTTTTTGGAAGGACTTCACTGATTCATGCATTTATATATATATACCTTCGGGAGTAGCAATGAATGTCTCTCTTTTTCTCAAACGATGCCCCATCAGAGGCCACATCGTGTTCTTTCACAGTGATTCATTTTTTCATTTATTACATTCAAGCTCGTCATTTCTCTATCTTTCTTGTACATTCAGCATGAAAAGCAAGTATGTAAACTTGGACCCTTTTCTTTTTCGCCAACATGCCGTACTTTAAAAAACTCCTTTCCGCCTCCCCCCTTTTTTTGGTTCTCGTGTGCGCATGCTCCCTACAACATAGCCCATCCCGTTCAAAAATTAAATATTGACGGACATTCCCAAATGCTTTACATGCCGCCCATTTCCCGCCCGAGCCCACTGCACGAATGCACCGGTCTTGGAAAAAGTTGTAATATACACAGGGAGGTAGAGAAATACCTATGTACCAAGAATACAAATCCAAGTAGGATAGATATGTGGCAATCTTGGGACATAATAGTCCTCTCTCCCCTATAAGAATTGGAGAGTCACCGCCATAAAAATGTCACATACAAGCTCCCCCTCCCCATTTCTCAACTAGGCGTTGATTGAACCCTTCTGTGAGAAAGGTCTTCAAATGATGGGGATTCTTTTTTCTCCTCTTCTTTGTTCCCTTCGCTTTCCATCCTTTCTCCCGTCGTTATGTAGAGGGGTATGGACCGGGACCAAAAAAAGTAACGATATTCATCATCAAATATATAGCGATAAAAAAGATTCTTCTCTTCGTTTTTTTTCTTCTTTTTCTTTTATTTTTCTTTACTAATCAGACAGTCGTGAGTGAGGCGGAAAAGAGATGAATACTCGTCCTTCCGTTGGCCAGCGGTCCTACTACATTAGTCGTCTATCAATCAAGATCCGATTATGGATTCCGTGATGCGCTGGGAGTTTCCGGTTGTGACATTTTTTAAAATGGAATGTTGGGAGGAGCCTGGCTGCCCAGAGCTTCCTGCTGGTCTTGGAGCTCTTCGGGGGCAGCCTCAATTGAGACACCGAGGCCTAGCTTGGCTTGTTGCTAAACAAACAGTTAGTCTTGAAAATATTTTGTTGCTTGTAATTATAGTACACATACCGTGAAGTGATCAATATCGGCAGCAAAAGTCATCATGACGGGGGGAGCGACGCGCTTCTCCAGCAGGCAGCTCAGCTTACCCTTGGAGTCGACCTGAGCTCGGAAAGTGGACATGCGGAAATCGTACTTGGCACCAATGGTGGTGACGCCCTCTTTTTGCAGGCCACCACCCATCAGACCACCGGGAGAGGGAACGAGGCCGAGGCTCAGGTCAACACCAGCTTGAACCTTGTCAGACAGCTTGCGCCAGTATGAGGCATTGACGGTTCCCATGGCAGCTTGCAATTGAGCAGTGGCGACCCAGTCAGCGGCCTTGTATCGAGCGCAGTAGGAGACGGCACATTCGGGACCTTGAGTCAAAGCGGGGCGTTGCCAGAGAGTTTCCAGACCGAGAGCGAGCTTGGGAGTGATGGACTGCAGGTAGCTTCCAATGTAGATGCCAGTCATGCCGCCTTCGAGGAAGGAGGGGTTGAGCATCTTGAGAGATGCGCTGAAGTCATTGCCAGTATACTCGTGTTCGAACTGGGCCATGTCCTGGCCACCGGGGGAAATGGACAGCTGGGACTTGGAAACCAGCTTGTCGGTCCATCGGTAGTTGAAGCGGCCGGAGAGAGAGCCCTCGTTGTCAATGTTGCCTTGGCAGAAGACCTGGAGTTGAATTCCGAGTTAGTTATCAAGCCGGCACTGCGACCTGTGCGCGGATTCCAATGCATTGCTGCTTACCTTGCCGGTACCGTACATGGCAGCAAAGGTGTACGGGTTGATGCGTTCACCCATTGCGAACTGGTGAGACACCTGGAACAGCGGCGCCATGCTGAAGATCTTTGTCAGGTCGGCACGGATGCCGGTGAACATGTAGTTGTTGAGGAAGACATCGCGCTGGACTTCCTTGGACAATGCCTCGATTGTGCCAGGGTTGCTCAGGCCGAGCTTTGCTCTCCGCTCGGAGAAGTAGTTGACGGCATCTCCTATTGTAGCGGCGACGGGGTTGGAGAAGACGAGGGACCGCAATGTGTCCACGGGGGTGGCCATGATGGCGGTATTATGTGGCGGCTCTGGAGCCGAGCCGAGTGAAAACCGGTGGGCGAAGAGGGACCGCAGATGACAGGCGAAGAAACCGAGTCGCCTCGCTGCGCCGGCAAGAGGAGCGAAGAAGGAATCGGTGTCTCAAAGATTGTTCAAGGCCTCAGGCAAGCCTCGGCTGTAGATGTTTGCTGCTCTGCCGCAAGAAGCGCAGTGTCAAGCTCCGAAGGCGGCTATAATGGGATGGAGTCGTTGAGAATAATTTTCAACCGACCCAGTTTGTCAGTAGCCTGCGGGAGCTGCACGAGCCACTTTGTGACGCTGCCAGGTTGCGTGCGACAAACTTTCAGCCTTTTTTTCAGTGGCGGGCTATGCGATAATCCGGAGCCGATGGCCGCGGGGCACGTGGGCTGGTAATGTATTAGTGCCAGCACTTGCATCCGGGTTCTCTGCAATTGTATTACAAGAGGTAGAGTTGTTCTTTGTAGTTACTACTAGGTAGGTGGGTATCTATGGAACTGATATGTTTGATGTTTAGGTGCCTATTTAGTATAGGAAATTTGAGTAGAGATGTGATTCCCTTATTTAAAGTACAACATTCGAAAATTATTTTTCTATAGTCTTCTATGGACAGCAACCCGCCATAGATGGCACGGATACCATAATTGGAAGACAGTTGATGGTGGGGCAGGTACTGAGAACCTAAGCGGCCACTGCCGTCAGGTACCTCGGCTCCTGCGCCCAATACTGACTGTACCTTTGCACGCCGTTGAATTCCTCCTTAGGTAGTACTCGATACTTATGCGCTACCCAGCACCGTACCAGCCAGTGCAGCGTCCCTCCGTAAGTGCCCGTAGCGTTGTCCCCCTTGCATGAACGGCCACTTCATTTTGCATCCGTCACTCTCAGCACCCTAGAACCGAATATATCCGTCCCTGCGACTCGCCGGGGCGTCGAAAGCGACCCTCAGCTCCTCCATCTCCTCGACAGGCTTGATTGTTGTTTAAGCCTGCGCTGGATAGGCTAAGTCGACAGCCAAGCTCGCCATCTCCAGCCACTCAGTCGCCTTCTTGTCTGATCCTGGCGGGCATCATTCCTCGAAGCGGGGCCAAAGGCTGAGCTAAGCCGGATCTCATCTCGCATATCACACCGCATCCCAGATCGCCAGCTTCCCACAAACTCACTTATCGTATTATTGCTTCTCAGTCAATTTCGAATTCTGTCGAATATCATTCTGTCATTGTTTATTATTATCTTTCAGTGTTGGGAACTCAGATATCATTGGCGGCCACTCCGAGCCTTGAAAAAGCCCAACAAAGCGTCGGCTAGGATTATTGCTATCTAGCCGAGACCAACTCGACTCGCAAAGATGGATACCTTACTGTAGGTGACTTACATACGCTCGCGCAGATTCCTACATAAGGAATATTCATACTATGGATATGACCTTGTGACATCTTCACGAAGCTCTCATCCTCTATACAGCTCCCCTGCTCTATTCCAGCTTAATCCACTCCTGGCCCAATCTCCTTGGCCACATACCACAGCAATTGGAAAAACAGATTTCATATTGACGAATCTTTGGCGATCTTACTTTCTTATTTCTTTTTTCACTTACACGCAAGTTAATTATCTACATGAAATTTAAGCTGATTAAACGGTATTCTAGGACAGCTGAGATTGCGGCCAACGCCCCCCGGTACCGCCGGAGGAGCTCGACCTTCATTGATAGTATTCATGATGTGTCGGAAGATAATGATATGGCGCCGGCCCAGCTGTATAGTACCATGTCTGGACGGCTTTTCCACTCCGGCCGTATTACTATTGTTATGGTTGGACCACCCGCTCGCGGCAAAACGTAAGTTTAGAAAATCTATGGCTGCAGCAATTGGATCGAAAAGCTTACAACAGACAGGCACATATGTGTGTCAATGGCACGTTACCTTCAATGGCTTGGCGTTAAAACTCGTATTTTCCACCTAGGAGACTATCGAAGAGCAACAATAGGCCCTGATGGTTCACTTCCTGACGATTACTTCTTCCCCGATGCTTCTCCTTCATCTGTCATCCTCCGCCAAAAGATTCTAAAGAAATGCCGTGAAGATATCTATGCCTGGTTAAACCATGAAAATGGCCAGGTTGCTATTTACGATGCAGTCAACCCAACGGCGAGTGGAAGACGTTCCCTAGCCAAGGAATTCGCAAAGCACGACGTCCAGGTGAGGAGTCGAAATTGCCGGCATTTTAGTATGGTTTATTTTATCAAGTGTACTGATACCTGGTGCTGTGTAGACTCTATTTATTGAATCATATGTGGACGACGAGCGGATTTTGCATGACAACGCCATCAATGTCAAGATTTCCTCGCCGGATGTAGGTCTCACAAAGCCATTCTATCATATCCCTTTTCTTCAGCCACTGACCGTAGCCATAGTTTGCTGGAATGGATCCCGAGGTAGCGGCAACCATGTATCTGAAAAGAATAGAAATGAGGATTCCAGTATTTGAAACTATGAACGAGGAAGAACTCAACTATATCAAGATGATCAATGCCGGAGAGAAATTCTTCTACAATAACGTTAGCTTCGGCTACTTGTCGCACAGAATCGTCTTCTACCTCACCAACCTTCACATCAAATCACGAACAACCTTCTTTGCCCGTGCGGGCACAACAACAGAGGAAGATTCGTACAAGGCAGACGCAGACCTCTCAGAACAAGGCAGATTTTATGCCCAGAGAATGTCTGAAACACTCATCAAACATCGCGAACAAGAAAGACTGGAATTGATTGCCAAAGGCGGACCTGATACTCCTCAACGGCCTCTTTCTATCTGGACATCAACTCGTCTTCGCACAATACAAACTGCCGACTATCTCAAAGAAAAGGGATACAAGGTTCGACAACGTTCTCAAATGAGCCAAATCAACCCTGGCGTCTGTGAAAAGATGTCAGAGCGAGTGATCAGGCAGATATATCCTGAAGAAGTTGAGAAGCATGGACTTGATCCGTATCATCATCGATATCCTCGTGCCGAAGTAAGTTATATTGGGTTCACTAGTTATACCAGTGTCCGACGGCTAACTCGATACTTGTCAGTCCTATCATGATCTTGCTGTTCGACTTGAGCCTATCATCTTGGAGCTGGAGCGCGAACAGAGTGATCTCTTGATTATCGCTCATGAGTCTGTTCTTCGCGTGCTCTTCGCCTATCTCATGCACTGTTCTACTATGGATATTCCTAACCTCAAATTCCCTCGCGACGAGATCATCGAGATTATTCCTGCCGCATATCAGAACGAAGCAAAGCGTATCCGTATTCCTGGATTAGATCCGAAGCTGCTTCCGGGCTCCCCTGATGATATCAGGATACCAGGTAGCCGACCTTTGAGCAGACCTGAGAGCGGCCAGATGAGTCCCATTCCCGGCGGCTTGGGTAGTCCAGCTGAGCCTTTAGAGAGGCCGAGCTCAGAGAAAGTAATCAACACAGCGAAAGACATGGTGGCAGACAAGATCCACGACGAAATTTAAGTAGTGAGCATCAGCATCAGAATTTACAATTACGATTCAATTCTTACTAAAATGAAGAAGCGAGAGAGGCTGGTCGTATTGTGATGTTTTATTTATTATGCCGAGCAATGGATTCAAGACAAACAGACGCCTTTTGGTAACGTAGCCAATATTGGCAGTTCCCTGACAATGACATTTAGGTATATAACGAAAAGGAGAGCCCAGCCAAGACTTCCATTCAGCCAATAAGATCCCCAAAAATTTCCGACCCTCCCGCTCCTTTGAATGAACGAACTCCATGTATTTTCAGATTGTTCTCCCTCCTTTAGGTGACACTTCCGGTCAGCCGCATAGAGCTGGACCAAAGCCCAGGCGCCCCTGGCTCCTAAGATATGAAGCGGAAGGAGAATGAGCTGGTTAACCGGCTGAAGATGTGGCATAGATTTCGAGACACGTCTGTTGAATCGAAACACCACCCTACAGCTTCTAGACCATCTTTGCCGCTTTTTGTGCTGCCCAGACGATGCAGGAGGCCCAAAGCAGACACACAAGCAGACGAGCGGGCGGGTTCTCTCTCTCCATTTCTCTCTCTTGTCTCTGTTTAATACACCTTCCAATATTTCTCCCTGCATATGCGAGTTTCAGCTCCGAGATTGTAGGGTTGCATGTGAAAGATTTGAGCTACGCTCACACACTAAAACGTGCCGTCCCGACTCTACCTTTTGCATACGCTACGCGGAGTACTACCTTATGGTCTCAGCTTCGACGCTTTTCTTTTCTCTTCTTTTTCTTTTTCTATCTTCTCCCTTGGGTTAGGGACAAGGGGTATAGCTCGACGCAGAATTGGAAGCTCTTACCCTCCCATAGAATATGGCTCTATCTTGAGTGTCTGAGATGCGTTACGCAAAGCTACATGTACTTGCGGCTGTATTTCGCTCTCCCTCCCTCCCTGTCAGATCACCACGAGAAGCTTATGAACTATTATTAACCTGTACGACCATCGCTCCCCCCCCCCCCCCCCCCCCCCTTTTTTTTTTTCCTTCCCCCCCCCCCCCCCCCCCCCCCCCCCCCCCCCCCCTTTTTTTTTTTCTCCTACGTCCCATCCGACCGCCGTCTGCATGATAGCAAAGATATCGAACGATTTCTGGTTCTCTTTTTGAGGCTAAAAGAGAGAGATACTGCTTCTTCCCTTGCAGCTTCTCGCTGCCACTTCAGCTGTCTGACGTTACATTGAATCCCGAATGAGCTTGCAGCCTGATTTCCTCAGGGTCATTGAATCAAGAATCACCGCCACCACTTCCGCCGCGGAAGACGGGGGAAAAAAAGGAGGCGAGGCAAGGCGAGGCTATGGATAGATCCGCAGTGGGCTTTTTACTCTTTGCGAGCTCACTGTCGCAGCCTAGATGGCAGCGGATGGAGCGGGAAAGGACGGATGCAACATCCGAGACGGGTTTTGAATGCAAGGGGACAAGGGGAAAAATAAAAGGAAGGCGTATAGTAGTTCGGAGCAATAGTAGTATTAAAAAAAAAAGGCAGATATAAAACACTTGCGAAATCCCACGGACTGAAAGTGTCTGAGACATACAGTTCCTTATCTACAGTAGATGGCTTATGATAAGTGGTAAGCTTTTCTTTAGAGTAAAATGTACCAGTCTTATGCGAATTGTTTACAAATAGCTTTACTATTGTTGTGATGCGATTAGCTGATCGTACTTGGGGGCCTCTTAGAACCGCCTTGTCCATATCGGTCGGAAGATGAGCCGTCGATTTAAGTCTACGTGCGGTACAAAGTAGATGGCTGATTACATAGACTGAGTAACGTTTTAAGGCCAGACTGGGAGATAAAGGACATAAGCTGACGGATTTGTTGGATGACCTCTTATGCTTCATATTGTTAGAGTAATATACTGCATTGTTGTTGTCTACAGGCCGAGAGAGCAACTTGGCTCCGTACATTAATGAATCGTGACGACGAGGCTTAACGGCGGCTTATCCAATGAATTCTATTTACAGCCCAACCTTGTCAGCTGAATCTCTGTCCCAGCTACTCCCCTACTCCCTTGCATGCCATGATGTCTGTTCTACCCGTGTCGCTAGCCCAGAAGCCCAAAATTGCCCCTGGGCCCTGAGCCATCTATCTCCTCTAACCCATTATAGCGCAAAGTACATACATCTTGAGACAGATATACTATTGACTGTCACTACTCTCCTACACCCTAAATTAGATCTCGCTAAGGCACAACTAAACCCCGAGGCCAAAAGACCATGCTGGCTCCTGAGGTCTCATTGGTATTAAGCCTTTCCTACAGACCGTATTGGAAGGATACTGAGATCGCTTAGACCGTGCCTCTTTCTCGCATTGCAGGTATACTTGGTCTGGTTGTTTCACGGTACGGCACAGAAACACTGGCCTCGAATTGAGGATGTATGTATCCTGGAGACTGTCACAGCTCTCATACAACCAGGGTGGCTGAATAAAGCTGGAGAGCCGGTAGCGAACGTCATAGCTGCATCTGCTGTCCACATTCTTCATGGCTTTGTTTTCCACTTTCAGGTATCGGCAGCCCCCCTTCTGCGGTGACATTTTCATCACCCACATGGCAAGATGGCCGGTTACTCTTACAAAGCGTGATGAATGCCCTGCAGGTTAACCGCACGAAGTAACGCAAACAGGGGCTGCTAGAGAGTTTTCATGACGGCAGAAGTATGCATGTATATAGTAGTAGTATATATGAAGTAGCCCCCAAGACGAAGACTAATGGCCACCAAGGAGATAAGCTCCTACGCGGCCGGTGGAAAAGGAGCCGCGACTAAAGTGTAACGCTCATCCGCCGGCCGATGGATGCAAATGCACGAGAGAGGAACAGCTTTCCGTGGCTGGTGGTAGTAAATACCAATCAGATACCTACCATCTGTCTGATGTATACCTTGCTCCCTGCAGCTGCAAAAGGCCGTCTGACCATAAGCAAGGGGTAAAGGTAGTCTTGTGAGTGAAAGTATTACTACTTGCAGTGTTACTGCACTAATAAGTACTGCCGACAAGTCTTACAGTTGGGATAGGTGGTAGGTAATAGCTTTCTTTCCTTTCTTTATTATTATTATTATTATTATTATTATTTTGCAGTGTGTTCCCCTTTTTATAGTCAATCAGTGAAATTGTTCTCTAGGTGTGACGCGGTATGGGAGATGAGCATTCGGATTCGGGGTCCCATCCGGGGTCCCCTACGTCTCTTAGTCTATCGACTGCAGAGTTGTTTGGTCATATACGACTTGGTGGTTTTGAAATCTAGCTTTTATGGGTGTTACCAAGGCTTGAAGTACATGCATGGAGCATTATGCAGTTCTTCACCAAAGAAGCATCACGACGAGCGGGTAATGGCGTATATCTTGCAGACGGTAGCAAGTCCGCAAGCTCGTACCACTATGTGCTGATGATCTTTTTAGTACGTTGCTTTGTATCGGAACAATTGTTTGCCTCTCGGGTTAGCAGGTACGGCTAGGTATAGCAGTAGTAGTACTCCGTAGTAGTAGTAGTGGCAATAAGTGTCCCGAAGAGATCGGGAATGGCAGCCTTTGTGGCGATGCGCACTCAGTTCAGGAAAAAGCAGATTCACTTGGCGAGCAACAAGAAAGCAAATCGTCTGGTCAAGTGCGATTTCTTCTTCGCTGCTGTGTACCGGCTTCACAGGTCATGTCGATGCACTTCCATCGTTGCAGCGCATCGCGGCCACCACATTGGGGTCAAGTCCCGTACTTGCGTCTCCCACAGACTTAACAGGGGCTGCTCAAGGTCTCGTGGCCTCGGTGTGGGGCCTTGGAAAGACATGAAATGAGATGCTAGACAGAGCACTCCATAATGCTCGTAAAGCTAGCAATGGATGAACCGCAAAGACACGTCCTATTCACACGCGCAGATTGCAGGTAGCACCGAGACGGACTTAGATTGAGGCTCCAGCAGCATCTCATCACCGCCCAGAACGTTTCCATCTGCTACTAAAGCGCCATGTAGCTTATTTAGATCAGGGTCTCGGTGGAGTAGGCAGCTCCATTGGTATGCCATCTCTTGCGAGACAGTTGAATGTGGAGCATTGTATCTCGTCGTGAGTTTGAAGCTCAGAAAGTTTGCAACGTACAGTATACGCCGCGTCAAACAGCAGCAACCGGTGCTACATCCGCCGATTAACTGGGGCGAGCCGGACAAGGCGCCACATTGCAGCTCAGCCAATTGACGATGGCGATTGGCTGTTGCGTCGTTGCTCTGAAGGGAGGCACTGGTTCTGCCAATTGAGACGGGGCTGGTAGCTGGTCATCCTCTGGCAGCAAAGCTCAATTAGATGTCAGGTCGGACTCCACAGGCATACATTCGTACTCCTGTCTCGTTATGCGCGTTGATGGGGATTTTTCGCCATGGGAGAAGAAATCTTCAGGGTCTTAGCGTTGCATGATCTCGGTCATGCGACCCTGACAAAAAGGAAGACAAAGGGAGGCAAAAAAAAAAAAAAAAACAAAGGACTACAAGAGGAAAAAAATAATAATCGGTACAGTCGGCCAACTTTGGCTCAGGCAGCCTCGTCTTTTTGGCAATCAAAAGTCTTAGCAGAACAGCAATGATGCTACTAAGCTGGGCTGACGGCATATTCCCGCTGTCTCAGAGATACCAATACAGTAGTAATAAGATCGCCCTCAACGTTTGGGCTGGCTAAGAATTAACTGACGATGCACACAGCGCGGCAGGTTGGCAGACTAGTGTTACTAGCTTTCGCCGGCTCTGTGTCTCGCCCAGATGACTTTCAGCATGACGTTGAGCCCCAATGTGACCAAGACAAAAACGACTTAACTCCAGCCTGGTGAACAGGGGGGAAGGATACTTGCAATGTTGGCGTTCGCGCTATGCTACGTGGGCCTTTGCCATCAGCAGCATACTGGTAATGTGCAGAGGAAACGCCGAGCTGTGCTCACTTTGCGTAAGTCATGATGGTAATTGGTGCTCCATGAACGNAAGGGGGGGGGGGGGGTCTCCGGAGGGGCCATTAATCTCTCAGAGCTCATATCTCCGACTATTTAATTGCGAGGCCCTGTGCCGTGGAGAGACTGAGATGTAAAGTATGGAAAGCTGATGGTAGTCAAGCCGTGCCCACAGAAAGCCCCATAGAGGCTGGAGCTAAGGTGCCCCCGTCGCCAAAGCAGACAGAAAAAAAGATGGAGAACAGCACCGAGATAGCGAATACCAGAGCTTTGGTTTGCATCCATAGCTGGATCTGAGTATCGCTTTCTAGTGGTAGCGGTATCAAGCCGTTGGAGACAAAATCACGGATCGGCCTTCCAAATGGCAACCCTTGGAGAAGGGGAGGGGCCAGGAGGGGCCGGATGTGCCTCTAATGCCTGGATGCTGCAGCTGGTGAGGGGAACGGAGGGGATTTTGAGAATGCTCTGCCAATGCCAGCAAACTAGCAATCAAGCACACAAACCTTGGGTTGGGGCGCTTTTATCCACCGTGGCCGTGGATGCTCCTTTTCTCGTGAGAATCTCGACGAGTGTCGTTGCTCCACCATGGATATGGTCTGGCGAATGGTGCTTGATTGCCTCTGAAGAATGTGCTCGCACAAGCACTACTTGCGCTTTGCACTATGTCAACCTCGGATTCCAGGCACAGAGCCTTGTCTTGCTTTCAAAGCTGAATGCTGGGATGCCGGTCGCTGGGATAATCCCAATAAAGATGACGCCCTGCTGCCACTAAAAAAAAAAAAAGGCGCAGCTACCGTCCGCGACCCGCTAACAACGCTCTGAGAAACGCAAAAGAAAGGGAAGCCTGCATTGGATGTAGTGATGGACACATGATAAGCACCTCGTCGTCTCTGACTGCTGCTGAATGACCAGATACATGACAGTACAAAGAAGCCATTGCTCAACTCTAGGTCGAGTCTTTGACGTAAGTTGCAAACGGTAAGCAGCACCGTCTTTCTTCTCAAGCCGACACTGCAAGCCTCAGCCAAACCATTGATTATTGATCGATGGCTACCAGGTTACTTATATAAAGTCTCCGTACTCGTCGTTAATATGCCTGCGCAAGAAATAAACCCACCCCAGCTTGCCGCTACGGCGCGTTCCTTTCGGCCCCTTGCTGAAACTCGGCGTTGAGTGTAGGCAGGAGGATATTCCGCTGGAAAAAACAAATAAAAGCAAAAGTAAAAGAAAGAAAAAAAAGACCAGTCACATCCTTGCTTGGTGTACGCATATACTAGCACTGCTGCACGATGCTACATTTCTATATGTGGAAGCAGAGGCAGCAGTAGCGCATGCACCTATGAATAGCGTGTCAGATGTCGGCGTTGCCACACGTATCTGCTTATTATGAGCACATGCAAGCATCCGAATCTCTGACTGCGAGGAGCCTGAAGGCGAAGCTGCTTGTCTTGCGACTGGGCTGCACTTGTAGCATCCTGATTGAGCCAGATGCGTCGACTTGTTTCAGGGACCCGACTCAGGGCTGGCTTGTCTTGGCTTTGCTTGGCTGTGGCAAGCTCACGCACACACATATTTGCAGAAGTAGGGCGTGCGGCTTATGGGAACGTGCTTCTGCTGTCGAGTGTGAGGTCATCATCCATGGGTCCTATTTTGGGCAAACGATGCTACTTGCAAATCGTCGATTCCCACAGGGGCATACTTGCACTGGCGAGATACACCCTTGGCAAAACGGCAATGGGCCGGAGAAAAGTAGCAGACAACGGTAGCCAAGAATTGAGCCAACTGAGCACATATTAACCGGTAGATGAGGAGGGATTCAGAGACACTGCCACATCTGGCGTGACCTGGATGATATCACTAGCAATATGATTGGAAGCACCACCCCTGGGGCATATTGTGAGAATCCTGATGCATGCACTACACATGCAAGCCGTATGTAGGTATGAGCGAAATATATAGGTAGTAGTATATCAAATTCTCGCCTGTGCGTTCGGCCGCAGATCGCAGAGATAGATGCTGGCCCCCGGCTGCGTACATCTTGCCGCTGGCTGGAGCTAGGGTCTCCAAGGTTTGGGCCAATTTGAACCACCTGCTTCGTACGGAGCATTTCTCGAGAACAGAGCGTTAAGTTTAAGCTGTTGTCGTAAGAGGCGGCGTTTGCTGAGGGCGATTAATCAAGGCGAAAAAGGGGTGTGTGTGGTGGCGGATATAAGCCAACGTGGTTAAGGGGCACATCCGTCATTCCCATCAATTGACTCTAATCAACAACCCCAACAGCTTTCTTTCTGTCTGTGCCCGAGATGAATCGCCCCAAGGAAAGATCATGATCATGAGAGATGAAGAGATGATCGTCAAATGACCTGGCAGACGGTAAGCGATTTGTGGAAGCCTCTTGCAGGGCCATAATTAAAAAACTCGGCCGTTACTCAGCATCCAAAAAAGACGGTGCTACCGGCATATCAGGCCATGGCTTCTTGCCACCCTATTAAACGCAACGCCTGAGCTATATCCGTATTAGGCCAGACTTCGTAATCGTGCCTAGCATCTGGGGGTGAAATAAGGTAGAGGCAGCAGCCAGTAGGTTCCGAGAAAAAAGGGGAGTCGTCTGCGATGATGATGCGGTTATCTTTTGGGTATCTGCGCTACTTGCCTTGGTAGGGCACGCAGAACCGACGTCAAGACGACCAGCCCGGAAGCTGTGCCTGCACCTTGCCAGTACCGGTACCTGAACATCGCCTCGTGAGCTGCCGTCGGGCCAGTGCTTCGACGCTGTCTGATCTGATGGTAAGGCGGCTTATGCTTAGCAGCCCGGCTCTTGTCCGCGAAAACCTCTAGCTCTATTACTCCGTAGAGCGCTGTGAGTTTGCCATCCGGGCCTGGGACGACGCTGGACAGCAGCAAATGGCGTCTACAGGTACTAGTGGCCACTAGAAGAGCTTCAGGCTTGCATGGTTCGCTGCATGGCCCTGTCTTTGACTTCCGCTTACCGAGTTTTAGCGCCAGGTGCCCGTCTCAAAAATGAGCACATGAGCACCTCGAGCCTAACGCTGTGGATCCCCTACTGGATCTCTGGCTGGCGCTGCGAAGTACTGTAGGTCCTAGGTGGTACATGCTTTACTGTACTAGCAGCAGCACTTGTAGAATTGTGCGCAAAGCCGAGCAAGAGATGGACAAAAGAAACGCGAGCGAGAGGGAAAAAAGGTTGCCGGCATTGGGCCATCTAGTATTACCTACCTACCTAGTGCCTAGTAGATGCCTTGCGTGCTGGGTACCCGTACCTGCCGCAGCCCAAGCGAGTCCGGCAGGCACAAAGCAACACCGGTACCTACCTACCTTACCTTTCCCACAATAAGCGCGCCCCTACCGGCCTGTATCCATCAAATTTCTCTGCATGGAGTGCATGTACTCCGTAGCAGGTCACCCGCCATCGCGCTGCTGTAGTAGGCTTAGGCTCCCCTCCTGGGCAAGAGCTACTCGTGGATTACCTCACTTGTTTCCTAGTATGTAATGCTTCGTGCTGCCCTCTGCACGCTCGCGTTGTCTCTCTTTCCTCGAGCTTTCCAACCCATTGATTGATCCATTGGCCGGGAAGGAAAGAGAGAAAGGCATCAGCATCGTCTGCATTGCGTGCACTTCTGCAGCTTGCTGCTTCCACGGCACTTTCCTTGTAAAGAACGCTCGCCGGGTTGTTGGCTTTCGGTACCTCTCGTGCGTTGGTCAGGTGGTTACTCGAGGTAGCCTCGCCCCGTCCGCCCTCGCTAGAGACTTTTATTACCGCGCCTCGCCCTCCCCTCTTCGACTTTTTCTACCTCACCTTGAATCTTTCTTTACACCGAGCAGACCAAAGACACAAAGTGTACGTGAATCACCGCTGGCCACGCTGTCCCCCTCCCCTCCTAAGACAATCCGTGGATAGCTCTCCTCCAGGGAATGCGTGGCATCCCCTCTGTGTTTAATGAAGAACCTGTTGGGCTGATGATGGAATGACTCTCAAGAGCTGTGCTGCAATTTGACCCTGAGAAAGCAGCCAGAAGCAGGTGCCCCGCATCGCCGCAAAGTGTAATAGTGCAATTCGAGAGCAGCAAGCAGAAAGTCAATCAAGCAGTGCAACGCGACAGACAGCGAGTAATCGTCAAGAGCATCTCCCGGGCGCGCACCTCGTAATCGGCCGTCGGATCACGATAGAGTTTCTGTTCCTCGTGCAAGACCAGAATTTCTTCTTCGAAGCCCCGTGCAGCGTTTTCTCGTGAGCCTGCGCAGCAAGGACGAGATTCGTGCCGTCAGCATCGCGCCGTGCTCCACAGCCTCCGTTCCGGTCCTGACGTACCTCCTCCACCAAAAAGCCTCCCGTTTCTGCTCCTGAGCCGCCAACGCTACCACCGACAAATTTCGCAAGACGACAGCCAATACTGCCACGCTTCAGCAGCTCTTTCTCTCGTCAGCCTCCCCGACGCTTCAATTAGCATCGTCTCGGCCGTGAGCCTGCATCCGGTACGTCCATCTCGCCTCTGTTCTCGTTCGGCAGCGGCGCAGCGCTGTTCAAAGCCCTCACCAGCGACTCGTGCTGCCTCGAGCCTGGCATCACCCACTGCCCTTTCTCTCTCCTTGCGGTATCCAGTTTTCTCGTTGGCCTCACGAGGCTGCAACTCAGCTCACAACATTTCAAACCCCCAACTACCCTCCCCAGCACTTTCCCCTTCGTTGCGTGGCCTCTCCTCTGCTGCCTTGCTGCTCGTCGCCTGTTGCATGTCACGAGCCCACCTCGTTAAGCACCCCGCCCTGCTCCCTCCAAGACCCGCCTCTTCCTCTCTGTGCCCAGCATTCTCGTGCCACTACACCAACCACTACCAGGTAGCGTTTTTTCGACCTATGGAATTCTCTCTACACCCGCAGCCGCTTGTCACGTCCTGATTGCATGTACCTTTTACACTACACCTTAGCAGCAGCTGTCTTTCTAGGAGGGGCATCCTTTTCTTTTTTTCCTCTTCCTTTTTTTCCCCCCTTCCCACCCTTCACTCTCCTACCCATTCTACTGTCATACTGCCTGGCGCAGGTGAATTCTTCCCATCGCACCGAGCAATCCTTGCACTTTCGCATCAAATTCCGGGGGCTACTTTTTCCGCGCCTGTTGGTCATTTCATCACTGGTAAAGCTACCAATTTTTTTTTTGCCCTGCGCGTCCGCCTTAGCTGGTGCCTTTTCACCCATCCAGCTTCAGCTCCAGTCCCCTTCCCTCCCCGCACTTCCCATTTCGCCCTGGCAGCGAGCGTGTCACCACAATTTGTGACCTACCTGTTTGCACTTGATTCCAATCGACGTTGCATTCTCCAATTCTGATCCTATCAATTCTCTTGATTCGCGCTCCTTCTGATCTCAAAGCGGGAATTTTTGTCGCTAACTCTCGGGCTCTCTCTCTCTCTTTTTTTCTAGCCGCTTCTCTGCACACAGTTCCGCTAGCAATCTTAGCTGGAACTTGACGAAACTCGATCAGCCGCGTCTCATCGCCGCGACTGCAAAAATACAAGATCGGCTCGCCGCTACCGGCAACTGAAGCTTCTGCGACTCGTCGCGTTGCAATACGTCTGCTATTTGTTCTAGTTTTCGTTGCCCACCACGGCCCTCGCCAAGGCTCTTTCTTTGCTGCCCCTCACCTGCTTATCGCTTGGGTGTTTCAAACCGGATCTTCGATAGCATTGGCGCTCTAGTCACAGTATACGTCGCCCAAAATGTCAACCCACCGGCCGAATGCTTTTAATAGCTTGCGGATGGGAGGTGAGTTCATTTTTCAACTTTATACGCCTTAGCGTATGAAACTGACACATCGGTTTGATATGTAGAGGTCATCCGCGAGAGAGTTCAAGATGGTGTCACGGGCGAGACTAGAGATCTGCAGTACACTCAGTGCAAGATTGTTGGAAATGGCTCGTTCGGTGTTGTCTTTCAAACCAAGCTTTCACCCTCCGGCGAAGATGCTGCCATCAAGCGAGTTCTCCAAGACAAGCGATTCAAGGCATGATTCCCTCACCTCTCTTCTTCCTCACGCTCCTGGCTAACTGTTTTCTTACAGAATCGTGAGCTCCAAATCATGCGAATTGTTCGACACCCAAATATTGTTCAGCTGAAGGCTTTTTATTACTCGAACGGCGAACGTGTATGTATAATCTTAACGCTGTTTGAATGCATTTAAGCTGATAAGATATCAGAAGGATGAGGTCTATCTCAACCTGGTCCAGGAATTTGTTCCTGAGACCGTCTATCGGGCCTCTCGTTTTTTCAATAAAATGAAGACCACCATGCCCACGTTGGAGGTCAAGCTGTACATCTACCAGCTCTTCCGAGCCCTGGCCTACATTCACTCCCAGGGTATCTGTCACAGAGACATTAAGCCTCAAAACCTCCTCCTCGATCCCAACAGCGGAATTCTTAAGCTGTGCGACTTTGGCAGTGCTAAGATCCTGGTCGAGAACGAGCCCAACGTCTCATACATCTGCTCGCGGTACTATCGTGCACCCGAGCTCATTTTTGGTGCTACTAACTACACCACCAAAATTGGTACGACGTCCGGTATCCCATTAAGAGCTATATATGTTTGCTAATCTTATCTATCTGTAGATGTGTGGTCCACCGGATGTGTCATGGCCGAGCTGATGCTTGGTCAGCCTTTGTTCCCAGGTGAATCTGGTATTGACCAGCTAGTTGAGATCATCAAGGTTCTCGGCACGCCGACTCGGGAGCAGATTCGCACCATGAACCCCAACTACATGGAGCACAAGTTCCCGCAGATTAAGCCGCACCCCTTCAACAAGGTCTTCCGAAAGGCTGATGCCAATGCTATCGATCTTATCTCCCGATTGCTGGAGTACACGCCAACCGAGCGTCAGGCTGCCGTTGACGCCATGGTGCACCCCTTCTTCGACGAGCTCAGGGATCCTAACACTAAGTTGCCAGATTCCCGCCATGGAACTGGTCAACTGCGAGACTTGCCAGATCTCTTTGACTTCACTCACCACGGTAGGCCAAGCCACTCAAGCAGTGTGATTTGATGCAATCATCAACTAACCTATTTAGAACTCTCCATCGCCCCCCAGCTCAACCAGCTTCTCGTACCAGCGCACATGAAGCCCGTTCTAGCGGCCCGAGGACTTGATATTGACAACTTCACGCCGATGGCGAAGCAAGACATGCTGGCCAAATTGGACTGAGCCACATGCCGGCTAGATGGAGTTTGGTAGGCTACTGCTGCACTCGTCGAAGCGCTTGGTGTCTCTGGAAAAATAAATCCTGTTCTCGCTCCAGTGCGGAGCTTTGGGTGATGCCGAGGGTAATGGCTCGCTGCTATACTTAGGCCATGCTGAGAGAATGGCGGATGGGATATACGCCCAAAGCTTTTGCTGTGTTGGAGCCTACGTGCTCAGCACCAGGGGACAGGCGAGATGGTTTTTGCGGTCTGTTGTGGAAAGGAGGGCTTCGGAAATTGTCTCAAAATTGGCAAGGAATGGAGGCGTTTTATTTTTGTTTTGGTCCCCTAAAAACCTTGGTTTTCCTGGCAGGAAACTAGGTCATCCGCCAGGGCGAGGGAGGCTGCATTGATGCGCATCTCAGGGAATCGCTTTTTAGACCACATTGATGCATGATGGAGCTGGCTGTTGCTTCTTTTTTTCTTTTCTTCTTTTTTCCTGTTGTCGTGTTACGAGGCTCAGTGAGTGGAGATGGAGGATTATAGGGTCAACGGTTTCGAATGTCGACCTTGTGTCTTGACAATAGTGTCTCCTTTTTCGCCTCCAATACATCGGCGTACAGAGGGAGAGGGAAATCTGGGAGGTGAGAGGAAACGTTGAAATTGCTGGACCAGATTTGATATCTTGGATGGCGGGATATAGAACCCCTGCAGCAAAGCCCGGATGTCGCAGACAATGGATGGGGAAAATGAGCTTTAGCGGGATATTAGGACAGGCATCGTTTAAACAGATGAAAAAAAGGAATGGGAGATGGATTTTTACTACTACTATGAGAGCACTTATGGAAACCTTTACTGATCCTGGCTGAGGTGTGGTTAAAATGATGGGACTGAAAATAAACAAGATGTATGGACAAAAGCAGGTGCGGCAAGCTAGGCGAGCTGCTGAACAAATGGTCTCAACAGGATTAGGGGCGATGCTCCCCTAGTTGAAGCAGTGCGTTTTTTTTTCTAACAAGAGAAGACAAAATATAATAGCATTTGCACCAGAACCATTAATGGGCTGATTCAATGTTGAGCTGTGTAAGGAGCAATGGGCATCTGAGAACACCAATTTGCCATCTATTACTATTTAGCATCAAAATGCTGGTAACACGAGCTCCTGCAGCCGGCTTAAATGGTTCCATATAAAAAACAAAAAGGCTACGTTGTGCAAGAGAAGGCAGTGTAAGTGAAGCTCGTGATTCTATACGGCATAGCCTGAGCGTGGTAAAAGGTGACCAAGCGGCTACGCGTGTGAGAGGAAGGCCAAAACTGCGGCCTGAGGCACGAATGTGGACTAGGGCGCTTGCATGTGCAGACCCGCTTTCTAGCAGGGAATGTAGTTGAGTACTTAGCTCAAGCCTCTTGAAGCCGTCGTCGCGCGCGTTGGCTGCAGCAGCTTTTCCCGAGCTTTAAGCAGCATCTGAAGAATCAATTGTACGCCTCACCATCGCTTTGTGCTTCAGTTGAGGGTCAAATCATGGCCGACTACGATCGAAGACAGCAGGGCAGCTATAACCGCAAGAGGAGGTACAGAGGTTCGTCTGTCAAGAGTGCCCCCATATCCCATGCTACACGCTCTGCAGAAGCTGATGCGACCGTCTCCCAATCCAGATGACGATGATCATTATGACCGCCGCCAGCAGCGAAGGCGAATAGACTCAGCGCCACCGCCTGTGCGCCTTCGAAGACAGCTCCTCAGCATCGCTGATTCCCCTCTCCGCCGGTGGGGTGAAGAAGTGCAATCGATTGCTCGCCTGGTGGCCGACAACTACGATGACGAGAACCTACGCAATACCTTTGTGAATTTGGCCATGCAGTTGGTTGTCGAGCAGCCTCTGAAGACTCCGTTTGTGGCGGCTGTGGTGCTGATGGCGAACACTCTCAAGCCCGAGATTGTGGATGTCATTTTGACGCTCGCTACCCAAGAGACAGAGAGCAAGATTGCCAAGGGGGAGTGGAAGCTTGTGAAGCTGCATTTGAAGTTCTTGGCATGCCTTCAGGCGTGCTTGCAAGGCGATGGAATCTTTCCCCTACTCGAAGAACTCTTCAACCGCGCGGCTGACTTGCAAACTGCAAGCTCCGAGGATGTAGGTTCCCCCTTTTCTACTTATCCAAGTCTTGCATCTCAGACCTGTTCACGCACTAACAATTACATCTAGACCATCGGCACGGAAATCGTCAAGATCATCCTGCTCACGATCCCTTACATCATGGCCGCTGCTCCCGGCCAATTCCAGCAGAAGGCGGCAGATCTCATGGACAAGACCGACATTATCGCGTCTGAGCCTCATGCGCTCCAGGCCTTGGTTGATCCCTATCACCCCGACATCAAGAATGAAGGCTCATCGGCGTCTCTAAGCTTGTGCATGCTTCTGCAAAAGCAACTGCAAGCTGAAGCCGCTAAAAACTGGGAGCTGACCTGTATTCCCCGACCTTGGAACATGCCCCTGGAAGAGATTGAATCTCAGGATAAGCTTGCCAATGCACCAAAGCACGAGCTGCCAAAAATCTCCATACCGACAACGGTGATCGCCGGTCCCCGGCCACTGTTCCCTGAGGTCTACTTCTCTGTCTACTCCGACCAGGATGTAGAATCCGTGCCTTCGACGGATAGCGTGGCGTCATCCTTAATAAGAGATGGCCTTACCGACACCATCAACGGCCTTCATTTCAATAGAAACGCCACGGCCAGATATCTGATCGATTTAGACTGCTACTTTGCCGATGATACCTTTGTCAAGCGGGCAACCCCATTTGATGAGCTGCGCAATGCGACACCAGGAAAGCCCACATGGAAGCCTGAAGATGTCGCTGTCGACATTGTGTTTGCGCAGCTGTTCCAGCTGCCTTCGCCTGAGCACAAGTTGGTTTACTACCACTCTGTTCTGACAGAAGCTTGCAAGCTTGCCCCAGCTGCCATTGCGCCTAGTCTAGGAAGAGCCATTCGGTATCTATACAACAATTCTCCTCGAATGGACTTGCAGCTGAGCTTCAGGTTCCTCGATTGGTTCTCTCACCATTTGAGTAATTTTGGTTTTACTTGGAAGTGGGCGGAGTGGAGCGACGATTGCAGTCTTCCAGACATCCACCCTATCAAATGGTTTCTTAAAGGCGCCTTGGATAAAGAAGTACGACTTAGTTTCGCCCAACGCATTCAAAAGACCCTTCCGGAGCCGTACCAACCCTTGGTTGGACCTGAAAAAGAAAAAGACGTCCCTGACTTCAAATTTGATAACCCTGGTAGGCCATGGCCCTTTGCCTGTGAAGTATCCTACTGATGCTAACTACCTCGCTTTATCTAGATACGCCATTCTCTAGCGAAGGTCAAGAGATTAGCGGTTTGCTTAAAAGAAAAGCCCCCGATGAAGAATTTCAGCCTATCATTGACAAGATTCAATCTGACGCTAGCGAAAGAGCACTCGATCCGGTCGTTGCAAGCACTGATGTCTTGATGACGGCCATTTGCTGGGTTGGGTCCAAATCACTAAGCCATGTCATAGCATGCATTGATCGAAGCAAAAGCCGACTTCTCGATGCTGCCAATTCATCGCCAGCGGCGCAAAATCAAATCCTGGTTGCTGTCATGGCCTACTGGTACGCACACCCCGGAATTGCCTTGTCGATCGTCGAGAAGCTGGTCAGTTATTCCATTCTTACGCCTTCCTCGATTGTGCGCTGGGCTTTGACGGCCGATCCTGTTGCCGATGGCGTCATTGCCGGCGAGTCCCTTGCCCAGCCTCACATATTTGAGCTTGTCTTGAACACGGTGACCAAAGTTTCTTCCAAAACCCGTCAGACTCTCTCTTCTCCTGATACAGATGAAGAAACACGTAAGATTGAAGCCAAGGCTATTGGAGATCTTTTCAGCACTCTCAACGACTTGTTGTTAAGCTGGGCGAGCGGCAGCAAGGATGAAGTGATGGAGACAGGTGACGGCTCAAGTGAACGCGAGGCTACAATTCGCCAATGGGGCCAGCGGTGGCTCAGAGTCTTCAAGCGACTGGGGGCAATTGAAGAGGCTTTCCTCGTGGAGGCAGCTAAAGAGAAGCCCAGCTCATCCAACGGAGGAGTCGATGCGGTCTAGAAGACCTGGATCGAGGACTATGATTACTATGATGATATATTGTAAAAAGGAGAGGCATTTGACAAGGGAAACCGTTGGGCCTGCGTATGGGAATAAGTTATAAGTTGCTACTGGGAATGTGCATGTTCCTTTACCTCTTTGCTCAGTACCTATGTAATTTGAGGAGAGAGGGTTGATAAGGACATGCTTTTTCTCTAAGCTAGGTTTTCGTTTTGATCCTTTCTCGATTTTCTGTTTTTATAGGCTATTTTAGAGTAAAGTATTCGCGAGGTTTAAAAAAATTCAGAATTTGAGAACTAATCAACTACAAAAGCACTACAAGTGAGACTCGTCTTCTTTGTTTACAAGTCATTCACGTACTAGATCGCGCCTGTGAGGAGAAGGGGATTCGTTGAGAGAAGAATAATCCTTCCTCGTTCTCAACGAATAATTCTCTTTCTCTCTCAAAAAAATTGATGCTATATGAAATACTAGACTATACCCCATCCTTGATAAGTTTCATCATACGCGATCGCGAGCTTCTCACGACTGCCCTATCCTCCAAAAGCCACTTTCTTACAAAACTTGTCTATTCGAGAGAGAAGAAAAAAAAAATGAAATGACAAGACCTATAGTCCCCGTTGTCGTTGCTGTCGTCTTCATCGTGGTATTATACGCATGCAATAGCAAAAAGCAAGATTCGTTACCGACCGTCAACTCCACTTGTTACCGTGTTCCATTTCCTTCCAAAAATCCGTTATAACTGTCCGAAGACTCAACTATAGCCAAATCAAAGTGATAAAAAAATGCGTTAAAGAAAAGAGGAGAAAGAAAACTTTCGTCCAGAAAGAAATTTATTCGTCGTCATCAAGTCGCAGTGTCATGCTATCAGTTTCCTCTTGATTGGTTGCGGCATCGTCCCGACCGGTATGACAGGCGGTTGAGTTTTTTCGCCCATCCGTTTGAGTTTCTCGAGTAAATGACTGTAAGAGTGTTAGACTCGCAATTCTATCAGAGACAGGCTGAGGACGGCGGCGGAATTGATCAACAAGTTGACGGAAGGACTCCTTTGCAGATCCACTTAGATCTGGTATTTCGTTGGGTGGTGGGCTTGAGGATGGTAAGACCTCGATTGCTTCGGGATTTAATGAATGACATGAGTGGGTGGTGGTGGTGGGATGTGATGATAATGAGGGTGGTGGAGATATCATTGAGATAGGATGAGGGTCGACATCGGGGGTAGCTGTATTTGCTGTATCTGTAGGAGGGAACTCAACGAGGATTAGAAATGGTGGGAAGTAGGCATACTTGATTGGCATGTGGCCGCGAGAGCTTTCAGTGACTGCCAGATTGAGCCTCTTGGTTTGCTCCTGGTGCTCTTCAAAGTGTTTTTGGATCCGTGCTTGGCACCCGTCAGCATCACCGCCTCTTACAACGTAGGTGCAGCCGTCCTGGTCGCAGGTCCAGGCGTCATCGGGTCCTCGAGGAATGGTGGAGGGAATCTTCTCCGTTCGAATCACAATCTGGATCGGCTCTAATTCTTCAGTTCGTACATGAACAGTTTGACCAGCGTCCCTAGGGGTGTTCGCTCCAGTTGAATCCTGCATAGAAACATCCTCCTCTTCCTCTTCCTCTCTGTCAGAGAAGTAATGTGATCGTTTCAAGCCTGACGATTCGGAGTCTGGCTCGCTATCATCTCCAATCTCAGCAAAGATTCGTTTCTTGGAGGAAGCCACCGTTCGTAAGCTAGATGTCTTGCCTGGTCTCCGGCCAGGCCGTTTCAAGGTCTTGCCGATGGGACGGGGAGAGTCGCCGTTTTCACGCGGAGAGGAGTCTGTCTCAACAGCAGATGGCACTGGCTTCTTTGCCGAACGCTGAGTTGCTTTGCGTGGCACCAAGCGGTAAGGGAAGTCGGATGGTTTTATAGAGCGTGGGTTGAACGGCTTCTGCGCCAACTCCTCTAGGTACGACCAAAGCTGAAACTTTTGGAATTTGTCCTTGTCTAGTTTCTGCAACAAAGCAGAAGCATTGTAATGCAGAACTTCCTCAACAGGTACTTTGTGGGAACCCACGGAACCGTCTTTGTAATTGGGGAACTTGTAATCAAAGTAGAGGAGATTAAGAGCAGTCATTCCAGAGATTCCTCGCTTTGCCCCAGCTCGCTTTTCGTATATCTCCTCTATTGCGGAGAGGACAGAGGCAAAGGGAGATTCATCTTCGTCTGCAGTGCTCATGGTAACATCAGCAGATTGAATAGGCATTCCTGGCTGCTGGGCAGTGGTACTAGGGGTAGCCACATCTACATTTGAGGCTGGTTTCGATCGCTTTGACAGTTGAATTTGATCAGAGTCGACTTTCTCCATGCTGATGCTCCTGGCGATGCGACTTGACGACCTGTTACTTGGTGCTGGGCTCGCTCTTTCACGTGGTGAAGGACTGCGCGCCTTTCGAGGGTTTTTGAGTGCTACGATAGTTTTATGTACCACATCCTATATGGTCGTTAGCCACCGAGATAGCAACTGTAGCGAAGTTAGCCACTTACGGCATGCTCAGTTGTGAACCATTTATAGAATAGGGTTTGTTTCCAGTCGATAAGGTCGAGAGACTCTTGCGTGAACTGGCAAACTAGGAAAATGGCGTGCTCAGCACACCGCTCCAAGACCTCATTGAATGTTGCCCCGTCGCCAATTTTCATGGCATACTGAAAGTCACTTTAGCCCTAGCCTTTTTATCGACACCACTATTCACTCACCTGTAGAAAGTCATCGTGAAGAGCTTCTAGAAGGCTCGAACCTGATGCTTCCGGAATTTCGTTTAGTCGTTTTGAATTATATATATCCACCAAATTGTAATACATTGTCGTGGCCTCGCACATCTTATTGAATATCGGGCGATAGGCTTCTGAAGGACTAATCTCGTACCAAGCTCCTCGGCCCAGCGCCCAGACGAGGGGGCGCGCTCCTGGCGCTTCTCCGATCGAATAAGCAATGCAATGGCGAATCTCTATGGGCGTGGATGATCGAACTCTCATGATGACTGCGGTTGTCAGAAAAACCATTGCGACGACTGAAAGGGAGGGGAGTGTGTGGCGGCAACTCACGATGTCTTCTCTCAGAAGCATCCTCCATGATGAGGTAGCCTCGTACGATATACGGGCCCCTCACAGCGACATCGAGGGCATTCTCGAGAACTTCGCCTTTCCTATCATATACGGTGGCGTTTCGAAGCTCAAGGCAAGGATATAAATCCTTGTGGACGTCCTTCGGTTGCGATCTGACGACCGAAGACTCTTGCAGCCAGCGGATCTTGTCACCATCTACGGTCTCGACACTCGATGTCGACGCCCTTCGCTTGCGCCCGCTCATCGTAATTTGAGGTAACGACTGGTAACCATAGAATGAAGGCAATATCCGAGATCAGGGAATGCCGAAAAATAGCAGATTTCAACTCGGGGGGAGCAGCAGGAGAGCGAAGAGTCGATGGAAACGATGTTCGTTGTGGCGACGATCGTGGGGAAGGACTTGGAGCTGGCCCGATGAATTACTGGCCAACCGATTGCGTTCTATTGGAGGAAAATGGAGCGACGATATTCTCTGGCTCCAATCGGATGGCTATGCACAAAATCCAAGCCAGGAGAGCTGTCAACGGTGTTTGCGCAGTTGCAGATGCGAAGTAAATGGTGTGGAAGGTGGAAAGGCTCGGCACCTAGAAGCGGCTCGCAGTGCCTTCAGTGCTTTGACAGCAGTGGAACACGCCAACGCGCTGACTCGGCGTCATACTTAGCGATTCGCGACTAAAAAGTGCGCCGGCATAGCAGGCGGCAGAGCTTTGGAGGTGCCAGCGGCTGTGACAGCTAGCCGGCAGTTGGAGAAGCCCTGTAAGCATTCGCTGTGCTAGCGACAATGGCCCTGGCAAACACTGGAGTGTCTGCAGGACAGCGCTGTGGCATGACTCCCCGCAACTTGTGCTGCCTGTGCAAACGCAGATACCAGCAAATGGATGCTAGTATGCAAGTAGACGTATTGTAAGGTGTAAAGAAACCTGCGCAGAAACAATACGGCATCATGACTTTCAGACAATAGTCTATACATCCAGATCATACTTTGTATTGTCTATTTTTATTAATGATGGTATATTTCGCAACGCGATGTATGGCGCAGCTCCAAGCCAGCAAACACTGACATGCTGCCCAGAAAAAAAAGCCTATGATGTACACCAGTGGATATGATAAGAATAGGACCCTTGCATCAGTTTTTAATCAGAGCCTTACTGCGCTGGTACCGGTCACATTCCATTTGGCTAGGAGGGGCTCTTGTACATGCCTCTCGATGCTGCTTATAGCGCACCTCGTGTACTTTCAATGCTAGCTCAGCGTAGTCTAGGTACATATACATGCAATATCTTATCGCTGCGCCAAGCCAATTTTTTTTTTCCCATCGCCATCCTTTGCCTGAATCGCGGCTTGATTGTTGGAGGTGAAAGTGAGATCGTGGTGAAAACTGCTTAATGTGCGGTTTCCCTCTTTACCCTTAGTCTTTGCTCCTCTTCCCTCTTTCGCTCTCTTCCATATTTCTTCGTTTCTCTCCCCCATATCCAACTTTGGACTCGCATGCGACGGCTTGGAAAAGTGCTATCAACAATGGCTTCGGACGTCGTCCGGGATGGTGTTTTTGGTAGGCATTGTCTTCCTATGCGCTGACTTTGACTACATTTCTGCTCTGCCAATGACTTTGGCCCATAAGGAATGTTGCTAATGCAATTTGGTTTGCCGTCACAGCCATAAACAAGCCCTGCGGCCTCAGCTCTGCCCAGGTTGTGCGAGAATGTCAGCAAGCTTTCAACCCTTCTTCATTCTTCAAACCGATGATCGACGCAGAGATCGCGCGACGACTTAAGGAAGGCGGCCAGTTTAACCGGCGCAGGGCTGAGAAGAAGGCTTCTCAGGTCAAGATCGGTCATGGAGGAACCTTGGATCCCTTGGCGACGGGTGTATTGATTCTGGGCATTGGGTCTGCCACGAAGCTGCTGCCTCAATTCCTCGACTGCACCAAAACTTACGAGACCGTCGTCTTATTCGGCGCAAGTACCGACACCTACGACAGAGTCGGCCGTATCCTATTCAAGCGTCCGTATGATCACATCACACGAGAGATGGTGGAAAAGGAACTGGAGGGGTTCAAGGGCAAGCAAATCCAGATCCCACCCCTTTACTCTGCGCTCAAGATGAACGGCAAACCCCTCTATGAGTATGCGCGTGAAGGAAAACCCATACCCAGAGAGATTGAAGGAAGAGAGGTCGAGGTGTTGGAAATTGAGCTCGTGGAATGGTACGAGCCCAAGAAGCATAATCATCGCTGGCCAACCGAGGAGGCAGAAGCCGCTGAGCGCAATCTTGCTGAGCAGGCCTGGCGGGTTACGAAGCAACAGGAGACTGCGCGGAAGCTCACGCCGGAAGAGAAGGAGCAAGATGACCAAGCAGTTGCGGCGCATGAGAATTTCAAACGCAAATTTGAAGAGCGACAGGATGAGCTCATTAGAGATGCGCCGCGAAAGAAGCAGCGCCCGTCCAAGCACTCTGCCATGATGTCTGGCGCCCTCGGTCAGCTGCCTCAGCCCGTCTATTCAAACAAGGGCAAAAATCTTGTCCCTCCTTCGCCCGATGAGAGCACTCCTCCGCCGTGGAGCGACGAGGGCCCTGCTGCTGCTCGAATTCGATTAAAGGTGACATCCGGTTTCTACGTCCGAAGCTTCTGCCATGATCTCGGCACCAAGCTGGGATCGGCAGGCCTCATGGCAGAGCTTGCCCGTGTCCGCCAGAGTGATTTCACTATCGGTGGAACCAATTGTCTTGAATACGAAGACCTGGCCAAGGGCGAGGAGGTTTGGGGCCCCAAGGTTGCCGATATGCTGGCGCGATGGAATGGAGAGCCCGAGGGACAGTGGCTTGGCCCCCAGGCAGCAGAGTCACAGAAGAAGCCAGAAAAGAAAAGCCCAAGCCCTGGCGCGTCAGCCCCTGCTCGATCTGAAAAGCGATCACGATCCCCATCTGTGAACGGTGCCTCGTCGCCTGCGCGTAAACTCCAGGCTAAAGGTGATGGAGAGAAGCCTACACGGCAAATCAATGGCGCCAAAATAGCCACAAAATCGGATGATGAAAAGTCCTGGAACGGATTTGATGACTGAAGTGAGAGAAAAAACTAAAACTAAAATGTGATTAATATATCAAAGCGGATTATCTGCTTTTTGTTGTTCAGGAGGTGAATATGACAGCTATTGTCCCGGACAGCTGCAGTCAGGAAAACAGGCCTATGCGCATACATACCAACGGCGTAGGGGTACGAAGGCGTTTTATATAGAATCGCAGGCAAATACTTTCACAAGTGTAATCTCTTACACGGCGCCACCGTCAAGATGCATTTTGCTTCTCATTTCTCTCCACCTAGTGATTAGTTGATATATATAAAACACCTTACTACGCACTCCTCGGAAACACCCTCCAGTCGTGCAAGCCCAAGAGTTGTGAAATCAAAGTCAAAGCCAGGGCATGTTCATATTCTTGCGCATTGCCCAATCATCAACAGAAGAAAAGCGTAAGAAAAGAAAAAAAGAATCAATACAAATAGATCTTAACGCTTCCAGTTCCCGTTTAATCTGATATTCCGTAACCCAATCCATGCGACCAATCCATCCAATTCGCCCAGTATTACTTTTTTTCCTGTTCATTCATTCGTGTATCCTTTCATTCAATATCTCTAGACGCCAACGACAGAGCCTCTGCGTCGTATCCTTCTATCAGCAGGGTCTTGACTTTTTCGATTCGATGCATAGCCAGCTCCAGCTTGTCCAACCGTATCCTCTTCTCCACATCTCGCTGCTCGAGTTCCGATACTTTCTGCTCTAGGGCGGCCCTGGCGCGACGCTCCGTAGCCACCATCTCGTTGGCCTGCTCAAAGAGCGTCGCACTGAGGTCCTCGAGTTCCCTGTTCGTTTCGTTGAGGCGACCCTCTGCCGCTTTACGCAGCATCTGCTCCTTATTCAAAGCCTCAAGCAGGTCTTCTGCCGTGCGGCCGCTGTTTCTCGTCATCGTCGCCGTCGTTGTCGTCGTCGTCATCACTCTCGCTTCAGTCGGCGGCGGCGTCACGGGAGGCACGGCCCTGGATATCGCCGGAGGGCTCGCGGTTTGTGGTCGACGCGAATACATCAACGCGGAGATTCTCGTCGCGCCAGCCTGGAAGAAGGACGAGCGGGTGGGACTATGAGATGCCGCACTGGCGGGCTGTTCGGGCGTTGACGGAGGGAGCATGGCTCGCAACTTGGACAGCTCTGCCTCGTAGTCGGCCCAGCGGTCTACGGCAGCCGTGGCCTTCTGGTTCAGCTGGAAGACCTGGGTTTCGAGCTCGGCGATGCGGGCCTGAGCCTCGAGCAGCTGGGTTGATGGGGGCTCGGCATCTTGGGGGGGGATCACGACGCCGCAACTGGGGCAGCAGGACGGGCTGGGATCGACGAAGAGGGAAGTTGTTTTCGAAGCAGCGGCCGTAACGACCATGGTGGACGACATAGTAGCCAGATGTTGCTCAGGTTTCCTTCTGTATGCCTTTTTCCAGCCGCTTTCGGCACAAGATGAGCCGAGCTCTCGCCTCTCGCTCAAGACCAGAAAAAAGATAAAAAAAAAAAAAAGATGAGATGAGGTCAGTGCCTGCTGCGCACCCAAGTAGTTGGGCTTGTCGTAGGGTTGGAGAAGCAGATGCAAGTGCGCTGGCGGGGTGGTTTAAGGGAATGTCGCGTGTGTTAGTGGAGCGCTCGACAGGGGCAGACACAAACTTTATAAGGGAGACAGGCAGAGATGCCCTTTAAAGAGCCAATGCAGCAGGGGGCTGGAGACACTGACAGCGGCAAGGTCCGCTTTATCTACTTCATGAGCTGGTCTGTGTGGCTGATCGCTTTTAAAACTGGATTGCTGTTGTACAGCCTCCACGAGACACGAAGAGATGCTATAATTAGATACATTCGACACATACGCACAGATAGGGAGCAAGGAGCAAACAACTAACAATAAGACACTAATCATTACTGCTACTGCTTCGCGGAGGCCCCTTTATCAATACATAGGACTATTCGATGTTGAGAGCACTTCTGAGAGCTCCAACGTTGCAGCAACGGATAGCTACGGCAATCCAGGGCATACGCTGCAGCTTTCTAGTCAGGCACATCTCAGAGAAAAGCGCGCTAAATCCAAGCCTGATTGCATACCCATACCCATGCCTACCAGCCAAGCTATTTTGATGGAGCACATTAACATTCATTCGTATGCGTGCCTGGCAGGCCTATGCAGTTCACCATCCAATGTATCGCCTCATTTGCTCGCCATCCATTGCGGCGTCCCAAGTGTCTAGGATCCAATAGCGACCTTGCGTTTGACTAATTAAGCCCAATTCTTACTTAGGTGTCGTACAGCATACACCCGCAGCTGTTTGTGTGTGTGGCCCAGGAAGCTTAGCCGGGCCTATTGCTGTTGACGATTTCTGCAAATTATGATGCTGCGCAAAATACAAAAGACGGCAGTCGATTTTCAGTGTCTCAGCAGTTGCTTCAGCTCGGCTTGGCAACCTTTCGCGGCTCGCTCACGCCCGTGTCGGGATCTTTGAACTCTTTCCAACTGATGGGAACCATGTCATTCCCTACATCGCTAGTCGCCATAATAACACCGAGTTCGTTGGACGCTGTTGAGAGATAGTAGTTGGCTTGGTCGCCCAAGGAGATCTAATCACATATTGTTAGTCTTCATACTTGAAGCGGATGATGGAGGGATATCTCCTTACGACTTGGGCCCGAACAATATCACCGGGTTTGAATGATTCATGAATTTTGACCTTGTCTTGCTCTGTCGCCCTGACATCCTGTACCCGGATCACACCTTGCCACTCCGTCTGTAGAACTGTATCGCCAACTTGCTGAATGACTACGATGGCCTGCTTTGGCATAAGGCGCACCACGCGCGCCAACACAGTGTTACCAACATCCGGTAGGACCTCTCGCTTCCGGCCGCGCCTAATAACAGAGATGGTCGATAATTCTTCCACGGACGGCGCCGTGATTTTATTTAGTCGCTTGGTTGGGCCAGGAGCCTTGGCTGGTGCTGTGACGTTCACATTGCCTAACAGCGAAGAGACAATATTGCCTCCATAAATGTGTGTGCCTGGGCCCGAAGCATACTTGCTGGCGGGGCCCAAGATCGTGCCTGGGATGGCGAGAGAAGGTAGAATGTCAGTCGCCATTGAAAACAGATTGGGCGGCTCTGAAACAACTTCGACTCTTCGCGCTCCATCGAAAAGTCGCCAGCCATGACAGCAACAAAAAGTCCTTATCGCGATAAAGGTCACGTGCCAAGCTCCGATTAGCTAACCCATCGCAAAATCCGCATTCGGGTCCGAAGTGGGCTCTGCAAGGCGGAGAGCGGAGCAAAGAAAGTAGAATGTATGGAGTGGGTTTTCTCAATCCATCAAACCATATTCGTACTTTATACAGGCCCTTTGTCCTCTGGTTGATGGTATCCCCGAAATTTTCTTGAGAAGCATGTTCAATGCTCTCTTCCGCATCAAGTGTTACTTGCGAGAATATTCCGAGTGTTGATTGATTCGCAACGATGTATGGGTAAGACCAGCAGAAAGGATCCATGATGTCCCCGAGTCGACGCTGACGGCTTTGCAGAGAGATCCATTTTTCCACGCTTGCTCGGGAATGGGTCCTTCGGCCCCCTGTAAGGTGCTTACCTATCCGCGCGCGGCACGAATGGAGAGCCTAATTAGTCGAGGAACAAAAAGACTTTTGGGCTAACGCCAATAGCCACGAGCTCTGTGGCCTGCAAAGGAGCCACTACTGTCTGTTGCTCGGTCGGAATCGACGAACTCCGCACCGGTGGAGTGGATTCACCTGATGCTTACAAAACGGTGCCACCAACTGGCGTCGAGCTCTTGGAGCTGTTGGAGGAGCACTAAGCTGAGGCTGGCGGGTACGGACTCCGGTCTATGCATGATCATAGAACCCGTCACCATTCAGCAATTCAGCGACGCCTTTTTTGTGGTCCTTTTGCCTGCAAAAGTGCTCCGAGTGCTATCTCCGGCAGCCTCCTGAACCTCCGGTACCGTATCGGCACCAATCAGCTGGCTCGTAGCGGCAGTTGGGTTTAGTTTTCACTTTCTGCCTGGTGGTTTTGTGAAACGAAAGCGAGGTGCATTCTTGAATAGATGGCCATGTGAGTCACCCGGTCGACTAGACGGTGAGACCTATACGGGATATCGGCATTGAGCCCCCTTTTGCCGGATTGTTATCGTTGAAGTTATGGCAAGCGATTATTTATTCTCTGTACGGGATTCTCCACATTATTTGTATGTATGCGCAATGAAGCTGCTTGCAGCCAGGTACCTTGCATGGCCAGCAATGCTGTGGAGGTACGTAGCTGACTTGGGTACGGATTCCAGGCTTCTCCATCATACGTACCAGGTAGCTCGCAGAGCAGACGCGCTAGGAATTCTCGTGCTCCTAGTGTTGCCTTTTGCGGCTCCATAAGGCCGTGCTCTATCCCCCAGCTCCCAATCTATGATGCAGTCGATTGGCAAAAGTATGGTGCCGGTCCATTGTTTTTGATGGTAAGTTCAGTTCTATTGGTAAGCTTCTAGCTCTCGCCTCTGGAGTAGCCTACGCCACCCACAGACATCGCATTGCTAACTAGCCAAGCTAGCCTACGAGTTCATCGGATTTCAGAGACCCCGACCTGCTTGCCTAGTGCTAGTAGTTGTAAGTGCCCCTCCCCCCTGCCCGTCGATATCCATACGGGTTATATCCAGAAACGGGATTCTGTCGCTTGCCCCAGCCAGCCCTGTCTGTGTTGTATTACAAACGGGAACTACCCGTAGGTGGTTGTCAATATCCACTTCGGCATGGTTGGCGGGCTGTCGCTCCGTTCGCTTTTTAAAGCGAATGTTGCCCCAGCTCAGCTTGCTCTTTGCGCGACGACTCGTTTCAATTTACCTTTACGGGGGGGTTATCGTTTCTGATGTGCCGTCTCGTATCCTAGGGTTTCTCTGTCTTGCTTCTTCTTCTTTATAGCTGCCATAATATCATTTCGGGCAGGCTAACTGAAATCGGGTTCTCCGAGATTAAATCTCGTTTAGACGGGATCACAAAGCCAAGACTCTCTCCACGATAGACTCCACAGCAGCGACTTAGAAGATACCCGTGACGCCACTCGCTTTACTGGGCGAGATCAGCGACCGTTCACCTCGGCCATCACGCCGAGGTCTGTGTAGATATGGCAGACCACGGTGAAGAGAAAGAGACACAGGCGTCTAAAGCTGTTGCAGACAGCAACGCTATCAGCATTCAATCCACTTCGGAGAGTGGCTCTGAGAGCGGAAATGCGGCTCACTTGAATGAGAAGCACGGCGATGATATCGAAAGAATCGAATCCAGATCCGACCAAGAAGATGACACACCCAAAGAACCGCTCGCGGCTACCAGAAGCTATGCTACAGATGCCAGTGTGGCCACGACATCCGCCGCAGTACGATATGCGGAAAGGCCCTGGTACAAGAAGCTGAACCCCATGCGCTGGGGCGCCATACCCGAAATTCCCAAGGAGCGTATAGTCTCTAGAGAATATCAAGCCGGTTTCTTCAGCAGACTCACTTTTCAATGGATGAACCCTCTCATGACTGTGAGTTGATGCACAGTTGACCTCTCGCGGTGTCGAAATTGTGTGAAAACTAACGGTAAAGTACAGGCTGGGTACAAACGCCCACTAGATAAGCAAGATATCTGGATCGTCAACCCGGACAGAGCAGCAGAGCCAATGACAATCAGAGTGAAGGAGGCGTTTAAGAAACGAGTCGAAAAAGGTTCAAAAAGACCTTTGCTTTATGCCTTACACGATAGCTTTACGATGGAATTCTGGATCGGCGGACTTTGTTCGCTCATCGCAGCCTTTATGCAAGTTTTATCGCCTTTTGTCCTTCGTTACTTAATTCAGTTTGCAACCGACGCCTATGTTGCCCACGTTAGCCACACTCCTGCTCCTCACATCGGTCGCGGTGTCGGTTTGGCCATTGGTGTTACCCTCATGCAGGTCGTCCAGAGTGTGTGTATAAGCCACTTTATCTACCGAGGTATGATGATGGGTGGTCAAACCCGTGCGGTCTTGATTGGCATGATTTACGAGAAATCCATGATCATTTCGGGTCGTGCTAAGGCTGGTGGTGCCAAGGCAGCCATAATGCCGGGGACGAGCGAACAAGAGGAACAAGATAAAGGCAAGAAAGGCAAAGACGATGGCAAAAAGAAGAAGGGGAAGAAAGGCGCTCCAGAGGAGGTCTTGGGCTGGGGCAACGGCCGCATTACCAACTTGATGAGCGTTGATACCTACCGTGTTGATCAAGCCTCAGCCCTCTTACATATGACTTGGACCTCTCCTCTTTCTTGCATCATCACACTGGTCCTGTTGTTGGTCAATCTGACTTACAGTGCGCTGGCTGGCTTTGGCCTCTTGATGATTGGTGTCCCTCTCATCACAAGGGCCATGCAGTCGCTGTTTCGCCGGAGAAAGAACATCAATAAGATTACCGACCAACGTGTGTCACTTACCCAGGAAATTCTCCAATCTGTCCGATTTGTCAAGTACTTTGGCTGGGAGAAGTCTTTCATCGATCGTCTTGCTCAGATTCGTTCCAAGGAGATCCACTCTATCCAAGTCTTGCTCGCCATCCGTAATGCGATCAATGCTGTCAGCATGTCCATGCCCATCTTTGCCTCTATGCTGTCCTTCATCACTTACTCCCTAACCAACCACGGCCTAGCACCCGCGGAGATTTTCTCTTCTCTAGCCCTTTTCAACGGTCTCCGAATTCCTCTCAACTTGCTGCCTCTTGTCCTTGGCCAAGTGATTGATGCCTGGTCTTCCCTTCAGCGAATTGAACAATTCCTCCTCGAAGAAGAACAGGAGGAAGATGTCATCCTCAAGCCTGAAGGAGAGCACGCGATTGAGCTCGTCAACACCTCCTTTACCTGGGAAAAGACACCCGCTAAGGAGGCCGACAAAGGCTCTGCTAGCAAAGACAAGAAGTCCAAGAAAGTGGAAGCTCTCAAGCCTGCTGCACAACCTGTAACTACTGAGGACTCCGCTAGCACCCTAGTGGAAGAACGTGAACCTTTTAAGCTACAGGATCTCAACCTACAGGCTGGTCGAAACGAATTGATTGCTGTTATTGGTACTGTTGGTAGTGGCAAGAGTTCTCTGCTCGCCGCCTTGGCAGGTGACATGCGCAAGACGGGAGGTGATGTAGTTTTCGGCGCATCCAGAGCCTTCTGCCCTCAGTATGCATGGATTCAGAACACTACTTTGCAGAACAACATTATCTTTGGCAAGGAAATGAACCGGGAATGGTACAAGGAAGTTATCCAAGCGTAAGTCTACTCTCTGTTGCTGCATGATGTCATTATTTCAAGAACTAACTGTATCTTTCTCTTGATCAGATGTGCTCTTCAAGCTGATCTTGACATGCTTCCTAATGGTGATCTTACTGAAATTGGTGAACGTGGTATCACAATCTCTGGTGGTCAGAAGCAGCGTCTCAACATTGCGCGAGCCATCTACTTTGATGCCGACATCGTTCTCATGGATGATCCCCTTAGTGCCGTTGATGCTCACGTCGGTCGCCACATCTTTGATAATGCTATTCTGGGTCTCCTCAAGGATAAGTGCCGTATCCTCGCTACACACCAGCTCTGGGTTCTTTCTCGTTGTGATAGGATCGTTTGGATGGAAGCCGGCAAGATCCAAGCCGTCGATACTTTTGAGAATCTGATGCGAGACCACAAGGGCTTCCAGGACTTGATGGAAACAACTGCCGTTGAGAAGAAAGAAGAAGAAGATGACGACGAAGATGACGACAAGCTGAAACAACTCGTCCTGACTGAAACCGCCGAAGCCCGCAAAGCCAAGAAGAACAAGAAGGGCGCGGCTCTAATGCAACAGGAAGAAAGAGCCGAAGCCAGCGTGCCTTGGTCTGTATACGGTGCATATGTTCGCGCTTCTGGTACCATAATGAACGCTCCCATTGTCATTTTTGTCCTTATACTCTCCCAAGGCGCCAACATCATGACCAGCTTGTGGCTCTCGTACTGGACTTCAGACAAGTTTGGATTATCAACAGGCCAATACATCGGTATCTACGCCGGCCTTGGTGCGGTGCAAGCCATACTCATGTTCCTCTTCTCCGTCATGCTGTCGATTCTGGGTACCACTTCCAGCAAGGTCATGCTCCGCGAGGCCATGTTCCGAGTTCTGCGTGCTCCCATGTCCTTCTTCGACACCACGCCACTGGGCCGCATTACGAACCGTTTCTCTCGTGATGTCGATGTCATGGACAACAATCTTACGGATGCCATCAGAATGTACTTCTTCACCCTGTGCATGGTCACTGCTGTCTTTGGGCTCATCATCGCATACTTCCACTACTTCGCCATTGCTCTTGTTCCCCTGTACTTCTTGTTTATTGGTGCCGCTTCATACTACCGCGCGTCGGCCCGAGAGGTCAAGCGTTTCGAGTCGGTCCTCCGGTCTACCGTCTTTGCCAAGTTTGGCGAGGGTCTCTCGGGAGTAGCATCGATCCGTGCTTATGGGCTCAAGTCTCGATTTATCCAGGATCTTCGCCAGTCGATTGACGAGATGAATAGTGCTTACTTCTTGACCTACTCTAATCAGCGCTGGCTGTCCCTTCGACTAGATATGATCGGCAACCTCCTTGTTTTCACTGTTGGAATCCTTGTTGTTACTTCGCGATTCAGCGTCAATCCTTCCATTGGTGGTCTAGTCCTCAGTTACATTCTGTCCATTGTTCAGATGCTCCAGTTCTCCATCCGTCAATTGGCTGAAGTCGAGAACGGCATGAACGCTGTTGAGCGCCTCCGCTACTATGGTAATGAGCTTGAAGAGGAGGCTCCCCTTCACACTATTGATGTTCGCAAGTCTTGGCCAGAGAAGGGAGAGATTATCTTTGACAACGTCGAGATGCGTTATCGAGACAACCTGCCTCTGGTGCTCAAGGGTTTGTCCATCCACATCCAGGGTGGAGAGCGCATTGGCATCGTCGGCCGTACTGGTGCAGGAAAGAGCTCCATCATGAGCACTCTATTCCGTCTTGTCGAGATCTCGGGAGGCACCATCACCATTGACGGCATCAACACTGCTACAATTGGTCTGTTTGACCTGCGTTCCCGTCTTGCCATTATCCCTCAAGATCCTACCCTCTTCCAGGGCACTGTCCGCAGCAACCTTGACCCCTTCCAAGAGCATACTGATTTGGAGCTTTGGTCTGCCCTTCGACAGGCTGATCTCGTGCCTGCGGATGCTAATATGGACGACCGCAAGACTGACCCCTCACGCATTCATCTTGATAGCACTGTTGAAGAAGACGGCCTCAACTTCTCTCTCGGCCAGCGCCAGCTCATGGCTCTCGCCCGTGCTCTCGTCCGCGGTTCACAAATCATTGTCTGCGACGAGGCTACTTCCAGTGTGGACATGGAGACGGATGACAAGATCCAACGGACCATGGCCACCGGTTTCAAGGGCAAGACTCTGCTCTGCATCGCTCACCGTCTCCGCACCATCATCGGCTACGACCGCATCTGCGTCATGGACGCTGGTCGCATCGCCGAGCTGGCCACGCCTCTGGAGCTATGGAAGATGGAGGGCGGCATCTTCAGGAGCATGTGCGACAGGAGCGGCATTCGCGTAGAAGATATTGAACACGCGAAGCTCGAATTGGACCTGCTGGACGCTGCCGCTGCCGCTGCCAGCTCCTAAGGGAATGGCGATATACCCCTTTCCATCTTTTCTCTCTCTTCATATATATTTCTCTCTCACCTTGGTTCTTTTGAGACACGATGATGTTCTTCTCTGCCTGAAGAGCTAGGAAATGAGAGTGCTTCCTTATTCATTGGGCACATTAAAAAAAGTTTGATCAACTTGGTATAGGTTTTCACGGGTTTAATGTTACTTTTTCTTACCTAATAGACAGGGTGAGGTATGGTTTAGAAGGCGGGCCTGCAAGCATATGGGCAGCGAGAAGTACGAAGGGGCGTACAATTTATATATATATAGATTTTAATCAACCATACGCGCCTTGCGGTTACACGTCTCATATATCAGGATCATCTGTAGCATCTTGTAATTCTCGTTTACATTATCAGATATCCGCTGTTGTTTTATCAAGTGTTATGTGGAACCAATTAAGAAGTGAAGTTCGTCGAACACATAAAGTTACTGCGACACAAGATGGTTCATAACACACAAGCTACGTAGATATATGTACTCGGAAGAAAGAAAAAATTGCTTCAAAATAAAGGAGACCTCAATTGACAAGTATTTTCCCCAAAGCCACACCACAATCCTCTATCCAGTTCGTAGTAGATAGAAAGAAGAGAAAAACTCATTCTCTCTAATTCAGATCCGCCCTCTGCTCACAAAATCCCCATCATAGGCCAACGGGGTAAAGGAAATAAGTAGATAAATAAGTAATCGGTTAAACTATCATCAACGACGCCATGAACCCAAGTCTTCCAAGACAGATATCAAAGACCGGAACAACTGTGTACACTAATAATACCAACAGTAATAACGGTGATTAGAAGTACGCCCAAAAAAAATAAAAAATAAAAAATAAGAATAGTCATTTTTAAATTAAAGGTTGGAAAAATTAGTATCGGTTTCGAGGGCTGCCCCGAGGGCTGCCACTGCCACTGGCTCTGTTGGGCGGCATTTGAGGCGGAGGAAGGCTACCAGGCTCATCGGCAAGCAAGTCTTCAAGATAGGCACTTGGAGCCCGCTGGCCCGGTTGACGAGTGTTGAGGTTGACAGAGCTGCTGCTCATGTCTCTTCGCGGTGAAAAGTGAGGAGAGTCGGGAGGCGATGGGCCCATGAGCGAGTTCCTTGAGCCGTTGACGTAGCTCGTCGACTCGGGTCGCAGATTAGTCAAGCTGATAGAAGGGCCTTGCTGTCCGCCAGGAGACGAGTTTCCGGCAGCGTAGAATCCAGAGGGCAGGAAAGCCGAGCCGCGAGCGCCTGGGGCGCTGGAGCCGGCAGCCGTGGGCGAGAAGAACAGGTTGGACTGGCTGGGAGCGGCAGATGGGGTCATGGTGTTTCGGTTGGTGCGACGAGCGCCGCGGCCGCTTGAAGGCGCAGCAGGAGAGGCATGATCCGAGTACTTGTAGAAGGGCGCGGGAGGTGCTGGGAAACCAGTCTTGTTGTTGGCTTCGTGCTGGGCCAGGGCGGCGCGGCGGACAGAGCGATGGAGCAGGAAGCTGACGATGACGCGCCAGAGGAGAACGCCGAGGCCAAATGCGCCGAGGATGGCACCAACGGCGATGAAGACGGTTCCGTCTGGCGCGCTGGAGTGCTTCATGAAGGGGGCATCTTTGGTGGGCGGCACGCTGGGAGCTGGGTATGTCGGGATACTGCCGCCTGGTTTGGTCAGCGTGGGCAGACCAGTAGGACCCGAGTCGTCGGCAGTTTGGGAGGGCGATGGGGAGGGCGATGACGAGGGCGACGATGTGGGCGACGATGTGGGCGATGATGTGGGCGATGACGAGGGTGACGATGTGGGCGATGATGTGGGCGATGATGAGGGTGACGATGAGGGCGACGAGGTCGCAGAGCTCGAGGAAGAGTCCTTCTTCTGGGCCAGCACAGGCGTGGCCAGGACGGCAAAGGCCGCCAGAGTCGACAAGAGGTTGGAGGCCCGCATATTGTTGAGGATTTTCGGTTTCCGAGAATGAAGCCCAAGTTGAGGTATAGCTGGCAAACGAACGAAGACTATATGCGGGTTCGGGCGCAATCAGGGCTGTCGAGTCGATACAATTCGAGTGGGAGCGTCTTGTTGGCAAGCAGTGAAAATCAGGGCCGTGTGTTATCGTCGCTTCTGCTTTGGCGTAGAAACAGCGGCTGGAAATGGCGTTTGTCGCAGCAGTAAACGAATGTTGCGAGCCAAGAAAAATAGACGGATGCAATCAAATGCGATGCGATGCGACGAAAAGTCAACGAACGAATGACAGCCTGGCCCCCCAAAATGACGAAAAACGAAAAAAAAAAAAATCCTCCCAGGGCGGAGTCGACGCTGACGAGGGTTTGGTGATGCTGGGGAGAGGCCGAAAACGTCGTGCGCGTGTTTTGGAGCCACCTCCTTTTGGGCCAAGGGCGGACGCAGTCAATATTACCACCCAACTAGCAAGCAGCTGCCCCCGTTCTCGTAAAATGCAGTGCTGTGCTGCTGATCAAGGGCACTACCAGATGCTAGCGGCGCTACTGGCGCCGACGCACATGGCACACTGTACGGGCGCTGGAATGCAGCGCCAATGGCAGGCGGCAGGGCGGCGGGAGAGGCTGGGGACGGCCCCTCAACGCACTGGGAAAAAGCTCGTATCGGCCTGGTAACAGGGCGGTCCTTACAGTGTACATGGGGATGCTTTTTCTTTGGCTGTTAGCGGCTGCTATCTTGGGAATGATGCCCAGACCAGGATTTGGAGAGAGTGAGTGGGCAACTGGCCGTACACTTGGAAGAGATATCAACGATTAAGGTTGCGGTGATTTTAAGAAGGGAGCCGTTATCCAGCACCCCATTTCTACTAACTATCCAGCAGCCGTAAGTTGATGACAAGGTCAGTCCACTCTATGTATATTCAAGTAATAGTTTGTATAATACCTACTAGGTACTAGGAACCTGAAAATAGTAGAGGCAGCAGAGGCAGTAACATGTCAGAATACATGACTGTAGTTGTAATTTACAACTTTAGCTGGGGCGCTGAATAACAATTCGCTCTTTTATTCGCTGTTTCAACTTATACATCCTACCGCAACATGCCATGTAATAAGCTTCTGCTGTATGGACTATGGAGCGCTACCGCAGGACGTGCAGAGACGCCCAGGCACCATCTGTCTGGCAGGCGCCACAAAAGCATCACGATAGCGAATGGGCTGTCCTTGCTACGAGAACCAAAGAAAATTCTCCACATGCTGAGATGCTTCTTTGAGTCTAGCAACGAGGGACCTGCAGGTTCTCGATGCGGATAGAGGATGGAGTGCGGACTTGGCGGAAACAGGTCTGCGACAGGCAGTATCTATGATACTGAATGGAAAGTGGGCGCTCAGCAGACTGCTGGGTTAGAGAGAGAAAGGAGACGGCAATGCACGGCAAACATCTGAGCGACGATGAGAATATGAGTAAATACAAACCAATACTAATAATACGTTATACATCAGGAATATAGAAATAATGACGATGTCGAGATTTCATTTACTCTCCTCTCGCGCATCACCTCGTTTCAAAACAACTTCAAACGGCGGTACCCGCCCAGCTGACGCCGCCCAGCACGCTACGCACGTGACTCTGACGTTGCCCCAGCGCAGGCCCAGACTTGCGCTACCGCCGGCATCCCAGCGTTTCCCCAAAAGCGTCATCACCATTCAAAAGAAGCCTCAGCAAGCCCATCCTCGCAGCGCCGCTCCATTCTATCGCCAGCTTGGTCTCGGTTCAGCGCCCCATCATCTGCCGCATTCGCTGCCTGATATTATTCTACCCTTAAACCGGGTCCTTACCATCGCGACCCCGACGCCATGGAGGAAGAGCGCCTTTGGAAGTTTAGGAAACCCGAGTGGTTGAACAGCATGTGGGCTCGGAACGCTGGTGTCTATGCCGCCGGCGCTCTGGTGAGTTCTTCCTGATGACTTTCATCCGTATCCTACAAGCATAATCTCCTGGATTTTCTCCGACAATTTGAAAAATGCCTCGATGCCAGTCGTGACCGTCTTCGCTTTTGCAAAGCACCGCTAGCTGACGTACGCATGTCTCCATTCATTAGTTCTCCATCGCCTTCTACGTTATGCTCGACTCCGCCGTCTGGTCCAAGTCGGCCAAGAACGCATCCGACGTCCACGTTAAATTCGTCGACTGGCTGCCGCTCATCTTCTCCAGCCTGGGCATGCTCATCATCAACTCGGTCGAGAAACAGCGCCTCAGCACCGACTCATTCAGCTATAGCGGATCTGGTGTCGCATGGAAGGCGCGTGTTGTCTTGTTCTTGGGATTCGCAGCTCTTGCGGGCGGCATGGCCGGAGGTGTCACCGTTTTTGTCCTCAAATTCGTCGTTCCGGGCGTCGGCATGCCGGCTCTGAGCATGGGTATTGAGAATCTGGTTAGCAACGCTCTGGTGGGTTTCAGGTACGTATAAACTTTCTTAGCCCGCTTCTACTCTGTGTTTGGAATCAGCTAATCCTTGTGTGTGTGTGCGCGCTTAGCTCTGTCGTTCTATGGATCAGCCAGAACATGGAGGACGAGTACTCCTACAACCTTTCTCTGTAACTGAACCGAACTGAACTGAACTAAAACCTACGCTGCGTGCAAATGAAAGGGGGGGGCGAGTGTCGGGCGCATATCTTGGGATCACGGGCGTAACTTGGAGGCTCTTAGGGAGAGTCTGGATTTCTTTTTCATCTTTTTTTGGCAAACAAACGCGCATGCACACTCTATCAGAGCGCAGTTGATGATGATTTGAGCCCTTGTTTTCTTGTATGAGTCGAAACGACTAGTTTGATGTATCAATTTGAACTTTGGCCATGTTTATATTATACGATAAAAACAGATCATCAATACATTGGTATTTGTGATTTCCTCAGCCTGCTTCAATCGTAGAATGCCCGTTATTCTTGTAGCGAGTGATTCAATACTATCAATAGGTGACGGTGGAATATTAGTTGCAGCTGATGGCGGCCTTGTCTAGGCACTCGGACGCAGTTGTCACTGCTAGCGCTAGCCGCCCCTGTAACCGCCCTCGGTTGCCCGATACAGCATTTTCTTGTTTTATAAACACAACCTCACTTTTGATATCCATTTCATAAATCGTCATTTCGTCTACTAGCATCCCTGTCAATCATCTCAGAGACACATTACAACATAGCACGTTATCCGCACTGTTATCACTTGACTTGTACATGTAAATGAATCCCAAATAAAGAGCAAAGGAAAAAGAAAAGGAAAAAAAAAAAGACGGGAAGATATGAGCGACCGTACTCGAAGCGCTGCCGCCCTCAACGGGTCACGCACCACCAGAAGTTCCGGCCTGGCAAATGTCCCCAGCAGCGGTGGCGGCTCCAGCAACAGCAGCAAGACGAGCCTCTTCCGAAGCCACTTCATCAGGCGGCCAAACGCTCCCTCGGCCGAGCCGGCGGACGGCGTGCGCCCGGACGCGGAGATGACGCCGCGGGCTGAGGCCTCGGACCTTGTTGTGAGAGACCAGCATGGCGAGGTGGAGATTGGGAATCCGCCGACGCCGGTGGTGGATGACGAGGAGGAGCTGCAGGCGTTGGAGTATCAGCAGGAAAATGAAAGTATGGATTTTTTTTTTTTTTTTTTTTTTTTTTTTTTTTCTTTTTTACAACTTTCTTGAATAATCTTTTTCAGAGGCATCAGGAAAATGAAAGTATGGATTTTTTTTTTTTTTTTTTTTTTGTTTTTTTTTCTAACTGCTGTGATATTGAGAGAGACGTGCTAATGATGGATCTGTAGGGGAGAAACAGCGTCTAGCAGAGGCGATTCGACATTATCAAATCAGCCACAGCTCTATAGCTGATCAGCCTGACGGTAAGTAAACGACGTGCACTTCTACTTTGCCCTCTCAAGGTGTGTACCTTGAAACAAAAGTCCTGAGCTGACTTATTCAATCAATAGCCCTCTTCGAAGCTGTGCGTGAGAGCAATAGAGCCAAGGTCAACGCTTTAGCTGAAGACAACTGGATGTTTGAACCAGAAGAGCAGCCGCGCATACCATGAGACGAAGGAATCGGTGTTTTGATCATTTTTTTTTGTTATGCTTCCTCCCTTTCTATCCCTCCTACGCCGGTTGTGTCTATGATACATCACTGATTTTTTATCCTATTCGTCGCTGCCGAACCCATGATATGAACAAAAAGAAGAAAAGAAAACTACAAGACGGAGCTTTAGTCTAGTCAAGTCCCTCAGCAGCAGGAGCTTGCAGCCCCGGTCGTCGGGCCTGCTGAGGCGGCGCTGCTGCGCCTCCGCCAAACAGCCCGCTCATCATGTCCATCAAAGGATTGCTCTGTCTTGGCTTCTGTATGCCAAAGTACATCTCGCCAATCATCTCTAGAGGCTCTGCCCACGCCTCTGCCTCGTCTATGTGCGACGCATACTTGGAAATCAGGCCCTTGTAGACTTCGGGAGCGCCTCGCTGGATAGCCAGTAGCAGCAGGCCCAGGAAGTTGAGCAGCGGCAGGCTGGGGAAGATTCGAATGTCGGAAGTGTTGCTGGAGACATCTTGAACGCCGAGAGCCGGGTTGTCGTTTGTGAGGGCGCTGATGAAGAGTCGGTAGGTTGAAGTAGCGGCACGGACGTTGCCGACAAGGAGATAGGGGAGGACGGCTCGAGCTGCAAAGTGCGGTGCCATATGGGCGTCTCCTTCTTTGTACCAGGCGTACTCCATGTTGATTAGTACTTCGGGAGAGTCCTTTGTTCCCAATACTAGGTGCCGTTCGGCCTCGTATGTCTCGTGCTCCTCTGCATATAGTGAACCGGCAACATGATGTAATTCAGGATCGCCAGCAGGGTATTCGCCGAACTTGGCAGACCATCTAACAGCAGCCCAGAGTCAGTTAGAAGCCCACCACCAAAAATTAAAATATATATGTATGTATATGAAAACCTCAAATATTGTGTCATCAACTCACCCCACACTCTCGGTAATAAACTTCTTCCTCGTAGGCTCCAGCGGGTCGAACAGTCGCAAACACGTCAACAACCTCCCCTTGCTCGTCGCATCAGGCTTCAGCTCAGCCTGCTTATACACGTCCAGCATCATGACGCACAGGTCTCCTCCGCTGCCGCCCTGCTGGGCCTTGAGCAGCGACTGCGCGACACTGTAGAGAATGTCGATGGCGGCCGGCCAGTTCTGCGTCTTGATATAGCGGGAGGCGGCGACTCGCGTCTGCTGCTGCGCTTCGTAAAAGTCGCCATCGGCGATCTTTTCCTGCAGCCGGGCGACGATGCGGTCGACTTTGTTGGCCATGGTGGAAGAGTGGACGACACAGACACAGCTCCAGCAAGGCTTGGAGAGGGGTCTTTCTTTGGGGTGGCTCTTACGGGAAGAAGAAGCGCTCAAGGCCGCGAATGGTCTATATATTGAGCTGTAGGAGGGGGGAAGTGGCTTGGGAGAGCTACGAGATGGTGGGGTCAACAGGTGGGAGCGGCTTCAGGTGGCGACGCAGCTACGATTCCGATAAGCCATTCAGATCCTTCGTATATAATGTGTAAAGAGAGAATTTTCCGATAAGCCTATTACATCATCGGCGCGAATAGTGTAGCGGTTAGCATGCATGCTTCCCAGGCTTCGAGCTGTACAAGCATGCGACCCGGGTTCGAGTCCCGGTTCGCGCATCTCTTTTTGCCGTTTTGCTGAGCCTGTTGTTGGGTGGGAGATCTGCTACTGCTGCTTCTGATTTATTATGTATTTTTTGTCAGCAGAGCTTCTTCTTCTCTTTGGGCTATTAATAGCTGTACTCACATTTGCTGGTTTCATTTGCGTCTGATTAATCCCGGCTCGTCGAGTGTGTGAATATAGGCTCCATGGCCTTGAGGGCACGTCAACGCAGCGGAAATTCTGGCAGCCATCTAGCTTTAAAGGAGATTGCTTGATTACCATATACCTGTTGTTACGTACGTTTATCATAAAGACGCGCCGGTCTATACAATGCTGCCTACAGGCATGCCAGCCCACAAAACGGCACTCGCCATTCTGCTTTATGCGTCCAACCCTGAGACGGCAGCATCTCCCTCCCCAATCATGCCAATTGATAAAAAGGAAATTCCAAAGTCAAGCGATTCTCTTTCATATCAATAAACCCAAGTGCTCCCCGAGGACTTTCTTCCCTTCTCGTATAGCCACTTATTATTGAGCCCAATGCTTGTCCTCTTGCCTGCTGATGGGCTTGGTGAGGTGGGGTCAGAAAAGATGTTTGACGAGGTGCTTGCGCCAAAGTTGCTGCCATTGAAGGAGCTGCTAAAGGAGCTTGGTGATCCAAAAGAAGATCTCCTGTGGCTCATGCCGTTAACACTCTGCGATAGAGGGCTTCCAACGGTGTTGGGGGAGAATTGGGAGACGGAGCCGGCAAAGCTCTGAGACAGAGAAAAGGGGACAGGGCTTCCTCGTCCTTCGAGTGGGGAGCCGTTGTAGCTAGCTCTGCTGCCAACAGAACCCGCAATGGATGGCGTTCGTGAATATCGCGGCGGGGTGCTGAACTTTGCATCGGGAGTTGGTGCGATAGCCGTCGGGTTGAGTCCCAGCAGTTTCCGCTGGGCAGCCGTCAACGGGATATCGGAGAGCTCGTCCTTGGGACGGACAAGCGGCAGGCATGCCATGCCAATCTGGATGAAGGGGACCAGCTGGATGAGGAACCACGCCCAGCCAAAGTATTGTCGAAACGACTTGGGAAACCTAATCGTCGATCCCTTGTTAGAAAACACACCAATTGCATGCTAGGACGCTCCCATGGTCCTCTGCCCGGTTGTATCTCACATTTGCGCGTCAATCTTGAACTTGGCCAGCAGATGGACAGACCACATCAGCAGCAAGGCAATGATGTTATAGATTATTCGCCGCACATTTTTCTCCGAGAAGTTTGAGGCATCACGACGCCTGGCGATTTCGTGGAGTCGCGGATGTCTCCAAGTACCTGGGCTGTTGGCAGTTGGGGTCGCCGCGACCTGCTTCACGGGCGTGCTCACCCTAGCCAGAGCCGCGGACATTGTGCTGTTAGAGTTGCGAAGGAAACAATCCGTGTGGGGGAAGAAGGCGGCTGGTGGTGAAACAAGACGAATGTGTCTTTTCGATTTCCTGATGCGGTTGCTGGTAAGCTTTGGGTCGATCTCGTGAGGCTAGGCGCAAAGAAGGGCGGCAGAAAAAAAAAACTTGAGCGCGAGGGTGGACGAACAAAGATCTGCGCCGGCTGCCAGCGCGAGGCTCTCAAAGACAATTCTTGAAGCTTCCTATGGGTTAGTAAAAAGATGCGTCGGGGAGGGGGAGCGGTCGCCAGGGCGGCCTATGAGCTTGTGATGCTCGTCGCTGAGAGGTTGTTTATGTTTGCAGGCACGTCGTGAGAGCAACTGCGAAGAAGTGACCGGGGGCTGCACGGAAGCCCAGGCACCGCCGGCAGTTGCAGGCATGCACGGGCCTGCGCTGAGTGGCTGGCCTGGCTGCAGTAAAAAGGCTGGACCCGTTGAAATCAATTGCGTCTAGCGGCCATCTCCAGCGCGCGCCCACTGAAGAAGCCACTGACTGCCTGACGAGACAGCACCTAGCACAGCATGCCAGATGCAGCATGTACCTGGCTGCAAGGAACTGCGCCCATGTACCTGTAGATTGCAGGCACGCCTCCGACAACCGCAGTTAGGGCGAGGCCACGACCGTGTCAGCCATCGCAGGGCGATTTTGGCTTATCCTGCTAGCCTTATTAGCGATGCGCGTGCGTGCGCCTCGTGCTTGACCTCAGCTTTTATTGCCTCCCGAGTACTTTGTAGACCTAGCTTGTCGGTGGAAACGCCAATCGCCAACCTTTTCCCACTTTGCATCCGTATCGTCCATCCCTTCGTCTCTCACCACCGCGCGGCCTCCTCATCACCACCATCTGCATTCCGCATTCCGCATTCCGCATCACCATCGGCCTCCACGATTCGACTTGCGCTATTCGGCCAAGTTGAAATCCTCCTTGCACTTTCGCAATCAGAACCATGCGTCGTTAATACCATCCTCCATCACAAAGAAGAAGAAGCAAACGAACGACGCATTTCTGCTTTTTTTATCCCCCTTCTTTTTGCCTCAGCCAATCTCGGCGTAGTCAGTGTCAGCAGCAGCGAATTGCTTCCACACCATGGCTGCCTCGCCCAGCTCCATGGACGCCACGTCCGATGTAGAGCAGCCGAGTTCTCCTGCCCAAGCAGAAAGCAAGTCGATCGCTTCGCGCGCCGATCTTGACGACGAAGACAACACCATCATTGCAACGCCCTCTGAGGCCGCTGAAAAGCCCGCCAGGGGCAAGGGCAGAGGAAAGGACAAAGACAAGGAGAAGGACGCGCAGTCATTGATTGGCAAAATTAGGCATTTGAAGAAGGAAGACGGGGAGCCTCTTTGGCGCAAAGATATCCAGTACGACTTTCTCAGGGCTGTCTTTGACAATGAGCAAAAGGTCTTCACCAACTCCTACGACCCCGAACTGGAGAAGCAGTGCTTCGCCGACTTGTACATCGATACCATGGCTCGAAGTTCCAAGACAAGCAAGGTGCTCAGGGATAAGCTGATGAATGACCGAGAAGCTGCCAAAGGCATGGCTATGGTCTGCTTGCTGGTCAATATGGGCCGCATGAACACTACACTCAATTGTGAGCTTTCATTTACCCCATTGTAACGACGCCTAATACGCATATCCAAAAGCTAACCAGCACATTTCTAACATATAGTCTTTCCTGAGATGCGAGCACAACTGCGGACATACCACGCTATCCCTTCTCTGCAGGCACAGCAAGACCCTCACGCCTACAAGCAGTTACAGGATGCCCCGCGACTCAAGTCCATCTTAAAAGGCGGCGCCGAAGACAGAGAAGAGCCGAATTCCCTAGAAAAGATTAAGCAACACGACATCCCACGCACCAACCCCGTCAATCTCATTTTTGTCATGTGCAACTCGGCGCTGAAGGTTGCAGAGCTTCACTTTCCACCTCATCGCGAATTTCATGATGTCATCATGAAAACTCAATACACCAGCATGTCTAGGGCCAAGGCCTTTTTGTGGCTAATGTGGTTCTACCTAGAATCCGACTTCACCGAGGAAGGATGCGAAGAGAACCCTTTCGGAGCCGGTGTTGATTATGGCGTTGATGTTGCCAACCAAGGCGTTCCTGAGCTTCAGGAAATGACCGAGGAACAGGAAGCTGCGGAAAACGTCGACCCAGAGGTTGAAATAGAATTTGGCCACGAGAAGCAGAAAATCCGTGCGACCATTTTGGAGATGGACCATCAGTTTTTGACAGAGCGGGAGAAGCGTGGGAAAACGCGGCCATCGATGGCGGACGACGGTCCCGCCATCTTGCCTCGAATCAGACCCTCGAAACACGAGTCTGATATGGAGAGCAACCGATCGACTCCGCCTAGATTGCTAGCCAGAAAAATTGCCGCTATTAACGGACACAGGTCTGCTCCTCTCAAGTATCAAATCTTCGAGGGCTCTTCGCCAGCTCGTCATGGAGCCGATGGTGTTGTCGCCCGAAAGCCCCGTCCACCAACAGCCCATCAACTTGCTGTTGAGCGAAATAGAAGCCAGAGAGTAGAGTACATTTTAGATCGTGGCCTGCGAAAACATCATCACAAAAGCAGGAAGCTCAGGCGGCAAGAGGGCGCCATCGTGAGAACATACAAGCGTCTACAGGCTCAGGCTGATCCTTTCGAGGACAGCGACGCCGAGGACCATACTCCACGCAGCTTGCCCGTCAATGGGGATAAGGGAAAGAATGTTTTCAGAGAGCGAGGCATAGGCGGCCTCTGTCTTTTGGCTACTGACGCAGACGACTACGGAGAAGAGGTAAGCTCGTATGCTGCCGCCATTAGACGGTCAACACGGCGTCTTGCCCGCTGGAGGGGCCACGAAGCCGAGCTCGGCGTGATCCCTATAATAAAGAAACCCAAGCCAGCGACAGCCAACGGCAATACCAACGATGAAACTCTGGTTGATGCCTCAGACAATCTCGCTGCCGATGGCTCGAATCCCAAGGTCAATGGCAGTGCGTCTAAAGAAGATAAAGATGTCAACGGCGACGCTGCAATTGCGGATGATGTGGAGATGGAAGAAGCCGACAACATAGCACTTGGAGATGAGGAGGCTGACGATGCGGACAAGACAGAGGTCATGGTTGATTCGGAGGTTGAGTAGCGGCTACGAATAAAAGCTACGGAAGAGACGATAACCATACGGGGACTCAAAAAAGAGTCATATTCGGGTTGCTTATTTGTTTAGTTTTCTTTTTCTTTTCCTTTGCTGCTTTTCTGTCTTTTCATCTTTTTGGTGCGCAGGGAGGAACTTGTACACAAAGGATATGTATGGCTTCAGGGGGGAATTAGATATCTGGAGGCGTCGAGGCGTTTTTTACTAACGAGCCTCTACTAGTGCTCCGTAACGACAAAAATTCAAATAATTACTACAGGTTTAAAGAAGGAGTAGAAGAAGCTTGATGTAGAGTCCCTTTGTATTCTACATATTTTCTATTGCGTGGAGAAGAAATGCAAGTGAAGCGGTCACTACTCCGCTGGTTAGGTATTGTCTTGAAAGCCACAGTTCGGGGAGCACGAGTACGAATACGACAGAGGAGCAAAATCCCGTCGGGCTCTCCACCAAATAAAGATGGGCTCTGCCCGGATCACGGCGATCCGGCCGAGCGGTGAGATCTGGCAGAAAGCTGCACGAGTCCTCGGGCCCCGAGAATGACAAGCCAACATTTCAAATCAAAGGGTGCCCGTGGATGTCAATTGGTTATATATCGCCCTGTCTGTTGGTACAATTGACTCGTACTTCTTCTTTTGGCTTTATATTATATCTCTCCTTTAATTGGTCCAATTGCAGGATTGTCGCTCCCTCCCAATCTCGGGGTTCCCCACTAATAAGATCAAATCATACCATATACAGTACTGCCTACCTACTACATACATAAATAAATCACATTTATTTATATTTACTCAGGCTGCCGGTATTAGAACAGGAAATAAGATATATATACACACATATATATATAAAGCGCCATGCCTCAAAACGAGCCCTCACCACCCGGCATCAGCCGCCTCCTCGCCATCCTGGGCCTCCTCACGGCGCTGCTGGCATCCGTCGTGTACGTGATCGACCAGGACCTGGACCGCTTCTACATCTTTGAGACGGACCACCTGCACGACCTCGCGCAGCGGGGAATCGCCCAGCACGGCAACGACACCAGGGGCATTGTCAGGTACATCGTGGACGAGCTGAACGAGAAGGTTCCGGGATATGTGAATCTCGAGGAGGACTGGATGTTTAACAATGCGGGCGGTGCCATGGGCGGCATGTACATCATTCACGCCAGTGAGTGCTGATAATACCTGGATCTTTCTTTACTTGCGATAGGAGGTATAATATTGGGGAGTTGCTAACACCTTTTTTTTTTCTTGTTGCACGTGTAGGCATAACTGAATATCTCATCATCTTCGGTACGTAGTTACACCCGCCCTCAAACATAAAAAAAAACGAAAAAAAAAGAAAAAAAGAAATGCCATTAACCGTCTCTCTCCAGGCACCGCCGTCGGAACAGAAGGCCACAGCGGCCGCCACACCGCCGACGACTACTTCCACATCCTCTCCGGCACCCAGATGGCCTACGTGCCTGGCGAGTACGAGCCCGAGATCTACCCGCCGGGAAGCGTGCACCACCTGCGCCGCGGCGACGTCAAGCAGTACAAGATGCCCGAGGCCTGCTTCGCGCTCGAGTACGCGCGCGGCTGGATCCCGCCCATGCTCTTCTTCGGCTTCGCCGACGGCCTGACCAGCACGCTCGACTTCCCGACGCTGTGGAAGACGACGTACATTACGGGCCAGCAGATGATTGGCAATCTCCTCAAGGCCAAGCTGTAAAGGAATGGCCAGTGAAGGGGAAAGGGCGGGAAGAATCAATTCCCGCCATAAAGAACAAGGAGAGAGGGGGGTGGGTTATGTTCTACGTCGATAGAACTCACTCTGGAATGACGATATTGGATGAGATGGAACGGCAATAGATAAACAAGATGGGTGGACTAGAGGCATATTCATTACGCTACCAAGGATTGGTAGCTAGATCTTGTACGAACATCATTGTACGAATATGGATAACGCACAAGCCATAATCGCAAATAAACTCTTATTCCTTTCGCAATACCTATAATTCCATACATCTAGCACATTATCGCACCCTATGGCAAGACAGACCGCAAATGCAGTGAAGACGCGTATCGCGAGATCGCATCGCTATGCACTGTTGTATAAGTGGACATAGAATACACCAAATAAAATCCTCCTTTCTTCACCTAATCCAAGTCGCGCCTTCGTCAGGTTTTGGTATATAGACATATAAGTATATATTTTCTCTCAGCTTCCACCCTTCCACAAACGCCGCGCCAATGTGCAGTTGTGCTAAGTGGAGGAAAACATCGTCATCTTGAAAAGTCCCATCATCCATTGTCCAAACACTTTTTTCTCTTTTTGAGCTGTATAGAGGATTGTCGTTCCCCGCCAAGTTAACCATCATAAAACAGTAAACACCTACGCCTTCTTTTTTCAAAGCCAACAAAAAAAAGACAAAGACAGAGAGAAGTGAAATAGTTCTCCAGATACACCTGTTGACTCAATCCGTAGCTCCAAACCCATGTCGATATAACGCCGGGGCTTACAAAATACAATAATCATTCACCCAATGACAACGGGGCTTCGCCTCAAACACGGTCAAAGCCAATACCGCCTCACGGTTTCAAGTCCCCTCTTTAAGCGAGCCAGCTTTCCTCGGCACGCTTGCGCCCTCGCATGACAAGTACGTCGTCGTCGTCGTCGTCGTCAGATGAGTCGTCCTCTGCATCGTCCTGAATCTTCATATTCTCCACAGAAGTCGTTGTAGCCTGGATTCGAGCTTCCAGTCGAGCGTCGTGACCGTCATCCTCCTCTTCAAACATCCATGTCAATCCATTAGCCTCTTCTTCCAGTGGGAACATCTCCCTCGCGTATTCTTCTAACCCCCGAGGGCCCTCCCACAATTCAAGGGCCTCCCGCGGGCAACTAGCCTCCAGTTTTGGGTCTCCAAAGTATGGCGGTTGCTTTTTCGCGTCCTCCTCATTAGGATCGAAGAGCTTCTCCAGAGCTTCAAGCTGTTGTCGATAGCCTGTAGGTATGCGAACTTTGATCTCAATGGGCCCCCTTACATAGCGAACACGACGGCCCACGCCACGAGCAAACACCTTGCATGCTTCTATTGGAGTGAGATACTCATACGCCAAGGCGATACGCTCCCCAGCCCACTTGGATACGCCATCTTTGAAGAGCTGTAAAATAGCAGGTCCAACGTCATGTTCAGCATCCAGCCACGGAAGCTTGGCATTTTCATGGAATGGCGCCTGCCAAGTAAAGGAGCCATCCGGCTGCAGCTCCATGCAGAATAAAGGATAAGGCAGTGAAGTGAAGTTGTTGTTGTAGATTCCGGTGTAGACAAAGGTGGCAGGGAGGCCCAAGTGCCTCACGTACGCTTCCACTTCGTGCTTGGCGGCCCACAGAGGCAGCGATGGCCACTTACTATTGTAAGCTGCGTGATCGGGCATAGAGGAATAGATGTAGTGTTGAATATTGGTCTTCTTGGCTGCATCGGCCAGAGCCTTGCCGATTTGCAGCTCGTCGCCATAGAAGGTAGTATTGATAAATGCAAGCTGCGCGCCCCGGAAAAGATTTGCGATCAATTCGTGGTTAACTCCCACTCCCGGTAGGGGACCATTCTTTGTCACGTCCTTGTTCTCTTCGGTAGGCTGGTGTCTTGTATAGAGCTCGCCAACAAAGACGGTGACGTTTGGGTTGGTCGAGACCTCGGTCGCAATGACACCCTCGAGATTTCTCAGCTGCGCATTCACATGGTAGCCCACGGCTGTAGCTACGCGTATAAGCGACGCAGCTTGGCGGCCGCTGGCATTGATAACGGCAATGGTCTTTGGGGTAGACATGAGCCTCTTGGGAGGGCGGAAAGTCAAGGAATTGTTCCTGGAGTTGGCAAGGGGAGACGACTCTGAGTAGGAGGATCGCGAATGCTTGTGTTGCCTGTGGAACCCGTTTGCCTGGTCGGTTACGATATGGATGGGAATGCTGCCCGTAACGGCGCCGTTGAGTTGTGCCGGCATGGCTCCGTCGCCCTCTAGTCGCTGAATTTCAGGCCGAAGCCGAGTGGAATTGGTGGTGCAAGGCGGCCGAAAGTGGAAGGCTGTCGTTCCGGCGCAGGGTATTTATTCGACAGGCGAGGCCACCGTTATCCAAACGCGCCAGCCCGCCTGTAGAATAGAGGCAGATTGCCCTCAATTTGCGGATTGATGGTGGGGGAGAAAAAAAAAGGTAACAGTAGGGCTTGTGATCTCAGCTCATGGATCGGAGCGGATAGTCAGTACGTAAGAGCGAAGTATGACAGTGGACCGTGGACCGTGGGCCGTGGGCCGCAGACCGGCGGCGTGGGAGGACAAGCAGCAGGCACGGTATTAGTAGTGGTTAGTCTATGGCCAGTGCCGGCGGCTGGACGCGGCGATGGATGGGCTGCTACAGGGTCGGCGCGCGCCAATGCAGTTATTCCAGGAGGGTACGAGGCAGCCTGGCGAGTCTCTGGCTCGATCAAACGTAGCGCAGACGTCGTCGGGTCTGGGCCGGCAGCACAGCAGTAGCGGAGGGAGCTCGAGAGCGGCGAGCGAATGGGTGCGAAAGAGATGGAAATGCGAGTTGCGATTGGCTGCAGGGGCACAGAGGAGACCGCAACCGGGATTGTCAGTGGACGACGAGCCTGTGGTATAACGAGACAAAAGGGGGTCGTTGTAATCGGCGTACGGAGCACTCCGTGAGAAGGAAGAAGAAGAGCAGTCGTCTGTTTCGCCAAGAAGATGCGAGTGAGGGTAAGAAGGAGAGTGATTCAGAGGCTGCAAAAAATACCAGAGACTATCAGAGGGCGATGGTGGGATAAGGCCTGGATAACAGAGGGGTTTCCTTTTTTTTCCCGATAAGAACGGCGGCTGTAGTCGACTTAGCTCGGGCGAATTAGCAGGCTAGTTTCGAGGAGAAGCACGATTGGCGTTAGTTTAAGCTGGCCTCGCCACGCCAAGTTCTCTGGCCGTCTTTTGGTTTTTGCTTAGGCGGCGGCCGAAACCAGTCAGATGGCTAATGGTGCAAGTGCCAGTTATGGGTGGCAGGGCGATAAGGGATGACGAGAGGGAGGGGCGTTTGCGTTGGGGTAGGATAATGAGATTCCAGAAGAAGGAGGGGGAGAAATCTTGAAAACGCCAGTCTAATCTGCCTCGAGGCAGGCAAATGATGCGTTGGCTCCTATACCTAAGGCAGAGAGCTGATGTACCCGGATACCTATTACCAACTCTCGCGGCAAGATCCAGATGGAGATGCGCACAGGTACTGCTACAAGCATCGCGACTGTCCGAGTACAGTATGCACGGCGTAGAGCAGTCTTCCTTTCTACTACAGCAGGAGCGAAAGTCGGAGACGCCAGGTACCGTTTGCAAGTTCCGCGACCTGGGGTGGCAGTACCTCTGCCACGGCGCGCTTGTACCGACGCCGACTGATGGACGAGGATCCGATCAGGGAGATAGATAAGCAGGTACACACCAACGTACTGCAGGGTACTTGGAGCGCAGTATCGCTACACAGCCGGCGCTGCTACGACCTCCCAAGCGCGGAGAGGTGTCTGACATCTTCTAGGCCCTGATAAACCCCAGCAACAAAGTCCCGTGGTTAACGGCGGCGGAGCCAGCCAAGGGGAAAGAAAGAGAACGACAAAAGCCATAAAGAGCTACTGTGCTGTATGTACATACTCTGCCCGGAGTAGCGTCGACTCTTTTTTGGGGTCGACTAGCCCCGATCTCCGCCATCATGGGCCCCTGCAAGGGAGTTTCGAGCAGAAACGCGCCGGGCAACATCTGATTAGATTCCGTCGAGCGCTATGCCGTGCTGCTGCTACGTAACACGCAGGGTCTTGCGGACCAGTCAGACAGGTCGAGCTTGCGAACTGGCCTGATTGCTCAAAAATCTCTTGCAAAAGTCGATCCATCGTGCGGGTGACGCGACTGGAGCAAGGCTAGCCACGGGTTTGCAGCCAGTGACTTGCACTGAGATGCTCGTACTGTCCTGTCCGCATCAAGGGTCAATCAATTATAATCATGCAAGATGGACCGCCAATCGGGCCAAAGGTGCGCTGAGAGCATGGCTGGCTGCTTGATGCTGTGCTCTCACCACCGCCTGGAGATAGTCTGGGGCTGGCCAATCGGGCGGCGTCGCTAAACCAATCGCCCTCTCGAGGATTTTCTCATTTGGTCTCTTGGCTCGACGCAACTCCGCGGAAGTGGCGCTAAGGCTCAAAACGCGATTCACTATCTGGACCAAGTATTACTACATGCTATTAGACACTCCCCTCCATGGCACGGTATGCGGACTATGCAACGAGCTACTCCGTGCTAGCAACACTCATCCTGATGTCAGTTACCGGAGCACTGTGGCATCGGAAGAGAGACGAGAGGTCAGCAGACATCGAATTACACGCCGCCCCCATACTAGGTACTACTGAGCACTAGCAGCAGTGTAGTAGTACTGCGCGATGTTAGATGACCTGCCCTTACCGAACACAAGTTCTCCATATTGGAGACGCGCAGCATCAGCCTAATAATACTCGACTCCTGAGCAACGTGGATGAGGACCTGGATGGAGATGCCTATGCTCCAACGTACCTACATAAGCATGGAGCGCAGGGCTTGAAGCCCCAGATTGGCCTGTCACGCGCTCTTCGATATGGAGCAGCCGTTGTGGCTCATATGGAGGTAGGTATTAGCTCAGAGCCAGAACGATACGAGCACTACTAAGGTGCTTGATATTGCAGCGCCTGGTCAGTAGGTACTCCGTGCCGGTGACCTTGGACGCAATACGGTGTACCCTGTCCAACGACGACAGCTTATGCTTCGCAAGACTGCTGAGACAATACCGATGTTGAATTGCGGCATCGGACCAAACAGCCAGAGCAAAAAAAAAAAAGTTTGGGTTTTGCGGCTGCGAGATAACAAAAACGCTATCCATCCATTGGCTCTAGGAGTGAAGAGGGAAAAGATCAGCTACAGAACGCCGTGCTAGCACGAGTAAGAGCCGCCATGCGAGAAAAACATAGACGCAGACGGAAATTTCTTGGAGAGAAAATTTCTTTCTTACGTCGCATCTCGGCCATGCTCGAATCGCTAGGAATAATACTGTATGACCGCCATGTGGGCTTCTCCCGCCTTTCCGGCGCTCGGCCTATTTGCATTAGCCTTCTCTAGCGATTCTTCCCACGTTCCCATGTCCCAGGTTCGACAAGGCCTTTTCGCAAAGAGGCAGAGCCCCTGCAGCGGCAAGCAGTTGGGATTAGGTAAAAATTTGCCCCGGTTCTCCAGTCAGATGATTTCCCTAACCTCATTCCATTGCTCATATCCTCCAGTGCTTCAAGATCGCGAGATTACTGTTGGTCCATCGTTGAAATTTTTTTTTTCTTGCTACCGGCCTGGACCACCATCGATCAATCCAGAGCCCCATGGGTTCTAGCTAGTCACCAGACTCGCTGCTGTTTTTCACTCTCTCCCTTGTTATCCGTTTCTCTTTTTTTGCCGCTCGCTCTCTTCCCGGTGCTCTCTTCAAAGTGCTCCGTGCTCCGTACGGAATACTGTGCTTTGTAGCGTGACGACAGAACCTCTGTATGCCGTTGACGCTTGTCCGCGCACGTACTGCCATGATTGTGCAGGCAGAATACCCAGCCAATCGCCTATGCCTTCTCTGCTCTTCCATCAATTTCGGCTTGTCCCATTCGTCATGGGCTGCTAAGTGGCCACGGTCGTTTGGACGATGCTGCGTTCCGTCATGCCGCACCACGCCGTTAACGCGGCGACCCATAAGCACCAATCCTAAAGGCTAAACCGTCGTCCTCCCGCCACTATCGCGCTTTGGAACTTCTTTTTAAAAATGGACGCTGAGATTTAGCGCTGGAGCAGTCGTCGGCAAGCACTACTTTCGCCTGCAGGCAGACGTTTGACAAGGGCTGTCTCTCCTTCAACTTGTCTCAGATCTCAACGACATCTAACCGATGGCCAACCTCCTATTTTTCTCGTCCATTCTCCCCCGCCTCTTTATGCAGGGCATTGTTCATAGGACTGCTCCATCTATTGGCTAGCTCATTTTCTGTCCTCGTGAGCTTCGTCGGTGTTGTCTCGCGCAAAGGCAACAAACAACTTACTGCAGCGTTGGAAAGGGGGGGGGGACAGGATACGGTAAGCCTCAGCTCTGTCACAAGGAGTTCATTCATACGACGCCCGGACATGCTTGTACAACCACATTGTCGATCTGTCAAGCGAGCTTCCGGACGAAGAAGCACATGTACAGAGTACAAGCACACACATCATGAGGGAACGAGGGGGGGGGGTATGCTATGCCAACGCGCGACTCGGCCTATATCATGCATTAGCTCGCGTGCGCTTCAAACCTCACTGCATTTCGGTCCCTATCACGGTAAAATTATTGCCTATGCGGTCGCAAATCTCCGTACTGAGTGACTTGTTCGTCATCACCCCGCGTCGTTATCAACATGTCGTCTTCTGGGGGCCATTATGGAACGTTGTTTGAAATACTATGTAAGGGTAAGGAATATCCCCTGCGATGAGCCGGATGCCGAGGAGCTGGGATGTATGCAGATCACAACAAACCGTAGTACTTTTCCGTAAACTCGCTGCGAACAGCTGTTCTTTGCCGTACTTGACTTTCAAGTCTTAATTTCTTGAGCACCCTAGGATTATCACATCCGCGCCACTCCTATCCATATTGGTATTTCCCTTTCCGCTCTAATGACACGGTGCTATCTACGGATATTTGAAAAACGCCCTCCAGCCCCTTTTGGTGTAGCATCCCAAGTGGCTTTTCCTGGTTCCTGCCATCCCAATGGACACCCAGGCTGTGGAGAAGTCGGCACACTGAGCTGTGTAGCATTTGCCCGTGAGAGTGTATTCCCATCCATTCATCCATCCATGCATGACGGCTCTCACCATTAGCTATGTCGGCATGGTGCATATCAGATTGTGCAATATTGGAAATCGCATTCCTTTTGGTGACGGCGTTGCTGCAAGTACATACTGGTTTATAATTACTGCTACTATAGCAATCATGGACACTGGGCGCTGCCAAGTAGTAATTGAAATTCGCGTAAGGGTGCTCTAAGTTGCATCCTCATTACTAATAATAATCATACTATCATCCCTTTCAAGGAAAATATGGTAGCAGCAAAGCACCATGGTTCGTCATAAAAAATCAACATGTCATTATACGCTCTATTCCCCCCTAGTGCTAAATTCCTTGGCTTCGCCCTTCTGAGGCCATGTTCCAGAGATCAGTGGTCATCATATCCACATCATCAAGCTGCAGCCTCTCTGCCCATGTCTGAGCAGCATCGGAACCTGATCCGCCCACGACGTTTTGAGCGAGAGAAGCATCAAGGTGTCTCTGGTATCAACCGGTTAGCTCGCCAGACCCGGCCGCACGACAGTCACACTTGAACGGGAACTACTACTCCAGAGGGGAAGAAGCTTACCCAGTCTACGTTATTAGCGGACAACATCCACGACATATCAAATTGGTCAAGGCCATTTGCCATTGGCGCATTGCCGTTAGTGAGAATGGTTGACGTATTGGCGGCAGTGGTAACTGGGTGCCCCTGGGAGAAGGGTGTCGGCCCAGAACTTGAAGCTGAATCTAGAGCCTCGTGTTAGTATCTGATGACTTGTTTTTTTTTCTCTCTTTCTTTGTTGCGGATTTTCTTGATTGATACGAACCTTCAAACCCACTGGCGGTCGCATAATCAGACAGATTTCCAGTGACATCAAGGGATGATGATATTACATGGCTAGATGCTGACCGGGACAATTCCCCTCCACTAGGTTGCGTACTTGATGAAGCTGGTGAGATTCTGTCGACTGGTCTTCCGAGTTTAGCCAGCATAACAGCCAACGTATCCGCCGTCTTCTTTAGATCCGTCAGTTTATTAAATACTTGGCGGCTGATGTCATACGATCGCTTAATCATCTCAATCAGCTCGTCCTTGGTCGGCGACTCCCTCTGTCTGCCAGCCGTGCTGAAACCATTGCCATCGTCCGAATAGCTTTCGTTCTGAATAGTGAGGTATAATATCATGGCTGCCAGCATGAAATCGTGTACGGCGAGCGAGGTCATGAACCAACCAGACCGGCCGAGGACGTTTCCAGGTCGGCATCCCAGCCAGGAGGAATATTGAAAGCCCAGTAGCGTGATAGCGGCATCCAGGCATTGATTCCGCGAGTAGTCATGCTCGGGCTTTGGCACGGTCTCTGCTAGATAGCGTCGATGCAGAACGCAGCGACACTTGTGGTATAGGGAGGCGAGTCCGTATCGCTGGATGATCTGGTGGGGCTCCTCGCCGATGCACTCCTCCAGCGGCTTGACGTACATGAATGACGGGACGCTGTTCCAGGCTTCCTTGAGGAGGTTGTCTAACTGTAACACCTCGCTGTAGCTCGGCGGTGTTGATGAATGGGCTTGCTGGGCGATTTTTCTGAATACCCGAAGGAGCCTAGACTTGTGAATAGCATAAGTCATGGTTGAGTAGACTGAATCTGGCCGAGGAGTTGGTAGCTCCTTGCAACTGTCATCAAAGTCGTCGTCTTCTAGGTTGCGGGGCAGGTCTGTATCGGCCTCGATCCCACCGAGCATGCTCGGCAGTCCCATGTGAAAAGAGACGAGGAGGTCAATCTGGACGGCCATGTTCCACTGCCTCCGCCGCATCTCGCCTTCAAAGGGAGAGATGTTGGCCAGGTGGGACGGGTCCCGATGGAAGCCCATCTTGAGCATCAGCCGCAGGCAAACGCCGGATAAGATGTAGCAATTCATCTGAGCCGCCCGGTTGAGGACAAAGTCGGCCTCAACGTAGAGGATAAAGGCGGGGATCGTTACGGCCGTTGGCTGAGAGTATTTGCCCCATATCAACGCCCATCCTGCGGCTGAGCGGTATTGCTTGATTCTGTCCTTTATGGAGACTGGAGAATCACCCTCGACTTCGTCTGGCGCGGAGAAGTTGTTGAAAAACACTCCCATGGTGAGGACTGTAAATAGGAGAGCTATCCAGTGAAGCGAGACCTGGTTGGGGTTTTGCCAAAATTGCACATACTGGATGACATTTGAGATTAGACACGACGGTATCTCCGGGTCGCATGGGCATGTTTGGGCCAACTCACTTCTTTTGTAAAGGTCGGACGGTGAATAATGTCTGCATCCCACAAGTCAGCCTCCAAGAAAAATGTCTCATAAACTCGACATAGCGAGGGGTTGAAGGCGATATACTGACGTTGAGATGGGCTTTTGGATGAAAAGTATCGCGTAACCAGCCGATCCACCACATGCCGTTCGGGCAGCTGAGCGAGAAGCTCTTGTCGATTGCTCGGCGCTCCCCTTGAGTACAGTAGCATCTCTGGTCCTTCCAGCTCGTCGCCCGGCCCAAACTCATCTTCCGAGTCGCCGGGGTCATCAAAATACGCTTTGATATCTTCGATCTGCACCGCAGTTAGTCTCACTAACAATGCTCTACTACTATCCATTAACCATCAGATTTCATCTTCATCACTTACATCTTCGAGCATCGCTAAACAGTGAGTAGCGCCTATATAAGTTGTCGCATGGTCTCCGTGAACGACTTGTCCCTTCACCTGCGGCGCAACAGGCCCCCCCGATTCTCGAGTCGTCTGAGGCTTGTGACTGCCCTCATCATCCATCATCTCTCGGACCATCCCCTCAAGCCTCTTGAGCCGAGCCGCAACGCCCTTTGCCGCCGGTCTCTTCTTCTCCGGCTTTGGCGCATAAACACACAAATCGAGCCGGCCCTTCTTCGCGCACTGTCCGCATGGTTGTCCGCGGTCACACTTGAGCTTGGAGTTTCGACATGGTGCGCACGAGAGGAGAATCCGCGTGCGCTTCTTTGAGATGGCTGCCGCATTTTTCGAGGTCGAGTCTAAGTCCATTTTACTCTGCGTTATCACAATTGATGTATCTTTCTCAGTGTGCTGCCTCGCAGCCTTGTTGTGGTTTTTGTAATTCAAAGAGTGGCAATGGTGGTAAGCCGCGCTGACACGCCGAAGCATAAGATCTCAGAAACTCTACACGCCACAACAATTCTGACTAGGTTGGTAATATATGCATAACACAGCTAGCCGCACGCCAAAAAGACAACGGCTGACCGTTAAAGAAGTTTATTTACAGAGCCGCAGTCAACTTTCGGAACTACAGCACTATTAATTCTATTCGCAACAAGACTATGCCCGTATATTACCTAAGCGGCATGCTTTTTAGTTTGCTCGGACTTGCGCTAACTCCAGTCGCGAGAAGTTGTACAAACCGTAAGACGGTGGAGAAAAGACATGAAGAGAGGGAGACCAAAAATAAAGAAAATACATGAATAAACTGAAGCCGTAAACCCGTAATTTTCCATCATGTAGGCAGCGTTCCCGGTAGCCTTTCTATTACATATTTGCCTCTTGCGACGCTCATGATCGGAACACCGGGGATCTTTCGTAGTCTCTGCTTCAGGGCCTTGTCGTTGGTTCCCACGATGTATATCCTGTTCTTGCTCACCCGGTCCACGATGCAGTCATCGGCATAGGTACCCTTGTGGTCGCACTCTATCCGCTGCCATCTTTCGTCTCTGGCTATCCTCAACGCCAATCTGTATTTTGTGCCCAGTTTCTCCAGTTCGGCCATGACGCATGAGGTGATGATGGGGTTGCACTTGGCATAGAGGCAGTCCATCATGTTGTCCAGCAGCGACAGTTTCCTCTGGACCGTGTGACTTAGGAAGTTTGTATCGCAAAGGACGTTATACGGCGGCACCAGGGCCTCGTTGTGGAGGAAGAACATGTTGCTGGGCAGCTGGGGAGCTTCTTTGACGAGTTCGCCTCCGACCGTCCTCTTGGCCTCTTTCTCCTTCTGCTTGAGCTCTTCCTTTAACCGGTTTTCCTTGAGTCGGGTGTCTTGGAGTCCCATGACTCGTTTGACCTGAAATTTAAAAGTCAGTACTTTGCCGGTGACTGCAAATCAATCTCTTCGGTGGAAGTTGATGGACGAACCTGTCCAAACTTTCTGGTCTTCTTCGCAACACCCATGATTGCGGCGTTGGCCTCGTCAGGCTACCGGAGATGATTGACTTTTGTGGGTTATGATTCCTGGAAGTTATATAGAATTCGGACCAGTGGCTGTTGTAGGTGCGACAACCTGAGCGAAAGTGAGCTTGGCTGCTAAAGGCTTCAACTTCGTTTCTGCTGTTGAAATATGGCGATAAGACCAAAAAAAGTTCGGATAGATAAGATTTGCTGCAGCGCCTGGAGACTGGTGGCGGGCGGTGCACGGGCCACTTTTAGTCCATCTTAGAGGTACATGGGAGGTACCTTTTTGTGTGTGCTGCAGGCAGTCAATTCCACTAAAGGATGTAGCAGCAGCCTGCTAACTCGAGCGATCTCGACGCGTCCCTCCAGATCGCGTAAAGTGATTTATTTCGTCGCTCCCAGATCCTCAAGCGAAAATGCCTGCCGCAAAGCCAGAAGAAAAGGGCGAGTCCTCCAATGCCACGTCAAAGGCAGTATTGGCGGCATCTTCCAATGGATCACCCAACTACGAGCTGCCATGGTACGTCGAAAATTCAACCCCTCCAAGCGTGCAGCGATAGCTTCTGTCAGGGTATTAACGGTCGTTTTCCAGGGTGGAAAAGTACCGTCCGGTGTTCTTGGACGATGTCGTTGGTAACACGGAGACTATTGAGCGATTGAAGATAATAGCAAAGGAAGGAAACATGCCCCATGTTATCATCTCGGGCATGCCTGGTATTGGAAAGACAACCAGCGTTCTCTGCCTCGCCCGCCAGCTACTGGGAGAATCGTACAAGGAGGCCGTCCTTGAGCTCAATGCCAGTGACGAACGAGGTATAATAGCTTCCAGCCTCGGATTGGATATCAATAAGTCTCCTGCTAACTTGTTCGCATAGGTATTGACGTTGTTCGAAACAGAATAAAGGGATTTGCACAAAAGAAGGTCACTCTGCCAGCTGGCAGACATAAGCTAGTCATTCTCGACGAAGCCGACAGCATGACGTCCGGTGCCCAGCAGGCTCTTCGAAGAACTATGGAAATCTACTCCAACACCACCAGATTTGCATTCGCTTGCAATCAGTCCAATAAGATCATCGAACCGCTACAGTCACGATGCGCAATCCTTCGATACGCCAAGTTGACAGATGAACAAGTCGTCAAACGATTGATGCAGATCATCGAGGCGGAGAAGGTCGAATACAGCGATGACGGCTTAGCCGCTTTGGTGTTCAGTGCAGAGGGAGATATGCGACAGGCTATCAATAACCTGCAGTCGACGTGGGCTGGTTTCGGCTTCGTCTCAGGGGACAACGTCTTCAAGGTAGTCGATTCACCACATCCAATCAAGGTGCAAGCCATGCTGAAGGCCTGTTACGAGGGAAATGTCGACTCGGCTCTGGATACCCTCCGGGAGCTGTGGGATTTGGGATACTCGAGCCATGATATTATAAGCACAATGTTCAAGGTCACAAAGACGATGCCGACGCTTAGCGAACATTCGAAGCTGGAATTCATCAAAGAAATTGGCTTCACCCATATGAAGATTCTAGAAGGTGTCCAGACACTACTTCAGCTATCAGGGTGTGTCGCCCGGCTATGTAAACTGAACATGGATCCCAAAAGATTTAAACCGGTGTCAAAATAGGATAGAAGATAATAACGGAATACAGGTAGCGAATGTGATTTTTTTCGGCGTTGGAACTGGGGAGATGCTATACAATGTGAGGTAGTTGGGTATCATCATATGATGCTATGTACATGATCAAACACATGACCTTGGAGGGTTCGACAGGCAAAAGACTGTTCATCGTTTTACTTTTCATTGTTGTGTGCAACTTCTTGCTCATACCTGTCCCATTTTGCTTTCTCTCTAAGCCACCTCCTCTGAGCTCTCATCTCAGCTTCGTAATCTCTCAGGCGCTGGTCTGCCGAAATCATTCCTCCCAGGGTCATGGCCGATATTTGAACGTAGCTATTCGGTATATGAGCTTGTATGGTGATATAGCGGGCACATGCATATCCGATCTACTTACACTTTGAACTGGACGGTGGTTTTGCGGTAGAGCGGCGACCTGAGATAGGCCAAGGCTCCCACAATTGCTGCTCCGACGCCCCATTTAGCCGCTCCTATAAGTCCTCCCATGCCGGCTTCCCATCCGGCATTCTGTGCCTCGCCGCTCCTTAATGGATCGTGGGGGGAGATCATCTTTTTTGGAGGGGAGGACATCTTTAGAGAGCAGTGTCTATGAGATGAGACAAATTGAATGACGTTTCGGGTGTCAAGGTTCAGGCGGGAAGAGCGGGACGATGGGAGAAGACGGCAGAATACCAATCTTTAATATTCGAGGAGCTCTTGATATGAAGATGCGCTCTAGGATAAAGCAAAGTTTACATCGAACTTGGAGGCGTGAGATCTCGGATGGCTGACAGGTCGGGAAATATTGGTACGTCATAAAAAGCTTCAGGGTAGCAGCTAGGCATTTTATGAGCTTCCCCACATAGCTTTGCCTGCCTCGTACGATTATTCTGTGCGCCCGACTTTTGATGGATAAGAAAAGCAGAAGATGTTGTCTTTCCTAGTCAAATTTTTTTTTAAGTACGTAAATGGGTGATGTATGTAGTTGGACTAAAACAATGGGCTGTCGAGGATTTGTACTGAATCTCCGATCAATCTATTCAACCTCTGCCGCTAATATAAGGCACTCACTCACTACCTACCTCTATAGTATCTGTACTCCCATATCACGTACTGTATCAATACCGTAGATTCTATTTGACATGACATGTATACTTCCAGAGGATCCGACATTCAGACCAGGGCAAATCAATTCGCTTAACTTTGTCACAAACAATACTAGTCGAACCACAAACGCGGATAATTTTTCATCTCTGGTCCAATTCCACGCGTGCGGCATGATGCGGCAAGTGCGGGCACTTGGTACCTAATATTTGGTACCTCTGTTACTTGATAGAGTCTTCAACAGGCACATCATGAAAACCAGACCAACTCGCTCTTATTTTTCAGCTGTGGGGTACAGACCTGCAGGTACACAACTTACTATATCAGTAAGCGGTATATGCATTTAACCAGACGCGGTCAAAGCTCTGATGACAAAAGCCCTTCCGGACACAATTTCTTTTTGTTCTACAACAGGCAGACAAGACAGAAAAAAAAAAAAAAAGCTTGACACGGCAAAACCCAGCAATGATTGCGCCTCCATTGTTGCCTGGAGCTGCCAAGTCTGTGCTTGCCTGTCTATAAACTGCCGAGCGCTCAGGTCTTTGCACCTTTTCTCTTCTTCGCGTCAGCACCTTGAGATTTTGTGCCTTTCGTTGAGCAAAGTTGCATACAATGGCTGAGCTTTCTCTGGACGCGTACTGGCGAGCGCCGCCAATTGCTAGGTAAGGCTACTCAATTCCCTCCTCATAGCTGGGTTTCAAGAATCACATGCTGACTGCGGCTTTCGCCATTCAGAACCGCTGCCACTGTTACCTTTGGCTTGTCTGTCGCCGTGCACATGGGGATGCTTGCAGGGGACCTCTTCCTCTATGACTTCCACTACCTGGCGCGGATTCCTCCGCAGATATGGCGCCTTGTAACATGCTTCTTGATCACCTTCCCAAATCTGGGTGTTCTCTTTGACACTTTCCACATGTACATGTACATGAGCCAACTGGAAAAAGGTCATCCGCGATTGTCTAGACGAGAAGATCTTGTTTGGTATCTGACATTTGTGTGCGGAACAATTCTGGTAGGTCTTTTAGTTCAAACTCTTCTGTGCTCTCCCGTGTACCCCATATATGAAAACCCCTCAAATATCTGCCCGGATAGTGCGATGCCTCTACTGCTATCACGGTTCCTGGAATTGAGGGAGATTACCCCTGCACTTGAAGTCGATCCACCTCATTCGCATTAGGACGGCTTTCGGTGTGGGCATGGTGGGATGCTGTAATGGATGACTCGTGTGACTTGCTATTCACTCGGGTGGTTTTATATGCTCCCTACATTCCCCCATTTTGATGACATTCGTGCCTGTTTTCCCCATCACACCTCTTTATTAAATCACCCCGATTCTGATTGAGGCTGACCCATGCTTCAGATACTCAATCATTTATTGGGTTTCGGGTATGGAATAATGACGCAGGCGCTCCTCCTCGCCATGGCGTATACTGTAACTCAGGAGCAACGAGGCCAGACAACGAACTACATGTTCATTAATATTCCGTCTCAGCTCGTTCCATTTGCCATGATGGCAATCAACCTCTTCTTCCCCGGCGGCATTAGTGTTGTGTTCCTGCAGCTTCAGGGGCTGGCCGCAGCGCACTTGTATTTGTTCCTGACTAAAATCTGGCCCGATGTTGCCGGCGGGCGAAACTGGCTTGCGACTCCTGCGTTTATTCGGTCTGCAGTGAATGGAGTAGCGCCTGCGCCCCAACCATCTGCTGGAGGTAGAGGGTTTGACACAACGTCCGCCCAAAGCAGTGGTGCTTCTCGGGGACCATTACCGGACTCATGGCGCACCAGAGGACCAGGGCACCGCCTGGGTTAATTCATAGCATACATATAATCATAATAATATATTGAGCGAATGAATCTCACTGGTATGCTTCTTAGTAAAAAGTTTCATGACAGTATTCATGGTTTGTTGATGTAGCAGCAGCTCATTCTATCCACTGCACCTAGCCGCTATAGCAGCCACAAAGATTGCGTCACGGAATACCTATTGATGTATATCAAGTTATTATGTCTTATGAATGTAATATGTATAGATTCGAATCAGAACGTCTCGGTAGGATATCCCAGGGTATAAATGATTGACAGCCATTTCCTTGCGGCTAAATACCTTACACAAACCTAACGCCGTTTTAAACAGACAAAGCCACCATACCAGACCAATCCAGATCCCATCACAGCTTGAATAAAGCATTAATAATTTTACATCGCTTAAACCTCCCAAACATGTACACCTCAAAAGAGAACAAAAGACAAAGGAAAAAAAAAAGGACAGCGCAAAAAGAGTGTAATCTTGGTAGCACCTTAGCATCCCCTATTCACATCCCATACAAGATGCTCTTCCCGCTGGCCAGTGGCACCTCCGTATAGGCAGCATACTTCTCGCTATTTTTGGGAGTGGGTGGACGGTTTCGCTCAAGGACAACGACGCCCGCGCCAAGTGGTCTGTCAATGAACCGAGGATCGCTCAAGAGAGGAGGCGTGATGTGTAGCTGATGATCTGTAGCGTCTCTAGGCTGCGTAGTCAAAGGTTGAAGCACGAGACTCGGAGGAGGAGCTTTCTTTGGTATATATAGCTTGGGTAGAGAGAGCGAAGAGAATCTGGAGCTCCATCGGGATGAAGATCCAACTAATGTTGGCGAAGAGTTGGGCTCAGATGGAGATGATAGCACAGAGTGTTTTGGTGTAGGGAGTGATTGCGGCTCAGGCATTCGAGAAGCGTCTTCCACGGCGGACTTGTAGGCTCGGATGATGAACGAGTCGGGGGTTCCCGGCCTGCGTTTGTGTGTAGGCTGAGGAGGTGGCAGAGAATGACTTGAGCTTGCGCTTCTGGCCTGCTTGGAGACGGTATTGGGGTCATAGGCGTGATGAGCAGGCATGGCATTATCGTGGCCGTGGATGGCAGATCTCGGGTCATGTGTGAGCTGTATATGGCCTGAGCGAGCGGCACTCTCCATGCGGTTGTAGAACTCGGCATTGGTCTCGACGGGGCCGTTTCTGGCAACGCCGTGGAACTCGGGGTAACGAGGCTGGTGAGCCACATATTCCCAGGGCTCAACCATGGTTTTGGGAGACTCAATCTCTTGTCTATAGTAGTAGCGTTGCTCGTAGAAGGGACGAGGGGAGTGCCTCTGGCGAGCGAAATAGACAACGAATAAGCAAGTGGCAAGTCCGAAGATGAAGACGATTCCGACTATGATGCCGATGATGGCGGCTAGAGGGAGGCCTTTGGATGAGGCGGATTCAGTGTCGTTGTTACCGTCTCTTGGAGAGGCCTTGAAAGCCTGAGCAGTCTGGGAGCTGGCCAGAGCCAACAAGAGGAGATGTATTGAAGAGATCATGTTGGGTTCTGCGTACAACTGACAGAAGATAGACAGACAAGGGCTATATAAATGTACAACGGAGTTTTAACAGAAGTCTATTACCGGGAAGGTCTGCCCACTGTAGGATCGAATCGATCTTTTGCTAGTGTCAATCACCACTTTCGTGAAGATATGATACTGGCAAGTAGAAAGATCCTTACAGTTGAGCTGATCAACCCTACACAAGACAAGCGACGAGGCAGGTGACTATCTGGGCAAGAGACACATCTCTAGGAGCCGGCCGGTGGGAAAGGCAGGCAATAGATATATGACTATGACTATGCTAGCAACAATGAGCAACGCCACGCCGGAGAACACAAATCAAATATACACCCTAATCGGGGCATTACCACCACGCTGTGTTGGTTCCAATGTCAATACTGCATGTATAGGTAGGGTGCAAGCTACATACTCATGTACATGTATACACATGCATGTATGGGGCTTTTGCCAGCAGGGGCCCCGCGAGGCCTACGCAGAAAGAGGCTATGGCGCAGACTTTGCTGCCGATGGATGCTACCCTCATGGTGGCGGCCGACACATGCACGCAATCCGATCATTTTCAGGCCCGAGGGACATGAGGCGTATTAGACGAGAGGAAGCCGACGCCAAGCTGGGCAGGGGGGGTAAGCGTGAGAGAGTTCTGGGCTGCTTAATATGCCATTATGGCGATGCCATTCGTCGAGGCGTCCCGGGCCTGAACTCGCATCCCCGACTCATGACGCTCTGGCCTGCTGTACGACGCAGGGCCGTTGGGATTCTTCCATCCAAACAGATGGCGGGCACGGCTTTTGCAGGCAAAAAGACAGAGGGATCTAGTGCGAGATCAGCCAGCCTGGGACACGAAGGACTCAGAGCAAGGCCGCCTCCGGTGTGAGTGGGACAAGGACACGGAAAAGTCCTACGGGAGTAGAAGCCGTGATGAGGCCTGGCTGATACTGCTGCTAGTATCAGCACGCTATGATACATACAGATATCAGAGAGGAAACGAAACGAAACAGAAGCGGCCCAGATCGAGCTCGGCTGAATGAGGCTCTCCCCCGGTTGACGAGGGCCAGGCAGAACAGGGCCTGAATGGTGCCTTTAGACGCCACAGACTCGTCTCCCCTGCTCGTGTTTGGCGGGCGATCCAATCAGCAGCGGCATAGACGCGCGGACAAGAGAGCAAGCTGCGCACTTGGACGAAAGAAGATGCCGCGGAGATGGAGCCCGGACGGCAGACAAGCCGCTGTGCAACGTTTGAATGGCCTGACTCCAAGGACGGGGCCCTCTTTTCCGCCAAATTCCGCGCCCCAAGAGACTTCAAGCGATAGAGACGTGAGTGGCTGCAGGATGCCTGGGCTCCTCTCTCGACGACCCGCGCCATTGCAACCCTACCTTGTTGACGGGCTGTCAATAAACTTGAAGCGGAATCGTATTGCGCGCCAGAGGGGCAGGTCACTTCTGATTTGTGCTGTCTGAAGTAAAGACAAATTAACCCACTTTAATCCATTATATTGCGTCTAACATGGCGGATGACCGCGGCACGGCTTGACTGCACTTGCTCTTTGCCCACCTTCTCTTTTCTGACTCTTCCATATCCCTGCTGATTATCATCGCCGCCTTGAGGGGCGGGCAGAGGACACAGACGCGAGCTTTTTGCGAGTACTGAGCTTGTAATTGGTTGATTGTGCCAGGCATCGTCCCGTCTGCGGGATGGTGAACCTTGCAAGTCATAGAAAGAGAGAGAAATAAGAGAGGAGGACAATGAACGGGTAAGAGATTTCGAAGCCAAAACACACAAGGCAAGATTTCTGTCAACGATACGATCCCGTGGCCCCCAAACTCGTGCCTTTTCTTGCTTCTATCGGACTAGAGTGAGCGGTTTTAAGAAGGATGGAGCAGAGTTTATTGACCTTGTTCTCCCACCCAGCGGAGAACGGCCGATACTATGTATGTGTTGTAATCTTACAAGGTAGTAGCAGCGACATCCAGGATGCCTGTCGCGCACCCCTCTGGTTCGTCTTGCAAGAAACCTGGTCACTTGTCATAATCCGCGCTAGGAACCTTCCGATAGCCGCGATGGCGGGCTTTTGCGAATCGGCCTTTTGGGCTCGCTGCAGGAAACGTGCGCGGTTCGGGCAGAAAAGCTTGCTGGGCTAGGGTGGTATTGGATTGACACATACTGCGGAGTACATGGTAGTAATGGTCTACTACTTTGCATCTCGTGCCATCTACTGCCTTTGTATAAAGAGGCTTCCGGTGTAGATGGGTGGCAGGGGGGGCAATTTGAATCTATTGGTCGATGTGATATGACGGCTGGTGTTAATAACAGTGACTTCTTCTTCTGCACTTTGTATGGCACATGCATATGCTTTCAAGCAGCGGCAGGTAATTGTATTTTGACAAACTGCCGTGTCGGACCGACCCCCTCTCATTGAAGCTGCGGATTTTCTCGTTTTCTCTGGTTCGTTAGACCAATCTCTCCGCGTTGCTTGAATTAATTGGGCACTCGCTTGCCCGCGGAGACAAGGGCTAAACCCGTTATATTAATGTGATTACCTTTGTCTGGTGGCTGACTGCGGTGGAGGCCCCTTCCGACCAATCGTTAGTCCTTTCCTTGAGAGTTGTACTGTAAAGAACATACGTAAATCATTGTCCTTCACCGTTTAGAAGGCTAGAAAAGGGAGCCCGGATATCACTTGCGGACCAAGAATGCCGCTGTGGAAAGAATGTTGTAGTCAATGCCTTGTACCCAACGACGTCTTGTAACAATGACTGCAGAAATGATAACTTGATGTCTTATTCCAACTACTAGTAAGATGCCGTGTATATGCTTAGCCATGCTCCGCTTACTATTCTTCTAGGTATAAATGTTCTATACTGCGTAACGAGCCCTCTACTTATAATGGTATGATGCCCTTCATGATGTTCAGAACCAAAAATGCAGCCAGATCTTTTGCAATGCAAAGAAAACAGGAGACGCTACACAGGCTGTTGCTATAATCCCTCTTTCGCCTACATAACAGTGAGCATGGCGTATACATCCCATGCTAAGGATAAGGTGTGGTGAACATACTCTATGAAACCATGATGAGCTTTGTAAGCTCTGCTGCTCCTGAATTTGCTGCGTCCAGTAGCATAGATGGGTGTGTTATCGAGTAGTATATCATTATGCAACGCTGTAAAGTAAATGCAACGAGAGCCGTGTTTTAATTTGAGTTTCCGTTGGGTATCTCGATAGGCGTGCCATTGGATGTGGGCTGCTTTTGGTATAGATGGTGTAGCTTGATGTACTTGTGGACTGAATCAGGTATATCATCTACTCTTTCTCCGTTTTGTATTTGAGCACGGACTCGTGTTGACTAGTCGCCTAGTTAGCACAAACGAGATGGCTACAAGATTAAAGAGGGGAGGGGGGTTTCCTACAGATACTTCGTTGGTAATTGTTGGAACTACCCATATCTTTTTATACTTCTTGAGAGGCTCTATCGCATCCTGGGTTCTGCATTGCGAGGGCCTGAGTGATATTTTGGACATTAGCACCTGTGAGGACGAGTTTGAGCCAGCGAGGGTTTGCTACCTTTCGACAACAAATGCTCCGTAGTACCCCAGCAGCACATCAATGTCAGCGGGGTCCCATATTCTAGGGTCTGCCATTGTAACAGCGAGATCAGCCCCAATAAGCAGCATGACCTGCGCTCTCACAAAAATGCCGCCTTGAGTCTCAATGCCACCGAGCACATTGTTTATTTCGTGGTCGAAGTGGCGGAGAACATCCACCGTCGGGCTATAGAGAGGTTTGCCTGATTCATCGAGGCGTTCAGTCTCCCAAGGGTCTATTGTGATGGTGGCCGTTGAGTCTGTATCGACGGCCAGGCTACACACTATGGATAGCAGTGAGCGAGAGTTCGACTCTCTTTCTTTTATCTTAAGCTTAACCAATTATAAACCTACTTTGAATTCGGTGGTGGGCCGGTGCTAAAGATGCCTTCTGGTACGCATCCGAGCAGGGCGACATGTAATTACCAACGATTTCGAAGCCGGGGTCACTCTGTCTTACGTATTTCTCTGCCAATTCAAACATTCGCAAATCTACAGACTCGTTAGGGAGAGTCTTTATCTATCAGCGCCCAACTTACGAAGAGTCGTTACGGGCGAGAAGCTTCCGCAGGCGACGAGCACCAGCGGCACCTTGTCAGGCCGTGTCAAGCGACGCTTCAGGTTTTGAAGTGGGAATTTGTATCCGGGCGGTGATGCGATCGGCTCGGGAGGAGACATCGGGACGCCGTTCGGCTGCGGGACAGACGCAAAGCTCGACGCCGAGGCCACCATGACTGGATGGGCCGTTTTACGAAGGACGGATGGTGTCGCGGGAGAAGAAGAAGGGAGAGGCTCGGGGTCGTTTCCGGAGCCCCGTGATGCTGGTGGTGGTGTTGATGGTCGCGTGGGCAGCAGGAAGAATGGCTTGTCGGGTGTAAGAGGTTGCGGCGATGACGAGAGTGGGATATTGGCGATGGATGCCTATCTGGGCGGGCGATTAATAACGCTGAAGCCCCGGAAAAGATGGGGGGATTTTACCGGTGCGGGCAGTAGAAATGCGCTGCCTCCCGCTAAAAACAGCGAGCTAGCCGAGGAGAGCTTCCCTAAGAGGAGTCTGTTTCAACCATTGGGGCTTATTTAGGCAATTGGGCGCACTTGTGGCTGCTTCGAGCTGTGCAAAAGAATTAGCATTGATCGCGACGTAAAGGTGTTTCCAAGGTGAATACTGATATTACGTATTCGCGTAGTAACGATGAATCAAAGAGTGGCCGTGGCCGCATCACCAAATGTGGCAAAGATGGCGTCAGTCTCTCTCAGCCGTAGTCTCACATGTATCTTGAATCTCTGTTGGTCGATCATTGTTTGTGTGACAGACATTGCGGCGTCAGCTGCTTACTTTACTCCTAGCATGAATAGTAATAGACACTGTTTAAGCCTTACTCCGTAAACTGCAGTAAATGAGAAAAAGCAAAGGTCAGAAAGTAGAAATAAGAAGGAACACGACCTGGGCTTAGAGAAAGAAGATGGCTGCACACCTGCGACGGCATATACCGAGGTGGAGTAGCTTTCGGCTGTTGTAGATTATAGAGGCGCGATCTATCAAGGAGAGAAAATTGGTTACAAAACGCCCAAGATCAATTTACAAATGGAAGCCAACATTGTGTAGATAGGTTGAGGCAGCCATTGCTAATTTCTGCACAAGACCATGGCCTCATCACCACTTGAGGTAGGTACTCTGTATGTCAATGTTTAGCAGCGTATACTAAATAGCATCGAGGTCGAATCGTGGTACCCGGTGCCATTCTGTTCAAGTGCGCATCTAAGAATCCTAGTTCCAAGATACATGGAGATGTGTTGCTGCAGGAGGCTGTGTACGAGATACGAACAGAGCCCATTGTGAAACTACCCTTGTAAGAGGCAAACATTTCGCTACGACTAAATTTTTTTTGGCAATTTCAAGAAGTTACCCAGACATTAAAATATATGTCAATACTCTGCATTACCTGGTTATATTTAAGGGCTTCGAGATATTCAACTTCTGATTGTTTCATATCAGCTGCCATTCTTATACATACCATGACTACTTAGGTATTAGTATATTAACTTGTGACTGTGGCATGCCATCTTCTCATATCGCGTGAAAACAGCTAGAGATCATTTGATACCCGTTGAATATCTTTTAGATGCTAGAACTCTCCTATATCCTGCCCTATATATCTGGTACCGTAGTCTTTACTTGTCTTTGCTGGTACTATTCATAGAGTAGGCCTGGTCCTGCAACAGAATGCGACGGAGCGGCGGCAAACCGAGCGACGCCATTGGTGGGCCGTGCTGTGGGAATTGCTCAGTATCCAATCAGACGTGTCTCATTGTTCCAGGAAAACCCCTTGCAGGGTCTGAAACGAAATCCAGCCACAAGCTTACAGACCTGGGGAGAACTGTGGTGCCACTGTACGAAGTACTTTATGCAAACAGGCTGTGTCGTCTTATAGGCGATAACTGACATGTATCAAATTGGTAAAAATTACAAAAGTATATACTGTGTATTCTGTCGCTTTGCCATCAACCCAAGCCAAGAGATGGGGGATGTTCCTTTGATTCCTTCAGCAGCAGCCTAATCCGGCAGTTCCAACAAGTAGAAGCGCGTGTATCATTACATGCGCTCGGCATTTAGAGTTTCGGAACGCCACCTGCCATTTCATGTACCGACTACCTCCTACCCCTCTATCGATACTCCAGAATCATACGCAAACTCGCGGGCTCCATTCTTGACAGCACTCTACGCCCAAAAGAGTTGTTCTGTTGTTGGCTGCTGTCCAACGTCAAGCACATTTTGCCGAAATTAGTGTCGCCTGCTCCTTTGCTGTCGCGGGACTGACACCTGTAGAGGAGCTGCCACGAAAAGCCGGGCTTTGCCCGCTGCGTTGGACCTTTGCAGCTGCGCAGTTGCTCGTCTGGTCTGATCTGATCCGAGAGACGAGCTGAGTGAGGGCGCTTGGAACTCGGAAAGGGCGAAAGATGAGGATCGCGTGCCTTCAGTTTGCGCCGCATGTTGCAGATGTGGAAAACAACCTCAGCAAGGCGGACGAGATCCTGAATCAGGTTGACGCGGAAAGCTTGGAAATAGACCTTTTGGTGCTGCCCGAGCTGGCCTTTACTGGTACGCCCACGTTACGTTCTACAGTACTTTTCATCTGCTCTGTGGGTTTTCTAACTTACGATGCTTCTTATTTTTTAGGCTACAACTTCAAGTCTCTGGCCCATATATCTCCCTATCTCGAAGAATGCAGCACAGGGATTAGCTCTCTCTGGGCTCGAAATACGGCCCTCAAGCACGACTGTACTGTTGTCGTTGGCTACCCCGAAAAGGTAGATCCGGCGCTCAACTGGCCCACGGACCCCCAGTATTACAATTCTGCTATTACTGTTAATGGCGATGGTGAGACGGTGGCCAACTATCGCAAAGTACATCTTTATTACACCGATGAGACTTGGGCTCTAGAGGGTTCACATGGTTTCCTTGCACAGCGAATACCTGGCCTGGGCCAAACTGCCATGGGAATTTGCATGGATTTGAAGTGAGTTGTTTCATAGGACAGAGATGGCCATTTTCCCAGGTATTCTCATAACTAAACTGACTGACTACCCACCTTTTAAGCCCTTATAAGTTTGAAGCTCCATGGAACAAATTTGAATTCGGGCAACATGTCTTGAACAGTGGCGCTCGTCTCGTCGTAGTTCCTATGGCGTGGCTCACTAATGACGAGCAGCAAGAGTTCTTGAGCGCTCTTCAAGATCCCGACACTATGAGCTTACTGTACTGGGTATCACGTCTTGAGCCACTGATTCGCGCACAATCGAACCAGGAGGTCATTGTCGTCTTTGCCAACCGCTGTGGTACGGAAGGTGAAACGACATACGTTGGTACCAGTGCTGTGATAGGTATTCAGTCTGGTGAAATTTATGTCTATGGCATCATGGGCCGCGGAGAGACGGGCCTCCTCGTGGTTGATACGGATTCTGAGCCGTACGCGAGGTTGGCATATCAGCCACTTCAGCCAGTTGTCCGATCGGATAACGACGGCTCGCCCGAGTTGGAAGCAGGCTCACGCAACAATACAGCCCAGTTTAACGACTCTCAAAATGAAGCTTGGGAAAGTCCTGAAAGGCCCAAGGACCGTCTCACTAGTTCTGCCCATCAACGAGAAAATGACTTACACGCCTGTTACGGGAATGCGGCGAATAATGTCAACGAACGACAGCATCATCAATCTTCAAAATATGACGAGGAGCATGATTACCACAGCTCAAATAGACCCCAAGCCAACCATGTGCCGCGGGTACCAAGTCGCAAGCTGAACATCGAATCTTTACAGCTGGACATTCCAGCCGACCAATACATGCTCCGACGGTACCTTGAGTCGGAATCTCCGGTATCTCATATAGATACATTTAACCCCTCGATACAGTCCATCACGTCCCCAGAGCCATTTCGAGGATTGCGGAAAGACCGGGATGATTATGTGGCATTTTATCCTGACAATATGGAAGATGAGAAACGATTCAGCATGCGATCTGACGTGTCCGTCTGGAATAACCAACCAGGTCGACCTCGTCAAACCTCCGTCTCGTTGGTAGCCCCTTCTGGATTACCACATGTAGCAACTCATGAGCGTTCTAGGAATGTTGAGATTGCGACTAGTACCCGACTGCAAGGGGGGAATAAGTCGAGGAACAAGGCTCATAGCCAGCGGCGATCATCTGATTGGAATAGCCGGCGTGACAGCGAATATGGGCAGCCGATATCGCGACAATCGTCCCATTATCATCTTCGAGAACATTACAACCAAAGCCAGAATGATGAAATGGCAAGAAGCTACTCGAGTAGTGCTGTGTTGCCGCTCCACCTGTTACAGTCTCACACAGCATCACAGGCTACGCCAGACGAGGTTGGGAGAGGCAGGCGGCGTTCTTCTCACAAGCACCCAACGGACAGACGACGAGGATCACGAAGCACGCAAATGTCTAATAAAGAGCCAATCGACCTTTCGCAATTCACCCTCATCGAAGAATATCCGTCTGCTAGCTGCCCTGTGCACGGAAGCCGTCCTGCGTCGGGAACTAGACGCCAGAGCCATTCGAAAGCCAGGGGTCGTTCGGGAAATCGCTCGCAGGCTGTACCGGAGGCACAACCTGCTAGGAAACAGTCTAACCGGCGCATGTCATCGCAGAATGAGAGCCACAGGAGTGGATACGGCTTATCACATCGACCCATTCACTCGACAAGACCTGAGTTAGAGCATTTGACCAGAGAGAGAAAGAAGGATGAGAGGGAGAGTTATGAGGAACATTCTGCTAATATTATTTCTGGCCCAAAGACCCCTACTGCTATGCTGCTGATACCTGATTTGGAACTACCTGATGGCCTTGAGAAGACTTTTTCTTTGCTAAAATGTGTGGAAAAAGCGCCAGAGCACATTGTGAGACGGCGTGTGAGCTCATTCTGGTAGAGAGTTTTACGTTTCTGGTTCACGGCTAGAATCATTTGTTATCAGTTTGATTGTATTTAGCGAGTATATTGGCTTTATAGAACGACCTTGGTATATAATAGACGAAACATGAATGCCATGGATGTCTTGCTTGCCTGTAATGGACTAGTTGGTACCTATCTTTAAAGAACGTTTCTGGTGACACGCTGGTTGTGAATAGGGTCGATCACGGCGTACATCAAGTAGTTCAAGGAGCAGGCTTCGGAGCAGATTTTAAAAGTGATGGATGAGGCCACGCGACTGCAGCTATATGCAGCAGCTTAGGTGTGGCATAAGCGAAGACAGTTCATCATCTACACCACCACTCCCACGCCGTCGGATGATAGACTCTACCAGCCACAAATCTAAGCGAGTAGCCTGTTTATCAAGAAGATGTGCTTTAATGCGTTAATGCTTGGTGATAATGAAGTTGGAATAATGATTGTTGGCCATCACTCGAGTTCAGCGTCTACATGCTTATACAATAGCGGCTCGTTTCATCTACACAGCGCCATCATCGGCCTGGGATGACAGAGTTGTATCTAATTGGTTCAAGCATCGTTGAAGAAGAACATATACCTAGGTAGTAGTATGTTACAATGAGTAAGCGGCTGTAAACATACTCACGATCGTACAGACTTTTCCTTTTTGTTTTGAGCGGGATTTTCAGAGCGGCTAGCAGAATTGAGAAGGAAAAAGGCGCTGCTCTCCCTCTTCTGTACCATCTCCAGATGAGTGTTCGACCAACATCAATAAAGCGTGATCAAGGTGTGACAGCTGTGGAATCATGAAAGCGGCGCTTGAGGGCGGTTATGGGCATCAAGTGTGAGAAAACGTGATGAAGTTTGCAGCGCGCTAGGAGCAAGGGTGCTGCTAGTGTACAAGTATGCATTGCCGAGCATGAAAGTTGCATGTCAATTTATCCAAATAGGCAAGGTTGTACATGTATGAGCTGCGGCGATTTTGCCGCATGAGCTGCAAGTACATGTATTCACGGGATTTGTATGTGAACAGCCACCAACAAACGGCATCTCCGAGTATCTCACGCTAACGGCAATACTTACACGGCACGGCTTGCATCCGGTGATGAGTTATAGAGAACATGAAAGCGCCCGTCGTGATGAGCGTCATATACGAGCAGGACTTTTGCACGCAAAATGCGTGTTGGTCCCAGGCTGATGCAAATGAGCGGAGAATCTTGGCCCCCACAGACGGAGTGCAGGATTGAAAAGAGGAGACGTATGAGAGGGTAGCAATAAGGCTTCCTGCTGCAGCACGGGCAGAGAACGAAAGAGACTTCACTTGTACTTGCATGAACTGATGCAGTGTACAAGTACTATATGTACCGTGCCGTGGATGACGCGAGGATGCTGCGAATTAGATGTCCCCGTTGGCAGCACCGTCAGCCTGAGGAATGGATACGAGGGACGGTGTGATGACCAGTCTGGGCCAACAGCTTCAGACCGGATCTCGGCCCTGTTTGCGGGCGGGGAGAGCAAATAAAGAGAGACGATTTTTCATTCTTCATTACGGAACACAGCATGGTCCTTCGTCCAAGCAGCTCCAAATGGACAGTCGCGGCCATCCAGAGAGTCGAATTAAGCGCCCGGGTCCCAGCGAGCTGCCAATCGGAGGGCCGCAGCGGTGATGGGATGTGAAGTGTGAGCAGGGATCCCTGCAGAGGCTTGACGCCACGCAGGGGATCCCGCCTTGTTAGTGGTGAGATGTGCGTGCCCTTGGCTCTGCGGAAAACTGGGCAGCAGCCTGCGTCTGCCTGTACGGGGATCACAGCTTAGCATCATGCCAGTGGTGCAGCAGCTGTGGCCTTTTTGGGCGGCGGTGGTGCGACCGGAACAAGCAAGAACAAGCAAGGGATGGACTTGAGGCCTCCCCGAAAGAGACGTGATGTGCGGCCTGGCCTGGCCTAGCCTTTGGCGTGCATGCTCGCCATGGACGGGACGAAGCAGATTGGATTGAGCGGCGAGATGGCGGGCGAGCCGCACGTCCACTTGAGGTGGAGAATGTGACCAGCACCAAGATACCTAAGGTAATAGCTCTCCGGATCAGGACCTCCCATGTCCATTCTTCTGAGGAAGCACCTGAGATGCGACTCTGCATCTTCATCACATCGGCCATCCAACAGTCACTCGGCAGACTCCTGGTCGCTTGGCTTCACTGACGGGCGCGTCTCCCGGCGCTGATATATCAATCTCGATTATCCCTCGGGCTGGGGAGTGCTTCTCGCCTCTTGTTTCGTGAACATTCAGCAATATAGGCGTGGCATGTAGCACGGTCCGGCACTGTGTCTTGTTACAGCTCCTTCGCTCCAATCCCACGCTCGCTATTCCAAAGCTCGTTTCCTCTGTTAGTAGAGAGGAGGTCGTCTCGCTCGAGAAACAATGCTACGCCTCTTGACAAGCTTCGCAGCCGTTGGCGCCGTGCTGCCGGCGGCCGAGGCCATCATCGTTGCGCCAAACTCGCCGTGCTCGGTCAACTGCGGCAATGTCCTGGACGCGACGACCCCGGCCGACATTGTCTGCAAGCCGGACGAGTACACCGGCGGCTATGACAATGGAGCTGGCACGGTGTTCCAGGGCTGTGTCCAGTGCGAGCTGAACAGCGGGTATGCCACGGACGGCAATTATACCGATAATATGGCGGCGCTCTGTATGTGTCCTGCTTTCCACCCATGTACCTTTGGTCTCAAGTCGTCTCTACGATGTCGTGCCGGCGGTTGTAAGCAAGAGTTCTAATGTTCGGTTTGCCTTAGATAACCTGCGGTATGCTGTATCATACTGCGTCTTCAATGAGCCGAAGCATGATGGTTATACCAACAATCCGTGTATTACGAGGTAACTAGCAGCGTCTTTGGCGTGCTGCGTATCATGCGTATATACGGCGGCTGACATTTCGATATTTAGCAAAGCCTGTGGTGTCTTCGCCGAAGCTATTGCGTACCATAACCTATCAGCCAAGTACGACGACTTTGGCTACTGCGATATATGGCCCACTGGCGACACCATCGACTACCTCGGCTGTATCCAGTGCCTTCAAGTAACTGACAACTACTTGGCAAATTGTGCGATGCCCTCCCAGACCATGGGCCTGTTGACGATGATGATCTTTGCTAACATACCATGTAATAGTTGTTACTGCTCTCGAGGCTGGATGTCAGCAGAAGCCAGCTGCTGGAAAGCATCTGGGGCTCCAGGGAAACATCTTTTCAAGCAACGTCGTCAACATTACTATTCCCACACAGACCCCGGAGGTAAACCCAGCCTGGTTCGATCACGGCCCTTTGACTCTGGGTGGAAAAGTTGGCATTGCCGTTGGAGGATTTATTTTCCTGCTGATCCTTGCTGGGGCAGCCGTCATCTGCAGAGGCAGGAGACGGAGAAAGGCATTCCTCAGCAAGTTGCAGGCCAATATGCCGCAGATGGCTTCTAACCACGGTGGCTGGCCATCGATGCCTATGGGCCACGACACTGGCGAAACGCCCATTAGCCAGCGTCCCCTCCGGAACTGGGATGACTCTCCCGTGACCATCAACACCGAGAAGAACTTCCCTCGATACTTCTCACCCTACTCTTCTCAATACAACAGCCCTGTCAGTGCTACTGATGTGAACCACATGCCATGGCCGGAGCCAGCTTTGGGTTCTCCTCGCGCGCTGCGGGAAATTGGCCTTGCACTTGGTTCAGCCGTTGATGTCAGTAATACGGCTAATAATGGAGGCAATGAGCGATGGCCCTTGTCGCCCGAGGACAAGGGCAAGATGAAGGACGAGTCATACGAAATGCAGCACGTCGACAGTGCTGGAGGCAGCGTCGCTCCAGACAAGCGGGCTCTCCAGGTTGAAACTCCTATCCTAGGACACCCGGGCTACGGGAGAAACTCTGATAGCCCACCCAGACAATACGATGTGAATGGGCCTTCTGCATAAGGGGGATTTGGGGGGGGGGGGTCTATATGGCCAAATAATGCTCACGACTTATGAACATGTCCATGTGTTTGGGGAGGGGGTTGATACCTTGCTGTTTTGTTCTTTTCCCCCGCGGTGTTTGGGAGTGATTTATAACACATACCTATGTATATATATATGCCTCTTTTGTTGATATTGTAGCGCAGTGAGCGCAGTCTATGGAGACTAAACGGACGGACATATGGGAGTGAGGATGCTGGGGATACCCAAACGCGCCTTGATGGTGCCTGTTTCTTTGAACTTACATACCGGCACCTTGAATAGGTACCTATACAAAACCAATATATATACTAAGTTACTTTATCTTTTGATGCAATATTGATCGAAGCGTATGGATAGTGTTTTAGACTATCTGAAACAGTATGCTAAACACCAACAGCTGTCTTTTGCTGCCAACTCCCGCTATGTATGGCTTAGGTAACAATCAGTTTATCTTCTGATCAATGCACTGAGGGTTGATCCTCAATTATGCTGCTGTGGTAGTAGTGTGGCTGGTGCATTTTGAAATGTGGCGCGTATATCCACGCCTATCTGCATATAGCTTAGCGGCCAATTGGCGCCACCCTTTGCATGCAAAGTTTCTGCCCCACAGAGCGAAAGAAAAAAAAAAAATTGGAAGCTCGAGCCGGTGGTAGAACTAGAAAAAAAATCCATCACGAGTGCAAGCGCGCCAGTTTCGCCTTCGTCGTTTGGAGCCACCAGCCTTTGCACTTTCCAATCTATCCTCAGGCTCTCGGAATCTCGGCCGATCAATTCGAAAAGAGACTGTCAAAATGGTTACCGAAGTCGTGAACAAGAAGAAGGAGCAGGAGCAGGAGGAGCACATCATCAAACCCCAGGCCACTACTCCTACTGTCGACACCAGCGAGTGGCCGCTGCTTCTCAAGAACTATGACAAGCGTAAGTGAACATCTTTTCCCTGGTTTTTGGTACATTGGAGAGAGAATTGTAGCGCCCAATTGAGTGCGGAGCGGATGTCAAGGCGACGTGGAAATGAGCAAGAGAAGGGAACAAGGCACAAAATCATGGCCTCTGGACTTGAACCTTCTGCTGACCTCTTTTTTTCTCTTCTTCAGTTCTTGTGCGAACCGGCCACTTCACCCCCATTCCCAATGGATCTGCGCCCTTGAAGCGTGACATCAAGTCCTACATCAGCTCTGGTGTCATCAACCTGGACAAGCCCTCCAACCCTTCCAGTCACGAGGTTGTGTCCTGGGTTAAGCGAATTCTTCGGTTCGTGCTCGCCTGCAGTCTTATCTGGACTGATTGGAATTCCAATTGAGCTAACAAATGCCATTAGAGTTGAGAAGACCGGTCACAGCGGTACCCTCGACCCCAAGGTCACGGGATGTCTGATTGTCTGTATCGATCGAGCGACTCGACTGGTCAAGTCCCAGCAGGGAGCCGGAAAGGAGTACGTTGCCATCATTCGTCTCCATGACAAGCTGCCTGGCGGCCAGGCCCAATTCGCCCGCGCCCTCGAGACCCTCACCGGTGCCCTGTTCCAGCGCCCGCCTCTGATTTCCGCCGTCAAGCGACAGCTGCGTATCCGAACCATCCACGAGAGCAAGCTGATTGAGTTTGACAATGACCGCCACTTGGGTGTGTTCTGGGTGAGCTGCGAGGCTGGTACCTATATCCGAACCCTGTGCGTGCACCTGGGTCTGCTGCTGGGTGTTGGTGCCCACATGCAGGAGCTCCGACGTGTGCGCAGTGGTGCTATGGACGAGACCAAGCACCTCGTTACCCTGCACGATGTTCTGGACGCCCAGTGGACGATGGACAACACCCGGGATGAGTCTTACCTCCGCAGAGTCATTGCACCCCTCGAGACTCTGCTCACTGGCTACAAGCGTCTCGTTGTCAAGGACAGCGCTGTCAACGCCGTCTGCTACGGTGCTAAGCTTATGCTGCCTGGTCTCCTCCGTTATGGTATGTAATTGCTTGGCAAAGGCCTCCGAACCTCTGGCTATCTTTAAAGGACTTACCGCTAACAAAAATTTTTTCTTACAGAGTCTGGTATTGAGCACCACGAAGAGGTCGTCTTGATGACTACCAAGGGTGAGGCTATTGCCATTGGTATCGCTCAGATGTCTACGGTGGAGATGTCTACATGCGACCACGGTGTCGTCGCAAAGGTCAAGCGTTGCATCATGGAGCGCGACCTTTACCCACGACGATGGGGCCTCGGACCTGTCGCCCAGGAGAAGAAGAAGCTCAAGGCTGATGGCAAGCTCGACAAGTTTGGCCGACCCAACGATGCTACTCCCGCCAAGTGGACCTCTGACTACAAGGATTTCAGCGTGTCAGATACCTCTGCCGCCGCCGCGGCTGCTGCTCCTGCCACCACTTCGATCCCTGTCCTGCCCTCCACGCCCTCCAAAGAGGCTGATACCAGCATGAATGACGCAGAGACCCCTGCTGCTGATGAAGACAAGAAGAAGCGAAAGAAGCATGAGGGAGAGACTGCCGAGGAGAAGGCTGAGCGGAAACGACGGAAGGCCGAGAAGAAGGCTGCCAAGGCAGCAAAGAAGGGGGGCAAAGACGATGAGGACAGCGATTAAAAGTGAAAAAAAGAGTGGGAAATTAAGACTGAGGATTCTTTTTCAACGTGAAGTTTCCTGGCGTGGGAGTCTTTTGTCGATATGGAAATGGTCGTGCCTTGTACCTTTCTCTTTTTTCTAGTTACCCACAAGTGGTTCTTTGGTAATCGGCGTTTATAGGTATCAATTCAAACATGATTATTCTTACTAAACAGACCATACTGTGTTGTTCTGCAAAGCGCTCGGGGTGATGCCGCAATGGGGAGAAAGTCCGCTGCTTGGCTTAAGCTGGGCTTGGGTTGGATGCCGAGCAGGGTCGCCTTTCAGCGCGTGTATGTAGCGCTTCTAGGCAGAAAACAGACGATTGTCGGTTGCATCGCACCACTGATCTGGCGGTAAGCAATATAAGAGCGGCAAAATATCTGGAGCCAACCTTTTTGCTCTCCGGCTGTATACCTCGTGCAGATGGGATAAAGTGATTTTGAGCCGCTCGAGGCGCTTGTATGTGTATTTGTGGTGGACTACCGACTATCGCCAGCACGCACCGCGTCCGATAAACTCGTAGCTAAAAACAATAATGCAATAGTTAGTATGTGATCTACTGATCTACCAGCGGTAGCAACCGTAGCAGATTCAATTGCGTCTCTGTGCCTGGCAGCAGCATCGAAACACTGGTCGAATGGGAAGCCTCCATTGGGCGACTCACGTGGAGCTGCTAAGCGCCGAACACGTCCCGGGCCCATCATCACACCTTGAAACCTGCATCTGCATCTCCTGCCTTCTGGGTGGTGCCGCTTCCTGCGATTCGCTAGGCGCTGACATGCTCAAGATGCACTAGTTTCTTCGAGTTGCTGCGTTTGCTGCTTCTCATTGGGCCGAGGCGACGAGGAGGAACACCCGGTTGGCGAGAATCTTTGGCCGCAGGCACGAGCGAAGCTGCCCGATGCGATGATGGGATGAACAGGGATGCAAGGGGCTGGACAGCGACGATTGCCGGCCAAGGGAGAGAAACAAAGCTTGGCTGCACCGCCGCCGCATAACTAGTGTTATATGGCGAGCGATGACCAAGCGCCATGCAAGACAGAGAGAGAGAGAGAGAGAGAGAGAGAGAGAGAGAGAGAGAGAGAGAGAGAGCTTGCTTACGGATGCGTGTGACGGGGAGCTGAGCTCGGAAGCGAGGGTGTATAGCCATGGGCGGCAAGCCACCGTCACTACCGTCATGTTGCAGAGCATGTTGCCGCCGTCACGATAGTCTCGTCACCGGCGCCTTGGGGATCGTGAAGCTTAAACCGCCGTGGACCAGGATATTATGGGCGGTGTCTGCCCCCTTCATCTTCGCCTGTGTGTGATTGTTTCAACCTTTCCTTTCTTCTCTCGTTATATACTCTCGTTACAGTCTTGCTTGCAGATACCTCTGCCATCATCCTTCTGTTCGCATTACGCTCTCCTATTGGTGTTGCGGCTTCATTTACAGCGTGGATACCATTGCTGTCTGAAAGGGGCGAGACTGTCTTACCTTTCAATTACCGTTGAGAGGCGATGCAATTGTGTATCCATCTAAGATAAGGAGTCTTGGCAAATTCTTACTTCATTCGCTACCTTTCTGCTGGATCACTCTTTTTTTTTTGTGGTAGCATTTATTCTTTTGCAACACGCACTCGACTCTTCCTTGACTAGCATCCGGTCCGAGTCCTATCATTCATTTCAGTATACCGGCGCTATTCATATCAGACACGATGGGTTACATATCAATTCGTCGTGGAGTTCTTTCTCTATTCATCGTTACTTCTTCATTGACGCAAGCCCTGAGAGTCTCGCCAAATTCCCCATGTACAAGCGTCTGCACCGACTCCAACATCTCACAATCGGACCCAAACTTCTTCGACGAGCAGTGGAAAGATATTGTCTGCACCGACACAGCCTTCGATAGTACACCGGAGGGGAAAAAGCTGGAGAGCTGCTTCACGTGCCTACAGAATAGCACTTACACCCATGGTAGCGAGAGTGATCAGGATTGGTTCCTATGTTAGTTCCCATCTCTACAAATCCTGTCTAATAGCTGTGGCTTACAAGTAGTAAAGACAACCTACGGTACTCTGCCAGCTACTGCATGTTTGGCTATCCCAACAGCACTGGCTTCGATGCGGGCCCTTGTACGACGGCGGTGGGGTGCGGAAGTCTCTCTGATGCTCTCGAACTAAGCATTAAGAATCCGACGAACTTGACCCCGTATGATTATTGCGATGTTAATGGGGGTGCCATCACCGGTAATCAAGTTCAGGGATGCCTACAGTGTATCCAAGCTGATGGAGAGCATGAATACATGTCCAACTGTACGTGGTATAAATTTATCTATCTATCTATCTATCTATCCATCCATCTATCCATATCGACCCTTTCTATACATTACTAACTCATGATGTTAAGTTCTTCTCGCCTTACAAGGAGCTTGCCAAGTGAAGCCTGCTTCAGACTCCGTCTTAGTCCTAAACAAGCCACTCTTTGGCAATGATACTATCCAAGTCGTTACTCCGTCACCGTCTTCCGACAACCAAGGCCCTGCAATTTCCAGCTCAACAATCGTGGGGATTGTCGTTGGTGCTGTTGTTCTGTTGGCCTTGGTTGCAGGCTTCACGTTTGTATGCATTCGCAAACGCAGAAATCGTGCCAAAGAGCAAGATCGCGCCTCTGGCTATTCTTTCCGCTGCCAAACAAGAGTGACTCCCGTCACCCCCAGATTTCCAGAAAGTGCTCAGACCGATGATAACTTCCGTGGTAACGAGAAGGCGCATGTTATGGTCACCAATGGTGTTCCCATCGGCGCAAATGCCTATCCTCAGGCCCAGTATCCCTGGAATAGCCAGAGCTCATTAAACGTCACTATTAGCCGACAGGATAGTGCAATAATGAGGCCCAGCGTCATAACTAGCCTGCCACCACCTCCTTCGGCACACATCTCTCCTCGCCTTTCCTCACCGGATGATTACTCGACTCCAGCTTCTGCTGTTTCAACTCGGTCCAGTGCTCCTCTACTTGCCAACCCACAACGGGGGTATTCTCCTTCACCTCACTTGGCCCAGTCTAGCTGGTCACAAAGCCCAAGACCAAACCGACTTGATAGGAGGTGGGAAGACGAAAACCACGGATTCGGTAATGCTCTTGGGCTTATTAGCAAGAAGAAGAGCCAGACGAACACGGGGAGCCCCGTCCAGAGTGAGGTTATTCAGACATCTTTCCCGCCACCTCCTACAAGGTAAATCGGGCGGGATCCAAAAGCCATGTCATTTAGCGCTATCTATCAACAAAATTTCTTAGCATTGCTTTCTTGTTTTTGTACAATAGGTCTAATGGGAAGGGAAACGGCGGTGCATGTATGGGAGGGTTTGGGTCTGCATTAGTGATATCCACAATAAATTATGATAAGAATGTTTCAAGGTCACTATCATTGATGGCAATGAGTTCGTGAATAGCCAAAACACCATCTGCATTAAGATTCCAATATATATAAACGCTGAACCGCGAATTCTACCCGACATATCAATCCATGTCATCCCGATCCCCTTACCCGCCATGCTGTATTCAACTCCAAAAAAAAAAGACAAAAACAAAAAGCACGCTTGCCGTATATCCCTACTACCCCAACCGAGAAAAAGAAAACAGATGTTATGAATTCGGCTACTTCACACCAATGTGCACAAATAAAAAAAAAAGGGCGGGAGGCATCGTACTATACATGCATATCCTGAGAGAAAAGACACAAAAATGCAAATGACCATATGAAGCTTCACTAAAACAGTGATGTGATCCCAGCCGGACTCGGCTGCAACAGTAGAAAACAAGAGAGGGCTCCAGCTCCCATACGACAAATCCAATTCGTGGGTATCTGAAAGTTGCCGATGGTGCCTTTCGCACAATTCTCTCCCTCTCTTTCACACACAGAAAATGAATGTCCAAAAAAAGAACTTAAGCAAGACTGAAAGAAAACTTGCAAAGCTCAAAAATAATTCGAAAGTCGCTTTTGTTAAGGAAAGCTGTGGATGAAAAGATGCCTTTATTACCGTAATTGAAAAAATGCTTCAAAAATTTTTGTGAATTTCTGACTCCAATCAACAACCCAAAACAATCAGTATTTGCCCTCTTTCCCTTCACTCAATGTCGGAAGAATTTTTTTTTTCTTCTTCTGTTTTTTCCTTTCATATACCGCTTTCATCCATTGGCGTTCCTCCTCTGCTCAATATCTCGCTTTGTAACCTCCCGTTTTGTGATTTGAACCACGTCGTGCCCTCCTCCATCTCTTGACGCATCGCTCTAAGTTCTTGTAATAGAATATCGGCATCACTCATGACGCGTTTGTGTGGGTCTGCATCCACGATGCCCTCTTTGGCTACCTCGTCTTCAATCTCCATAGATCGCTTTCTTTTATTGTTAATAGTAAGCGCGTTCTCCGAGAAGTTACGGTCGCCGAGAGATTTGAAGGCTAGAGGACTTTGCGGCCGCATGGACGCCGCGCTAGTTATTGATGCTCGTCGAATTAATGAACTTGCCCTGCTGCTCGTATCCTTCTTCAAACCGCGACGAATTTCCTCCGCCATGGACTCTGGTAAGGCAGTCCCATCAGGCATCTGCACAATACCCATGGCCTTCAACCGCCAGCGCTCAGATACTTTGCTAGTTCGTGATTTCTCTGGCGGAGAGCTATCGCCTGATATAGAAGGTAGGGCACGATGAAATCGACCCGGCCTTTCTCCCATAAGCTTCTCGCGCAAAGCTCGTGTTTTTGAGCCACCTTCGATGCTCATCGCGGACCCAGCAACCGACCCAGAACGAGACCGCAATCCTTGGCTCCCGTTAATTGATGGAGTAGGTGATAGCCGTCTATATTCGTTGCGGAAAATCGCTGCAACGGCTCTTCGTTCGTTTGTGACACCAGATAAAACACCAGATGCAAGGAGAGCTTCCTCTGCTTTCCTCTTGTTTCGTTGGTTATTCCGTATTATAGCTGCTAGCTCATCTGGGCGATTGAGAGTGGCCAACTCGGCTTTTTGAGTAGCAATTCGTTGAGCAGTTTGTTGCTCTTCTCTGATCTGCGCTGCTCTCTGAGCTTCGCGAAATGCTCGGAATTGCTCGCGTCCGCTTCGGCGAAGTTGCCTTAGACGTTTCTCGCGGGCATTCTTTTTCCACCGGTAAAAATATTTCAAGGAAAGGTTATATATCCGGAATCTCTTAGCTTCCGCATTGTCCTGCTCCTCTTTCTCTCTTCGTATCCTTTCTTCCTCATCCCTCTGGAACTTGTCGAATACATCCCGGACGATACTTTCCACCATGAAAGCCTCGAATTCATTCATCAGTCCCTTATCTCCATTCACAAACCACTTCGTCAAGTCGTCTAGCGGATCTCGTGGAGGGCCCGCAAGTGCCGGAGGAGGGGCAGGGGGTAGGGCAGGCTTTGAGAAGAAAACGGGGGGCGTTGTAGTAGGGGTAGTGCTTTGGGCAGAGTCTCCAAAGTGAGGAGTTGTTGGGGATTTGAACTCGGGGAAGGCAGATGAAGATGGCTGCGAAGTGCCTGGTTGTAACTGGATGGGTGGCTCAGCAGCCTTCTTGTTCTCTGATCCTAATACAGAACCAGAAAATGGTGAGCTCAACGCCCCTCCTGTGACTCCTTGATTGCCAAGGAGATTTGGTGATGAAATGCTCGAGCTTCCACCCATTTGGGGGTGTGACAGTGGCGTAAAGTTGATTGCTGGCTTGGGTGGCTCTTGCGCAGTTATCGATGGCTTTGAATTTAAAGCAGAGGGCAATATGCTGCTGCTTGTTCCAGCCAAAGAAGAGAACGCTGGAAATCCCGGCACACTTGTAGATGCCGCTGGTTTGTTTGTACTTGACGGAGCAGGCGCCGGCGTTGGAGAATCAAATACGCTGGGCTTAGGTTGACTTGAACTTCCATGGGCGGCAACTGTAGCTGTAGGAAACATAGATAATTTGTCGCCTTCAGATGGCTGAGCGTTAGAAGCAAAGGGCCCTGACAAGGCAGGTTTTGACTCCCCAAGCGCACTAAATGATATCTTTGGGGTAGGGGTAACTCCATTCACAGCTGTAGGTGAAGAGGATGGAAAGAAGCCAGATGGCTGAACTTGCGGCTGAGATGATGGTTTGTTCTGAGAGTCCTGAAAATTCATAGAAGGCGCTGTTGTTGCTTGTGCAAATGGATTAATAGCCGCACTTGCTCCAAATGGTGGTGGTGATGGTGCCGCAGGTCTCTCTAACGCATTACTTGGCGCAACAGAGGGTGCAAAAGGATTAGTTGTCGCGGGTGCGTTATTGGTAGAGAAGGCAGGTAAGGCAGGTGGAACAGAGCTCGAAGCCGAATTATTGCCAAAGGGTGTCGAAATCGATGAAAAGGGGCTCGCAAAAGGAGCAGGCTTTTGCCCTTCAGGTGCTCCGAATACACTGGGAGTTTGTTCTGAAGCTAGACCGGAATTAGTGAATTGAAACGGTAAACAAGACGTGCAAAGGCTGTTGATGTTGATGTATCGGGCAAAGAAAGAAGTCTCTACCTTGAGGTGCGGTGGCCAAGTTGGTCCCAGGACCACACGCAATCTGGTTGAACGCAGGGAAGGCTGTTGAAGGTTGTGTTGCCGTCGTTTGAGACTGGATTGGTGCTGAATCTTGTATGAAAAGAGATCCTTCATTCTGCAAGAAGCTGCCAGGCCGTGATTGTGAAGATGCAGCCGAGTCCTCGGAGATTGTTGTATGGATAACATCCGGTAATGGCCGACTTCCTCTCTTCTTTTCCACAAGATTTTGCGAAAACTGATGGGTTAGGCGGGGGTGTAATAGGGGTTCTCTATTATTCAAGACCAGACGCTGTTGTGCAACATCCATAGTGGCCTGTGGATCTGGGACCACGTCGATGCCATGAAGTTTCGCAAAGTCGATAGCTTCTTCAACTGTGTCGAACCGAAGGAACTTATTCAAAGAGGCAGCTGTCAAATCGTTTGATGGATCCTTGGGCCTGGCCAGTGCTCGCTTTACGGCACGCAGAATCGATCGGCGAAGTTGGGGGAAATGGCACTCAGCAAAACAAGCCATGGTATATGATACACTAGGATCCTCCACGATTCGGAAGAATGAATGGAAAGCATTACTCGCAGCCAGGGATGGGGCTGCTCTTAACGGGCCATGAAAGTCATCTGTATTTTGCAAGGCCTCAACGAGTGACACTGCGGTCCTAATGTCATCTGAATCTCTCCAGAAATGAGGCTTCCACTGTCGTTGTAGCATCTCGATGGTATTTGAATCGTGGGCATGGAAGAGGAGATAGTACGCGCGGAATTCGGCCTCGTTTTCACATGCAATTCCCTGGGCATTGCAATCGTCGTAGAGATCCCGGAGTGAAAGCAAAGCTTTGCCAAGCTGTTCGAGCTCCTGCTGTTCCACAAAATCTTCACCAGCTTTTCCCGGCTGTGACAAAAGATGGAGGGCCGTAACATGGAATCTGGCAATATTCTCTAGCACATAAGTTTGGGTTTTTAGGTCGTCGACTGTGGGAGATGAGAAAAACGTAAAATCTCGTCGAATAGCACGTGTTCGATCCCATAAAAAGCCGTGCAAAGTCGGTAAGTTCTCGTCGTCTTGAAGCAAGTCGTCGATCAGGTAGTCCATAGTTCGTCGCAGAGCTGCTGTAGAGCGAACATCCATGGGAAGAGGAGCTTCTTGTCCGGCGGCTGAACGCGCCAACTTCTTCACCATCCTACTTGTCTTTGCAAAGCCGGTCCTTGTATCCTTTTCATGCTGGGGAACGTCGGCCTCGGTGATTCGTGTGATCTTCTCATATTCGGGGCACATGTCTTCGCAGATTCCTCGAAAGTCGATAGCATTCTGGAGAGTTTTTCGTTTATCCGGATCGTCGATTAGGGAGGCTTTTGTTAGAGACGCGCGCACTTTCTTGCGATACTCCTCGTACTTGTCCCTAAACTTGGCCATCTCGGCCTTGTTTATGGGGTCCCCTGGCTGGGACGGCCAAGACGGAGGACTAATGCCATCTTTTCGGAGTCGATCGTATACTTTCTTTGCGAACGGGTCGGCAGTGCGCATTGATGCAGCCTCGGGCGTCTCGTCGACAGAGCTTGCACTAGAAGACGAACTCGGACGTGACGTGTTGTCTTCTTCAGCACTCGTGGCAGGTTGCGCACGGTTGCCGCGGTGGTTTGTTTTCGGCGGCCGCAGCCCCTTGGAATCACTGCGCGGCTTCTTGGTGTTCTTCTTGAGATCGGCCGCCTTCTTGTCTGCGTTTTCGCCCCGTTTCTTCCATTGCTTTCCGCTGTCGCTCAGGCTCCCGTCTTTGCCTTTGAACGGGTTGCTGGCCTTCGGTTTTCTCTCAGTATCGCTGTCCGTGGCAAATCCAGGCTTTCGTTTATTATTCTTCAATGCAGTAGAGCCGCCTGCACCATCAGGGCCAAATGATGCTCCTTCGCCGGTCTGCCGGGGTCCGAAAGGATTGAAAGCCTGCGACGAGCCTTGCGTCTTCTGGCTAAATGGGGAAAACATTTGGCTCGATGATGCAACGGACGTCGCATTCATCTACGTGATGATTTGCGCATGGAGGAGAGGTTTTTGTTGAGAGTCGCCTTACTGAAGGTATTGTGAGAAGTGCCGTGTCGCAGGATATTGGCTGATGCGCGATGCCAAAGCTGGCCGGGTACCTTAATTGAGCTTCGCGGCAGCATTGAAGTAAGTCATCACGTGATGCGAGCTGCCAAACAATAGCTTCAGAATTGTGCATCTTCTTCAAAACAATAAGACAGAGTATCTGGTCAGCAACTGCTTTTTTATTTGAATATTTATCCTGATAGTGAATCAGAAATGAAGTTTTATTTTGCGGTCATAAAAAAATAAACTATTGAATTCGCTAGCCCTTGATTTTTATTATCTTTCATTGCGCCGTCGTCTTGCCCATCTACCCAGTCTCAAAAATCTATCATGATTTGACGCGGCCCCGAATACGCGCAGGCCCCAGTTCTCGTCTAATTTCGTCAAGCTGCTCTAATCCTGTCTGTGGTCTTGTCTTCTTTGATGTTCGCTTTCCAGGCCTCGTGTAAGAGCCCAGGAAATCATCAAGGATGCCATCGAAATCTGATCGCATGGGGCCTTGCACGCTAGACGCTGTCGAAACTTCTGATACGGAACCCATATCATCAAAATCTTCATGGTAGCGCTCCTCCAGCTTCTCGAATCTCTCGTCTAGGATCGAAAGCTGTTCTGTTCGTACGAGTGATGAAGATGTCATGGAGTAGGCTGAGGGATTCGTCAGAGCACCCTTTCTCCTCTTAGTCCGGCCCCCATTTGTAGTCGTCGTCCACATGGACTCAACCCCGGATCGTGAGGGAGCTGTTGGCCCACGTGAGCCTTTTTGGTCTTTCTTGAACTGTTTAAAGTCTTCCATCCAATCATTTCCAGGACCTTCTTCTGGTTGGTCTGGCTGCACCTTGACGAGTTCTGGTACTTGGTCTTTGTATTCCTTAGAAGGCTTTGCCGTAGCATCGGATTCCCACCCATCATCATCCTCTTCATCATAAAATCCGAAATCGTCTTCATCAAGCTCCTCTCCATCCTTTGACAACTGGTTGAATACCTCTTCGTCGTCATCTACGTAGGCATCATCCTCCAAGGCTTCCAAGACTTCTCGTAGTCTGGGATCCATATCAGGGTTGAATCCAGCGATGACATCTGGTACATCTTGCTGGGCTTGGTAGGTTAACCTCGTAAGGTTCTTGGAAGGCAAAATCTCTTCGTCCAGAAGGTCGCCTGATTTTTGCTCAAGGTCCATTTTGCGTAGAGCCTCTTCCAATGACTGCTTCTGCTTGCCCTTGCCCTTGTTTCCAGTGGCATCCGACTCAACAAAGACAACATTTCCGCCACCGCTGTTGAGATCTCGCAAGTGTTGCATGTAGTCGTACTCGGAGTCGTCGAAATACACGCCATAGTTTGCGGCTTCACCTTCGTTGGCGCGGATATGTTCCGCATCTGATCCCAGCTCGGAGGCCAAGTCATCCAAGTGCTTCACTTTCGACCCAGGTTTGGACTGAACCGGGTTCAGCACCATGGATGGCGCATTCTCGTCGTGAATGAGCGGATCATTCTGCGGGCGATGGACGAGCGTAAAGTGCTGCGCCGTCTTCTTATCACTAAAACAAGATGTCAGTAGCGCTCATAACTATACAAGGCAGTAGGTCCAACATACATCCACTTTCCCTTGGGCATTTTGGCGACTTTGCGATTGCGATGAATCAGATGAGCATGGACGGTAACTTTTCCTCAACAGCGCTCAAGAAATTTCTTGGTAGCGCCAGTACAGTTCCCTTTTTGATAGTACTGTGTGGATTTGTGTGCATAGCGTGATACAGACAGTGCGAATATCTTTTTGCATGGCTATCTAAAATTTTTGCCCCTCCATTATGATGTATTATTCAGCCCCAATCCTGGATATGCGACCTTCCACAATAAATATTTATTCTTCCCACCCAGCGATCCGAGAGCATCTTGGTCAGCCAGAAGGGGCGTCTAAATCCCACGATATTCTTCATATTTCCAGAACCTAATTTGACCGAAGAAAGTCGCCAAAATGGTGTTGGCAAAGTCGAAGAAGAATGAGGGGCTGGGCAATACGTTGATGAACGATCGCTTCGGCAAGGGCAAAGGCTCCGATAACAGAAAGACGTCGTCTCTTATGCGAACGAACCACACAACTGGCGAGCAGTACCTCATCAACGATAAGAAAGATGCTGCATGGGTCAAAATGCGCTCCGTTACGGAGCAAGGCGCACTCGACGAATTCTTGGCCACCGCCGAGCTCGCCGGTACCGATTTCACGGCCGAAAAGATAAACAACGTCAAGATCATCCACACTGATCAGAAGAATCCGTATCTGTTGTCTTCTACTGAAGAGAGAGCTGTCCTTGGAAAGCACCGGGAGCACAAGAACCGACTAACGGTGCCACGAAGACCTCACTGGGATGCCAAGACTACTCGAGAACAGCTTGATATCCGAGAGAGAGAAGCTCTTGTCCAGTGGCGAAGAGGCTTGGCCGAGTTACAAGAGAACAACGACTTGCTCATGACACCTTTTGAACGAAATATCGAGGTCTGGAGGCAGCTGTGGAGAGTTATCGAGAGATCAGATATCATCGTACAGATCGTCGATGCGCGAAACCCTCTGCTTTTCCGATCAGAAGATTTGGAGAATTACGTCAAGGCCGTTGATGCCAAGAAGGAAAACCTGCTTTTGATTAACAAGGCTGATATGATGTCTATGAAGCAGCGCAAGGCTTGGGGTAAATACCTGAGAGAAGCGGGCATTGCCTACAAGTTCTTTTCTGCGCAGCTTGCAAAGGAGTTGAACGAGGCGAGGGAGGACGAGGAGTACAGCTCAGACGAGGAGCCAGCTTTCTCCTCAAGACAGGCTGAGAAGGCCAAGGCTGAGAGTGATGAAGAAGAAGAAGTTACTGCTGCAGAAGAACAGGGGGAGAGCTCAGGAAACAAGGCGGACGAAGACGAAGATACCCAGATTCTGACAGTTGAGGAGCTTGAAGAAATTTTCTTAAGATATGCTCCATCTGATAGAGGTAAGTCTTTATAAACAAATCAATGAACGATAATGGCTGGAATGCTAACTTTTGGACAGAAGCGGACAGCAAGCTCCAAGTTGGTCTAGTCGGCTACCCCAACGTGGGTAAATCTTCAACCATCAACGCCCTGATCGGAGCCAAGAAGGTATCCGTCTCTTCAACACCAGGAAAGACAAAGCACTTCCAGACCATCCATCTCAGTGAGCGAGTCGTCCTGTGCGATTGCCCTGGTCTCGTCTTCCCCAACTTCGCCACCACAAAAGCCGATCTCGTCACCCAGGGTGTGCTGCCCATTGACCAGATGCGTGAGCACACGGGTCCCGTGGGCTTGGTCGCTCAGAGAATCCCCAAGCCCTTCCTTGAGGCCATCTACGGTATCAAGATTCACACAAGGCCGATCGAGGAGGGAGGCACTGGCATTCCTACGGGTGAGGAGTTGCTTCGCGCTTACGCCATTGCTCGTGGCTTCCAGACACAAGGTCTCGGCCAGCCAGATGAGGCACGAGCATCAAGATACATTCTGAAAGACTACGTCAACGGAAAGCTCCTCTTCGTCCACCCTCCGCCGGGTATCGAGGACGGAAACGAGTTCAACGAAGAGCTCTACGACGAGGCGCATCTCCCCGAACGCCGCCGTGGTGCTTTCATCGCCGCCACGGAGGCTCTCTCCCTAGGAGGCGATGAGGACAGTCTCGCCTCGGAATTCGTCGGCCTTCCACAGGGCCCCAAGTCCAAGAACCTGGATAAGAACTTTTTCACGCCAAAGAATGTCCGGGGGCATGTGAACGTGCCGTTCAACTACAAATACTCAGAACAGGGTCAGGGTAGCGTCATGGGCGGCGCCAAGGCGCTCAGTGGGCGCAAGGCCCGAACGGTAGTTGCCCTAGAGAATGGCTTGGACCCAAAGGAGATGCAGATGGGATCGAGTAAGAAGCACTACAAGGGAGGTCAACGCGATGGTAAACACAGGAAAACAAGGAGAACGGCGCCCAAAATGGAGGACTAGATACGGAGGAGAGAAATAGCTTTTTTTTTTTCTTTTCCTTTATTTGAGTGAAACTGGTAAAAGACTGTGTGGTTATTTCGTCCATCAGCTAGGTGACTTTTCTTTATGCAGTTCATAGGTAAATATGCCGTAAGGATGGCTGGCGCCTAATACATGATTATCTTGAAGACCATGGAGAATGATAGTTTAAACAAGAAAGAAAGAAGAAAAGTAATAAGTTTATATATGTAACCCACACAATGTGACCAAGAAATATCCACAATTGCTCATCCCAGAACAAAAATGAAAAGAAAAGCCCCAGCAGTTCTCCTTCCCTTTTTTTCGCCCTCCCATCTGTCTTATGCTATTAACAATTGTCTAATTTTTTTTAACGCTTCCAGACTCCACATCATTTCTTCTCCTGAGACTTGGGCTTTTTCAAAGACTTCGGATCCAGACCTCTCCTCCTCATGGCGTTCTTCTTAGCCTTCTCCATGTACTTGACATCTTCCTCCTCGTCGAATGCGCTAAAGTCAGATTTTTCGGTGCCAGTCTTGCCCTTGCTCTTCTTCTTAGTAGACTTGTCTTCCATCTCGGTGTCCTCATCGGTTGTGATGGGTGTCTTGTCGATGACCTCCTCATCGCCAGAAGCAGCGGCGTTGCCGTTCTTCTTACCGGCAGCACCAATGGCATTGGGCGGCGTGGGGCCAATCTTCTGGAACTTGGCGACGTAGAAACCGTCAATGTTGTGGGCATGGGGGTAGAATCGGCGGGTGAGCTTGAGACTGGGGTGGAACTTCTTGCCCATGTAGCTGGTGAAGCCCTCCTTGCCAAAGGGAATGCCAGCGTCGACCAGCTTTACGTTGGGACGACGAGACAAGGCGTAGGCAACAACACTCTCGCTAATAGGAGGATAAAAAGTTAGAAGTCTGCGTAGATTATGAAGAGGTGAATGGAGAAAAAAAAAAGCTTACTTTTCCTCAACAGTAACACTGCATGTAGAGTAAACAAGGAAACCACCAGTCTCACTAGCATGGTTGACTGAGTCAATCGCAGATAATAACAGCTGCTTCTGCATGTGAGGCAGTGAAATGAAATCCTTCTCATCCTTGTTGGTCTTGACGCTAGGGTCTTTTGAGATAACGCCAGTTCCAGAACAGGGGGCGTCGAGAAGTACTCTAATGGACCTATTAGATTTCTAATTCCCCATTGCATATGGCGCATGAATGTATCTCACCTATCGAATCCTCCCATAACTCGGGGGAACTCACGACCATCGTAGCTACAGACGATGACGTTACGGACTCCCAAACGAGCAACGTTACCAATCAAACCCTTGGCACGCTCCTTGTTAGGATCGTTAGCGAAGACGATGCCAGTGTTCTATGGCAAAATTAGTACAGAAGTCTCATTAGATCCACCAAGGCTTGTGGGTGCCAGACTTACATTCATCATAGCTGAGCAGTAAGTGGTCTTTCCACCAGGAGCGGAGGCCATCTACTCGACAAGTCAGTCATCATCTTCAAATGACATCTTACAAGATTCACACGGTCAACATACATCAAGAACTCGCTCGTTCCTATCACACACACACGTTAGCATATATATTCACATGTCCACAAAACTGATAGGCAAGCAAGCACAGGCAGCGCTTACGGTTGAGGTGAAAGCGCCATAACGGGCAAGAAAGACGCAGCCGCCTGGATAATATAATGACCAGCAAGATACTCGGGCGTAGCACCCAGAGGAACATTGGCCTCGAAAATCTGCAGGCCGACTTTGCTCCACTTGCCCACGGGCTCAAGCGTGACACCACGGTTGATCAGCGCCTGGGCGAGATCTCTTCGGTGCGTCCGCAGGGTATTCGTTCGGATGACGACGGGACGGGGCATCTCGTTGGCCTCGAAGAAGGCGAAGGCTTCACGCGGGGTGAAGAGGTTGAAGAGCTTCTCAGCCAGGTAGGGGCTGTAGCCGTAGTACTGTGGATTCATTGCCCTTGTTAGCATGTTTATTCGAAAACAAAACAAAAAGTGAAATCTGGCAGAAGTAAGCAGTGCAGGGCGACTTACAGCACAGATATCCTTGAGCAGCTGAGCAGTATACTCTGCTCTAGATCTTCCCTCCTCCGCCAAGTTGGCAAAGTCATCCAGCACCCGTATGGTATCCGTTATCCTCTGTCTCAGCAGCTGTAGATCTGGTGCCAGCAAAGACTTGCTCTTATCCGTCAACTCGTCGTCCTCATCATCATCCTCCTCGCCAAAGATTTTAGGTCCATCAATGTTCGTCTGCATCGCAGACTCTTGCATCTCAGTCTCGGTAATTGCCTTGTCCTCGGCGAGCTTCTTGTCTAGTCTCCGTGAGAGACCTGCAATGTTGGCGGCAGTGAGCTTTTCCTCGGCATCAGACTCGTCTTCGTCGTCGGAGAAGACGAATTTGCCCTTCTTGCCGCCCTCTTCCTGGTCGTCCGAATCAAATACTGAGTCGTCCTCTTCCGCATCGTCACTATCATTCTCATCATCTGACCAAATATTCTTCTTCTTTCCTCCTGAAGAAACGTCTTCATCAGAGGACCCATCGTCCTCTAACTGGTCTAGATCAAACTCGTCACCCATCTCTTCGTCGTCAGAATCCTGCTCCTGCACCGGCAGTTTCTTGGCCTTTCCATTGCTCTTCTTCGCACTGGCCTTCTTGGGCGCAGGCTCCGGCTTCTTCGCTACGGCGGCGCCCTTGGCGGTTTTGCGCTTCTTATTGCTCAGCGACGCTTTCTCGACCGGCGGCTCAACGGGCAATCCTGCCCTTCGCTTGAGGTTGGCAAAGTGCTCCTCGGACAGGGCATCGGGCATGCCCTGCTTTCTCTTCATGCGACGTCCCTGACCCATTGTTGCGACCGAAATTTGCTTGCTCAAAGACTGTGCTTTCGATCCCAATGGGTGTTGGTTGAAATGCGATGGTACAGGCGTGGATACCGACTTGATTTTTCGAAAGCCAATGGGCTCCATAGCAACTTTTTTTTTTCTGTCGCCGATTATCGATAAGCCACTAGCAGCGCCGCCAAGCAACTAAGATAATGCAAGAAATGGGCCTACCCGGTAACTGCATGGTCGTTACGGAGTACTTTTTTTTTTTTTTGGTTTTTTGTGAGGAAACAAAAAGTAATGAATTCATTCGATACATTATAATATTTATTTCTCCATTATGCTATAATTGATGTAGTTTTTCTACGAAAAGGTGAAAAATTGGTCACGTTTCTACGCTTCACCTATGCAGCATCTTCACCATGTATGTCCCACTGACTCAAAGCCGGGTAATACCAATCACAAATTCCAAACTACACTCTCTCATACTCCAAACAATCCTCAACATAGACCAAGTAAATGCATCAGGTAATTAAAGATGCTATGAAAAATGATTTAATTCCACAAATATGGTAAATCCGCTATGTGCTATCGTATGTATATGGGTATCCTCTGACAATTCCTTAAACTCGCTCCAGCAAGGACATTTCATGCAGACGTTTTTGTAAAAAAAAACCTATGACATGCTATGCCCGCCCAAAATAAAAACTCCATGCATGGTCTTTCTAAACATGCGAATAAAAAATGACAGGTTCCATCGTCTCCGTCTCCCTCCAACCGAGCCCCTCTCCCTCTTGTTTAGGGAGAAATAGATACCACGCCTTTCCATGCACGAACGCGTACGTCGTGTTTCCAAGGGAAATATGACACATGAGAAATGAAAATAAAGACAAAGAAAAAACTAACTAACTTTAGGCCTTCCTAAACACGCGCTTGGTGCCTCCAGCCTTTCCAATCTCGCCAAACTTCTTCTCGTTTGGCTTCTTATCACTGCTGCTGGCCATGAGTACCTTCTCTTTAATGCTTTCAACCCAAGCCTTGCTCTCTTCACTCATTTCAATCTTCTTAGCTCTTGGTCCTGCTAGACCCAAGAAGGAGCTTTCATCCTCTACCCAGCTTTGCCGAGAGCTAGGCCTCGAAATTGCTGAGCCCTCAGATGGGGGTGTACCTTGCGCCGGTTGGCCTGGGGTTACCGGGGTCTTTGGCCGCAAGGAACTATTGACGCTGCTCCTCCGTGACTTGCGTGTCGTCGGCATAGGACTGGTAGAAGAGCGGTTATCGGCAGTGGTAGGGGAGCGGCTAGGAGGGCTGGAGTGGGTGGAGTGGGTAGGTCCAGGAGTCCGAGTATTATCGCGAACCTCTACCTTGGTCCTATCTTGGCCTGTCGAACGGCGACCATGGTGCATAGCGTACTCCTTCAAGTATTCGGACAAGTCGGCCCATCCACCACCTACGCGGACCATGACTCGCTCTCCATGCTCTCCAACGCAACGGATGAATAGCTTAATGGGAGCCTCGTTGTCCGATCTGGAGAGATGATAAACTCTAATCGGATAGTGGCCCTTGGAGCGCGTCCTTTGTTTGACAGGAGACAGGGTAAATGAAGGCGTGGCAGTTCGGGTTGACATGCCCGATGTGCTCCGCTTGACTGGTTCCTTGGAGGCTTTCTTCCTCAGCCGAGGGAGCTGGAGGTCTGGCGGGTTAAGATTGATGCCCGACGTTCCATTGGTAAGCTTGATTCTAGCTGGTATAGATTCGATAATCTGGGTGATTTGCAGGCGCAGTTGCTGCTCTCCCGCACTTTCTCGGCGAGAGGGCGGGGCGGGCACGTCGGGCAGATCGGGAGCATACGAATCTTCAAAATCATCCAAGAAGGAATCTTCATCATACGCTGATCTGAAAAATGACTCGTCGTCCTCGGCAATTGGCGCAACCATGGGGCTGTCGAGGAGACCCATGTTTTCCCTAGTACGGCGCTCTACTTCCGGAGGCGAGCTTGGTGGGCTATCGCCATCCGCGTACAGAGCCTCGCGGAGTCGACTCCTAGGAACGGCAGGAGATGCAGAGATTTCAGGCATATCGCTTGAAGCATCGTCGGCGTATCTGGATGTGGGGGAGCCAAAGTTACTGGGCCCGTTAGGCAGAGGTGGTAGATCCAGCTCATCTTCCTCGCTGATAGCTGACATATGATCATCTACCATGACGGGATCTTCAGGAGAGGATCCAGACTCGGGGGTGGGATGATCTTCGGACGAGGACAATTCATCTTCTGCAATTGGGTCGAGATATGCTCCATGGTCCGAATCACCCATGGGGGGCAATAGCAACAATGGCGGTGAGAGTTTGTTGCTTCCCGAACCCGCCTCTCTTTCGGAAGTGGATTGGCGGGCCCTCGTTGGAGACGGCGATAGTGAGGAGGCCTTTCTGGTTGAAGCCTTGGTCTTGGCCAGCTTGGCCTCGGCCATCATTCGCCCGCAGGCAGAAACCCACTCTCCGAAGCCCTGCTCAACATCTTCCAAGCGGTTGAGCCAGTCATCTGGGAGCGTGTCTGGAGAGCTCTCCAAGCAGTCTAGCATATAATCCAAAGTACGGCCGGGCTCGGCAACTTTGAGTGCGAGTGACTGTTTCCGGGCATCAAAGTCTTTGTCAGTCAAGGTGCGGGCAGGCAGGACAATGGCCTTTCTACTGGGTTGCTCCATCTCCCAGTGGGACTGGGAAATAGCTTCCCAGTTCTCGCCAAGGAGAGCTTCCACTTCCTGGATCGCTTGCAAAAAGGGGTTGACATGTCGGAGGACGATGATGCGCATGTGCCACAGCTGCAGCTGGCGAGACAGTTTTGCCAGATTGGGCAGGGTTCGTATAACAATGGCGGTGATGAGGACAGAGATGTCCTCCATTTTGTGATAGCTCGATAAGGCCGATAGCATCGATCGACTGGGGTCCATGTTCATTGGGGTACCCGGCCTTGACAGCGGCAGGATGTGGTCGCTTATGACGTGACCTTTGATCTCTTCCAGATCCAGTCTATCCATAGCTTGATTGATCTGGTTGATTCTTGATTCGTATTTTTCCACCTCTTCAGCGAGGAGGCTTCCCATGTATTGTTTCTTCTCAGCCTCCTCTCCAGGGGCCGGGGCCTGGGCGAAAAGCTTCCTTTGCGTATTGCTAGGCTCCAGGAAACCCTCGGAACCCCCGTGTTTTGGCCAATTCCAATGGTCCAGCTCGTCGAGCCATTGCCAGATTTCGTGGGATGCCATGGCCGTTCGCATTGCGAAGTCCCGGTCGACGGCGGAAGCTTCTGCGAGGCATCCCCTTAAAACACCGTCAGGCGGTGTTAGCGCTTCGACAAGTTTCGCCGGGTCAAGATGAGTAAAAAATTCATCGGCAGGGCGCTGTCGAGCGGCCAGTAACTGGCCGGGTGTGGGAGTCGAAAGCCGCTTGGGCTTGACGAGGATGGGCGAATCGTTCATGATTGCTCAATTCTTCGTGGGGGCGTCGCGGTTGGCTTTGGTTGTTCGCGCGTACAAGCTAGATGTAACGGCGATTCCACCGAGGCATGTTCTGCCTTGTCGGCGTATAAAAGGAAAAAAAAGCAGAAGAATGTGGGTTTTTCGTGTCCTTGATAGCTTAATCGTTCGTCATGGACCGGGTGGGATTAAGACAGCGATGATTCGATTTTCGTTGGTGATGCCCATAGTCGACGGAGATCGGCGGTGATGGGATGTTTTTGCGGCTATGAAGTGAGAGCCATGCGACCAAAAAGCTATAAGCCGTCAAGCAACAAAAATTTTAACAGGCAAGCGCAGGGAGGCAGTTCGCCTCTTTCACTTGCCTGGGTCTTCCCTTGCTTTCTGGGGAAAAAAAGGAATCAGGGTTGACAAGCGAGACAGGGAGAGAAGGAGGGAAAAAAAAGCAAGACGACACGCTGAATAGATAAATGCAGAGACGCGGCGAAGGCGACGAGCTAACTCCACGCTCTGGGGGAGACTCTCCAATGGTGTCTGTTCCCACTTCCCCTGGTGTAGCTAAGCCGCGGAGTGTCGCGGAAGGAGAGGGAATGACGGGGTGTCAGACAGAGACCAGCGCAGCGATGCTAAAAGCTGCACAGCTGCACGACTGCAGTAGATGGTCCTGACGACCAAGGCAGCAGGCCTGTAACGGCGTCCAAAAGGTGTTTCGGCTTGGTGGTTGGGCACACGCTGGATGGTGCCACCTCAGTGCTGCTGCTGCGCTGGCAAGGCCTCCGGGTAAGCGGGCGGCGAATGAGCTGCTGGCGACCGACGTGGAGCTCGATGTACGGAGTATGCGTTTGCGAGTTTATGCGTGGGATCCGATCCAGTCCAGGCTTGGTGTATGTATGCAATGGGGCGCGCACGCGTGCGTAGGGAGTTTGCCACAGGGGGATCTGGTTTGTTGGGATGGGGGCTGTTTGGGAGGGTTTTTTTTTTTTTTTTCTCGGGCGATTACATTAAAATCTTGTACAATCAACAGAAAAGAGGCAATCGGAAACGACAGTCGCGAAGCAAAGCGGCCAAAGGCCTGGTATAAAGGCGGGAGCGAATGACTGGGTGTGAACGCGCGCGCGAAAAGAGTGTGAGAGTAAGTGAGACAAGGGCGCGGCTGGAGAGACTGAATCAAGGGGCAAAGAATGACGGGCCTTGTCCACAGCAATGGGGGACAGTGAAGGCAGAAATCACAGCTGAAAAGGGGAGCAACGCAAGCGAGTGACGAGCAGATCCGCAACAGAGCAAAACGGCGGCGATGGACATTGAAAGAGTAAGAAGAGGAAAAAAGAGGCCAAAAAAAGAAATGAGCGAGCGAGAAAGAGCGTGAACGAGAGACGCCGAGCCTTCACGGACGGCTGGCGCGCCGCGCGACAGACTGCGGTAAAATGGAAGATGGGCTATTGCCTAGGTACCAGTATAAGGTGGCCAGCAGACCTCATCAAACTCGCTCTCTAAGAATGCCCGGGGCCAGCGGGAACCACGGCGGGCCACAGCGCCTTGACGCCATTGTATCCGCGCTGGAGGCCCTGCCAGAGCGCCAGTGGGTGCGCTGTGGATGTCCTGTAGATTGTCCGCTGTGAGTGCTGTGCCAACGCGACCCTCCTCCGAGGCCAGGCCCGCTGGGTCAAGCCCCCGGCGCTTTCGCTAAGGCCCATTAGCGCCATGCTCCCATGGCAGCTCTCATTTGCCGCCCTCCCGCCTGGCTCCTCATTTGACAAAACGGCGGACAATCTTATTCTGGCGGCAGGCTAAGTTTAGTGTCGCCAAACTTGGTGCCTGGTACCTGGACTACTGCGTACTCGTATTGCGGGTTTCAAGTCGCGGTCGGTGGGCTGCGTGTTCGAGTGAAGTAAATATTTACTTAAGCGGAGCATAGATAATGCCGCGAGACGAAACAACCAAAGCAAATGGGCAAGGAAAGGAGAGCGAGCAAGAGTGTGTGAGTGTGTGAGAGTATGCGTGCGTCTATGCGTTTGCGCATCCAACGCCACTCGTCCATCATATATCGATGAATGATAAGGTACCTATTATTTAGTCTCCCATCAAACCAGATTTTTCTCTTCTCTTTTCTTTTTGTTCGTCCAATGTCGCGCCTCTCTCGTCTCCACACCTCCCATCCAGACGGTACTGTACTATCCAAATCCTCCCAAGTTCCAGCCCAATTTGAGACACCATCTCAGCTTTTTCCTTTGTCATTGGCCTCTTTCATTTTCTCTCTGATTCTCCAAGGACCCTCGCCCCCGGACCCTCACCGATAAGACAAGCGAGAAGAGTGCAGTAGCAGAAAAAAACTTTGAGACAGAAAAAAGGACGACCCCAGCCATGCCAGATTCTGCGCTTCCGCAGCCCCGTAATAGCGCGTTGCCAGGGTCGTCAAGCAAGCAAGAAAAACGCGCCGAGACATGACCTTCACCTCGTCCATTGTGAGGCGGCGTGGAGCCCAATCTGCTCTGTCCTCCCTTGCCTTGCTAGCTACTTGTACTAGCAGCTACATACTTGTACATACCAGGTAGTCCCCGTACAATCTTGGGGGGCTAGATTCAAATGAGAGAGACAGAAAACGTCACAAGCACCGCACGCACGTCCTCGTGGTCCGTACCTAAATGTACTCCTTACATGCGCTGCAATGCCGGCCCACGATGCGACTCAGTAAGCCCATCTCCGCCGCTGCGCACGTGAATGCCCAGGATTGCTGCATGCGCCTTAAATGCCACATTTACGAAGTACCTACATACATACGTGTTACCACACGCAGTACCGGCCAAAGGCAAGGTACCGACATGACACGCATCGATTGGCCTTGGGCGTGGACACGCTACACACCGACGCATGCACGACAGCCTGTCCATCACTTGGCCCGGCGGCCGAAAAGCCTGAATGTCTCGGCCATCAGCCCGCAGCTCCCAAAAGTGAATGCGTCCGAGGTGGCGGAAGTACTGCTGCATGAGTGCCCGGCAGATAAGTGCCTGGTATTGGCACACGTCCTTGGATCTGTGCGTAATACTGTAGTCTACCTTGTTTGATGCCATGCTGCTGGCGCGCGCGATGCAGCACTTAGACCTACGAAGTCATATACTCGGCACATTTGCATTGGGCCACAATCATCCTGTAACAGCGTCGCATTTATTCATCAATGCAAATGCACTTATTCATCAATGCAAATGCACGTTGAAGATGTAAAACTACAATTCTTGACGCTGCTAAGCGCCCACTGCCGCATAGAACCAAGTCCGTGTCTTTTTCTAACCCTTGTCGACTCTGAGTGCAGCAAGCTAGGCAGCGGCCCGCCTGCCGGGCCTTGCTGCGTCTGACAAGCTTGAAACACCCACCTTCAATTTATCATTATCATTATCATCATCGTCAACGACAACAATAACCAGAATCGGACAATCCTAACCGAAAATTGTATGACAAAAAAAAAAAAAGAAAAGGAAGACAGAACTGAAGGAAAGAAGAAAAAAAGAATAATAGAAAAGATTCGAGGATGGAGATAAAAATCCATTGTCAAACGAAAACCATGATAATCCAATAAACAGCTGTCGTCAGATAGAAAATCAAAGGCTTTTCGCCCCTTTTTAGCGGAAGCACTCCCATAGTAAACCCAGATGTACCCAAACGCCCAAATCTCCACATCTCTCCCCAACTTCGTTTTTTGTATACCCTGAAACTGGGCGAGCAAAACGTTGCAGTATGAATTCTCCCATCATCTGCTTACTTGCTTGCTTGCTTGCTAATATGTTTGTTTTGTTCAATTCAAATGGTGGCTTCAGGTGGCGGCCGGAAGAGTACCGTCCACGTTGGTGTTAAAGACCCAATCCAGCGCATCATCGGTGCCTGTAGCACCAGTAAACGCAGAGGCCATCAGCGTCTCATCGGTAGCGGTGACTCCTTCGGGAGGAAACTGTAGCCACTGGTCTACATCAAAGTCCGTGCCAGCCACCGCGTTCCAATCGAATTCGTCATGGCCCTGCATAAAGTCCACGTCCAAAATGCTGTCCATTTCCATGTGGACTTCATCCGAGCCGCCGCTAACACTCGGAGTCAAATTCGAAGAGTCAAACTCAGTATGCGGAGGAGAATTGACCGCTTCAGTCCCCTGGGCAGTAGGATTGACCGACCCCGGAGGCCCCATTGGCTTCTGCACTGGCTTGGGCTTCTGGTTGAAAAGTGTCTCAGAAGCCGTCATATACGGCGCATTCTCAGGTGGCGGCGTGTGTGTGCCAAACTCAGGGGGGACTTCTTTCATCATTGCCAAAGTCGACGGTTCGACCGTTGCATTAATATCAATGGCTGCCTTCCTGAGAGCGGCATCCAGGAACCCGGTAGCATAGTCAGCAGCAGCATAAATCTCGCGCAGCTTCTCCATGACACGCATGCACTGGCGGAAGCCTCTTGTTGCTCGGCCGCGAGCCTCTGGCATGGGGTTCTTCATTTCTAACAGATGGATGATCATGGCAGGAAGTATCACCGTCACACCCGTAGTAGGCAAGTATCTCTCCAGGCGGAGGTGGTGCAGCTCCGTAGCCATACTCGTAATGTGTGTCGCCGCATCCTTCACCTTGAGGCGTGACATCTCCTGCACTTGGCGAGATGCGGTCGGTGCCTGCATGGGGGACGACGGTAGGAACTGAGGACGATGCAGAGCAGAAATGGTGGTGTGGTATACCATGTGGAGCAGCGTTCGTTGAACCGCAACGGTTGCCCTGCCGTTCTTCGTGTCTGCAGGAACCAGCATGCGGTACTGACAGCACTCGGGGAGCGATGCCACCCATTCCTTGAGCTCCCCATCGACAATCTTGACGCTGTCTAGATTATCCAGTTTCTTATTGGGGAACAGCATCATTGTGCTGTTCGTGGTGTTCTCCGGCTTCATATTGTCTCGAATAAGAACAGAGTACTGCGCCTTTAGCATGTGGCTAATGCAAATGCATAGCTTCGCCTTGGCAATGCACATGATGGCAAGCTCCCGCTGCATCTCTACATCACGCATTAGCGTGCATTCCGGGGGAACAACAGTCACTTTGTCTGGCAAGACGGCCAGCTCAAAGTCGCTCTCCGCGAGCATCGGCACGTCGAAATCCTCATCCTTGATTCTCGTCGGGCGTCTCATGCCCAGAGCAATAAGACGATCACGCATGAAACATGACCACCATATACGCTTCCAGAGCTTCTGGGTTGGCACAGCCATGGTGGTGACCTCAGGATTGCGATGAAGCCCAATGGTGTGAGCCAGTGATATCGCCACACCCATCCAATGCCAGGTATCTTTCTGGTCGTCGGGTGTCTCATACCAATACGTCATCAGCAAAAGCCCTTGGACAAGAACCAGGCGGTCTGATTCGTAATCGAAATCGTAGAGTAGCTATTGACATGTGAATACGGGTCTCTTTTGGGGGGGGGGGTTAGTTCCGTCATCTGCAAGCACGGAGTATGTGCACGTGCAGAATCCGAAAATGTAACAGAGTGGCTTACCCTCGTTTTTAGGAAAAAGGCTTTTCTAGCAGCCTTGCGGGTTGCATAACCCGCTTCGCGCAAGTGTCTCATGTCGACAAAAGCAGTCGCGGAGAACATGACGGCATGGTAGAGAAACAGACTGATCTGACCCTCTGAACCATCGTAGCGGTTGATGACGCTGAGAAAGGGGAGAAGGTCCATAAGAGGCATGTAGGGATGGACAAACTCAATGTAAGCACGCAGGAGCGCATTCTGCAGCGAGAGGCAAGGGACGCTCAGCGCACCCTTTGCGTGCAGGTAGCGAACATCTTCTGGAGAGATTTTGCTAGGCAAGGGCCGCACGAATGGGGGTAACTGGCCACTCGCCTCTGGGTCGCCTAGCAGGCTGATCGACTGTGAGGTGCGAGAAGAGGCATGGCCCACGGAAGTGGCCGAGTTCGCCCAGGAAGATCGGCTGGCTTCTGATAATTGACCCTTGCTGAGCAAAATTGGTTCGTTTCGATATGCTGAGCGTTGATCTAGCGGACCCGTATGGTCCTGTGGTCAGCATGGCTTTCGTCCGAAAAAGCATGGTGATGTTCAGTTTAGCTTCGTTGCACATGCCAATCGCTTGATTTTGCATGTGAAAGAAGAGCTCCGTCATTGTTTTGGACAAACACCAAGTACGCATGTAGGGTTGTGTCCTGTGACGATTCCTGAATGGGCACGCCAATGGCTCTAGCACAGCCGGGTGGGTCAGGGGGAAGGGATGCAGAGTGCGGAGAAATTGGAGAGAACCCCAAAAAATTGAAACAATAAAGAGTATGGCTTACAGATCATGTGAGGCACATGGCCGTCGATACCGGTATTGGGAAGCAGACCGCTCGATGGGTCCAGGCTTGCGGGCGAGAGAGACGAACCACCGCTGGTTCGTCGCAAATCTGCGCTGTTGATGGCAATCGGGTTAGACGGAGGTGCTTTGCTGCGCAGCTGAGCCTCGGCTGATTGGCCCTGCCCCACGATACTAGGCGTAACGAGATTCTTTCTAGAAGAGATTTCGCGTCAGTGGATTCGTTAATTGGGGTATTGATGGCAAATCACGATCAACCCCGGGTCCCTTGTCGACTCTCCTCCAAACCTGCCTCACCGCCGTCCAAGCGTTCTCACGTGCGAAGCGCCAGTGCCGAGATTCGTGGAGAATCACGTAATCTGGAACAGTCGCAGAGAAGCTCCGTGGCCAGCTGGAGAAGGGAGAGGATAGTTGTGTATGTGTATAGAAGGAGTATACACAGGGCTGGATTGATTGCATTGGAACAGAAAGGAAAACTCACTTTCTCCGGCGGCTCTCCTGGACAATGCACTAAGAGGGGGGAACAGGGGGTTAGCCATATGACAGATGGGATGGGATAGCAAAGTCTCTCGTGAGAAGCGAACGATGTGCCATAGATTGCGTACCTCAACATTGTCCCAACGGCAGTTTCCGCAAGGAGCCCCCTCAACTACATCGCATCGGACTTTGCGCGCGCGGCACGATACACAGGCCCGGGCGGCACGTCGCTTTGTAACCTTGTGTGGAGGCTCAGAGCCGTCGTCGGCAGCTGCTCGTTTCTTCGATTTGTCGTTGGGTCGCCCATTGGCAGTGGAAGCATTGTCGGCCGGTTCTGGTGACGGTGAAATTGACGGCGAGCCTGCATTTACCCCCGAATCGTCTAGGGCAGCTTCTGACGACATTGTAGCGGCCTGTGAAGTTGACGGAGAAGCTAAAAAGCGTATAGAAAAAGGAGGTTCTAAGAGAGATGGTCTCTATGTGTGTATCCAAAGCTATATGTGGAGGTCGTGGTGTACTTGACAGCACCCGCCTGGAAAAAAACAGCCCCTTTGTGGCTCGTAACGTTTGGATGAGCTCAGAGCCTCTTGGGATGGACCGCAGAGTGCATGTGTCTCAGGCGAGCTGATGGCTAACAACCAGAAAACAGTGATAGTAGCTCAAAACATGTGTTCTAAGAAGAGCCGGTTTTGGTGGTGGCGAGCAAGGCTCGTATCAGGTGCTGGAATGGTGACGTCGCACGCAGGCTGGAAGGAGAGCTGAATTCCACACTGGCCGCAGCAGTACACTCTTACTCATGTATGAATCGTCAGAAGGGAAGGCTGTGGAACTAGAGAAACCCACGGCTATGCCGGCTGTGATGTCGATGAGGTCGAGGTGTCGAGACGAGATGGATCATTGAACAAACAGGAGGAGGAGTCACAGAGGGCTGGGTAGCGTGGGGTAGAAGAGGATCATGGAAAGGAAAGAAAGAAAAGAATCAGTCGAATTGCTTGAAGAATCCGGGGGTGGATTATCGGAAACGGGGCCAGAGCCAAGAGGGGCGTGTGGATTCCCACGGTCCGGGCTATTCTCTACAACTCAACTTGGCCCTGTCTGTCTTAATAACTCTTGACTCTTTGTGCGCATACACTGGGGCCGAGAGCGCTGTGGACGTGGCTGCGCCGTTTCCCCATTACCAATCTCCATCATGGACTTGCTACTGGATGAGACTAAGCTTGTATCCTCCCTGCGTGATCGGTGATCGGGGTACGAGCCCAGAAGTGTCGAAGCTTGTGCGTTCGTTTAGCGCTGTCTAACGAATGGCCATTCTAGGGCCAAACACCGTTCTCGGGAGGAAGGGCGAGGAATGAATGGCCAGCCACGGTGAAGGCCAAAAGGAGTGGAGCGCCGGGTGTGAAAAAAAAACAGTGTGGAGGTTGTCGAGGCCGGGGCGACGCCACGGGACTCCGGACGCTGACGAGCTGGGTTTGGAGGGATGGCAGACGCCATGCACGCCATGGATGGTTCTGGCTTGGTTGGCTGGCTGTGCTGTACTGTGCTGTGATGTGCCGGATCGGTTGGATCCAGAGCTGCCTGTGACGGATCCGTCTATTCCGCCGATTTGGCGGCATGTGATGTCGTTTTGAAGGGAGCAAGAGCGTAGGCACGTGAGACGGGCAATGCGTGTTGAAGAAGATGCGGCTGAGAACGTCAAGCGGCTCGATTTGATTGCCTCAGCGTGGATAGAGTTGTCTTGTGCTTCGTATACCTTGGTAGTATATGCTGGGTTGTTGCAGCTAGTACGGAGTGTGTACATAGAACTACTGCTAGTTGGAAAACGCATGGCTGGCGGTGACTAGGGCCGTCGTTGTGGCCTCCTGTCTAGCCCTTACATGAAGTAGTCTGGTGTCTCCAAGTATTAGCACCTTCTGGAGGCAACTTAGAACTGCCAATCCTTACTGTAGAACAAGCTTAGTAGTTGTGGCTTTTTTTTACCTCTGCTTGATGATGAAGCTGCGCTGAAAATCATGAGGATGACTCTTTGCAGCTGCGGGAAGTACCATCGTGGACTGCGGAAAGAAGCCAATGTCTCTCTACCGTACCGGCCGGGTAGTCATCTCACTGCATTACCGCCCAAATATACACGACCAGATACCAGCTCGTACATGCTTCCAGGTACCGCCTCTGGCCTGTCATCTTCCTCTTCTTGTGTCATCTTCCTCTTACCTCATCGGTGCATTAGTGCTTGGTATCCACGATACTTTGCCTTGTCAACCCCGTGCTAAGACGGACAACAAACCCCGAATCATCTGCCAGTATTATTTGATTTACTAACCTCCTTTGCGACGAGCCCGACTGGATCGTTTCTCACACGGCGCAAGCAGCAGCCAGACCCGTTGTTGAAGTGGAGCAGCAAGCACAAGTATGGTGAAAAAGTGGTGATGTTGTTTAGTGCACGATGGCTACAAACGCTAGTACCGTTGTAGCGCCTTGTTGCATGTACCGTATCCGCCTGTACTTACCAAGGTATTGACACAACAACGTCGGGATGCCCGTTGGATATAAAAGCACAAGTCTACTGCCGGTGCTGTGTATTTATTGTTTACCTATTCAGTGCCGTGCCATTGGCTAGATGCCTGCCTGTACGGCATATAATAGTATCTCTTTCATAATTGCGCCTCAGAAATGCACAATCAATGCGAAAGAGACAGCTCGCCGCGTTTCTCTCGCTCGCATCCAGCGTTGACACACGCCATGCCTCGTAGGCACTGCCTAACTTGTACAACCTTGTACCTTGATGGAGCACGCCCAGACGGCGGCAGCTGCGATCGCGCTTGACACCCTTGCGCTTGCCAAGTAGGATTGTCTTAGGTAATGTTCGCGAATTCATGTGTATGGGGATGATGAAAATTTTGCTCTCCTTTCTCTCTCAACTCTGATGGAACGTGCGGGAAAAAGAGACAAGTTCGCTTTTTACTCCCTATTCACCTCAAGCCCTGCAGATTGTGTGGAGACACCAGTTGTTTCTCTAGAGCCACTTGGGCGTTGATTCAGGATCGACATTGACGACGGCGACTAGCTTTGCATGGAGGCCGCGACGTTACGCACAAGCAAGACTTATCTTCTCCATTTGCATTGATGCGAGCGTCCAGGCATGTTCTATATCCAGATTTGTTGTCTGTGCATATGCTAAACACCCCTTTTGCGTCTTAGGGCGCACGAGAAAAAAAGTGTCCGATGATACAGGGTAAGTTTGCCGCTGTGTTGGTCAGCCTCACTAGGTACACCTCTTACTAAGTATTGAATAGTGTAAATATGTACCTATCTAGCATCGTTCGACGCTCTTATAAGAGATGCCATTGCACAACAAATGCGAGTTTTTTTTTTTTTTTTTTTTTTTAAACTTTCATCAATCATGGGCTCAGCTCTTGCTATGTACCAAATCGTAGTAGCATCTGCTCCCTCCTGTATCAAAGGTCATGACTCTCGCTTGAGCAAAAAAAGCTGGGTCTTCTGCATGCTTCCCAAAACAAACCATGCCCCGCTTGTCCGAGCGATAGTAGCGGACAGCGGGAATAACGCAGGTGCAATATGCACAGTGAAACGCGGTGCCAATTCTGTGTACACCGGTCCATCAGTTCGGCAGTTCTTTATACACACAAGGCCGCAAACGAGGCAGAGGGATGCGCATGAAATGGACACATGCAAATAACCAGACACTGCGCTCTGTAACCAGCTCCTCATGCAGGCCTGCCTCGAATTACTGCAGGCCAGGGAGTCTGCTGTAAATCTCTCTTTCTCTCCTTGTTTTAAAAAAATGTGGCCATTGTTTTTCCCGCCTTTCCTGGTAAGCCCCAAGCCCAAACAGCGCAAGATGGAACTTGCCGATCGCTTTTCAGGTCTAATTTCTGCGTGCCCTCCTGACCATTGTTTGGCTGCCGCTAAAGACTCCTGGTCGCTGCACTGCAGGCCAACGACCTCATCGGGGATATGTGGGCCTTACGGGAGAAACCGCAGAGTGTGGATCCCCCGCTACCTCGGGAGGCCGTCCGGCATTTCTGGCCCTTTCCCTCCATTGCGCACACGCAGGTCGAGTGGCCGCCTCCGCGAGATGGACGGGAGTTGCCACACCGATGGAGGGCTGCAGACGGACATTTCCTTTGACCAAGAGAGCAGGACGAGGGAATGACGATGCGATCGGCGAGGTGGATCCAGCCCTGTGAAAGCGTCTGCGTGGGTGAGTCCGGCAGGTGGATGCGGACCTCCAGAACCCGGCAGAACAAATGGGCAGAAAATAGCACACTATGTAGTTAGTTATGCCCTGGAAAATGGAAGTTCTAGTGCGCAGTCAACTGGCCTCTAGTCCGTACAGTCCGTGGAGGCCAGCATTAGTTTCCATGGAGCGCAGAGGCATGCAGCATGCTACTGTACTCCGTACCAGCGAGGAAAATAGGGCAGAAGCGTTGGTTCTCCGTTCGGTCGCCGCGACAGACCCTCGGCCCTCCGAGCTACCTCGGTGGCGTTAGCCGCTTTCCGAGCTTCAAAGCTCTATCTGGAGCTCACTAGCACTCGTCGAAGTAGTATAGATTGTGTTGAAGATCTGACCCCCCTCTTTTTGCTTCATCAGATGGACTTTTGATCGTTAAGTTTACTTCTTCTGTCTAATGCATTGCTCCTCTTTTTACATCCCTCCTTTGCCAAACGTGTCCTTTCGACCGATGACTGGAAAAAAAAAGGACATGTCCGATGCAACATGCGATCTGGAAAGCTTGCCAAGGAGCTAACAAAGTCTCGACCATTTGATCCAATCGATCGACTGTGAATTCGAACAATTGAGAGGGGAAACACGACCTACTTCTGTCTGCTGCTGTCGCACTCAACATGGCCCAGTTCACTTCATTACACAAAACACAATCTCTGGAGAAAAAAGGTATTGAAAGAATATCAAAATACGATATTGGAAAAAAAGCTATCAAAGAAGAAAAAGGCTGAAATATCCTGAAATATCCTGAAATAGAAGCCTTCCAAATCAGTGCCAAGTGGCACAAACCATAGCTGTACCCCGAACGCCGTCCTTTTTTTCTGTGTATGCACCTTTCCCTCATCACTCGATTAACATCGTGGCAAGCGTCACCTCTCCTTCTGATATTATTTCCTCTCACCCCTCCTCCATCTGATTAACCCTTGCAATGCGGGTGAATTTATAACCGACCTTTGGCGTCTGAAAAGGAGGTAGGGTCATATACACGCTGCTTGATGTAGTTTGTCAAGGCAACATCACCCCACTCTTCCCACTCAACCCAGAGCGACTCTGGTAGCTCAGATACGCCATCACGACGAGCAGCCTTCATCACCTCACGGGCGACAATGACGCTAGCATCGCGGACTCGCTCAATCTTGGGGTAGATCAGACCCTTGTGGACCTCTTCGGCATTGAGGGAACCAGCAAGCGCCGCGGCAGACGTGTACACCATTTCATCGGTGACGCGGGTTGCCTTGGAGAGGATGGCACCCAGACCCAAGCCAGGGAAGACGTATACGTTGTTTCCCTGGTTGGGGTGGTAGGTGATTTCTCCCGCATCACCGCCCACCTTGAGGGTGAAGGAATTGAAAGGAGAGCCGGAAGCGAAAACAACTGAACCGTCGGTCCACTGCACGGCTTGCTCAAAGGTACACTCAGCCTTGGTGAGAGGGTTGCTGAGAGGGAACAGAATGGGTCGACGTCCAAAACCGCCAGCGTCCACGGAAGCCTTGAGAGCCCGGACAACAGACTCGGTGAAGACGCCAAAGGTGGCTGCAAGACCAACAAGAGCGCTGGGCTTGACATACTCGATGACCTCCTCCAGGGTGCGGAACTGGTGACCGCTGTTATCAACACGAGCAAAGTACTTCTTGTGCTCGGCAAGCTTGTCACCACGATCCATAGTCACCAGACCCTTGGTGTCGACCAAGAAGAACTTGTCACGGGCCTCAGCCTCCGTTAAGCCTCTACGTGTGTAGTACTCTACAAGCTGCTTAGCGACACCCACACCGGCCGAACCAGCACCCATGAAAACGAGACGCTGTTCTTCCAGAGGAACACCCGAAAGATTAACAGCGTTGATATATCTGCCTGGCGTTAGCGACTCTATAACGAACGACAAAAGGAATCGATTAGTCCTCGGGTCATGTACTTACCCAGCAAGAACAACAGCACCGGTTCCCTGGATATCGTCATTGAATGCCCTGTGGGTATTTCTGTATCGGTCCAGGTAGTTGAATGCCTTTTCACTGTCGAAATCTTCGAATTGCACAACCATGTTGGGATACACCTCTTTGACGGCCTCCATGAATTCGTCCATGAAGTCCTGTTGGTCCTTGTAAGAAACTCTCTTCTGGCGCAGACCCAGGTAGAAGGGATCCTTCAGGTTCGTCTCGTTGTTTGTGCCGCTGTCCAGAACGATAGGCAGGGTCTTGGCGGGGTGAATACCTGCAGCCGCCGTGTACAGGGCTAGTTTACCGATCTGCAGCATTGTCACAATTAGCTTTTTGGTTACACGAGTCAGAAGGGAGGCGGTATCTGAATTTGCGACTTACCGAAATGCCAACGCCATTGATACCGAGATCACCAAGACCCAGGATTCGAGATCCATCAGTGACAACGCAAATCTCAGGGTTTGGGCAGGGCCAATTCCGGAGCATTGCTCGGATTGACTTTCGCTGCTTGATGGAAATGTATAATGCTTCGGGTCGGGTGTATAAGGTAGAGTATTGCAGGCAAACATCGCCAATGGTGGGGGTATAGACCAGAGGCATCAGCTCGCGGACGTTGTCCATGAGCAAGCGGTAGAAGAGGTCGACATTCTGTGCCTTGATGCTCGACAGATATAGATACTTGTCGATGCCGGTCTGGCGGCTGTTGATCATCTTCATAGCCCGGGCACATTGAGTCTCAAGGCTCTCCATGGCGTGGGGCAAGAGACCAGTCAGGTTCTTGTGGATTCGCTGTTCGGGAGTGAAGGAGAGACCTTTCATTGTGAAGACGGTAAAGTTAGCCAAACTATTGTTGTGAAATTTCGACAGTGAAATGAATTGTAGCGTAGAAGTAGTTTTAAGCCAAACGAAACGTATGATTTACCGAGGCAAAGGGATGGTAAAAAGGATGAATATAGATGGTGCAATGTAGATCGACTGAAGAAATAGAGGCTGCATACCTTTGTTCCACAATGGCTCTCGAAGAACCTGATAGGCGGATGCGTCGGACTCCTTGAGGTACTCGGTTTCGTGGTCCTGCTTAACCTCGGTATAGTGGTCCTGGGCGTAGCCCCGGTATTGGTCGAGGGACGCGGCTTTCATAGCCTCCTCAATAGCGGAAACGTCGACTGAAGACATGGGGTTGAAATCGGTCAGCCTGCGACTAGAAATAGACATGCGCTTATTAGACACTGCAGTGCGAGAGGAACGGCCCGACGTTACGGACGGCGTGGGCGAGGCTGATCTCGGGGTGTACACGTCTGAGCTGTCGGCACTCCGGGAACTCGACGCCATTGATGGGTGACGTAGAGCTGGGATTGTGTTCAGCGAAGGTGCTGAGGAAATGCAAGAATGAGAATTGCTGCTTAGCAAAGGGAATGAAGACGAGTTAGCTGGGTTTAGAACGGAAGCAATCGAGGTGGCTGTAAGTGAGGACGGCGATGGTGGTTTAATACTAGCAGCCGCAGCTCTAGATTTCAGACCCCTGCAGAAGATGGGGTTGCGACTTCTCATTAATAACCCCAGGCTTCCACAGGATCCGCCCCGTAAAGAGGACGGCAAACGCATCGGTTGGCGACCCATCAGAAGATGAGCGCGGAGCTAATAAGGGGTGAAGGGGATTGTGAAGCTGAACGGGACGATTCGGGCTTGTTTCAGCGCGCAGCGGAGGCGAATAATTGCATGGGCATCACACGGCCGAAACGACAGAAACAACGATGGAGGGGGGCAAGGGAGTGTCTTGCAATAGGGGCAGGGGGCTCTATTGGAAATGACAAACGAAAAGAAAAGAAAAATTGTAAGAAAAAGGAACAAAAAGATTGGCAGAACGAGAAAAAGTGAAACGTGTGGGCGAATGGTGCAGGAATACCTAGTAAAAGCGAAGATGACTCGGAGCTGTACCGGTACCTGGAGCAAGAGGGCCGGGGCAAAGCTGAGCTGCAAACGGCTGGGAAATTTTGAAGAGAATTGGAAGGAAGGGGGGGGGGGAAAAAAAAAATTAGGTAAAAGAGAGGACCAATGGATTGAGACGTTACAATTCGACAATAAATAAGAAAATTCAACAGAGTTTCACTCCGTACGTACCGACGAGGCTTGTCTGTTGGGGGAGGCTAACAAAGTCTAGTCTTTGTGTCTCTTGAAGTCTTTCCAACAGATTACAACAATAGATGTCTTGTATTTAACACGGTGGTCGATGGGACGAATAGGTAGAGAAGTACAGGGAGACCGCGAGCACAGACAGAGGCTGGCACAGAGGATCTCGGGCGAGTATTATATCGTTAAACCGCTAGAGTCGGATGGCGTTGTTGGGCCATGGTGAGGAGATTCCGGCCTCTTTCCGGTCGGCGTGCTCTGCTGGACCTGCAGGCGCAAAGCACAGCATTGTGGTGTGCTGCAATGTACGGGCGCTCAGCATCGCATCAATCCATTCTCGATGCCCAACATGGCCCGTTCATCAACTCTCATCCGTCTTCCTCCGGTCAAGAATCGCCAAAGTCGCCGGCAGGGGACCGTGGCAGGGGCTGCGCCCAGGTGGATTGCGCGGTAGCACTGGTTGCATCTTGTTCCCCAAGCTGCAGCAGCCGGCGCCAGGCCTCCGGATCCGCAGGGGGGGCAGTGGGGACGCGATGACTAGCCTGGCCCTTTGTGGTTTCTTTCCTGTTCGTGGTGGTTTGCTCAGGTGCTTTGGGTTGGCGATAGGGGATAATGGACTGATGCGAGTGTTGAAGTTGGAGGCATTTCAAATTGGGCAGATATGCCAGGAGACGCGCGAGCCACGAGAATAGGGGCTGTAGATAAGAAATCGCATGAGTCTGAGGAAGTCACGGCACTTGGGCGTTGCTGCTGCGCTTAGACACCTTTCACGGCTGCACCTTCCTGCTGTCTTACATCAACCGCTAGACTACATAGTACTTGCTTGGGCGTAGCGGCCCAGGGCTGGCGAATCAGCTCTGCTGCCGCAAGGGCGCCCCTCCCCTCTTTCTTCTCTGGGCATTCTTTTTCTTCCATTCGTCTCGAGGATGCACAAACCAGCACGCAAGACGACAGCTCAGGACGCCGCCCGGGCAATGACCGGATCCGGGCCGGTTTGTGGATGAGAAATGCGAAATGAACAAACGAGCACCTGCTGAGTCGATCATAAGGGCCTAGGGCTTATTGCCGCTGGTGCGCCAGACTCCGTCGCGTGTGTCCCGTTCACAAAATCCCAACGAAGTTTCTTGGTTCTGCAGTATATCAAGCTGATCTGCCATGGTTTGTCACATGCATAGAGTGTTCGCCTACTGAGGTACATAAATGCCTTGTCCAGGTACCACAAGTTTTCCAGCATTCGGCGCTCCCGGCGGTGCCCGTGCGAAGCTCCTCCTATTCCTTCGTGTCCAAAACACCTGCGACCAGCGCCTTTGCTGCCACAGCTGCTACTCCTGACTCCCAGTTGACACACTTGAAGCATCACGTACGCTCCGATCTCACCCGAAACGCTCCGTGCCCAGAGCTAGGGCCCCCCTGCATGCCACGCTATGGGCCTTACCGGAGCCCCGTTATGGACCCTTGAATCGGCGCCGGCGTGCCCCATCCATTATTCACTTTCAATTTCGCGGCACCTTAGTGCCACATCTGAACTTTTTTTCGCCAGCGCTTCAAGACTGCGGATTGTTTGTATGTACGAGTGCGTGCATGTGCGAATACAGTACCACACGGCAGTTAGCTTGCAGTAAGGCAGCTAAGAGAAACCCGCCAAGTTTGTACGTCGCATCACGCATTATTCGCATCATTTTATTCTGTTTTTCAAACTTGCCGCGCTGCACGGGCGGTCTCTGGACGCGATATTCTATATCATGACTTCTGTATCTAATAGAGCCTCGTCTATCTTCTGCACGTCCAGCTCTTTTTTCTCTTCCCCCTTTCCTTTCCTTTCCTTTTTTTTTCTTTCTTTCTTTTTCTTTTTTGCGGTTCCAGTTGATATGGGTCCGCCGATATGAAAACTGGCACCGCCGATGGAGAATCTCTTTACGAATTGCAGCCCTCCTATTAGGCACTCCATATATATCATATTGAATGAAACCCTCTTCATATTTGCTTTGTTAAGATGCCCCGCCACTGCTTCCGTTTCTTTTTCTTCTTCCTCGTCTTGGCCCCTCTCTGGAGAATCAAGTCTCCATTACAAAGTCTGTATGGCAACTATGGCCGTGGGACGCGAATACGGTTCAAATTTCATATGCTCGCATCGCAGTTGTCTATATCCACCATCCATCTCCGCCCGGTGGGCTGTCCCTTTCGGGGTGATGGGGTCTTCACCATACACGTATCACATCCTACCAATAAGACGTGCGTCTCACTCACACCACTCTGCTAGCACATTACAAGTACCGGTACGCTCATATGCAAATCGAGATGACTCAATTGCGTCTCTTCCCTTTGCCCTTTGCAGTCCCGATAGACGGCATCCAAAACACCCTCCAGCAGCATGGCTAGCTCATGCCGTCCAGCCTCGCGCATGTTAGCTTCAGCTAGCAAACCACTACCGGAATACTTCGGCTTGGTCCCCCACAATCTACTAACAATAGCGCTGCGGCTAACGAACCAACAGACAAGCCCAGATCCATCTCGTCTTGCGTGCATGTTTGCTTCAGACACTTGCTCAACAAAATGCCGGCATCGGACAAGCTTTCCTCCTGTGCCTGTCATCCCACGGGGCCCAAATCCTTGCCGCAGCGCTGCCAAGAGCTATGCTGGAGAAAAACGGCCTTCCCCTCAAAATCACAAGACAGGGCTATCCAGCACACCATGCTCGGCTCGGCAAGCAAGCTCTAGGGATCTGTCTTCAAACCACCCCTCCGGCCCGAACAAGCTTCCTTAAGCTTCAAACCCCGCAACCACATGCTCGCCGCCAATCTTCAGATCTGTCCATCTATTACCCACCGCGCTTGTCGAGCCTCAAACGGCTTCATGTCAGTCGAGTTCAGATCGGCCCATGGGAGCCAACCATTCCCTGATGGGCAATTCTGCCTGTGACATTCGCGTTTCGGTTTGTCGTTATCATTGCAAACTCAATGGTTTGACCTCTACCAATCCTATCCCTATCCCTTGTCTAGATTACTCTAAACACAAGTAAGATCTTCGCTCCTAAGCACGGGGGTTTGCCTTCATATTCCGAGCTCGGGATGGAGACAAAGCTAACTGGACTAAAGAAGAAGAAGAGTAAGAAAAAAAAAAAAAGGTGATGCATTAGCTATGGCTTGATGCCACTAAAATCTCAAGTCCTATGCCGTAGCTATCCTGTCTTCTCTCCTATTAATGATACATATGGTGTATAGTAATTCGTTGAATCGTTAGCCGCCCTCTCTCTCCGCCCATATCTAAGATTTCTTATAACAAATAGTAAAATGTAAAAAGAAAGGAAGAGCTTGTCAGCCACGTTAACATGTTTCCAATTGTCATCCATCTTAATCGCCTCGTATTAGCGAACCGCCTTCATTCTTTCCCTATTTCTCCCGAGTCTGCATTCCCGAGGTCGCTTTCACCATCATCAGCTGTTTCTCCCGACTTTGCATCCCCATCCCCGAGATCGCTTTCATGATCATCATCTGCTACTGATGCTGGTAGTTCATTTTGTATCATCCTTGCCAGCTTGTGACATTCGCTGATTCGCCTTATCAATCTTCGCTAGTGACTTATCATCCTGGAGACTCCACCACCTCTTCAGCCCTTGCACATACTCAACCTCTTCGTTGGTGATTTCTACTGGCGGACCTTTAATCTGCGGTAGCATCTCCTCCTTGTCTTTTTCGTAGACTGCCCATGCCGAGGCATCCCCGGCCCGGACGCCGAATCCCCTGCCTTGCATTGACACCACCTGGACGCGACGCAGCAGCACGATGTCACCGACTTGGACTGCAGGTAGAGAAAACTTGTGTGGCCGGAAGATGTGCGCGATGATGACGTTTGTTGGTGCTACTGAGGAGTCGGTCAGATTCAATTCGAGCATGTAGTCTCGGGGCCCCGATCTTGGTCGGTGTGGTTCGCGTGGAGTGGCAGTGACAACGGCTAAAATATCAGCCGTTTTATTTAACGAGGCACGCAGGGATTTGAGTGGTAGATAGTCCGGCAGGCTTGTTCTCAGGCTCTTCAATAGTTGGAACTTCAGAGATGTGATGCTCACATCCTCAGCCACGGAGCTAGCAGTAGAAGGAGGCCTGCCGGCAGCGGGTTTGCGGGGCGATCTCAGATTGTGTCCTGTGGCCGTTGACTCTGGGGTAACGTCTCGGCGAGGATTTGCTGATGTCTCACGAGCTGTATCTTGCGGACTCTCTTCCTCAAGCTGCTGTTGAGAGCTCTTGCTGGATTCGGCTGCTAACTGCGAGCTCGGATCCGGCTGATCAGACTTGTGACGACTAGCACGCAGCGATTCTGTTGGGCTGCCTAACCGTTGAGGACTGCGTTCTGATGGCTCTGAAAGAGCTTGTGCCAATAGAATGCTGGCATCAGCCGGTCCCTTAGCACCGCGCCTTGCACGCAGCGATGTCGGCGTACCGGCTTCCTTCGGTAACTTGAACTCCTGGGGTGATGACTTCGCAAGCGCAGTATTACCCTCTGAATGCTCGGCCTTACTCCGTGGCGACGACCGCGGTGATCGCTGTGGGAGCGATTCTTCATCCCCAATAAGACAATGATTCGCCTTATTAGGGGAGCCCTTAGCTAACGCAGCATTTGGATCGGCTAAGAAGCTATCGGCGCTACCACTGGAGACTCTCTTAGCACGGCAGTGGCTCCGGAGAGATTGCAATGTTATCAGCATCTCAGGCTCTGCCCTACGGGAGCCCCGTTCATGCGCACTTTGGTCTGTGTGATAGCCATGGTGATGATGAGCATGGTGAGCGTGGTGAGCATGATTGCACTCATGAGTTTCCTCAATTGCCTCAAGGGGCTGTGAGAGAGCCGGTTCAACGCGCTCTGCATCGTGTGCCTTCTGCGGAGTGGAATAATGTTGGGATTCGGACATGAGTTGCTGCTCGATTGCAAAGTCATCATCATCGCCGTCGCCTCCATCCTCTCTTGCATCCTCATACTCGTCTTCCTCCACATCCTCACCCACGTCGTGGTACACGGGTTCATCCATATCTTCGTCCACTGCCTTCAATGATTCATCTATGTCTATCGGCACCTCATCCGTTACAGCCGTATCGGCTACATCATGGTAAACTTCGTGGTCGTCTTGCTGAATTCCCAGTGGAGTTGGTGACTGTTTTATAGCCGCTCGCTCATCCAGAACTGGTACATCCATAGGCGTTATCGGAGACACTGCAGTCAGAGTAGGCGGAGGTGGTGATGGTGCAACTACTCCAAGCTCTCCTGTGATTATTGGTAATATTTCTGCAGTAGCCTGGTCGACCTGGTCGCTCTCCTTCTCCAAGGCATTCTCAGCTTCTTCTGTCAGTTGATTCAGCACATCGTCTTGCATCTCTATGTCCTGTTCAGCAACAGCATCGTCTTCTGTTTTCGATTCTAGGCTGGTTGGCTGGATCTCTAAGCCAGTAGGCTGTATATCCCCCATAAGCTGGTCGTCGTTGGCAGCAGTGGATTGTGGTGTCGGAATCTCTACCGCTTCGCCCGAGTCTGCTGGTATATCTGGATTGTGCACGGATGGTTCAGCAATTGCTTCTCCAGAATCCATGGACCTAGATGAGGGAGCATCTGGTTGTTCTTGGTCATCCTCTTTTTGTTCGTGCTCCTGCTCCTGCTCCTGCTCCTGCTCCTGCTCCTGCTCCTGCTCCTGCTTTTGCTCTCCCTCTTGTTGCTGCTGAGCTATCGGCGCCTCTTCAATCTGTTCTGGAACAGCTGGTGCCTCAACATTGATAGGTTCTGGTGAACGTGATTTAGAGATACCGCGCATCCCCATATCAGCAGTAGTCTCTTCGTTGTTGGCGGCGTTGGTGGCAACGGATTCAGGTTGTGTCGAAACTCTGTCTGCGAGCGGAGAGCTAACGATAGGTACTGTACTCTGGGCTTCGGCTATAGCTTCAGCTATGTTAACATATTGCCGTCTGTCGGATTTAGGTGATAGTATTAAGTTTGGATGATCCATTTCAAAGCGGCTGATTTCGCTTCTATTCGGCTCGTCATGTTGATGCAGAGCGAATTCGCTAGTGCCATCAAGCTGGCTCACCAAACTGGATCTCTTGGATGACTGGCTGGCCACTGGTTTGATCACGGCTGCCTCCTCAATATCGGACTCGTCTTCGTCTTCGGCTTCGTCCATATTTTCATCCATACTTTCGTCCACATCCACGCCTTCCTCCACATAATCATCCGTATCTCTATCATCAGCCTCATCCTCATCCTCATCCTCATCCTCATCCTCATCCTCGTCCTCATCCTCGTCCTCGTCTTCATCCATATCTTCGTCTTCTTGTTCACTTGGCTGCTCATTAGCCTTATATTCCTCGGGCTGTATAGGCTCTTCGCTTGGCTCTTTCTTAGCCTGTATAGCGATAGGAGGCTTGTCACCGTCATCTTCAGAATCAGACAAAAGACTGATAACAACTGGCTCCTTAGGGGCGGCCGGGGCTGGTCTCGGGATTGGAATAAATGGCCTTGGAATATGTAGTGCCGGTTGCGCGACTCCATTATGACCTTGAGACTCTGATTCAGATTCAAATTGAGACCCCGATTCGTAGTCCGCGTCAGACCCTGACTCCTCAAGTTCGGATTCAGTTACGTCACCCTCCTCGTCGATTTCGTCCTCATCAAAGGACCGTTCGGCATACTGTTCCTCATCATCGGGGTCACCCTCTTGCCTATTCCAGTCGTAGTATCCGCGCTGATTTTCTTCTTCTTCTTCTTGTGATTCATCTGTGCTAGAATCTTCTTGCAGAGGGCTTGACCTGCCTTCTCTGCCTAGAGTAGCGGTCACTGTAGCAGTCTCGGTATCCTCTTCACGGTGTTCAGGATAGCTTTTACTAGGCTTTACCTCACTCCTTTGCGCAAAGGATGATGATAACATGCTTTGTGCCTCACTAACTTGAACATATCCATGAATTTCCGCACCGTGGTATGCCGCAGATACTAATGTATGCGTTTCGTCAGAAGGGCTAGCTCTTAATGTATAAGATGATCGATCGAAGCTTCCCTGTGGGAAATCATGCAAATCATGTGTAGGCATCGTAGGGTACGTTGGCGCCAATGTATCGGCTACCCAAGCGAGCTCATCTTGTGCCTGGGGATTGTGGATCTCATGTTCTTGCGGTGGGGGCGGTTGCATCTCAGCCGCCATCATATCGTACGAATGGTGATGTTGGTGATGAGCATCTGCTTCATGCGATTGTAGACTTGGGTCTATACTCATAGACAAGTCAAATCCACTTTGCCGCGCATGTATTTCCGGCTGGCAGATAGGCTCTGATCCATGAATTCGGGCGCGTGCATCATGAGTAGTTGCATACTCAAACGAGAGCGGCGATGGCTCTTGGAGCACGTGGCCGATGTCCGGATGTTTCCATGGATTGGTTGGCGTAGGCTGTAGTAAGATTCCCGTTGATTTGGATTCGGCAATGATTTGAACACCGCTGACTGGGCTGGAGCTCATCTCTCTAGTTTGGCATCCATGATCTACCATTACTGGCTTCGGCTGGGCAGCTGGTACCTCACTGCCCATCCCGGTTTCTTTGGCTCCTTCATGGTCTTCCGTAATAACAGTCTCCGAATTCGCGAGCGTGGGCTCATCCTGTTCTTCATCTTCGGTAGGCTGCTCTTCCGCTTCGAGAGAAGGTGACCGACTGGCATATCTCCACGAGGTCGGGTTCATGCTGAATAGAGACCTTCTTTTCTTCTTCTTGGCGCTCCTTGGAGGCTCTTCTTCGTCAAAGATATCAAAGCCCCCTTCAAAAAGCGAGCCGTACGATACTCTTGCTCTCTTGATAAATGCCGGAGAGGTATACTCCCCAGGCCCCAGAGCCTCATAGGCATATCTCTTTGAGGGGACGACGGAAAGTGGTGTTCGTGACACGGGATTCGCAAAATGCGTCTGCTCGATTTCGATCGACGGCGAGGGACTAATCGTCTGGTGCTGCTCCGTCGGTTCCTGGTCTCCCTCATCATCTGCAGCATCCACGCTGATTATGTCTACCCCGTGGCTCTCGGCCCTGCGGATCATCAGCAGCAGGCGATTCGTAAACTTCATCTGCCACTCAAGTGTGCCCGGACGTTTCGACCACGCCTGGTTCTCCTCCCACTGCACGCCGCCCAAGCTTAGCCGCACCTCATCGCCGCCTCCCAAATGTGCGTCTGCAAGAGCCTTAGCCGCGGCGCCATGGAACTCGACTCGGAGCTGGCCCTTGTCGCGTCGATGCAGGGGATCGCGTTCGGCGAGGATAAAGGCAATGGACTTTGTCACAGCACTGTATGGCCATGTCACGGTGATAACGCCTTCGACAACGAGGGTTTCTGCGTCGAGTATGGCCGGGCTGAGCTTGGCGATGGGCGTAGCTTCGGTGCTACACAGCACGTCGGGTTGGGCATCGTCATTTGCCATGGCGGCTTCACTGCTGGCGCGCGCCGATCATCTAGTGGAGGGGCGGCTCTGGCAATGCTTATAGCAAGGTGGTTCAAGGCGGTTCATGATAAGCAGCAGCGGGTAGAGGGAGGGAGAGAAAAAGAAGGAGAGGAAGAAAACAGGAAGAAGAGAAGCAGCCTATAATGGAGGCGATTCTCTGGCTCCCCCCCGTCGTTGATGCGTTGTATCGCTAGGTGCGGTGGTGGAATGAATTTGGACCGGAGTGAGATGCAGCTCACTTTTTTTTTCTTCTCCTCGCCTCGCTGCGCTGTCCTGCTTAGCTGCAGCTCGCCCAATCTCCCAGCGACACAAATCCAAGGGTAGCAGGGGTGGAGATGCCGTGCTGAGGAGCTACAGGCCTAACGACTGCTAAAAAGAAGATGTCCAGCGGGTAAGCTACTCCAAGGCCAAGAGGGGTAGGCGGTGTGCTGCTGCCAGCTAGGCACCCGATGTACCTGGCTTTGACATGGAGCCGCGGTCCGGCGCCAAAACAGGCCATCCGGATACCTACCAAGTTACTGAAAGCACTTAGTGACTGCGAGGTGGCTGACATCATCCGACGCCGGCATGTTCTCATGCGACTACTATTTGATAGATCCGATCTCCAAGTGCCCGCTATTATAAATCCCGTAGAGTGAATGCATCGCCTTTTCTTCTTGCTATAAGACCGGCAATGCAGCCAAGCAGACGCTCGCTCGCTTGTTTGGGCACCATTGCCCCGATTGTCTAGTACGATTCTGTCTGGAACAGGGACATCCATCTTGGTGCTCCATATTGGGTACTAGAGATTTCTATATTACATGCATACTGCATCTGCTGATTCCTGCGCCGTCCAAGGAGAGACAACCAATAGCATGGGCTCCATCTTGTCAAGCCCTGCTGTTGGCACCGCGGCCAGCAGCTCGGGAGTGACAGCAAAGCAGCAACGGCAGCCTTTCCACGTCAAGAAAGTCGCCATCATCGGGGCGGGGCCGGCTGGCCTGGCTGCCGCCAGATATCTCATGGCCCAAGGTGCCGTCGACTCCATCACCATATTCGAGCAGCAGGATCAAGTCGGTGGCGTCTGGTACTACAGCAGCCTTGCGCCGAAGGAGGTGCCTGTGCCGCAGCAGGATCCGTTCTGGGGCCCAGAGCCGTCCATCTGGCCTGAAGGAGCACCAGCGCCGATTTTCCCCTCGCCCATGTATGAGAGGCTTCATGCAAACATCCCTGGATGCCTGATGCAGTTCCATGATACGGCGTTTCCGGCAGACGAATGGCTGTTCCCCAAAAGGGAGGCGATTCAAGATTATCTTGTCCGATATGCTGGAGATCTGAGGCATCTTATCAAATTCCGCCACCAGGTGACGCAGGTCAACTTGGAAACTCGAGATGGCAGGGACCGATGGCATTTGGAAGCATCATCCACACTGAATGATGGTGAAATCGTTCGGGACACGTATGATGCCGTTGTCGTCGCCAATGGCCACTATTCAGTGCCCTTCATACCTGCCATCAAGAATATACAGGAGTTCAACGAAGCCCATCCCTCGGTCATCAGCCATTCGAAGCAATATCGAAAGAACGAACACTTTAGAGGGAAGAAGGTTGTGGTCGTCGGCAACGGGCCGTCTGGTCTCGACCTGGCTCTTCAAATCAACCAAGTGGCTGGTAGGACGCTCATGTCCGTTAGACACGCTACATCGCCCGATAAAATTTCTCACATCGGATGTGAAGAAGTCCCCGAAATTGTCGAATTATTACCAGATCAACGAGGCGTTCTTTTTAAAGATGGAAACAAAGAGATAAATATAGATTATATTGTGTTCTGCACAGGGTTTTTGTTTGGCTACCCTTTTCTCAACAGCCTCGGCCGCAAGATCATAACTTCTGGGCGAGGCATTCATGGTTTATACCAACACTTGTTTCTCATCGAGCATCCGACATTGGTTTTCCCAGCCTTGAATATGAAGTCTGTTCCATGGCCCCTGGCAGAAGCCCAAGCCGCGGCATTCTCGGCGGTATGGTCCAATGATCTAGCACTACCCTCCGACAACGAGATGGAGAGATGGAGCAAAGAGCTGGAAGAGACACAAGGAGAGGCACTACACATATACCCGGAGTTGGGAGATGATGGCAAGCACATCAACGAGTTTTACGACTGGGTAACCAAGGCGAAACATGTCGGCAAGCAACCTCCGCACTGGGAAGGCGAGCAGTTCTGGCAGAGGAAACTAGCTCCACAAGCCAAGACTAAATTTGAAGAGGGTGGATGTAAAGCCAAGACTCTGGCTGATCTTGGTTACCATTATGAACCTGACAAGGAATAAATGAAGATGCAGATGGGTAATTCTACTGCGGTATAGAGGAAAAAAACCGGAAGAGTTTAGGGAAACAACTCTTGGATATAAGAACAGAATCATAGATTGTAGACATCTACATTAGATCTTAGCTTAAACTGATCTTCTTTTTCTACTGCTGAAAATTTGTGACAAGTCACATAATACTTTATATAGCATGCACTGTTGAAGAATGGTATATACTCAGGGGAGGAAGAAGAAGATATTGGTTCAAATCATCAAAAAGATGACTTGTTCGTAAAAAATCACATTGTTTAGACACACGCTGTTAATAAAGTCAAATCTCTTTTCGTCTTTTTTTCATTCAAAGAGCTCAACCTTCCAGAAGCCATTACGCCTCGATATGAAACCATGATATATCCCTCCTCCAAAAACCCATTGTTCTTAACTTGCTGCACACCCAGAAAGTTAGAGTATTTATGCCTGCTTCTTCTGAGCCTCCTGGGAGAAGACCTTTGCGTAGGGGTTCAGGCGCAGGAGGACCTGCTTGTTGCGCAGAGGGTTCTTCTTCTGGACGGCGGATCGTCGGGTAACAGCATCGCCCTTGGGGCCGTTGAGGGAGCTCTGGATTTCGCTGCTGTTGATCAGACGAGTAAGGTCGGCCTGGGAGACGACGTTGGAGGGCAGGAGGAAGTCCCGCTTGTGAGCAGAAGGAGTGGTGGTGGAACCGTAGATCTCGTCAAGAGCCTTGAAAGCGGCAGAGGTCCAGACGATGAAACGGCCGAGGTGACCACCAGGGGCGAGCTGGAGGAGGTTGAGGGCAGAGACGGGGGAGGTCTCAACACCGGGGATGTTGCGGAAGCCCTTGACGAGCTCCTTGCCATCGACCTCGGGGTGGTAGACAACCAGAGGACCACGGCGCTGGCGGTGGCGGCGGCCACGGAGCTTGCCCTTACCGGCACGGAGCTTCTTGGAGTCCTTGACCTTCTCGAGGTCAGCACCGGCACCGACAGCCTTGAGGAGGGCGAGGGCAGCGGCAGTGCGGGCAACGGAGCTGCCCTCAACGAGAGCAGAGTCGACAACCAGGGGAACCTCGGGGACGGTCATGATCTGGTGGCCACGGGCGAGCAGAAGAGGGGCGGCAGCAGAAGCAGCCAGGGCAGAGCAGGTAGCATATCGCTTCTGGCCCTGGTTGACCTTGACGTGCCACTTGCGCCAGACCTTGGTAGGGGCGAACATGCGACCAGATCGGCACATGTTACCGAAGGCGGCCTGACCAGCACGGTGAGTACCGGAACCAGAGACACGAGGGATACGGGCAACGGCACGACCTGAACGATTCAATACAGTCAGTACAGTTCTAAGCAAATTTCGTCGGCGGCGCGTTGAGGCTCTTCGCGATAGCTGGGCAGAAAAAAAAAATTTCATAGTCCCTCCTTATCTCGATTGCATCTCAAATTCTGCCCCCAGTGATCCCAAGAAACTCACCAGTTCCCCAAGACTCAGCAGAGGTCTGGTGACCGGCCTTCTCGCTGACAGCATAAGGCTGGCGCTTGTTCTTGGCCATGCCAGTGTGAACCTGCTTCACGATATCCGGTCGGATAGGGCTGGCGAAGACGGCGGGAATGGTGTGGGTAGCTCCAGAGGGAGCACCATCTTTGCCGATGATAGTGACGGTAGGTCGGGAAGCCATTGCGATGGTAGGACTAGGACCTGATGGAGGATGCAAGAGTTAGCAACTTTCAAAAGGCGAAAAGGCTGTGTTCAGAGCCCAAGATAGAGTGCAGCATACCGTGGTCGTCGGGCTGGTCGAATTTGGCGATGAGAGGTGGAAAGTTCGCAGGCTGCTGGACCCGCGATAAATTTCACTGAATTTTCCTTGCAACGAATTTTGGTGGGCGGAGACCCTAACTGGTGGGGTACGTACCTTAGCGAGTACCTAGCAGATTTGTGGCTCACGTGATTGCTCTTTTGGCAGTTTTTTGGGACAGGGTTATTAGGCACCATTCCTCATTGGGAGACGGCTTAATAGTGAGAAGCAAAAGGTTGCTTGAAAGGTACAGTATATTGTTTTACATGTAGTATTAAGCACGTCAGAAGCGTCAAGTGCTGTAGTACTTGGCAAGAGCTTGAGTTTCTAGGCTTATTTCATGCATCTATTGTCATCATGCCATATTGCTATCATACATCATATTCATGTATGCCATCTTAATGATATGAGCTTCGCTATGCTTATTTCCAACACAATAAACTGACCCTCTAATAAACGATGTTGTTTTTTCCTGCTCCGCTTTATTCCCATCTCTTCCACTCTCTGCTGAGTTTATCAATCTGTTCGTCTGTCCATGCGCTATTGCGTCCATCTCTTACTAGACTGAGAAATTTGGCGTGTACGTCCTTCTCGATCTTCAACCTCTCTCGAGCCTTTCCCTCTAGATACTGTGGATCATTGTTCCTGCAAGCCCTCTTGAAAACGTCTCTCATCCTAGGAGAATAGAGTTGGCACGTTGCAATGGGCAGCTTGGTCGGCTTCATATAAAAGTTTTGAGCAATCACGTTGTCTTCTGCGCGCTGAGGCCGAACCACGTCTTCATAGCATTCCCCACAAACCGTAAAATCCGGTAGGTACTCCATCACGTACCAATAACCATCGCTCACGCGGCGGTCCTCGCGACACTCGTTCAGAGTGCTCAATCGCGTAAGCATCATGGAAAGGTCACCGACGTCTACCTTCCGGTTGGTCACATAGCTCTTATCCGATGTGGTTTCAAAGGCATCGAAGAACAGCACAAATTGTTTCCGCTGAGGCGTATATTGTAGAGAGCAAGAGTTTCTTGAAGGCTCATTCCGGGGATCAAGTGGAATGAATACCCCTGTAAGATTCGGGAATAAAGTCTCTACTATCTTCGCGCATTGATAGCAGACTGCAAATTCGGGCACCGGCCGCCTTGTATATGGATCCTTTACAGTGTACCAAACCCGTGTTACTTTGCGTTCGACGGGGCACGGATAGCTGCGAGAATCGAACATGACGCTCGCAAGATGATGAAACAGCTGCAAGTCGGGTACCTTGTGTTTCAACGTGAGCAGCCAAGCTATCTGGTACCAGGGCGATGAACCAAAGTCGCACACAATTGCGTTGCCTGTTGGCCGTAGGACTGGATGGAAGTGAGTCCGGTACTGGGTGTCTGCAAACACAGCGCCATAACAATCAGGACAGATATTGAACTCGGTCCTGGGGAGTGTAAGCCAATCCATCTTCCCGGCTACCGGTTCTTTACGCTTGCATTCTGGGATGTACGGAAAGTCAGACTGCCCATCACGCCCTTTGCTCTCAGAGTAGCGCCGGTATGATCCAATTGTTTGGTCCGGACGCACTCCGGATTTATTTGGATCAAATGGAGGTGGTTGCCAAGCTTTCGTCGTCACAGACGGCTCTTTATAAGTTGGAGATCTAATGACCTTCTCATCTGGCGCCACAAGTTCATCATCAATCCGCGGAATTGGTGGCATTGAAACAGGTGATGCACTATCCGCTCGTGATTGCCGCACAACTTCGCTTCCTACTGACTCCTCTGGCCAAGCAACAATGGCATCGTCATCGTCTGGATAGGGAAGGTGAATTGCTGGGGGCATTCGATCTTCTTGAAGCTTCTTCTCTTGGCTGATTGGGAAAGTAGTTGACATGCGGCGGTTAGGCACCCAGTCATCTGGAAGCCCCAATGAATTCACCGACGAAACTGGCATCGTTGGAACTCTAGAAGGAGAGCGAGAATTTCGGCCACTGGTGCCACCTCTGCGTGATGATGCAACGGATACACGGTCCTCGTCATCAATGATAACCGGGCTTTCCCTCCTATAAGAGTTGCTAAAGGTCTCATTCCGCGGAGAATTTTGGTCCTTTGGCTTGGACGGTGAGGGAGCTCTCAAGCTTTCGCTCGCAGGTGGCTTATAGGAAACATAACTATCTCTCAGGAGGTCATCTCGAAGGGGTCGACTGCCATCTAGAGGACGAGATCCGTTTACGCGATCATTTGACGTAGGCCTTGACAAGGGTTCGAAAGTTGAGTTCGGTCGTCCCTCCATCGACGCTGTCGCGCTTCGTCTATGATATCTGTCTTCATTCCTTCTACCCTCGCTTGGTTCGCCCAGGCTCACGCTACTATGCGTAGGCGGTTGACCATATCCTTGGTAGGTCTTGTCTCGGCCGCTCGAGCCATGCTTTGTTACTTGCGGCGAAAGATACTCTTCCCCATATTTGCGATGTGCCTGCGTGAACTCCGGACGGGGGGCGTTAACGGCAGATCTGCTTCGATGATGGCTTGGTACCCGGTTCTCGTTCATGTCTGTCTCTAGCCGAGGCAACTCTTGCCTGCTTCCCCGCCTCCCCAGTTCTGGAACAGAGGCGTCAAGACGATCGTATTTCACATTCTCTGACTCGTTAATCTTTCTTCTACTATGTGTTTCTGGAGAAGAAGACGAAGATATCGGCGCCTTCTTCTTCTGACGGAATTTATCTTTATCTTTGGAAGCCTTGTCCTCAGTCTCGCTCTCGGGTACGCTTGACGTAGTCGCGCCTGGTACAATAACAAAGCGACGCTCTGGATTGTACTCAAAAACTTCTTCCAAGACTGGCAGTTGGTCAACTTCCCCTCTCGCCTGCGGTTCTTCGTCAACAACAGGCTGAAAGCAGCTGCCAAATTCCTTTGCAAGGGAATCAATCTCATCCTCGACACTGGGCGGGGGCGGGTTTGAGTTGCGGAAATATGGAATGTCATCGTAATATCGAGGCGCGAGACGAGATACAGGCGGTTCTGGCGGCGTTGATAACCGCACAGGGCGCAGCGGGGAATCGACAGACGCGCTGCAAGGTTCAACGTGGTCAGCTATTTGCTTCTCGATCAGAGAGGTTCAGGCAGCTATCCATAGGTCTTGGTACGTACGAATAGCCATGCTTGGCCCTTGAAGTGGTGAAGTACCCCGTCTGGAGCATATTCTCTATAGGATTGCTCATTCTGATCCGTCTTTGGGCTGTCAAGCCACGGGGCGTCTAGATTCTATTAGATGCTGGGATAGAGCATCACAGCTGCCCTATGCGACGCGCTGCCAGTCGGTCGGCCAGAGCCCTACGTGAGCGGTGTCGTATGCCCACGATTGAGCTTAATGATAGGGACCAGTATCGAGATCCAATGACGAACGAGGCGCCCCTGGGCTAGGCTGGCAAAGAAATCCGGCTTCCAAAGAAGTAAACCACAAAGTTGGGCAAGAAAATCCACAAGACGTCAGCGGTGCTTGATTTAAGATGATTCAGATGACATCGGTGGTGGGGTCTGGGCTGTATTTCATTTAGCGGCGTGGCGGCCCGCTTTGAGGGGTCCCGAGCGCTGTAACTGCCTAAGGCAAGCGCTATATCAAGTAACTGGCAGCAACTGATTGGCCTTGTTGCCACCCTCGTGCCCAACCAGCCCAGCCTCTACCCTGTCGAAAAATACCAGAAGCCTAGTACGAGGCTGTGCTGTATGGGGCAGTGAGAGTTTGCCATCTAAAAAGATACTCATTACTGTCGCTGAAGTCCGAAACATGGGCTTCTCCGTCTCTCGTGTTGTTGACAAAAAGTGTTTAAGTTATATTCGCAATCGACCGATTAAGTTGGCACACTTGTTGCACCTGCCGTTATTACTTAGTAGGTACTGCACATGGTAGCATCGAAGCTGAAAACAACTTGGCCTAATCTCGCTCTCTTCTTCGGGTTTCAAAAGCTGTACTGGGCGGAATTCGGTTATCTATACAAAGTATTGAGTTTACATTTCTTTGATCGGCGTGGGGGTCGAGATTTTGGTGGCTGTAATTTCTCTTCACGCTCATATCAGGCCAGGCTGGGCATGCTACCTACCTGTGACTTATATACTACTATCTAGGTACATACCAGGTTGACAGTTCATATGGGGGCTGCAGCGAGGTTGCTTGATGGGCATATTTGGGAGGCCTTTGCTGCACCACCGCCTGAGGAAAGGCTCACCTACCTACTAGTAGGTAGATATTCCCGCCACATTTATTTTGAGCCCTGCTCCCAGGCATATACGGGTTTCTTCTTCTTCACCTTGAGTGTGAATTATGTGATTATTATTATTATTATTATTATTATTCCAATTTCATGAGACCGTAGCGTATAAATTAGGTATAAACATTTTGTAAGACGTAATGCATGATAAGGCCACTTTGGCCACATCCACCCAACCCGACTTTTGAGTACTCCGAGCTTTTAGACCCCAGCCCCATTACGGCTCCCAGACAGATTGGTATGCTTGCAACAAGGAGTCTCAATAGCAAATATACAAAATCAGCAGGAATCGAATATGATTGTTGCCGGCCCAGCCAATTTGCCCTTGCTCACTCCAAGAGGTCCCTGACGTCTTCGTCGCTCTCCTCTTCATACCGTCGCTGCTCCTCGGCTTCCAGAATCTTCCTCAGAACCTTCCTCTGCCTGACTCGTGCCTTTGAGCCCCAGTCAGCCTTGGATCCGTCGGCACCCTCATCGGCGTCTACATCTTCTTCCACCGAACCCAGGCCACGCAGGTCATTTGGCGACATTTTAGCAACCTGCTCTTTGGCGTATTCCTTGTCTTTCGCATCTTGCTCTTCCAGCTTCTTGACAGCATGCTTGGTTGAGTATTTGATAATGTGCGGTCGTATCAGCAAGTATGTGCATACAACCATGATGAGGCGAAGCCAGCCTTGTGTGGACATGTCGCTGAAGCTCTTCTGGATGTTGTTGGAGGCATTCTGCCCGAACTGAGATAAATGACCAAGAATAGACTGAGAAGACTGTCCGTCACCGTCCTGGTACGGCTGGTATGACTGAGAATCCATGATATCAAGAGTAGCGGGCAGCTCTCATAAAGGGGATGAGGTGAGACTGGAGTCTTCCCTAAGGCAGGCAGCAGATGGCCAGATGAATGAAAGAAACCTCTTCCAGTGAAAATAGAAAAGGGGAGCCAATTGGAAAAGGGAGGCAAGGTGACCTCTTTATAGGGGATGGTGAAGGTTTGTTGAAAGATGAAAATGTAAACGTAGTCTCAGAGGAGGGATGGCGGAAGTTTTTGTTTTAGACACCGATGCTGCAAATTCGCTAGTGAGCACGGCGTGCTCCGGGCTATTTCTCCGAGACTGCCGGTTGGACGTGGCGGATCCGATGAGCGCCATTTACAGTACATGTATAGAAGCTCAACGGGACCCATAGCGAAGAAGCTTTTGCTTTTTTTTTTCTTCTGAGCGAGACAATAAGGGGGGGAAAAAGCCGAAGAATACATTGCTCTATAGCATCAAATTTCGGTTTTCAGTAATCAATTGACTAGTGACAACTTTTTTTTTTTTTTTTTTGGTTCGGGACTTTCATGTTTTCAATCGGCATGAAGTACTGCGATACAATGTTCTCCGGAGTTTCCTGACCGCAACCTCGAGGCTTCTTAAGCAGCACGGCAACGCCGTTGGACCACTTGCTTTCCCCCCATATTCCTCCTTTCCGGATCAGTATAATATTTGCAATCCGGCCATTCGCCCAAAAGGTTTGATATAAATTCTTAATTTTAACTCCTGGAATGCTACATTACAAGAATATTCGATAGGTAAGGATACTGTAGAGCTACATCAACACATGTGAATCACGTGATGGCCATATGCAGTCAAGGCGGCTCAATTGGGATAGCGTGAAAGCGCTTTATACTGGGAGCTCATAAAAATTTCGTCTGTACTTTGTACCCCGGAACGCCTGATTTGAGACTCTGTTTTTTCCCCTCCCCCACTGTCCAAATATTTTTTCTTCTTCTTTTGGCCTGGCATTGTGTATTTAATATTGGCGGCGCAACATGTCGACTGCATTCAGATCAATTGCTCCGTTTCTACGGACGGCCCGATATGGCCTGAAGTCCGGCAGTGTCAACCCTCTCCAGGCTGCGCTCAAGAACAACCGCAGTGCGGCTGGTGTTCTCAACATCGCTCGTACATATGCTGTTTTTGAGCGAACCAAGCCTCACGTGAATATCGGTAAGGTGCCTTTTGCAATGGGCTATGAGTAGAGATTTTGTATTAATCGAGGCGTTGTAACAGGCACTATTGGCCATGTCGATCACGGAAAGGTAAAGTTCACTGAAGCATCTTATAAGACCGACTCGCAAACCAAGATGACTTGACACTGACCCATTCTCGCTACTGTAGACTACCCTGTCCGCTGCCATCACCAAGAGGCAAGCCGAGAAGGGCTTTGCCAACTTCCTCGACTATGGCTCCATTGACAAGGCTCCCGAAGAGCGAAAGCGAGGTATCACCATCTCTACTGCCCATATCGAGTACTCAACGGAAAACCGCCACTATTCACACGTCGACTGCCCTGGTCACGCCGATTACATCAAGAACATGATTACTGGTGCTGCCAACATGGACGGTGCCATCATTGTCGTCGCCGCCTCTGACGGTCAGATGCCCCAGACCCGTGAGCACTTGCTGCTTGCCCGACAGGTCGGTGTCCAGAAGATCGTTGTCTTCGTCAACAAGGTTGATGCCATCGACGACCCCGAGATGTTGGAGCTTGTCGAGATGGAAATGCGTGAACTTCTCAGCACCTATGGCTTTGAGGGAGACGAGACCCCCGTCATCATGGGCTCTGCCCTGATGGCCCTGAACAACCAGAGGCCCGAGATTGGCCAGACCAAGATTGACGAGCTGCTCAAGGCCGTTGACGAGTGGATTCCCACTCCCGAGCGTGATCTCGACAAGCCTTTCCTCATGTCTGTCGAGGATGTCTTCTCCATCTCTGGCCGTGGTACCGTCGTTTCTGGTCGTGTCGAGCGTGGTGTCCTCAAGCGTGATGAGGAAGTTGAGCTTGTTGGCAAGGGTATTGAGCCCATCAAGACCAAGGTTACTGATATCGAGACCTTCAAGAAGTCTTGCGAGCAGTCCCAGGCTGGTGACAACTCTGGTCTCCTGATTCGTGGTATCCGTCGTGAGGATGTCAAGCGTGGTATGGTCGTCTGCAAGCCCGGAACCGTCAAGTCTCACAAGCAGTTCCTTGCTTCCCTCTACGTCCTCACCAAGGAGGAGGGTGGTCGCCACACTGGTTTCCACGAGCACTACCGACCTCAGCTGTACCTGCGTACATCTGACGAGTCTGTCGATCTGACCTTCCCCGAGGGTACCCCAGATGCCGCTGGCAAGATGGTCATGCCCGGTGACAACGTCGAAATGGTTGTCACCCTGACGAACCCCAACGCCATTGAGGCTGGTCAGCGATTCAACATTCGTGAGGGCGGCAGGACTGTGGCCACTGGTCTGGTCACCCGCATCCTTCAGTAAATACAACTAACGATTTAACAACCCTAGAACAGCGTGGAGTTGTTGGAATGAATAAAAAAAGGACAAAAATCGTCGGGAAACTGGGAGACGACAAAATTGGCGCAATACTTCGGGCCATATCTCCTAAATCTGAGCCACATGTGCTCGTGTATAGTTGTAGGGGGAAGCGGATATACTACAAACAAAATCTCCACTACGCTTCTTCCTTAATGTCTTCATATATCAATGTACTTTAGACGGATGGTGGAGGCAGGAATAGATGTGCAAAAATACAAAAGCTTATGATTTACTCTTGTCTCGTCTGAAACAACTAGAATGTTGGGTAGTAGTAGCATACTAAAGCATTATATTCCAAAGCGGAAATGCTACAGCAGCGTTGTATGGGGTATCTTGCATGAAATGTTGCGGGTCAAGTCATTCGTATTCACACATATTTGAGCGACATCGAACATGACTCCTTATAAGGATGGCCCTTTACGAGAATTGCGACGGGGCAAGTTTTTTCTTTTCTAAAAAAACAATTCGATCCATGGCATTCATAGGTATTCGTCTCATCATCTCTCAGGCATACAAGATGCACCAACGGAAAAAAGCGGACGCAGCATGAAAATTTATCGAATGCAATGGTATTCGTCTATCCTCGGAGGATGTTCGTCAGACGCACGATCTTTTCTTAAAACCAAGCCATCCATTAAACTCCGGTTCCAAGCGGCCGCCCTCCGAGTGCTTTTTGTGATGGCCATCAAAAACGCAGCACGCATCCGTCAATCCCTTGTCCCCTTTGGAAAGCCCCCTTTTCACACAACAGCTCCTTTATCGGTACTAGAAACACGCACGGCCACGTTAGTCACTGCTCTCTCTGATGTCTCGAATTCCATATCCAATCCTTTTCCTCATGTCCTCCGTCTCCTAGCTCCTTTCCATAGGTCTTTGAGGTGCTTACCTTGTGGAAACCAATGTCCTTGGCCTTCTCACGGAAGCATTGACGGCACAGGTCAAGGTCGTACTTGCGGATCAGACCAGCCTTGTGCTTGCAGACGCGGCTAAAAGAATGTCCAGTCAGCGTTCGTGTTTCATTGTATTGAATTTCGTCGATCGCCCATTTCCCTCCCAATTCGACACTCGGCTGCAGGCGTGCAGTAAAGAATCCTCCAGCAAAGGAAAAAAGGGTAGATATCAGGCGTCATACCATTGGCGAGAGCCCTTGCCGTAGTTTCGCGGGCGCGAGTTCCAGACGCTTTCGTGAGACATGATTGCGGTTGTGGTGGTGCAAGATGGTGATTTCGCGAGGGCAGAAGTGGGCGGAAATTTTGTGTGAATTTTGCGATTGCCTATCCACCAACCGATCGGAGGGTTGCCAGCCCCGGCGAAGCGGGCCCACCAAAGCCGGTAGGAAATTTGGAGAGTCACGTGTACTGCTTATCATCACGTGTAGTAACTTTTTATCTGATTTTCGATAACGCAAGCTTCGGTGGGCCCATTCTCGGTGAGAGCACCGCCACTAGCTTGGCCGAGCTCCCCGCTGTGCCTGAGCCAACCGCACTCCTTGCATTTGGCGCAAGCTGTCCTCTTTTTGCCGCCCTTGATTTCAAAGCACTTGTCTCGGGGCGACTGCCGTGCTACCACGATTGATTATAAGTGGTTTTCTAGTTGGGCGTATAAATCACCACCTGCTTCTCCATTATATCCAAGCTACAGTTGATTTTACCACTACTGGAGCACCCCAGTTTTGATATTACGTCTTTTCCTAATTCGTCATGGTTCTCATCAAGAACCTCGTTTTCGCTGCTCTAGCGGGCTCGGTAGCTGCCAAATCGGCGGTTATCGATCTGATTCCGTCCAACTTTGACAAGCTGGTCTTCTCTGGAAAGCCCACTCTTGTCGAGTTCTTTGCTCCCTGGTGCGGCCACTGCAAGAACCTTGCCCCCGTTTACGAGGAGCTGGCTCAGACCTTTGAGTTTGCAAAGGACAAGGTACAGATCGCCAAGGTCGATGCCGACGCTGAGCGAGATCTTGGAAAGCGATTTGGCATCCAGGGATTCCCTACACTGAAATTCTTTGATGGAAAGAGCAAGGATCCGGTCGAGTACAACTCGGGTCGTGATATTGATAGCCTGACCAAATTTATCACTGAGAAAACTGGTATTAAGCCCAAGAAGAAGAAGGCCGACCAGCCCAGCGATGTTGCCCACTTGGATAACAAGAGCTTCTACGAGACTATTGGAGGAGACAAGAACGTGCTGGTGTCATTCACTGCCCCTTGGTGTGGTCGTAAGTGTAAACCCCATGTATGCTTTCATCTAGTGATTGCTGTATATTTACCGTCAATTCTTTTATTTAGACTGCAAAAACCTGGCACCTATTTGGGAGCAGGTTGCCCACGACTTTGCCAATGATGACAACGTTGTGATCGCCAAGGTCGATGCCGAGGGTGAGAACAGCAAGCAAGTCGCCGAGGAACAGGGCGTTCGATCTTACCCCACTATCAAGTTCTTCCCCGCTGGCAGCAAGGAGCCCATTGCCTACGAGGGTGGCCGACAGGAGGTTGACCTTGTCAACTACATCAACGAGAAGGCTGGCACTTTCCGCACTGAGGGAGGTGAGCTCAACGACAAGGCCGGTACCGTGGCGTCTCTGGATGCTATTGTGACCAAGTTTCTTGGCGGTGTCTCACTCGTCGAGGCTACTAAGGAGGTCAAGGCCGGTGTTGCTAAGCTCAACAACTCCGTAGAGGCCAAGGCTGCGGAATACTACGTCCGTGTATTCGAAAAGCTGAGCAAGAGCGAGCAGTTTGTCACCAAGGAGCTCACAAGACTCCAGGGCATCTTGGCCAAGGGCGGTCTCGTTGCGGGTAAGCGAGATGAGATCCAGATCAAGGTTAACGTCTTGAACAAGTTTGCCCCCAAGGCAGAGGAGAAGGATGAGCTGTAAGCTATTATAGTTGTGAAAAGCGTAAAGTATAGTATATATATATTTTTTTGTCTACTATCAAGCGGAGAAAACATCATGGATTGTATGAAGCCATTTTTTACAGCTATCAAGACAAATATATAATATATCAAGACAAAGATCAAAACAAAACCTCCAGTAACTCCGTGACCACCTGATGGGTTCACTGCCTATTTGAGCCGCCATAAAACTCACTACAAGTCTCGGCTTGATTTCTTCAGTTCATCATCAAGATTTGGATGAAGAGCTTGCTTCCTTGTTTTTCTTGCTCTCTAGTAGAGCAGCTTCGAGGCTATCGAGTCTGCGGGACATTTCATCCACTAACCTCGCCTATTAGCACATTTTGAGCTCCTGAGTCTTCCAATTCTTTATACTCACTTTTGGCGAATATCTCGGATGATACACCAGACAACTTATTGGACAAGGTGTTCAAGAGATCTTCAACGGCCGCTTCAACGGCCCCTGTGACATCCGCATTTCCTTCCTCGCCATTCTTTCACCCGTGGTTAGCTGATCTGTTGCAGGCCATGTAATTGGGTTCAGATTTTAATAGTAAATATGGAGTGAGAGACAGAGTGAATTAGAGAGAAAAGAGCGTGTTGGGCGCGGATCAGTGGCTGCTACATCCCTGGAGATACTTTCAGAGCATAGAGGGGAGAGAAAGAGTAAAACAAACGTACAGCAGCCGGATTTGAGGCGACAGAGTCACGGTTCGATGCCATGTTGAAGATGGGGATAAAGGGTAGCGCGGGATTCGCCGTGGATCTTTTGGCAGGCAATAGCGATCAGAGTTGCTCCAAATATGACGCGACCCTCTTCCTATCTCTGGAGCTAGATGCGTGGTTTCGATCTTGTATGGCTTTAATGTGGATTTGTTGGCTATTTTGAGCTGGAGTTTCGTTCCAAGGAAAAGGGAGGCTTGAGAGGTTGTCAAAGGACGCCACGAAGAGGAATGTGAGAGCATGAGCATGAGCACGAGCACTACCGGCCCGCATAGACTTTTAGCCCACCGCTAAAACCGGAATCTTGCGACAGCGGCTTCCAGCGCTCAGTAGCGACACTAGCTCCCTGCAGGGCACCCCCCTACAAGAGCTATGCTCGGCCCATGCTGTAGCTGGCTCTCCGGGTATCGCTGACTGATGGCGTTGGATGCGGCTACTCTCGTCACTCCAAACCTCGAGCACCGCTGCCAAATCCAACAACCCCCCCAACATATATTCTCCTGCAGACCCAGCCGATTCGAAGCGCCGTTGTCTTGACAACATTCGATCTGGGACAAGTATAATGATAGCGGTATAGCCGATTCCGCGGTCTCGACCACTGCGCCGGGCAGCATGCCGCAGACAAACCAACCCCACACCTTGAAGTTCCTCTTTATCATCTTCGTCATCTGGCTTGTCTTGCCCGATAGCGAGTACCAAAGCCAGTCGGTTGCTTTGTCCGACCTCATTCTCTCGCGCCTTTCAGACTACCGCGACGCCCTTGATGTGCTAAATGCGACACGATGGGGGGACTTTGCTCCTCTAGAGGCAAACCGTACGGAGGGTGACGACGCGAGCTCCCCCAAATATATCAACTTGACGGGATTTCGGGAGGAAGATCACTTTTCATGGCAATACTTGAACAAGTTCCGAGAAAGGGGCCTGAAACTCAGCCACCATGCCGTCCCCGCAGTTGGCGGCAATGAGCTCTGGGATGTGGCAGAGGGTGAGCCGATGTGGGCAAACGCCTCCAGCGTTCTTCTCGGACAGTGGGTGCGTCGTCCAGATCTGAGTCCAAGGACACCTGGCAGCTACAACCTTAGCCGAAGTGTGCCTTCCATGCACTGGTATGCTGATAAATGGAACTGGGATCGTAATGTGACCGGCACAACTGGGCGAATCCATCTGCGCCTGGAAGGCAACAAGACAATAACGGGATACGAACAGCTCTCGAAGACTGATGCCCCCCTCGGCGGAGGCCTGATACGCAATGTGAAAGGGGTAGTGACGATAGAAGATGAAGAGGGATCAGGAATCCCCTATGAGACGCGTCTTTGGGGAGTGCATTGGCCACGGCAAGGGGTAATTATGATGACGACTACGAGCGAGAAATTCGACGGCATCTTTGGGCTTCCGCATCTCACACCTGGGCCAGACTATTTCCAATCTAGCCAGAGGTTCCTAAACCAGTCCCTGGCGCACACTATAGCTACAAAGAAGAAGAACATCTATACCGACCAAAACATACCATGGAACGCGGACATAGAGAATCCTCTTCACACTCCAAATCCTTCTCCCCACTGCGAATTCATCATGTATGCGCAGATCCATCCTCCAAGCAGACAGAGTCTTGGCCTCGGGGCCACTGTCTCTAAAGGCGAAAACGTGGCAGACATTATACACACAATCGAGTCAGAGCTGGAATCTCCGCTCGGTGTGCCTATCCAACGCATCCCAGAACTCCACATGTCGGCGGTGATATACTCGCCAGACTGCTCATTTGTCTTGGAGACGAAAGGGCCTCCAGACTTCCTGCCCGGCGAGGCTAACCATTTTGTCGGCGTGAAGTCTGAGGTTCAAGTCACCAGGATCAATCAATGGCTCATTACATATGCGGTATTGGTATTTTTCCAAGTCATGTTGCTCAAAGACCAGATGAAGGAGACGTACACACCGTCTACCCTCGGCAGGGTCAGCTTTTGGACAATTAGTGTAATGGGCATTGTCGATTGCATGACCTTTTGTGCGGCTGCTACCTGGGTTTCCACGGCTCAGAGCACCTTCTTACCGACCCTGACGCTCATGTTCACGTCACTTATGTCTATGATGATTGGGGGGAGCCTGCTTGCCAGAATTCACGAGATCCAAGCGCCACAGCCCCGTACTCGCCGAGAAGGGGCAGCTGGATCAAACAGCGGCCAAGCCAGCTCGACCGCTTCTGCACCGCTGACGCCTAACGCAACGGGCACAGGACCCATTCTCCCTGGGCCTGTGACAGCAGGACGTGGCGCTAATCCTGATCCCGCTGCAGCAGCAGCAGCTGCTGCTGCCAATATCGCAGACGGCGCCGCGGCCGTACCCGGCGCTGCCACAGCTACAAGGCCGCCGCCACCGCCTTCGTCAGCTCAGACATTCCAATCCATCATTGGCCGATATTTACTTTTGGTCCTCTTCATCTCTTTCGTGGGGTTATCTTCCATGACGTGGTATGCGACGGCACGCTCATGGTTCATCAACATCTGTGTCTTTGTCTATCTATCTATGTGGGTTCCGCAGATATACCGGAATATTATCCGCAACTGCCGCCGCGCCCTGAAATGGAAGTTTGTCGTCGGCCAATCCATCCTCCGCCTGGCTCCCCTGGCGTATTTCTGGCTCGACGCAGACAATTTCCTTTTCGCTCGGACTGAACCGCATTCCTTTCTGGTGCTCTGCCTCTGGGTCTGGCTGCAGATCTTCGTGCTGGCCACGCAAGATATCGTCGGTCCGAGATTCTGCGTCCCCAAAGACTGGACGCCGGATGCGTGGGACTATCACCCGGTGTTGCGGGAAGACAACGTCGAGGCTGGGGCCTTGCCTATCGGGTTGAATCCTGAAGATAGTCCAGGCCATGATCGTAGGCGGAGTAGCGAAGAGAGGGATAAGCCTCGGCCCGGTGGCGGCGTTACGCGGACCATCGATTGTGCAATCTGCAGAGAGTTGCTTGAGGTGCCTATCGTCAAGGCTGGGGAAGAAGACATGAGTGTGACGGGGGTGTTTGCTAGGAGGATGTACATGGTGACTCCGTGCCGGCACATTTTCCATACTGCTTGCTTGGAGAACTGGATGAAGTTTCGGCTGCAGTGCCCGATATGTAGAGAGGACTTGCCTCCTCTTTGATAAATGAAGTAAATGTATCAAATAAATTCAAGTTATAATGGAATATAACTGGCCTAATGAGGACGTTTATGACACAAGAGATGGTGAGAAAGCATTGTATCAGTGTTTCTCTTTTCCTTATTTGCTATAGACTGCAAGGTGCTGGACGATGGGTATTAATGGCAGTGTTTTTGTTTATTACATCTCCACTAACTAGTAAATTTCCAACCATGTAGCAACATAGTAGTAGTAAATGTATGGTTCTTTATATGTGCGTCAACCTCAGCTTTTTCTGAGCTTATATCCTTTTCCCTCTTCCCCTTAAACTCCTTGTGGTGGAAAGAGAAAAGTAGAAACAATCGCTTGGCTCATGCAGATTCAATCTAAACAGATGAGAAGAAAAAATAACTGAAAATCAAAAAGGAAAAAAAAAAAGAAAAAGAAAAAAAAAAAAAAAGACAAAACGGAAATGAGTATGTATTCATATGCTGCGTAGCATGAACGTGCCACATTCATGGTATGTTTCATTCGTTCCCTCTGGTAGGTTCGAGAAAAAGATTGGATAGAATAAATGATCCAAAGAAGAAGAAAAAGTAATGTTGAATAATGTAAACGCAGATGTGGGAGGAAGACGCCTTTTCTGTTGGCTGGCTGGCTGGCTGGCTGGTTGTTGGCTCACCACGAAATTCGGGTTGTCCTATGTCGTTGGTCATGCATCCCTTGGCGCGCATCTCGTGAGCCCACCGTCAAGTCGGCAAACCTGGCGCGCAGGTCGAAATCGACAGATTGCACCATGACTCTCTTTTCCTCCGGAATCGCGGGCGTCGCCGGTTTGTCTGCATGGGCTACTTGAGGCTTCACATCATCATCATGTTGATGGCGCGTGTCTGGGAAGGCGTCAGCCTCCTCGAGTTCCATGATCCACTGGCCAATGTTGGCTGCCAGCTCGCTGTCCCACATGCCCTCGCGTCGGGCACTGCTCCTCAATAGCCGGATGGATTCTCTCCTGACGACGGGATCTCGGCATTTGGTGGCCACGACGAAGAGGGGCGTTACGATGCCGAGGTCTGCGGAGAAGCTGGGCTTGATGTTGTGGGTGTGGGATGTTCTGTTGTGGGTGTGCTGTTGCTGGCATCTTTGCGGGTCGGGACAGCGATCAGGGGCTGCTCGCTTCTCATCGTCGCCAACTACCTCCCATCCTAGGCTGACAATCTCCTTGAAGTGTGGGAGGAAGTTGTCGAATTGGACTTCTGTCTTGCAGAAAATGGTCAAAAAGACGATCTGGGTATTCATGTGAAACATCTTCAACGCCGAGATGGCCGATTTCTCCAGGAGATCTATGCCAGGCTGCAGCCGTGATTGGAAGATGGGTTCGAAAGCCTTGGTCCAAGAATCGATTTGAGCTTGGAACGTCGAGCCCAGCTGTAGCCAAGACGGCGGTAATGTGTACGACGGTTCTCTTCTGGCAGCCTGCAGGTGCTCAATGAACCTGAGCAGCATTTCGCAGAGCTGATCGGAAGCAAGGCGTGCTTCTCGCAGAGATGCGAACTCGTGCGGGATGGGACTTGATGGCTGTGGCGAGCCTGAATCTGAGAGAGGAGAAGATGGATCGTTCAAGCTCTGAGGGCCTAACTGAATTACATAGGGATGGGGGAAGTGGAAGGCCATGTCATATGACTTGGCCTGGATGGCGAATCGTGTGAAGATGACCAGGAGGTCCTCCTCAACCCGTTCACTTTGATGGGGATTTTGGGCCCGGTCATGCTGAATACGAGCCAGAAGGCGCAAACCGGTCTGGATCTGAACAATGGCCTGCCTATGGTCGCCAATAAAGGAGTCGAAGCAGGCCAATAGGACGCTGGCCATCAGCCGGGTCTTGTTGGTTGATATCTTGTCTCCGCTGAGAAGAAGCATGGCGTTGCAAGCCTCTGAATACTTCCTGACGGCAACTTGCCAATGACACATGACAGACTCCATCCGGCTCATGGCACCAGGGAGTGGCGCTGAATCAGGCTCGCACGACTGCTCGAGCGTCTTATACAAGGCACCTAGAGCCACCACGGCGTGCCGGATGGAAGGCTCGAAGTGACACTCCTGGAGAAGGCGCTGCGTCCAGAAATTCATGTTAAAGTACCCAGACAGCTCTGACGCCGTCTGCACCCGGAAGAGGTCAAAGTACAAGCTCTCGGTATGCATCAGGGCCAGGCTGTGAGACGGCTCATACAGCAGGGGCACCGCGCCGCCAGCGACCGCGGGATTGGCCTGGCGCTTGCGACGATTCGCTCTGCGCGGAGGCAGCAGAATCGTGTGGCCGGTCAGCAAGAGGCTGGCCGTGGTTGAGGCACCCGCCATGCTGGCCATGCCGCCGGTTGGCGCCGGTTGTAGATGCGGCATGCCGGCCGACGGAGGAGCCAGAGGCTTCGGCGCAATGCGGACATCGGCGGCGGCAGACATGGCCGTTCGGCTGGGGGGCGGATAGCCGACGCACTCTTTTTTGCTACGGATGCATTGCGAGCAAGACGGACGCTTCTCATCACACTTGATGCGTCGCTGTCTGGAGGCGCCGAGGCGGTTAGTACATGCAGGTGGTCTTGACGGCGGGAGGGGGGTACGTCTTTCACAGTTTCCTGGGCCCGGTTCTTCTTCAAGCAGACTTACTTGCAGTTCAAGCATCCAGTCTTGACTTTGGGGTTGCTTCGTCGCCCTCGCTTGGCTGGTTTTGTTCCATCGACGCTGCTTTCTGGAGCATCTGCCGGGACTGGAGCTGGAGGTAGCTGGTTGTTAACGCCGCTCTGTGGCAGCGCCGAATTCATGTCTTCAGGGTCGGGAGAGCAAGTTGGAGTTGCATCTGGAGTCCGGTACGAGCCCTCGCCAGACGACGCCATGGCCGGCGACTTTGTAGATTCTTGGCTGGGAGCAAACATAACAAGGGGGGGGTCGAGGCCGAAACGTCAAAGCTTGCGTTTGCAATGCTGAGGCTTCAAGCCAGGGACAAACTTACTCTATCCTCACCTTGAAGCAACAAGAGGAAAGGAGAGGAAAGAAAGAGGAAACAAGTTGGGTGAGGAGCCCTCAACAATCGATGCCAAGAAGCACGGGTCTGGATACTATCTCGAGAGCCAGCTTGGCGGGGAGCTAACTGACTTATAGCCTCTCCTCTCTTATCCCGTCAGTTTACTGGACCCAGGACCTTTTCTCGATTGACGGCAGTCATGGAGCCCAGAGTACTACTACCTCCCAACTAATACAGCACTAGCAGTAGCGAAGCCAGAGTGGAGCTCCAAGTGAGACACCACTGCTGCATCTGTAAGACTCCAATTACTGCTTTCGCGGTGGAACATGGGTTTCTCGGCAGCAGTGATACTATATCTGTACCAAGCCGAGTTTGGCAGAGAAGGCAGTTGATACGGGCTTTACTTAAACCCATTATAGCCTGTTGGATGACTCGGCTGGTCCCAGAAAAGTATAGAGGAGTAGGCAAACCAGCGCTAGCATCGAGATGAGATAAACGCGGAGCATGCGCGAGGAGATATTATACCAGCATGTCAGAGAGAGAGCACACACAGAATCACCTCTCAGTTCCCGGTTTTTATCTGCCTTTTACTTACACGTAGGCATCATCATGCAACTATGGCCGCCGTAGTCTCATCCGCACCCGCATTGGCCCCCCCGTCTTAGTTAATGCATTGAAGACGGCGGCTTTCTCACAGGAATTGGATCGTGAATGCCCAAGTACATACTATGTAACAGCAATACTGCATTGTATGCATGTCGCCCCCAGTCATGCAGGTCCCCCTACAACGCTGTTGGTAAGATGCAGAAATCCTTCCAAGTTGACAGGTTGGTACACTAACCAATAGTCCCGGTTGACAGGTAATCTACCAGCACCGCACTAGCCAAGCACTGCCAAAGGGCGTCTGACAACTTTTCGTTGGCGCGGGATTCGCGCGGCAGCCGGAGACGGACATGTGAGCTGCTGTACCTCCATCGCTGCGCGGAGTGCTATGGCGGGAACAAGTACTCGATGGGTTGCATCGTCGACTACCTAGCGATCCTTGGCCATGGGGGCCGCAGGATGGCGAGCGAGCTTGATGTTGGCGCTTGGCCAACGAAACACATTGCTGGGTTCGTCGTCGACAAGGGCCGAAACCTGGGAGTCGGGTAAATGGCGATTGGATGTCGAAAATGCCGTCGTGTGCTCTGCAGTCTGTACTGCATGCTGTGCTGCTTTAGTGCTACGGGGGAGATAGAGCATGTCCTTTAACTCCGAACATACTCCGTGCATTTGTCTCAGCATTTGTGGTACATTCGGTATTTTGAAGATGGTAGGCACATGCAGCAGCAATACAAGTATGAGAGCTTCAGCATTGTATCTCGGCTGGCTCTGAGTTATCTTAGACTAGGTATTACAAATGTACTTTGTAATGCCAGCCATCGGATGGATTCTATCACCCGGCGTATGTATGATATTCTCGTAGAACTCTCACCCACGTACATAGGTAGTAGTATACAGTACGCCGTTTACAGGGGTTTTGCGGGTGTGGCGATGAGCAAACTTGACTCAAGCGACAGTCCCCTGGAAGAGGTTTGCCTCCAGCCCTTGCATCACGGTTTGATTTCCCCTCTTGATGACTCCTTTCTACACAAAAGTACTGCAATCGCATGCACCATGGGAGTCCAGTAGTAATGCTATAGTCGCCGTGCTACCTAATGCTAACCCTGCTAGTTAGTAGTTCGCCGACACCTTGGATCCTTGATCCCCCACTGGATCATGCATTTCACCAAGTCGGCGTTATCCAATGTAGGCAGCCAACGCGCATCTGTTAGCGGCAGCGCGTTGCTCGACTTGAATCTGATCTCTGATCACCGGAAGCGCCTCAGTACATGTACTTGGACTAGGTTGACAGGGTTGGCCGGGCGGCAGTCTTCCCCTAGTGTCATACAGGCACATCCACGTTCACGTGGGCAGAAAACTAACATACTTCAAGCTGTATACCGCTGCTATCAAGACTGGCACTAAAGTGCTATGAGTAGTTTCCATGCTACTATTCAGGTAGGTGAAGAAATGCCTCGGTTCGTATGGCTTGTAGCGGTAATACCTACATACACTATGTACTGCTGCTGCCGTGTCATCGTCGTATCAATACGTGTCTTGCATGCATCTCCCCTCTCTTATACGGAGTGCTATGGAGAGCTCCATTCTGCATGTAGATGTAGGCATGTCGGTTGGCATCTTCTTGCGGTCAGCCAAAATAAGCTGACAACGCCGGGTTGAACTATATGCCTGAATGGCTCTACGCCATGCTGGTACAGAAGTGGTGGCAACTGGAGATGTGTGACGCTCTACTCAACTCGATAGAAGAGCTCGGATGCATGTACCTCTGTTCTGGCTGATTCATGTTTCTCTTAATTTACATACAGTAACACGGCGGAACCAGAGCAGCGGTCCAACAGAAAGCATTTTGAGCCATGCATGCATGCGGCCCGCACCAACAGGCTGCTAGCTTCCGCGGTGCTGGAAAGAGGATGCAAAGCGAGTTGATGATCTCGCTTATAATGATGCATGTAGATGGTAGATGTTAGGTTCTCTGTAGTTCTTGAACCAACCGCACGCGCTGTTCCCCGGATCTCGACAAGATCCTAATCACTTGCCAGGCTCAGCTCATAAGTCCTACTAATTAGTAGTTTCCTACATGCGTGGCTGATGGTAAATCATTCCTCAGCGCCAACCAAAAATTGAGCCCATCGTCTGAGGTTTACTGAATGGTGGAGGACAAAGCGAGCACCGCTGGAGGCCGGCAGAAGTCGCCTGATTGGCCACATCAAAGAGCCGCCCCGCAAAAAAGTTGCGATGATTTGAGCAACCGATTTGAATCTTCTGGCTCTACCATCCGTCACTGCTAATCTCTGATTGCGCATTCCATAAGCTGTGCCGCGCACTCCAATCGAACCGAATTGCTAAGAGAGCATACGTATTGCATTGACATCTTTCTCTTGTCCGCATCTCACCATTTTGGCGGTGCACACACCCTTGCCGGTCCCTGCGATATACCACAATCAGAGATTAAACCATGTCTGAGCAACCCGAAACGCCTCTCCCCCCTCGCAATGAATTCATACACAAGGCAGCGCTCGCCGGAGCAATCATAACCCCTCTAGCCATGCTGCTCCCTCCCAGAAAAGCCGATATCCGACTGTTTGTGCTGGTGGGAACGTTTTCGCTCTGCACCAACCAGCTTGCGTACGAATACACAGGACAGTCTGTATACGGCCGACTTGGGAGCCGAGTGGGGTCAATATTCGATACGAGTTTGCCAGAAGGCGCAAAAAGGACACAGCAGTTGTTAAAGGAGCAGAAGGAGAGAGAGGCTGCGCACAAGCAAAAGCAGGAGGAGACGAAAAATTCTGTGCTGAAGGATATCTGGATGGGCGGCGAAAGCGAGGGCTGGAAAGAGAGGAGAGCGGAAGAGCATAACAAGAGCTTCCAGGAGGGCAAAGGCATGAGCGACATCATCTTTGAGCAGGTTGCCGATGTATTCAGTGGAAATTGGAGAGGGAAGGGAAAGGCTGACGAATCGTCTTCATCTGATGACTCGCAGGGAGAGAAGAAGAAATAGATTTGGAAGAGGGGAGGTCTACGATGACGAGAATGACGTTGGAGATGTGACATAGCATCTGTCCATGGTTGCTTCACGTGTATTATATGTACTTGTTATATGTTTGTTTGATTATGAGATACATGTATGGAAAAATGATCTAAATGATGGTAGCCTGTTCAAGATTTAAAAAAAAAGTATTGCATAGAGAGCGTCAGTGGATTTTCTACTAATGAGCAAACACGAGAGAGAGAAACAAAGAAGAAGCCGTTCAACTCGGCCAATACTATGCTATGTAAATAAAGGATCGCCACACTTGACAAGACCAAATCAAGCAATCCAAGCTTGAACCGATAATCATTCGAGCCTTTGTCATGCTTCCCGTCTGAGCATAGGTACCTAATGCCTGCCTAGGTAGTCTGTGGAGTTCGCGCCAAGTGTTTTTTGACTGATTTGCTCCATAGTTACGGGTACTTATTTGTATGTTGCTTACTTGCAATGTCAATAGGCTTTCACGGAGATTTACAGTTTAGGGAATAATTCGCGGACTACATAGCTTTCGTATGCAAGGTGAGACTGATCAGATCTGATCTCATGGGTGAGCCGTGTAAGACAAAGGCGTGGAATGGAGAGCATGGTGCGAAAGTCGCAGCGTCTGTCCAGCGCACAAAGAGCTGCTAAAAGTATACGAATGCACGCAGCGGAAACAAACAAACATCACGAGGGAAAAGATGCTTGAACATGCATCCAGCTCTGCGCCGTGCAGGGGCAAAACAATAGGCTGCCCGCCCTCCATCGGCTCTAGCTGGTCCAAAATAGCAGCCTCTCTGGCTGCTCATGAGCCTCCGATCGACCAGCACAGCCCAGCCCCCCCTGGATCCACCGCGTCAGCGCTCTTGCGCATGCCATGCCGTGGGACTCGACGACGCTGGGTATTGAAAGGAGATGTGCGCTGCTTGTTTCATCGCGGAGCCAGGACAGGCGGTGCATGCAGCCACTTTTCGCTGGGGCTCGTATTCCAAACTATGTATCTGTGGCGTTGCGTTTCTTTGTTCCAGGCAGCGGTTCTGCTTCATTGCTTCATTGTCGCTGTCAACTTGATAATCTCCTCGGCTCAGTCGTTTCAGCCTGCCCGGCCCTGTGCCTTTTGACGTCCCCCGCTGAGCTCCCGAGGCCTGAAACACCGGTAAGCCAGCCCTGTGCCAAACCGCCAAACGAGTCTGGTGGCAATTTGGCGATCCATTGCTGCAAGAGAGCACAGACCCGGCAGCGCACCGACTCCAGTCTCCAGTCTCCAGTCTACATGCACACATCAATACTGCTAAGCTATGCTGGCTTGGCGGCCTGTACGAATCACACCCACACAGCCTCGACTACCGCAATGCTTGGCTTTTTGATCGTATCCACTACGTAATCGCCCGTTAGCCAACTTTAACCAGCGCAGGACCAAGACATGCTATTTCACTTTTCTCTCCTTCATACCTACACCAAGGCAGCTTCTGTTCTGCTCACGATACGCTGATTCTGTGGACATAGAAGACGTTCGCTCGTTGCCGAGGCCGGCCCTTGATTTTGCCTCGTACGCTCTTTGTCTGTTTATCCCCCCTCCTTAATCTTTTGTGCGTGGCGTTAGAGCCCGCGGGACAGCCCGTTCGCCATGGCAGCAAATAACTACTACTATGGCGATAACCGGCAGCCTCAAAGCCACCAATCTCCCCCTTACTACGATCACACGCACGCGCCATCCGCAGACTCGGACCTCCCGCAGGCGTACAACCCAGGCTATTCGGATGCTCATTATGGGAGCCCATACGGCGCTCCTGTAAACCACCAGGGCCAGACAGGTGCGTCGCCGTTTGATACCGTCTTCGACGATCACGCATACCCAACGAATGCGCATCCAGGCCCGGGCGGCGCGAGTAGCAGCGACATCTCCCAGCAGGGCTTCTACCACCAAGACACGAGCTACTATGGATCGAGGACGGAAAACATCCCGTTGCAAGACCACACGAGCAAATCGCCTGACATCACCGACCACATCTACGACGCGCCGGCCGACCAGTCAAACCAGAGGCGGGATAAGAGAGGCAAGGTTCGGGTTGGAGAGCTGGGCATGCTAGGCGCCAACAGGAAGCGCATCCCATGGCTGGTTTACATCTTTTCGATAGCGCAAGCCGCTGTTTTCATCGCCGAAGTGGTGCGCAATGGTAAGGACGCACCCTCGACTCCCCACTGGTGTAAGGAAGCTGGCGACCCTAACAATAATGATTCTGATAGGTATACTAACGGGCTCTCCCATCATGATTAAGCCCCAGTTCAACCCCATGATCGGCCCATCGACACAGGTTCTCATCAACATGGGCGCCCGATATGTGCCCTGCATGCACAATATCAAGGAGATTCAGGGTTCTACCATTGAGGTGCAGTTTCTTTGCCCCAACGCCACAAAGAGCACGCAATTCTGCCCTCTTTCGGAGCTGTGTGGCTTCGGCGGCGACGTCCCTAACCCCAAGTTTGACGGCAACGCAAATCAATCGCCTGCGCCCAACCAGTGGTTCCGCTTCATCATTCCTATATTCATGCATGCCGGACTTATCCACATTGGCTTCAACTTGCTTATGCAGCTCACCATCGGCAAAGAGATGGAGATTGCAATTGGATCCATTCGATTTTTCCTTGTCTACATGAGCGCTGGCATCTTCGGCTTCGTCATGGGAGGCAACTACGCTGCCCCTGGCATAGCCTCCACGGGAGCTTCAGGCTCTCTGTTCGGCATCATTGCTCTTACTTTGATCGATCTGCTATACTCATGGAAGGACCGCCGAAGCCCCGTCAAAGACCTGCTCTTCATCATAATTGACATGGTTATTTCTTTTGTGCTTGGCCTGTTACCTGGCCTGGACAACTTTTCTCACATTGGAGGATTCTTGATGGGCCTTGTCTTGGGTATCTGCCTTCTCCATTCTCCTAATTCGTTGCGGCGGAGAATTGGTCCAGATCCGTTTTATTCGGCGGTACCAGGAGCACAAGATCCAGATACTGTTCCTTTTTACAAAAACCCAGTTGGATTTTTCAAAGGAAGGAAGCCTCTGTGGTGGGCTTGGTGGCTTGTCCGAGCAGCCGCTCTTGTGGCGGTTATCGTCGTCTTTGTTGTTCTGATTCACAACTTTTACAAGATTGGTACCACCTGTAGTTGGTGCAAGTATCTTAGTTGCCTTGTGAGTTATGCTTTTGATCGTCCTTTTTGCTAATTCATGAACAAACGCTGACTCCTTCTAGCCTGTTAATGGTTGGTGCGATCTCGGAACTATCCAGGTGCAATAAGGGGTAGGGACGATAGACGATATAAAAGGGCCAAAGAAAGAATAGAGACGTCTAGATTTTTGCTTTGACCCGCCTTCTGGGTTGATGACAAGAATAATAGGGTGAAAAAAAAAAAAAAAAGGAAGACATAAATGGGCGAGAGGATTATTTACATCTTATACAGCGCTGGCGTTCAGGGGTGAGGGAGAGATCATGGTTACACGCAAGACAAAGACAAGGGGGGTAGATGATGGCACCCATGGCATGTGCGACAAGTCTGCTTACCGCCTTGCAGTTTGTATATAAACAGTTATTATTGTATTCTTTAGTTTAAACGGCTTCCATGACGATTAATATAGGGAATTGAACAAGTGGAGAGCGGCGTTGCTTGCTATTTGTTCGTTTTAAGAGTCATAGACTTGTATGGCCCAGGTGATGGATGCATCCGGCCACTTTTGCGTTACATTTCGGCAACACGAAGGCAGCTGTTTGCCCGCGCAGACTCCAAGTCACGCGACTTGTTACCTAAGAAGCTGCTGCCAAGCTGCTGAATGTTGCATCAGTAACTGAGCCCCGGCTAAATGTTCTATTTTTACCATGTAGGATCCTTTGTCCTCTCTGCCTCTCCTCTCACTCCTTTTCTTCTCCTCTGTGCCTCATGGTTTCTTCTGCAAATGTGCCCATCTTCGCACAAGCTGCCACCTACCCCTTCAAGCACATGATCATGATGACCAGAAGCATGCCATGACAAACTCAGAATCTTTATCTTAGATCAAAAGAATCACAAATGACGCAGAGGTAAGAAAAAGGCCACAATTTAGCTACTTCCTCGCATGCTATTTCATGATGAATGTTCTTCAAATGCATGGCTTAACTGAATGATCCCGCAAGGGACGTGTGTTGAGCAACAAGAATACACCTCTGATACGACAGCTTGCTTTCTTCCTTGCCTCTTTCTCAGATTTCTTGCCAGCTTCTACCGGGGAATTCTTACTAATTGGGAAAATAGGAGATGAGCAGATGAGGCCGATCTGTCAGCAGAGTGCTGCTCTAGCATTGCGCGGCTGTCTCGACTCATACGCTCTGAAGCTGCCTCATGTGCTACCCGTAGCGATTCACAGGTCCCGCAGCTTTGCTTATTCGTTCGAATATTCCATCAAGTATCTACACAGTTTTATATACTTAGGTACTACAGTAGCATTTCGTACAATACCTATTACTGGGTACTAAGTAGGTAGTCTTGGAGCGTCTTGCTACTCTGTAGATGAGGGGCTGCTGAAGCTCTAAAGATTCCTCAGTGGTGACTCCAACTCTCCACAGTAGTTGTGACCGCCTAGTACGCTAATGCTGCCTTTCGATTGCCAATGACCAGCCTGTAATAGCGAATATATTATTCTTCACCAAAAGCCATAGATTGAGTCTGTTCTAGCCTGTGTGGTGGCGTCTTGTTGTGTGGAATCTCTGCGCCAAAGTAGGGGAAAAGCTGGTTCCTGTGCCTGGAGGTAAGTTTAGTGGCGGGAGCCCCCGGAAAAAGCTGCTTAGTGCGGAATACAGTGGCGAGAGAACGCCAACTCACGTGCAAAAGCCCATTAAACAACGGGTGGGACCCCGTCACGTCACGGTCCAAAGGCGCGTATGTGCCGGCATCTGGAAATATTACCGTGTCGGCCGTGAAGCGAGAAATCCCACCTTTCTCTCCCGCGACCAGCAATTCGCTTCACAGACCTCTGGGATCCGTCTCATGACGACAAGTAGCTGGCCTTGATCTTTCTTGGTACGCACGTCCTAGAAAGAATAACAGCGGAAAGAAGATCATCATGGCTGCTACGGTTGTCCCCCAGAAGCGGGTGCTGGGCGAGTCCCGCACTGGCCAGAATATATCCTCGTCGCCATCGAATCTCAA